CACTCCTCCTCCTCACTCACCCACTCTTCTCCCTCCTCCTCCTCCGCCTCCTCCTCCTCCTCCTCCTCCTCCTCATCCTCCTCCACGTCCATCCTCCTCTCCAACCCGCCGACAACCTCCCGGGCCACGTTCAACGTGCCCTGCATGCTCTCCAACAGCCGCGTCAACTCCGCCTCGACATCCTCGTTGGACGCGTTCGCCGCCATCACCGCCATGCTCGGCGGGCTGGCCGGCGGAACCCACGCCACAACGGGACTCCTCATCCCCCCGACAGGAATGGCGGTCGCGGTCGAGAGCTGCGACGAGTTGGATGCGCGATGCGCATTGGGCAGCCCGTTTGGATGGGCATGGCCTGGACCCGGGAAGCCGTCCTCGCCAATCCGCGCAGGCCGGCCCATTGCGTACGGCGTTGGGCCCGGTCCGTTCGCCGTCAACGGCGTGTTCACTCCCGAAGATCGTCGGGAGAACATGGTGCGTCCTCGCCCAGAATAGAATTGCCCCATTTGGACGTCTTCGTCCATGGTGGCCGGGCCGGGGTGGTCGCCGTTGACGTCCTCGCGCTCGAGACCGAATGGGTCCACGTCCGTGGATGAGGCCGACACGTCGCTGTATGCTTCTGACAATGCGGTCGAGGGACGTGGTATCTCTTGCTCTTCGGCGGCGGTGAAGTCTTGCAGTGTGACGGGCATGGTCATTTGGCGCATTAGTGGTGCGGGACGGGTTGGTGTTAGGCGAGATGCAGGAATGGGCTTTGGAGGCGAGAATTCGCTAGGAGGAGACGGTTCGGAGGTTTGCTGCTCATCTTCCGTCGCTTTTGCTTCGGCCATCGCTGTCGAAAAGGACCATTCCATGGTGGCGTGCTTTCTGGCTTTCTTTTCAAGACCCGATGGTGCCGGTGTTTCTTCATTAGTCGGACCAGGGGCATCTTGCTTTGGTTCTTCGTCTGGGACGTTGATCTGTGGGATGCTCACTGCAGCTTCAGACATTGCGCTTGCAAAGGACCAGTCCATGGTCGTGTGGCCGGCTCGCGACGACGTGATTTCGGCAGGCTCTTGCAGCTCAGGTGCTTTGGTTCTGTTCTTAACAGTCCAGTCTTCCTGGGATGTGGCAAAGTCGTGTTGTGCGTTGCTTGAAGGGACTCCTTCATTCGACGAAGCTCTTCTAGTGGTCAAAGATTGGTTGTTGGGATCTCGAGGTCCTTTGGAGTTTGCGCGCTTTTCGCGAAGTGTCGACGCATCAGCAAGTCTGATAGTCTCTTCTCTCATCGGTGTCCCTGCGAACACCGTCTGAATTTTATCCTCCGTTCTTGGTGGTGCTGCAGCAATAGCGTAGTCTGCTTCGTCGAAGTCTCCGAGGTCGATGGCAACTGACGCAATTGAGCTCGGTCTGTCTTCTGCCATGGCCCGGAAAGGTAAATCGGATATCCGACGTTGTTCAGGAATGGGAATGAAATCAGTCTTGGTTTTGTATTCGTACGCCGGCTGGTCCTGGTTGAAGAGGTTCGAAAGATCTGCCCCTCGCTTGACACGAGCCTCGAAGTTGGCCTTTTGAGCCGCCGTCATTTCCTTTGGTGGCGACAGTTCCCCAGATCTGTGGAGCCCTTTCGGGGTCTCTTCTCCCTCCATGGTCTCGTCAGAGCTCAAGCCCGCGAAGTCTGGAATCTCCAATATGGCAGAGACACGTCGCTCGAAGTCTTGAGTCATGCTAAAGTTCCATTCATCGTCGGCGTCGATGTCAGGGTCGGATCCAGGTACAGAAGCAGCAGCGGCGCCGCCGGGCATAAATAGGGACACTCTCTGGCCGCCTTGGAAAAGCCACGCATAGTACGTTTCGACGAGCTCCGTAAGCATGCTTGTTGGGTGCGTCTCTTCGGTGTCTCGGAGGAATTCGTGCTCAAGGACATCCTTCATCGAAGGCCGTGTGGTAGCGTCTGGAGTGAGGGTATAGGAGACAAGTGAACGTAATCCATCACTGAACTCATCACTATCCGGAAGAGATAGCGACTGCTTCATCCGTCTCATCCTCATCTTCAGCTGTTGGCGTTCACGCAGATCGGCATTCGGGGGTTTGCCCATAGCGCACTCGTAGATGGTGCAACCGTACTCCCAGACATCGACCTGGGCCACGGTTAGTTGCCAATTCGTTTTCCATCATTGAGGCGCGGCCACGCCATGGATGAACTCACCTCGTCTGAATATTCAGGGTTGTCTGTCCACAACTCCGGCGGCATCCAGTGCAAAGTACCGATGAATGTCTTTCTCTTATCTGTTTGGGTGTCCAAGATCGAAGCAACCCCAAAGTCGCACAGCTCGAGGCGGCCCTCTTGATGAATGAGGACATTGGCAGCTGAAAAAGACAGACAAGGTGTCAGCCTCAAATGTCATAAAACAACACAAGCAAACAGACGGACTACAGGGCATGCACGTACCTTTCACGTCTCTGTGTATGATGCCAGCTTCGTGCAAGCCTTTCAAAGCCTTCGCCAACTCTCGTGCCACAATGATGATGTACTTTTCGAACAATTTGTCCTCGGTAGCTCGCATCAAAGTCTTCACACTGCCACCAGGACAATATTCACACACCATCCAAAGCTGACTGTGAACAGGCAACGCTTCGATCATTCGGTTAAGGTTCTGTGCGCCACTCTCTTGGGCCTGCCGCAAAATGCGGATTTCACGGTTAAAGTCTCGAATCTGCTCGTCTTTGGAATCTCCAAAAGCGTGGAAGTCGGCCTCATCGATATCGAGCACTTTGATGGCAACGACTTTGGCTGTGGAAAGCTGGCGTCTAAGACAATGGTGAGGAAAGGTCCGGATAGAAAACAATGTAATAAGACTCACCCCTTGTAGACTCTTCCAAAACTCCCTTTCCCGATCAGCTCATCAAAGCCATAGTCAGGTTCTGGTTGCTTGGATCTCTTGCACATCTCTACGACTGCTTCCTGTTGTTGGTGCGCAAGGCGAACCGCCTCACGACGGTGTGCGGTCATAGCCGCGGCAGAATCTGGATGAAGACTCTCCATGGTGTGAGTACCAGCCGCTCGACGTCGTTGTCGGATAGAAGCCTTGATTCTGGTATCAGCTTCAGCTCTTTCAGGTTCTTGCTCCTCTGTTGAGCGACCTTCAAGAATCTCAAGTGCCCTTCGACGGTGTCTGACAATGTGGGTGTCTAGTTCTTGCGAAAGTCGAAACGCAGTTGCCGACTTCTTATTCGGTTCTTCAGGTGACGCTTGCGTAAGACCCTGATGAACACGGCTTTTAGGTTCAGGTCTGGTGGCTTCTAAGCTTTCTACTGATTGAGTTGATGCTGGTGTTGCTGACGGTCTGGTCTTCCGGATGCAGAGTGGAGGTGGGAATAGCGCTCGGTTTTCGCTCGGGCCCGACGGATGATCAAAAACAGCAGATTGAGGGGTGGCAACCGGGTCAGGCTGAAGTAAGAAGCCTGCTGGTCGAAGAGGTGATCTGCGAGGAACAGGAGGTGGATTGCCAAAATCGAACCCGTCTCGTCGATGAGGTGATTTTGGTGGGAGAAGAGGTGGTACAGCAGCAGATTCAGTGTTGCTTGAAAGTGAATTGTGGTTTGGGAGCCTCGGTTTGTCAGGTTCAGAGTTGTTTCTGGGTGGTGATGATCGGCGTTGCTGGAGAGAGGTGCTGTGCCCTAAAGGTGAAGGGGAAGGCTGGGATAGGCAACTGTGCGGTGAGAGACCGCTGACGCTACTTGCTGTTTCACTTTTCTAAAGTGGAGAGCAGGAGTCAGGCTCGGCCGCTGAGGTTGTATGTGTACGGCCCGGGGTCTTAGGACGATACCTCTCTTCAGTTGAGATAGTCGGGCTGTTTGTGTATGAGGATGGAGGTGATGGTAGAGCTGGGTATCTCTCTCTGCGGAAACCGGCGAAGAAAGGCGAGGCTCGTTGGCGAAGTCGGTCGCGCAGCTTCCCACCTTTCGACCTTGAAGACGATGGAGGAGAGTCTGGTGTGTGAGGTTCACAGTAGTCCTTTCCAACACGATCAGGGGAGGAGGCAGAAGGTGCTGTTCTTTGTTAGCGGCGGTCGTCCAGCTCGCTCAGCGCACCATTCCATCAGACCAACGTCAGATCGACAGCTTCACATCGGTGCACCGAAGACGGGAAGGTCGAACATTCGTTCTCTGGGCCGCGGAATGACTTACCCAGGGGGTCCAGAGCCCCTTCCTCAAGAGAATTCTTCTCTCTGTGGTCTGACGCCATGGTGGTCAGCGGTTGACGTGATGGTACAAACGATGGTGGTGACGAAGACGCGAGGGGATATAAAAACAGCAAGACGCTCCGTCCTCACGGCTTGCCTGCGGTGAAGTGACATACCTAGGTACCTTGCTGCCCCAGACGGGCAGTGGGAGTCTGTTCACTTTCTCCGGGTGACAAAAAAGCACAAGTCAACTGCGTTCATGACAATGCTGCGCGCCGACCCAAGACAACTCAAATGCAATGGTATGTCCCCGCCTACCCAGTCTACTCCGCCATCGCTACCAGGATGGAGTGGCTGTGGGTGGAGGGTTGTTGCAAGGGACGATCTCGCCCAGATTGAAGCCGTCTTCAACCGGGCCTGGCTTCAGTCTGGACAGGAGCACCATCCGCATCCTTTCTTCGGTGTTTGGGGTCGGCGGCAGTTGCGGCTCTGAAATTCGATGTTTGAAGTCACTTTGTATGTGAACGTCTGTGACCAGAATTGGCAAGAACACATCGTGGCGCAAAGGGGCAGTCTCAATGCTCAGACGCTAGGCCAAAAGTATACTAGCGTTAACACACTGGCTCTGACACTCAGCCTCAGCACGGGCGGAGACGATGCTGTAAATCTGTGCAGACGGAAGTAATTACTCATGTTGGAGGGGTAACCTGAGCCTCAGTATGGCATAGCGGTAGATACTGATTTATTGACATCCACATGTACCTAACAGCTCATCCGGACACTGCCAAAAGGTCTCGTAACTTGGGTGTGCCAGGAGGAAGCCACTATATCTGTTGCTCAGAATCCCATCCGCCTTCTTGGGACAACAGGCTTTTTGACTATGCCATTGCTGCCTGTCTTTTTCACGACGACGTTGCCGCTCCTGACCCTGCCAGACAACACCCGCTCTTTCTCCTCTTCTTCCCGGCGCCTTTTCTCTTCCTTCATTCGGTCCTCCCCCATCTGCCGCTCAATCTCCATTTTCCTGTTGAACTCACTCTCAATGATTCTCTTGTCCTTAGCGCTGTACTCCTTCGACTTGAGACTGTAGAAGACACCACCGAGATCAGCCAGCCAATGCGGATCCACAGCTGTAACGGAGCTCATGTATTCCTTGCTTGTCAGAATCAATTCGTGGTAGACGACATAGTCAGGCGGGTCTCCGAGCCCGTACAGTGCAGAAGTAGGATGTAGCTGCACCGTGACACTCGTTCGTAGGTTAATGTACTCTCCAACACCTCGCCGACGCGCAGCCTGGTGATAGTATCCAGAGCAAATGCACCTTCGTATAACGTCCCAGTCCGTGCCACATGATACCAGCGCCATTTTCTGTTGGCCGACCATGATGTCGTGCAGTTGCTCTCGGATCTCCTTCGCACGGCGCAGAGCCTTTGGGTGCAGAAAGTGCCGGACGCACCAACCATCGCTATAGCCATTGCTCTTCCACTGGTTGTATACGTGCAACAACGTCAGGTGATCTGACTCGTGCACGAAGAACTTTTCCCTGGCTGCATCCGACTCTTCCTGCCTCTCTTTCGGCCTATAGAAGACAGAGGGCACAGAGAGCATACTGACAATGGTAAGCATCTCCTCACTGCAGTCGTACTCGGTTGATGACGTGATCAACATCTTTGCTAGAGAAGGATCCATGGGGAAAGCCGTCATTGCACGCCCAATTGGTGTCAAATCCCCAACGTGGTCGAGGGCTCCAAGAGCCCACAGGTCGAACAGCGACGTGGTAATCGTATCCTGCGGAGGCGGATCCATAAAATCGAAATCGAGTAGGTCCTTGACACCGAGAGATTTGAGAAGGAGGACCGTATTCGCCAGGTTGGTCCGTTGAATCTCAGGGATGGTTTGGATGTAAAACTCGTTCTTGAAAGCTTGCTCGGTATAGAGATGGAAAGCCTTGCCCGGTCCGGTGCGTCCGGCACGTCCGGCACGTTGAGACGCGTTCGCCTGAGAAATCGGAGTGATCTGAAGGGTGTCCATGCCCATTTTCGGGTTGTAAACTTTCAATTTCGAGAACCCCGAGTCGACAACGTACATGATACCATCGACTGTCAGTGACGTTTCTGCAATGTTGGTGGCGACGACAACTTTCCTAACGCCAGGAGGAGCAGGATCGAAAATCTTAGCTTGAAGGTCTGCAGGCATTTGAGAGTAAATCGGAAGCACCATAAGTTTTGGTGGATTGACAAGCAGGCGCAACCTTTCCTCAATCAATTCACAGGTGACTTCGATGTCCTCCTGACCAGTCATGAAGACGAGGATATCTCCAGCCCCTTGAGACACGTGAATAGCCAGAACTTGTTTAACAGCACTATCGACGTAATCTTCATTGGGTGAGCGAGAGTACTGGATATCGACTGGGAAGGTGCGACCAGGAATGACAAATTCAGGAGCTCCGCCATAGAAGCGTGAGAAGCGCTCCGAATTCATGGTGGCGGACGTGACAATCAGCTTCAGATCTCTCCGGCGAGCTAGGACCTTTTTGATTAGACCCATGAGCACATCTGTATTGAGAGCACGTTCGTGAGCCTCGTCCATTATGATGCATGAGTATTTGTCTAGGTCTCGCTGAGTCAGGGATTCTCTAAGCAGTACACCGTCGGTCATATCTATTGATGGTCAGTATGTCACTCTGTTCGAGCAGATGCATAACTCACACTTGATGACTGTTTGATCGCTGGTACAGTCCTCAAACCGAATAGCATATCCCACCACGCCGCCCAGGTCAACTTCCATTTCCTCGCTGACTCGCTTGGCGACACTCATTGCAGCGACTCTTCGAGGCTGTGTGCAACCAATCAAGCCATGCTTCCCATAGCCTTCTTCATAGAGGAACTGGGTCAGCTGTGTCGTCTTCCCGGAACCGGTTTGTCCGACCACAATAATGACCTGATTGTCTCGAATGACACGCATCAGTTCTTCTCTAACAGCAAATGCGGGTAGATACTCCCTCTGCTCTTTCAACGTTTTGCTCTTGCTGAATGCCGAGCTACCAGTATTCTTCTTGAGGTGAGTTGCGAATTTGCTTTTGCCCGTATCCTCGCCGGGAACAGCAGCGGCGCTGTCACCCTCGTCCTCTTTCACGCCCATGATGTTGCCTAGTGCCGTGCCTGCAACCTTGGTCGCTTCTTGCGCCTGTTTTTGTCGTTCCTTTTGCTGTCTCCTTTCGCGCACTACCTTACTTCCCTTGCGACTGAATACGGCCATATCGCTCTGTGGGTCCCGCACGGCTGGCACCGGTTCCAATTGCTTCGTGAAGATAGTCTTGCCGTCCAGAAATGGAGGCTTCAGCTCATGCACAAGAAGATGCACTCGTACCGCGTCGTCATCGTCGAAGTCTTGACCCTGATCACGCCTTTGCGCAATACCAGAGGTGAGCATGCGGTTGGCTTCCCAAGCATCCACTTCCTTCTGTTTCTGGGCTGCTTTCGCCGTCATACGCTTCCCGAGCTTCTTGTCTAACAGGGCCTGTTCCCGTTGTCTGTCTGCCCATGTAGCATCCGCACCACCGAAAGGATTGTGAGTCTCGTCCCCAAAGGTATGCCCAAACTCGTCGCCCGCATACCAGTCGCGGTCCATCGCTGCCGCGTCTTCATCCTTAACAAAAGGCTCAGAGCCTTCAAAGGCATTCTGTTGTGGTTTTGGGTGCCTGGAACCGCTGCGATCTCTGCCCGGTGGTTTCGCGAAGCGATCTTTGACAAACTGGGGCTTCAACGATGGTCCCAGATCTCCAGCCGAGTCCGTCTGCGCAGACTGGAAATCCCCCGCCAATTTGCGCCGCTTTGGGCTATGGCTGCGTTCCATGCTGGGAGGTAGCAGTGTTGGGTTTGGAGGTGAACTGTGGAGTGGATGGTGTGAACAATGGTGAACCGCAACATGGAGGTTTCTGACGTAGAAAAAAGTTACACCGGAGTTTACGCGTGTCGCAGCACAAATCTCCCCTCGACCACAAGCCCAAGTCTTACAGAATCGATCAGTCGCAGTCTACCAAAATGGCTTCCGGACACGAAGCGGCCCTTCGGAAGCAGCAAGGTGTGCCTATCAACCCCAGCCCTAGATCTCAATCGTGCTAAAAATACACCAGACTTGCAGTCACAGTACTCCAACTACAAGAACACGCTGCAGTCGCTGGCGCAGAAGGTGGGGGAAATCGAACAAGAGATAGAAGAACACAAGTCAGTTGCACGTTGGCGACAAAGAAAGGAGCGGCCAGACTGACCACTAGTGGTCGACAGGCTTGTGATGGAAACGCTCGAGCCACTTCCTCAGGATCGCAAATGCTTCCGCCTGATCAACGGGGTGCTGGTTGAGAGGACCGTGAAAGATGTCTTACCAGCTCTCAAGACCAACGCAGATGGGCTAAAGCAGGTCCTGGAAGAGTTACTCAAACAATACAAAGCCAAGCAAGATGAGATGGACAAGTGGAAGGTAAGTCACGTAGCGGCTTGATATTTGCTGAACTGAACTAGTGCTCACATGAGACACAGAGAAAGAACAACATCCAGGTTGTGCAGAACCAGTGAACGCACTCCGTGTTGTGTCTCTAGGTGGATTGGAGCCGGTGTAGAAGGGATGACATTAGAAAGGGCGCTTGCCGCTGTGATGAGCCTTTGGCCTTCATTCTCTTGCGAGCAGAAAGGCCAAAGGCATTAGCAGTAGCTTCCAACCTCAACTGGCATCCTACCGCATCGTCCTGAGGCAGCAGCAGCCGCCGGTCATTGGGTGTTCAGACTGGCCTGACATTCAACTCACGGTCAACTCATTCCGTAAGTCAAGTTGTCGCACTGTCTTTTCCTCTTCAATTCTGCATCTCATCTTTGACTGACTCTTCATTTGGCTTCAGTCCATGGTTGGCTGCCTCCTCATCACTGAACACCACCGACCATGGCTCCTTCTCGCGCTGCCTGGCAAGCGCCGGGAAGGGACACTTGCTACAATCAACGCGCCGGCGTTCATTCTCAGACAATCTTCGCAGCTCCACCGCTTCCCACACGTCCTGTCCTGTTCTGTTGCCCTGTCGCAGAGAACAACCCAGCCCACTTGCCGCGCAGTTTCGTCAACCCTGGCCGGCATGTGATGAACAAGCAGCTTCGCTCGTTTCTCGACTGCGCTGACGATGCAGAACTCACCTTGCCAAAGTGTGAAGTCTCGCATATGATCGAGGTGACCACGAGGGCCGTTCACACTCCGGCTCATATTCGTCGACCGATTGAACAGCAATGGAACCTACCAGCCACGCACAATGACAGACCTTTAAACAACTACACTCCTCCTCTCGAGGTTGACAGCAACATGTCGGTGGATGGCGACGATTCTTCCGAGACAGACCTTCCGCGGAGTACTTGGCAGAGCATGTCAACGAGATATTTCATCACTCAGCCTAGCAATGATGAGTGGCAGCTCCCTCCAAATTCCAAAGCCTACCGCGAGCACCACCCAGAACCTCGACCAGCCAGAGCTGTACATGAAAGATACATGGAAATACCCCCGTTCCACAAATGGCCATTCACTTCAGAGAGCATTCCAGGTGGCAACTCCGGACCAGCGGGGGCTCGGCCGTGGATGCCAGCATGCTCAATTGTTATGTGGTGCCCTAAGCACAACAATTTCTATGAAGTGCACGCGATGTCTTGAGCCGTTACGAAAGGCAAGGCACGGATACATACATATCTACAGGAGGACAGCATAGTGCACAACGCTTGGGTGGCTTCGGAAGTAGCTCATTAGCATGGAATTCCTGCTTCAATCGCCGAGGTGATTCAACTATGGACCACCTAACGTACCACGGCGACAGCATGCATGTATCGTAGCTAGCTCGGAGAACCTCAGTATGATGATTAAATCGTCCACGAAGTGCCTGCAAAAGCAAGAGAACTGTGGAACTTGTCTTAAAATGGCGTGCAGCTTCCTGCATCCTCCATCTGTATGCGGTTGGCTGTTTGAGGCGGATTTGTCTGATTCTGAGACTAACAGAGCTAGGCAGGAGGTCACTCTAGCAATGCTCGTGACGCGGACTCTTATATAGCTGCAAGGCTAATGGGTTTTGGCTCATTTTACTGGGTATGTCTGAGTACCATGTACGACGACTTCGAGCTACTGCGTACCCAGTACCGATCGAGCGAAGACGGATAGGCGAGAGCAACCTTTGCCTGGCGTTCCGACGTCGGACAAAAAGATCCGTTGGCCGATCGGGCAAATGCAGTACCTCATACGGACTGAGGACTACTGCATATTTCTCGTAAGAAGCCCATGAACTGCGCCGGCATGCGTAGTCGCATTCTATTTGCGCCGGTATCCTCTGCCACGTTGTGCTTGCCTGCTTGACGTATCATAGGCAATACGAGGTACGTACAACGTGTACGGAGTACGGTACACAGTATCTTGCAGTGTGCAGACAAGCATGTTTAAGAGCTCCGCGCCGTTAGAGGCTTTATCCTGCCCAGCCGTACCTCGTACCAGCTCGTCAACACTCTGGCATGTCGATCGACAGCTGCGGGCGCCGTATGGATCCGGAGCATGGGAGCAAGGAGGCAACTCATTCACCTTGCTCGATCTGGCCTAGCACGGTAGGTACTGTACGTATCCGAACGGTCAGCCACCACCAGTAGCGGTCACTTCAGGCAATTCCTCCGCCCTCGGTACGAGATACTGGGTACAGTAGGATCCTTGGTTTTTGCTACGTATGGGTTTTCTCCCCAGCATCATGATGGACGAATTCATGTGCCCGACTTCGGGCCAAGTTTGGCCAGCACTGTGAGAGGCCACCAGCCTGCCTCGGCTTAGCTAGTCTCGAACACTTCCGCTAGCAGGTCGATGCTACTTGAGCTCTGAACCCCAACCCATTCTGACAGCGGCCTCTGCTCGTGACTAAATTGCGTACGCCGTACTGAGTAGCTAAACCCGCTGGTGTGAGAAGATCCCATCACAAAAGAAATGCATGCGCGCTGCCGTCCTGCAGCTGGCCTGCGAACCGCAGTGCGATCTTTGGAACAGCGCTAGACGTGCCGAGGTGGCGACCAACCGGGCTGGCTCCTTGACCCATTGGGGCTTGAAGCTGTTCCGCGCCACGTTCGGCGCCAACAGGGATGTGAACGCACTAGGCTTACACAGTAATGGTGACAAGGCGCTTGCAGCACAGAAGCAAATCGGCTTCGGCCAACTGCGTCACTCAAGAGCCTTCTCAAACCTTTTCCACCGTGACTGGTTGGGGTTCAGTTCCCTGTTCTTCGAGAGGGGTCCGCAGGGTCTCACAGTTGTATTCTGTCTGTCTCGGAAGCATGGGAAAGCAAGATTTGAAGACAACTGAGGCTCAATTGAGTTGTTCAACAGTGGTTGCATGAAGCTGTCTGTGGCCGAAATATTCCATCAGTCGCAAGTCATTATCCTGAGTCTGCCCAGTTCACTGGCAAGACTCGCTCTGGTCGGTCGCACTACTGTGTATACCAAGTCCGCAGCTCCACCTCCGTGGCCCGTCCCAGAGCGCATCCACACAACCTTGGAAGCTTCTGCAAGAGCTGCCGGGCTACTAACGCCACTCGCAGAACTGTTACGAGGTGTCCCAAGTCAAGAGATCTGCATTTGACCAACGGCAGTCTTTACCTCGAGCACACAGTTCTGGACGTGTCGATTCTATCTGCAGCTTCGGCACCGATTTCTAACTCAACACCTTCTCGAGATCTAGCATGGCCTACTGAGCCGTTCTCGATCCGTGTGCAGGAGGGTCTGCTCGCCTTCTTGCGCCAGTCACTACAGTTGGTCCGTCTCGACGCCACGCGGCAACTGGCATCACCTTGGTCCGCTCAAACCTCAATCGGCTGCTTGGCCTCTCTAGGCGCGCTCAATATCTTCCTGGCCTGCTATCCTAGCCGACCTCAACTTCTTCCACACATCTTGCTGTCTTCACGTTCTTTCGAGAAGTCGGGTACTTGAGGGGTGGCATTGCGATCTTGTCCGTCGAGAATCCAATCTGTGCATCGCTGGGCCTGCAACCTCTCCCTTCACTTGTCACTCGTTTCCATCTCTCGTACGGAGTACAGCTTTCACTGACTCGCATCCTCATCCGGAGAAGAGCATCATTCGTTTGTTCAAATCACTTTGCGGGAAATCCAGGTGGTCATTTCTCGCAATCCGAAACAAGCTGCGGGACCAAGGCGGCCCAATAGCAAAGCCAAGTGGAAGCAAAGTGAAGTTGAAGGGTACGGTCTTTGGCAACTTCTTTTCCAACTGTTATATAAGGAACGGCAATCTCTTGCTTTCTACCGAGTAAGTGCCGCTACCAACATTCGACTTCATCTTCAATCAAGTCAAAACGAACGAACTGACGCTTCAAAGACACCAAAATGTATATCATCACTATTGTCGCCGTCTGGATCACAGCACTTCTCGGCACGGCATCCGCAAATCCCATCATCAGAAAGTCCATCAACCCCGACTACCTCAAGGCCCGATCACCTCTCAGCCTTGATGTCTTTGTGGCGACCGCTGATGCCTGGCCCACCAACGTCGTCTTCGTCGGAGGAAGTCAATCTTATGGTTTATGGATCCCGACAGACGGCTCTTGGTACGACCTGGGCAGCATCGAATGTCTCGGCCTGCCTGCGAATGCCATCGGCGACTGCAACGACGTGACTATCAATCAGATCGGAGTGGTGGCGGGATACGGACCCTGCACGTTTGTCGGCAACGCTGGTTACTCTGCGACCATTCCGGGGAATCCCGGTGACGGCTACTACACGGTTGGACCACCTCAGAATATCCTGTCTGCAACTTGCGGTCCCGCATGATCCGCTGGCATTAACAACTTCTCAAAATTTATCCCCCAACAAGGTGATGCGCACACGACGTACGAAGAGCGACGATGTTCAAGTAAACGACTTTCTTCCCAGCAAGCGACGGCTCCGCTTCCGCACGATCCCACTGCCAACAGCAGATCTCCGCATCGACGCCTTCCGGGCCATTGAAACTCCAAAGTGTACCGCTGCGACTCCACTCGCTTCGTGTTGGCAAGGTAATTGAGACGGACACTCAACGGGCTTCCGGAGCATGATGGGGACTGTTTGGAAGCAGAATAGATTGCCGGATCTCACCACAGGCTCACAGCTTATCACACGTTCGATCAGACAGTTTTGATACCCAATTCAATTCAGTGAAGTTCACCGTCTTCGACCCGCCCTTCCGGTTATGGTTGTCGACTTGCAATTTGACTCGTTCTTTCAGCCTCATAACCCATGATACGCCAAGAACATGTTCCTGTCCTTGAGGACTGCACGGTCAACACTCCTAGAATTAGCTTCTGAGTGTAGACCCTGCATAACGTCCCCCTCCAGGCCTGCCAGATGTGCCATTCGCTCAGCCGCCCTGACCTGTCGAGCTGGATCGCTCCGTGGTTCACTGGCTGGGAGCCAACTTCTTGAAGTCGCATACGGAGTAGTTTCCTCGAGGTTCTTTCCGTGAAGGTAGGTCCAGCAGCGAAGTCCTATGCCGGACGACGAGGGATTCCGCGAAAAACGATTTTTCTGCAACAGCGTGGAAGAACACGACGCGCAATCAATTGCGTGGTCTAGGAATCGGAGGGGTCGATTGGGAGTGTGGCATAGAATCCGTAGCTGTCCGTCAGCAACTGACCTGAAGTCGACTTGAGGGGTGCTCATTCTCCGTTGTACATGGTCCAGATTCGTGGCTGATGGTCAGGTACACTTCGTCCGTACTCCGTACACAACATCAGAGAACCCAGCTCGTGAAATGACCCCGTCTAATCATCTAGTAAGCTGCTACACAGTAACTCAAACACGCGCTATCGAAAAGGCCACTGTCTCCGAGCCACACCTTCCAGCAGGTTTCCAGACACAGACGAGGAAGCTTGGACCAGCCAAGCAGCAGTGCCGCCGCTTACTACGTATTGAACTCAATGCTCACTTGTAGCTCCCTCCGTCTTGATGGATTTCTCATATGATTACACTACATTTGATTCCCTTTCAACCGAATATACTTGCCAGGTGGAATTCCCAACGTTCAAGGCGGCAAAGCGCCCAGCCAGATGGTGAATTTCAAAGGGGACAGCCTTCCGGTTGACTTGCCCTCGTGGAGCCGACAGTTGGACCGAAACAACTATACGAGGTACCCGGTAAGTGGAAATATGACTTACGGTACCTATCCTTCTCTGATGTAGCTCGTACACAAGAGCGCCGCTTATAAGTACCTACATGGCTAGCGTACCGTACGAGGTACGGAGTACCACTATCGGGGATCTTTGCTTGGGAGTTGCAATCCTCATCCCTCACCGGCACACCGAATCTGTATACCAGCCGAGGTGCTCAAAACGGTGAGAACAACATTGCTCGTTGGATAAATCCATAAGCCCGTCTTCGCGCTGAGCTCGTCGAATGTACTCCAACGCTGATTGCCCGATCGCTGCAATCTCCTGCGCCCGATAGTCCGGAGAATACAGTACTTCTAGGAGAGACTCAATACTGTATCACGTCCTACCAAGGTAGACTGACAGCAGCGCCGTTCTAGGTCTCTTGCTGTACGAGAATACCTTGACCAGTTCGACGAAGCTGAGCGACCCGGCGCGGCCACTTGCACCACTGCGATAAGCGGCGCAGCTTCGCGTCCTGACGACATATCCGCTCTCGGTTCAGGTACTTACGCAAGCCGTGTACGGGGTACGAAGCAGGACACGCAAAGACACGGCGCCATCTCAATGCGGCAGACTGGCGGACGTCCCGGATCGTGGACGATATACTGCCAGACCGGAGGAAAGGTGCACATATATAACCAAGACGCAGAAGCGCTGCAGGCGTTGAAGGCATACTGGCCCTATAGATCTTGCGGGGTGCTAGGTTAGATCGCGGAAGGGGGGCGGCATAGGGAGGATAGGTAGGGAAGAGGGAGAGGGAGAGGGAGAGGGAGAGGGAGAGGGAGAGGAGGACTCGTGAGGAAGAGGGACAGAGAATATGTATAGTAGTAGATGTTCCGATAGGGGGCGCTCGTGTCGGCTTTATAACCGCCGCGGATACACCGTATGTACATAGGTACATATCAGCCGCCCAGCCAGCCACCACCAGGTAACCGGTCTGAGGTCTGAGACGCAGCAAGCTGCAGCCTCGTACCAGCCAGTTCCGAGACTATCTACATACACAGTATGGGCAGGATGCTCTAGATGCGTGTATAGATATGTATAGGCGTGCCTTCTATCAAATACGGCCTCGCGGGTTCCTTTGGACCACCTGCATCAGTTGGAAATGGGAGGCCGTGGTTCTGGCTACAATATCGATAAGCGTTTAGCTCGTCTCGCGATAATCGACATTGGACGTGCGACTTATGCATCGGGCCTTCTTGAATCAACGATGAGTAAGGAAGGAAGCATTTAGGCCAGGGGTAGGACCGTAAGGAATTGCCCGTCGCGTTCATAAAGTGTATGATCCGTCGATTCGACAGTACTGTATGTACATACATACAAACGAATGCACACAAGTCAAGTGTAAGTGTACCTTGATCGAACTCGCTCAGAAACAGCACTGGATGAACAAAAGACACAAAAGCAACACCCCGTCCATCTACGCCACGCTGTTCTACCGTACCATGCCCTACCCTACCCTACCCTTGCCATGCCATCTCGAGACTAGGGCCCCCGTCCCTTTTCCTTTTTGACCTTGCTCTCCTCCTCGCGCACGACCTCCCCCACCACAATTCGACAGAGTCTCTCGCACAATTCCTCGGCCGTCCATCCCCACATCACTTTCGGGACAGTGGTAGGCCCCTCTCTCACCTTACGCCCACGAAACCACCCCATCGAGAACTCACACTCCTGCATGTACCGCTCCAATACCTCGACCTCGCCGTCGCCGACTGTCCAGACGAACTCGCCCTTAACGAGTCCGTTCCTGGTCTCATCCACGATCATCTGCTTGCCGCGGAGGGCCCAGACCTCGTCGCGGATCTGATCTCGAGGCGGGGGATGGAACTTCGGGCGCAGTGATTTGCGGTAGATGATGTGCAGGGTGCGGAAGTGGGCGTTTGTGAAGTCGCCTGCCGTAGCAAGAGGTGTGCTAGTGCTGCGGAGGGGGTCGGATGGGTAGGAGGGAGGGAGGAGGTAGGATGGAAGTGGAAGAGGAAGATACGTGGCGTCGATGTTGGAGACCCGGTGAGTTGGTTTGGCGGAAGCAGGGATGGAGGATTTGGTTTTCTGCCGTTCAGGCTCTGGTTCTTGGTGGTGTTGTTGGGTCGCTGGATCTTTTAGAGTGGTGGCGGTCGTCGACGTTGGCGTTGATTTTGACTTTGGTTTTGGCGCGTGGTCGGTCTTGCGTTGCCCTTCTGGCTGGGAAACATTGTCAGGTTTCTGCTTCGAGCCCCAAATCCAGCTGCCCCAAACTTTACCGAGCTCCGTTGCTGGTGTTTCCTTCTGTGGAGGACTCTCCCGGCTCGCTGCAACTTGGGGTCTCTCGTCTCCTATTTCAATATCCCGTCGAAGAGGATGAGACTGTGCAGGTGCAATTTCTGCCGCTTGGAGTTCTTGCCTCAACTGCCTGCCAACCTCGTCCCCGAATGAAGTATCATCGCTCGAAGACCGCATGCTGAAGCTGCTCTCTTGACCATCGACATCCACACCTCTGGATCTGCCACTAAAAATTACTCTTCTTATCATGGTCGGCGTGTCAGGTCGCGGGAAAGCCATGCTCTCTCGAGAGCCTTTCATGGCAGATCGTGGTGTCGGTGGGCGGGGAGGTGACTCCGCCTCATGCGCGTCCAAGAACGGCCGCTGCGTCGCTGAAGTCTGGCGCGGTGGTTGTGGCGTCGATAGGGATATGGAAGAGTCGTTGAAATTGACAGGGATTTTGACGGGCTGTGGAGGCGAAGAGGTTACTTCTGAAAGATTCAAGGTCTCTTTCGTTGAGTCGTCGTTCTCGTACTGCTCCTCGTGCGAAATTGAAACTGAGGACTCTTCCTGGTCACGGTCACCAGGATAGTCTCGAGGCTGCGCGCCATGATCGTCCTCATCAACATCTTGGTCCCTTGATACGTCGACACTTTCTTCCTCGACGGCGTCCTTCTTGGGCGTTCCGGTCATAAGATCAATGTCGAATTTTCCGCTATTGCTCCGCTGTCTCAATTGCTGTCGCTGGATTTGACCAGCCCCAAATCTCACTCCGTTCTCAGGCCCTTTATAAGCCATAAGGCCGCTTGCTTCGTCCATGTTCGTTGATAAGAATGTGCCTTGCTCGTTGGGCACTTCGACATCTTCGCCTCTCTTCCACGGACTGGGGATCAAGCTCCTCCTCGGTCGATTGACGGCTTCCCTGGCCCGTTCCTGCTGTTGGCGCTGTTCGGTGCGAGTGAACAAGTCGTTGGTCCCTCCACGTGGTGGGCTTGAAGAGCTCTTGGCCTCTGCTAGCCAGATATCCGTCTCGTCCCCAGCTTCATCATCCAGTTGAGTATGACTGGCTGCTTTCTCCAGCGTTTTTGGCGAAGGCTCTTCATCTTCGCTGTCGCTGTTGATCACTATGACCTGACTTTCAGAAGCCTCTTGAATCTGTCTGGAAACGGCTTCCCTCTCAAGTTGCCAGTCACGCTTTCGCCTAGCTTGAGTGTCAAGAATGTCCGGCTCTGATGGCTCAGAAGCTCTATTCTGTGGCGTCCGCGGCGCTTTCTCCATGACTTGGGTGTTATTGAGGCCCGGACTGGTGTTGGTTTTGGAGCCAGGAGCCAGTGGCTCCTGGTGAGTCCATGTGCTTTTGTCATTGATACGTGACTGGACCTTGCCCTGGGTCGATGATCTGTCCAATTCTGTACCCGCCTTCTCTCGAGTTACAGTGGCGACAGATTGGGCTGGCAAATCTCCCACCTGTCTCTTTGCAAGCTCTTCGCCAAATCGAAGACCGGCTCTGAGCTCGCGTTGAGTGCCGGAGTCGAAGCCGTTGAACAAAGCGTCCTGGCCGTGCGAGTTCGGCGGCTGCGAAGTTAGGGCGTTCTCTTGTGGCAGCTCTTTTTCGGTACTGGCGCCGGGTGACATGATTTCCTGCAATGCAATACCCGCAAAGAGAGCGCCAGCTGATGCGCGATGTTGATGTTGTGGCGTGCGTCGAGGTTGGTGTTTTGGTGGTGAAGAGTGCTTGGGTGGGGAATATGGTTGTGGTGTTACCTTTCGCATGAGACCAGGTCTTGATGAAGATGAGACCTTAAGAAGGCCCGCGTTCTGCTCCGACGTGGGTGGCGACGATGGCACAGTGCTCGATATGTCACTTTCATCCACTCTCAAGGTCGGATAGGCCACCGTCTGCTCAGGAATCGGTGACAAGGAACCCGTGATGTCGTTCTTGGTCGGCACCGCCGAAGGTCCCTCAGTTATCAAGCTGGGCATTTGTGCCGGACCCGATTTTGCGGCCGCTGCCTCCTCCGACGGACTGCTAAGGTATCGCCTGACCGAAGGCAAAGTCTCCAAATCGATCATTGTGAAACCTTCGCTCTCGAGCATGGTGTCAAAACCTTCACTTCCATGGTTGGCAGCAGGCTCGTCCTCGACAGAATCCAGAACCTCATCAGAGTCCCCATGATAGGAGGAAGTAGGTGAGGGAGTCGGATAGCTCATCGCGCTGTTAACGGATACTTTCCGTGCCTGTAGTTGAGCCTGATGGGTGGAAATTCTGATCTTCTCGTAGGGAATTGAATCCTGCCCGGTACAGCCTTCAGTCTTGTTGGAACTCGTTGACACGCCTCGTGGTCGGACAGCCATCTGATGCAGATGAAGCTTCGCAGGTATTGGTGCCTCGCTTCCCCGTGCAGGACCTGGCTCACCAGTTGCGTCTCCGCCCTCGATACCGGTATCAGGTCTATCGTCAGGTTCTTCGATGTTTGACTTTGACTTCGATGAGGATGGCTGCGGGCCGTCATCTGCCGCGGTTGTGCTTTTCCGAGGGCTTCGTCTTTTCCGTGGCGACTTCTTCTGCTTCAGCCAGTCGTCCCTTTCAGAATCATCTCCCAAAGGTATTATATCCAAGTCTGTCACACTCTGTCTTCGGCTCCGACTAGAACTTCGCCCTGTGCGCTCAGGAGTTGCGCCCCTCTTGGTACTTGCATGCGATTTCCTGGCTCGAGCAGAGCTCTTCGCATCTTTCGTTGGAGATCGGTCGCTTTGCAACGATATCTTCGTCGTCCGCGTTCTCGCTCGGGTCATTGGACTGTTTCCCTCCATATCGGCGTTCTCTGGCTCTGCTTCCACTGTCACTCGAATCTTCCAGGGGCTTAGGTGCTGTTCTGAGACGGTGCAAAACGGTGACGATGGGAATGCTTCGTTACCGTGAGAGCTCGACCTCGTGTGTTTGGCTATATTCTTTGTCGTTGCAGTTGATGGTCGTTGAGGCGCAGGCTTCCGACTTCCACAGGCGCTATTGCCAATGTTGTGCTCATCATTGGGAGAAGTTGCGAGTGGATCAGGTGAGCTCAGGTCGTCGCGGTATTGAGAGGTAACCGAAGGTGATCGCAGCATCGTTGCGTTACGGGCAAGGGCACCCGACTGTGGAATCGGCTGGTATGTGCGGTCCACGGCGTGATAATTCGCGCCTTGACCACAATAACATGAGCCTGTTCAAGCCATGGACGACATAAAATAGGGACGCGGGAGTCTTATGCAAGGGTAAGTCTAATAGAGGCTAGCTCGCTGGAATACTCTTTGATCGTTCATCAACTGCCTGCGATGCTTTTTCGACTGTGTCCACGAGATTTGGGGGAAGACTTGTTTGTTTATTAAATGACGTCAATTTCAGAGCGTCTGATTGGCTGCATGACAGACCAGTTCAGCCTTGCAGCCTCGTCCGCCAGTCGCGTCCCAGCCTTTTCTCTTCTCAGAATGTCGAGAAGTCATATGTCGCGAAGTTTACGGCTGGCCCTGTTGTAGGCCCGAATATCTCATCATCGCTAATTCCCCATTCCGGATGGTTGATGCCATCGATCCACGCCTGTGTCTCTATCACAATACATCCGTACTTGTTGACAAATCTGGCCGCCCCTTGTGTGCCGCTGTTCCTTGTCTGCTGACTCGCCTTGACTGGTATGGTGCCGTTCTGGCCATTGCATGAATAAATCTGAAGCCCTCGCTGGTTGGTCGACACGTCCAACTGGATGCCCGTCGTTGCCGACCACAAACGGAGCACGGGGAAGTCTGAGGCCGCAACACCTGCACTTGCTGGTCGGTCGAGGATGAAGGCGTTGTCAATGCCTGTGCAGCCTGCTCCGCACACACCAGCAGCATCGGCAACAGCGTCTCCTATGAGCTTCGGAGTCAGGAAGTTCAAGGCTGAGACATTCGTAACGGAGCCCAGGGCGCCAGTAGGTATCAGGATCGGGTCGACAACAATGTATCGATCCGAGTAGGGCATCCACAAGGTAGTATCATTCAAGATAGTGGCTTGCTTAAACGCGTTAAGATTCCAGTAAATGTGGTTCGCCAGCATAATGGGTGTGTCTTGATCGAGAGCCGTGGACACCATGCTGCTGGTCAATCTTGGCCTCATTTCACCTTGAGGGCCACTTGCTGCACTGCCCAGCGTGTAGGTAGCAGTGGTTAGCACCGTGCCCGGGAAACCCTGGAAGCCAGTGTCGAGCAGGCTGAAGGTGATGCTGGATGGCGACGAAGCCACAACCGTCCAGTTTCGCTGGTCATAACCAACAGTTCCTCCGTGTAGAGTGTCCGCACCAGCGTTTTCATTCGCAGGGATGTGGTAACTCTGTCCATTTAACGTGAAGGTGCTGTTCTTGATGCGATTTGCATATCTTCCCACAATCGGGCCAAAATAGGTATGATTTGCTGCCTCGTCATTAGCCCGGAGGAAAGGTCAGTATTAGCATTCCCTCAAGACACTCACTCTCGGTATCAGTCAGATACTGGGTAGCATTGTCGTAGCCGACGACCACATCCTGGTAAGTGCCGTTGCGGTCTTGTACCAGAAGAGATGTCAGGCGTGCCCCATATGGGATGAGCTTAGCAGTAATGTTCTCGGCAGTCAACGTATACACAGAGAAAGGATAAGCGCCAGTTGGGACAGAGGTGTTTGAGCTATTCTGACAGAAGCTCGGCAAGATGAGGAGAGATGCTAGGACATAGAGTGGCGACCACATATTGAGTAGCCTTCTCCGGGGCGTATCCTATCGCGAGCTTCGGGATGTTGGAGGACATCAGATCGCTGAACGGACACAAGGGGGAGGTTTATATCTCGCCGGAATCGAGCATTGCAAGGTCCGCTCCAGGACCAGGCTACATGGACAGAGGTTACATCGACCTGCCACCGCTGTCCACAAAGAACCGTGGTGCAGCGCGGCGAGAGGATGCTAGAGTGGAGCTTCAAGGCCTAAAGCCCGTGGCAGCCTCGACAGTTGCAGCATGGCAGAAGCTTGAACAATGCGGGGAGCTGCACAAACAGTGCATGCGAGGTGGAAAGCCGATTGCGACGCTGTCAATCTCTCCGAGTCCGGGGAAGATTGATGGCTCCATTCATAACCACTGACGTAGATCATATTCTCATTGGCGGCTGCCCAGCTGTTGGGTCTGTGCTTCGGTTCATCGCCGGCCGGGGTGTCCCACACCACTCGTATTACTTGTCGGCCACCGGCATCTTTCCTGCTTGACTGTTATGAGCCTTTTCGTAACGGAGCGTGCTCTCCTCACATAGCTTGCCTAGGCTACAACATGCTTCGGTTTGAGGATCTACTTGCATTGCAACGTCGTCGCTGGTGGTTCTCATCATGTGGTGTGGTCAGAACACGCCGGTGGCCTTCCGCGGGTCCACGTCCACCAAATGAACATCGAGATAAACTGGCCAGTCCGGTGCCAGATTGCTTCTTGACCCTGACAACGGTTTGAGAGCTTCCTCAACTGCCCTCCGGTCCAGCTGCCCCTTGGGCTGGTTCTCAGACTGGGTGATCTTGAACAGATCTTCTTCGAGCTCTTCGGCCATCAACCGACTCGGTTGGGGCAAGAATGTACCTTGCCTTCCTTGATGCGTGTGCAATGTCGCATATGGTAGTGCCGGACGTGTTGCGGCCTTCTCTGCAAGCTCGCTCAAGGCATTCAGGCCACTCATACCACCGATCGTGCGAGTTGATCGGGTTACATGCACATTCTGACTTGCCGACCTGTCCATCTCAGGTGCCTCTAGTTCCTCGTCCTCCTCAGACGCTGAACCGTCAGAGCCTCGTGACCGGTCGTCATCCACCTTGTGACGATTGCGCGTATTGCTTGTTTCACCTTCCTTGCGGGACGTTGAGAAGAAGTGTCGAGCGGCTATCTGCGCCTGATGTGACTGGAAGTTCAACTCTTTCTCTGTGAAAAGCGTGTGGACAGAGTAGAGAGGGGCGGTTTGGTTCGACAATGCAGCTCGGCCACGCTCTCCTGGAGTGGAGATGCCATTCCGGGACGGAGAGCCGACATCGTCATCTGCGAGCTTTCGCTTCCGTTTGTTTATGACTTCCCCAACGCCATTCATGTCTTCCTGCTCGCGATGCCGTGTGAAGCGTGTCTTGCGACTGGTGTGGTTGCCGCCAGGACTCGCGGGGTTGGTGATGCTGAACTGACTAGGGTGGAGGAGGAGCGCGTTGGTATCAGCAATGTCGAGTTGTTCTTTCTCTTTCATTAAGCGCTGTCTCTTGCTCGACAGTGCTTGGAACAGCCGCTCTCGGAGGGTGGAGGTCATTTGCTCGCATTCTTCGGCGGCTAGGTGGAGACGATAGTCACATTCGTACTTTAGTCGCTCAAGGCGCTTGTTGTGATTGTTCTGCTTAGACCGTTAGAGAAAGATCCAGGCCACGCTGAGTCAAGAATATCATACCATGAGTTGTATGAGTGCAACTTCCTTGGCGATCTTCGCGTCACTAATCTCATGAACAAACTCGGCGTACCACTTTCCAGCTAAAGATGACATTTGTGACTGGTATGGCGTGCTGGATGCCGTCAGCTCCGTTATTTTATTTATCTCTTCCGGTGAGTCTTCCAGTGGTTCGGGCTCGTAAGGGTCAGTTTGTGAGATGAGGCTCATGTCATGTTGTAGGGCGATGAGTTGCTCCCGGTAGTGTTGCTCACGGTTCGAGGACAATTCATTGTACAGTTCTTGCTGATGCGCAACATGCTGGTTCCGGCGTTTATCCCGCTTGGACAAGGGTTGTGCTGGAGGGGTGGGTGACTGTCGCTGGGGATATGCGCTGGCATCAGGGCCAGCTAAGGGGGATGTCGGGGATGGCGAGTACGCCATATGGAGTGGGAAGAGCGTAGTTGTAGTGTCGCTTCGTATGAAAATGCAGGCAAGGAAGAAGAAGAGCGTATGTGTACTAAAAAATCACACCTCTAGTAGGACCAAAGTCGACCGAAAAGGTGCTACCTCGCAGTGCTCGCTACCTTTGTTGGCCGCAGCGTCACTGTCACTGGCCATTGACTTCCCAAAATGGCAATGAAGCCGAGTGCAAACTCACAAAACATGCCATGCCAATTTTGGACGATTGTACTGGATTGTGGAGGAGACAGCAGCACCGAGATCGTGTCAACCGACCATAACAGTATTCAAAGCGCTGACATGCTGCATCTTGTCGCCATAGCTCGCCGCACACCGAACCGAGCTCAGCTCTTTCTCCACCGTGACCAAATCTTGACATTGTGGTTGCTCGCGAACCAAGGATTTCACTCCCATCAAGTCTCGGCAATACAAACCTTTTCATTCAATTCAACATGATGCTTTGGTAAAATGGCCTTGCACTCGATCGGCCATGGACGACTCTGAGTATAGCTACTTTGATGCCCCAGGTGGCCCCGGCAAAACCCATTCTTAGGTAGCTTGCCGCCCCGTCCCACGATGCACAGTAACGGACGATGCGCCAATCAGCAGACATTGTCCCGCCCAAGTTCGTCGCATCCCCGCGGTTGTGCCTGGCTAAGGAGTCGGCAGCTCCGTCGTGAACCCCTCCGCAACTCGACCCGTTACTGCCCGTTGTAGACAACACTTATCATTCTCTCCCCATCCTTCTTGCTCAGTCGTTCCCACCGGGACGAAGATTTCAAAGTCTTACCGCTCACTTAAAGCTCAAAGGACAGTGCACAGCCTGTCTACCAACACGCACCTGAAGGTGATACCTCGAAGTCCGAGTGATCATTAGTCGAGCCTTGAGTGTCTTGCCAGATAAGAAACGAAGTAGATTGGTTTGCTTCGAGATTGCAGAGCCTTGAGCCACCTGTTCCGAGAACCTTTGACACGCGAGAACAACCATGAGCCCAACGGTCATCCACTCCGTTGACTTGTTCGACGGCCATACCACACATTCGGACGCGACTGTCATCTTTGATCCGGAAAGCGGCAAGATCACGTCCGTCTCGACCGGCTCTAGCCATGCTCAACACCCATCCGGTGCCACCGTTATCGATGGCAAAGGTCATACTTTGCTTCCAGGCTTGATAGAGTCACACATGCATTGTCACGGGCTGCACTTACCGCCAGGAGGAAGCATGAAAGATATCTTAAGATCCCCTTTGAAGAGCGGCGTCACCACTGTCTGCGACATGCATTCCGACCCGGATTCTGTCAACACTCACAGAAATGCGATCGCTGATGAACTCGAGAAGGCCAAGTCCGGAGGCACTGTCACGCTATCTGACCTCAAGAGCTCGATGCTGAGTGCCACGATCGAAGGCGGGTGGCCTAAGCCGATCGTTCTTAGTGGCCACCCAACGGAAGAGGTGAGTACAATGCAGCCAGTGCCTACTTGCTCTCGTGCATTTCCTTGACTGACGGCTTGCAGGTCATGGAAATGGTCAAGAAGTGGCCCGATCTGAAGCCGCAGGACGCAGCAGAATTTGTCAAAACCCAAAAAGCCAATGGAGCGGACTACATCAAGTTGATGCAGGAGAACTGCTGTTCGCTTGCTATTCCTACAAATTCGGTTCCCGTAGCCACCCTCGAGCTTCAGACCGCTGTTGTGAAGGCTGCTCACGATAATGGTCTTCCTTGCGTTGGACATGCTTTGAGCGTGGACATGACTGAGGTTATCCTCAATTCTGGAGCTGACGGTCTTACCCACACCTTCGTTGACCAACCCCCACCCCAAAGCATCATCGACCTCTACAAGAAGACTGGCGCATTTGTGATTCCCACCTTGACTGTTTTAGCTAGTCTGACGGCTGAGCTGCAGGACTGGAGAGACAGGTTTGCAGAAGTTGCGCACAAGAAGGGGATCGTCGACGACTTCGCAAAGCAAAACATGAAAGAGCTTCTCGGCATGAAGGATCCGGCTGCTCAGTTGGACTACGCCTTTCAGACGATCAAAAAGCTGAAGGAAGAAGGAGTCGATGTTCTTGCTGGGACTGATGCCGTGGCTGGCTTAAAGGGAACAGGTATTGGGCCGAGCCTGTGGATGGAGCTGGAGTTGTACGTTGACAAATGTGGCTTTACTGCCACAGACGCCCTTCGGGCGGCCACGGCGGTGCCGGCCAAGAGATTCGGATTCAGCGATCGCGGAGAAGTAGCAGAAGGCAAACGGGCTGATCTTGTACTCGTGAAGGGCGATGTCACCAAGAGACTACAGAGTCTGTGGGAAGGCGAAGGCATCGTTGGAGTCTGGAAGGAGGGTTTCAAGGCTGCTTGATCGCTCCTGCCGAAAGAGGATAAGAGCCGGAAGCTCTTCCCTTTGCCTTTATTTGTCTCTCACGAACCTCACTCTTATCTCAATTCTTGTTCACCTCCGGCTTATTTTCCACATGGGCGTCTCATGAACTGGCTTGCACTCTCCATCAGATCCAGTGGCTGAGTCGTTTGAAAACCCATGACTCCAAACACCCACCTGCACCATAACATGCGGTCGCCAGAATGACTGCAGATTTCTATGTCGCCAACTCTGCTTTACGACGAGCAATAACGCAAATGGTCCCCCACCCATTTCCTTACTTTACTTCAGCAGCGCTTCACCTGCTGCGCTGTATCATGACTTGTGCTACTCAGTGGGATCCGGCTGACCGAGTGCAATGATGAGACGGGTCCGCGGACTTTCCCTGGAACTCGTTGTCAATGTCATCACCCTTGACAGGTTGCTCCGGCCCGTTTCAAGCAAGCAGACAACGCAGCGTTTCCTCGGGGATATACTAAGAACAAAACTCTCGAACTAGTATCGGCCTCGCTCATCATACTCCATGCCGTTGAAAGGCACTGGGGGGAGCATCCTTGGTGAACGTGAAGGAAGCGGCATCGGCGCATCAGGCTTCTAGCACTCGGCGGATGTTATCTAGTCTTGTTGCTCAACAGAGCGCTGCCTTGTTTTACGCTGCAATCGCTGTCCTTGCGTGGTACTCGCCGTGGATATGGTATGTTCTTGTTTAGCACCAGGCAGTGATCTTCACCTTGGAGACCATAACTGCGAATATATGTCACACCGCATCCTTATTTCCTTTGTTTGACTGTCCCCTTCCCAGACCTGAATTTTCCGGAACACTGACTACTTTATTCGACGAAACACTACTATCGAGTGACGTCGAAATGCCGAAACCATTTGACAGACGATTGCTCAAGGCAATCCGTCGAAAGGTTACCGCCCCCTTAAAGCGTCACCTGGTCAACAAGCGTGAAAAGGTTTTGCAGCCAGCCCAGGATGACAAGCCTTCGGTGACGCTCGCAACTCATGTGCCAGTGCCACAAACTAGCCCAGACTTTTACGAGAAACAGGCAGCGGAGGTGGAGGAATGCGGCCCAACCATACGCGATCCAAAACGAGCTTCAGGAATACACGATTTTGTCGTCGATGGTGGAGACCAAGATCATGTGCCGTCTACTGACGCCGGCGTGGCAGCCGATCGTCAATCTCTGCATAACAAAAAGGACAAACCCCAGCAGGCATCAGTTGCCCAGGACTCTCAACACCAGCACCGTTCGACCGCAACACCTTCAGACATCCACCGAGAGCGGCCCTCATCTGCAAATACCACATTGGACGTCAGCCAAACACCGCGAGCTACATCGGACAGGACGTCAATGGCGGTCGCGGACAACCCGGTTGAGCGACATGAAGTATCTGGCTACGCCCCGAGCGGTCCGCTACCACCGCTTCGAAATGAACAGCTCCTGACCATGCAATCCCGACTGCTCAGGAAGGTAGAACAGCGGAACAGTGTCGGAAAGGCACTCGACCGCACAGGTTTTGACCGGCCTTGCAGCAAGGGCAACGTGATGAGCCGGGATCACAAGCTCATGACCGAACGGACGCAGATCCAGCAGAATGTGCAAGCGTCCAGCCATGCCCGTGTTCTTCGGCGAGAGCAAGACACACAATTCACGTGCGCTGCGGCAGTTGGGGGAGGCCACAACAGGAAGTGTGACATTGTTGCCCGAGTACCAGCACAAGTTTGTGACGACTCACACCATCGGGGAGGCACTGGTATCCAACCTTCGTACATGCAGAAAGCGGCAGTGCACAAACCACAACGACATATTGGCCGCCTCACAAAAGATATGAGTGAACCCAATACCATCGCTATCCAGATGCAAAATACCGTGATGGGGGTGGCAGTTGAACAGCCGGGGAGCTATGGCAGAAGACGAGTCAGAGCACAATTGGGACGCCCAGCAAAGGATCTTGCTAAATCTCAATCACCTTGTGTGCTCGCGCCAGATTCAATGATGTCGGTTACGGAGGGTTCACAGGGACCACAATTACAGACCGTCGCCCCCGGGAAACCTAGCTCGACTACATATAATTTATCCCGGACGGGAAGCATCGGCCTGCCCCAGGAGACCCGGATGACTATTGTTCCTGTCGACTCATTTCAGCAGCATCGACTCTCTAGAGCCGGAACACTCACCGACCATAGTGTCGACCCGCTGAAGACTCCCTCAGCGCCAAGAAGGCAGCTGCGACTAGGACTAGCTACAACTAGGGCAAGTCCTACCATCGGCAAAACCCAGAAGCTGATATGTAGCGCGCTGATCAAGGAGGCTTACGGATATCATGCACGTGTATGTCAAGTCCGGGGAGTTGCCGAATCATATGCGCGTGCCTTTGGCCTGGAGGTCGCATCCAGCCTTTACGAGTATGTTGTGATGCAGTGCACCTTCGACGCGGCTCACGCCACTCTAATGGTCAGCCTCTGTGCGGTAAGTCAGGGACATTGTTCCATACTAGCGAGGAGAACTGGGAGCACTGACATGATACAGATCGTCTCGGTCACGGATCCGGTGAGTGAACAAGCTTGCGAAGATGGGGATCCCAACAAGCACCTCATTCCAATTGAGCCCAACGAGCCACTTCCGAATGGGATACAAATGCAGGCTGGGTTCGGAGATGGAGGGCGCCATTTTGGCGGGCACAGCTGGATCGATATCAGCAAGGTATACCAGGTCCCAGTTGAATTCATCAAAGCCAGTCGTGACGTATCGCTCAAGCTGTGCAAAAGCTCGTGGCAGAAAATGAGGGAGAAACTGTCCATGGGAACGTAGACGCAGGAGAGATTCAAGATCGAGCGGGAATTGAGGCGCTTTCAAATCACAAAGGGCGAGGAGCATGCACGGGATTATGAAATCCGTGCGGCAGACAATATACCTCACCTCCAACCTCAGTCTCGGGCCTTTCACGAACGGCGGCCGCATCTACGGCGATGTCGCGTGGACGAACTCCTTCATCTCCAACCACGGCGGTAAGGGCATTCATGCTGTTAGGGTGAGTCAGCGTGAATTGAGCGGAGTGCTTTGAGACGGGAATACTTGAGGTTGTGAATTAGATGGCGAGTGTTGCAAGCAGAGTCGAAATATGTACTGTACATAACTGGACGGCAGCCCGGAGAAGTCCCACCAGTTGCAATCAGGGAGGCTCCCTTCAAATACGATCCGTCCTGCATAATTCTCCTCGCTTTCCTCCACGGGCTCTGCTCCTGCATATGTCGTACGACATGATCGTACTCGATCCACCTCGAGCTCGCTCGGGCTTGTAGCAGTGCTGAGAGCGGCTAACGCACTTGATCTGCGAACAAGGAAAATCCAAGTGAGCAACTAGTCCTGTTCCTGTGCGCCGACGAAAGCTACTGCATTGCTGCGCTGTCAGTTGACTATCTGGATCCGTGGGAGATACATATGAGCGATTGCTTCCATCCTCCAGCGAGTCTCCAGAACAATGGCTGGGTTGACAAGGTACGGTATACAAAACAATTGCAAGCTTGCTTACCGCCCGACCCTGTTCCAGCCATCGGTACTCCTGTGCTTCCTGCCCATATCACAGACACGATGCTTGACCCCAAAGAAGAAGATCTTGAAAAGCTGGCAGAGACCTGTCTCGCCACGGCAAAGCAGATCAAAGAACATCTCGCGGCGAACAAGCAACCACAGCCAACATTTGACCAGACCGGCCCATCCGCTTTCCCTGCAACCACACCCGAAATTCAACAGGCACGACTCGGCCTCCGCACCGCCGCCAGGAGACTCTACGACCTGGCCTCGGGCCCGGAAGACATCGTGACATGGCATCTCTATCAAAGCGTGAGTCCCCTGAGGATGTGGCGGAAGAACCCCGTAACTCATCAACCAGTGCCACGATCTCAACGCCTTCCGCTACGTGTTCCACTACAACATCCACACGGCCGTGCCCCTCGACGGAACCATAACGTACACGGATCTAGCATCCAAACTCTCCCTCGACGCCTCGCAATTGAAACAGATGCTCCGCCAGATCATGCCGATCCACGTCTTCACCGAGCCCAAGCCAGGCCACGTCGCGCACACGGCCTCGTCACGCCTTCTCGCCACCGACGCCGGCATCGCAAGCTACACGGGCTTCATGGTCGAGGGCACGTTCCCCTACGCGGCATGCCAAATTGAGACGTTTGAGAAATGGGGCCACGGCCGCCCAGAGCCCAACCGCACGGCCGTCAGCCACTATTACGCGACGGACCTGTCCATGTTCGAGTACTTCGAGACGCATGCCCCAAGCGTGCGCGACCGCTTCGCCCGCCTGATGACCCACATGTCGAGCAACCCGTTGATGGCCAACGGGCACGTGGCCAGCGGGTTCGACTGGTCCTCATTGCCGCAGGACGGTGTGGTTGTCGACGTCGCAGGCGGGATGGGCCACTGTTCGAACCGGATTGCCGAACGCACGGCGCCGACCGTGAAATTGATCGTGCAGGATCTGCCCAAGATCATCGCCCAGGCGAGCGACCCGGCGACGTGCGTCATACCGCAGCCGCTGAGGGGTCGGTTCGAGTTCATGGCCCATGATTTTTACGAGGTCCAGCCCGTCAAGGGCGCCGCCGTGTACTTTTTGCGCATGATTGTGAGTTGAGACCCCTTGTCTAACTAAAGGTTGCCTTTGTGGGAGTTGGAATGAACACTCACGCACGTCCGTGCGACAGCTGCACAGCTACTCGGACGCCTACGCGCTCCGCATCCTCCGCAACATTATCCCCTCGGTGAGTACTCCATCCACTGGCCGCGCGCGCCATCAGTTTCTGTAGCCCGTCAACTCGCTACGTATTCTGGTCGGACTCCTCTGTACACTCGCACTTGCTTCCCTTTGCCTTGCACCTTACACCTTACATCTTCCACCTTCGACGTCCAGCCTCGAGTCAGCCCCTGACACAGACACATACTGATGGCCCAACGACTGTCCCATAAACTAACACAAGTCCCGTCCCAAGATGACACCGACCTCCAAACTCATCATCATGGACCAAGTCATGCCCCGACAAGTCAACACGCTCCCCGAACCCCTCGAACGCATCAAACGCAGCCAGGACCTGCAGATGATGCTCCTCTGCAACGCCAAGGAGAGGGACGAAACGGAGTGGGCCGACCTCTTTGCGCGGGCGGGCGAAGGGTTGATATCGGAGGGCGGCACCGAGTTGGGGATCTTGGCCATCAGGACGCCGGTGGGGAGTATGATGAGTTTGATTGAGGTTGGGTTTGTAAGTGCCGCTGGTGGTAGCGGCGCGGATGGGGGAAGCGAGGGCTAGTTTGGGTGGGGGGTGATGTCGGAAATGGCGAGGCACCCGGGCACTCTAGATAGGGTTGAGATGGATGGCACGCCGGGGTTAGGGGCAGGGCAGCAGAGGAGGGAGAGGAGGAGGAGGAGGTGGTGGTGGTGGTGAGTAGGAACGAGGACTTCAAGGCAGAGTAGAAGAGAGAGGAGTAGATTAGATGGAGTAGAGTATGAAAAGGGCACGGTACCTTGGATGGTTCGAAGAAGTGCAGAGTCGATAGATAGGACGTACAGTGTGGTGTTGAAGCAGTACAGAGTAGATAAGTTCATGTAGTATAGTGCTTGGTAGGTGTGGCATACGATAAGCTGAGCAAAATACCCTGGCTGGGCGTGGCGACCACTGGGATCTCTACGAGGATTCAAGAACATGTCGTACAAACTGACACTGAATTGGGCAAGACGTCGAGAAGCACGCTGATTTCAATCAGGCTATGATCTTTGGCCATGAAAGGCTCTCCTTCATGCGAGCACAACGAGACAAGCAAGCAAGCACTCCAAGCACAACATGAGCGTTTCTGTATTGATCCCTCCTGCTATTTTTTTTCTTATTTCTGGGTTCCCCAAGAAGACGCCACGTCGAACTCTTGTGCCCTCCTTGGTGAGGTTGCCCTCTGGACCTCGACCATGCGTCGAAAGAGCTCACCACCGGGAGTACAACCGTACGGGAACTCACCAGACGGAGCTCAATTCCAACGTGTGTGGGAAGTCCACAGAGGGTAGCGTCACCAGGGAGCCCACCAGAGTTCGACACGGCGCCCATCGAGATTCCCCTTTTCCTTTGTTTTAGAGGCCTCGTGGTGTGCACATGATTTGTTCGACTGTTGGAGATGGTGCACTCCACGATAGGAGTCGTGTCACACATTTCTTGCACTCTTGCCTTAATACACGCTCTGCTCCAGTTCGACGATCTCATCCGGGTCTGTCACCCAGATCAGCTCTCTACCCTGTTCTCTGGCCCCGCGTGCAGCTTTCAGCCCTTCGTCAAACTCTCTGTTCCAGAATTCAATACTTTCTCTGGTATCTCTATCAGTCCAGGTCTTCTGCACGAGGTTGTCGACGTAGGACGATACGACGCCTGCTTCGATGTATGTCTGAGATGGGACGTTTTTGAAGATGTCTGCCGCCCACGCGTCATACTGGTGCTCTCGTTCATATTCGGTCATGCCGTCTTCGCCGACGACGGTGTTGTCCAGGTCGTCCCGGCTTAGTGAATGAAGAGACGAGGCAGTCTCTATGGTGGTATCCTGAGGACTGGTGAATGTGTGGCCACCAACCGGCTCGGGAGTGCTGACGTCGATCTGCGACTCACGAAATTCGCTGTCTAGGCCCGGTGGGGATGAGGAGCGTGACCGAGCTTGCTCACTGAGCGAAAGGCGCGACGACTTGGCAGGCTTGTACTTTTGTGCGTCTGATCTTGCTTTGTTCAGTCTAATCTCCTGTGTATCGTTGACAATGATACTATCAGTGTGACCTGTAAATCCGGATTGATCAAATGGAGATGGTTGAGGAAGCTCGGCATGTGACATTCTGGGTGTGCTCGGTGGTTCTGATGGTACTTTGCCTTGCACCTGGTCCAGTGTCACTTCGCTGGTCTCCTCACCATCATCTTCGTCATCCTCGAAATCAGGAAGCACAAAATTGCCCGGTCGAGGATTCGCGGGCGAAGGTCGCCAAGTCTCATTTGTAGGATCGGTGACGCTAGGATCATAACGGTATGGTGTATTGTTGTAAGTGTTACGCATTGTGTCTGGAGAGTGCATAGCCTTCACATCCCATGGAAGGTCTGAAGGTGAATCGGTGTGCTGGCTCGACATGTCTGCGAAGGTGCTGCCACGATAATCTCCCGCAGGGCCATACTGCCCATAGACAGCCTTGGCCGAAGTGGGAACAGAGTTAATGCGGACTGATTTTGCGGAACGTCCAGTGGCGTTGAGGGTCTGTCGCATGGCTGAGCGCAAAGGTGTCTGTGGTGGTGCCTTGTTTGAAGGAGTCGACGGCTGGCCCTCCGCCAAGGCCGACTCTTCAATGCCTTCGACATCGTTTTCAACATCAAGATAGCTGTCATCAATACCATAACCACCTCGCCTAGGTCCCGGAACTTGACCGTCGACAGACGCAAGCTTGCGCTTGTTGCTACCTGGGATCTGAGCTGTGTGGAAGTCTGCCTGGTCCATTGAGGGGATTTGTTCACGACCGCCGACGGTGTTTGCGGTTCTCCGTCTTTTGAAGTGTTCGCGGGTGAAGATTCTGCTGTCGACAGCTTCCGGCTCAGGAGTTGGCGACTCTGGCTCGTAGGTGATTCTTCTAGGAGTGGGTGAAGGACTGCCTTGATCTGAGGCCTCGTCTTCTTCGGCAGTAGCTGTGTCAGACTCGCGGTCGCCGCTGTTTCTTTGTTGTGGTTGCTCCTGATTTTCTGCCGCACTTTGAGAACTGCCTCCTCGTACCCAACCAAAGATCTTTCTCACACTGCCAAAAAGGCCACCTTGTGACGCGGTGCGGGTTGGAGTCTCTGGCTGCTGTTGCGGTCTCGTCCGTTCTTGAGAACTGGGACGCTGCGCGACTGCGGTGGCACTGGGCTCGGGACTTTCTGGTTCGATTGCGCGGTTGAAGTAGGCAGACTCGTTTCGGGAGTTGAGCTTCGGCGGCGCGGAGGTGAGAAGGCTTCGGTTTCGAGTCTTGGAAAATAAGAACTTTTGTGTCTCAGGAGTGGCGGCTTTGCGTTGTCGCTTGGAGGTGTTGTGGTCGGCATCTTCTTCGACGTCTCGTCGTCGCTTTGCGCTCATAGGCACTACATGGACGGGACAACATGTACATATTAGCTTGGGCTCAGCTTGGGTAAAGGCATTGCGGACGTTAGATCTGGGCCTTAGGTGCTGTTCAACCTGGATAGCCATATCACGGGTTTCCCATGCAGTCTGGGTAGACGCAACTGCTGTGGTGGGCACCAGGGCAAGGGAATCACGGGCTCCAGTATTAACACGTGTAGCAGTGACAGGGCCTTGTGCAGGGATAGTATTTGGACGCGTCTGTTTCTCACGTTTTGCAGGCTGTATCTCCGAGAAGCCCTTGGGTCGGACGCCCTGTCCACGGGTGTGAACCATAATTGAGTGACGGTCTGGTTGTGGCAGTGGCTGAGAAAGCGTGAAGTTGCGTTCGAGTGACTGCGATCAACTGTGCTGTGGTGCTGGGATGTACGATTACAGCAGCGAAGATGATGACATCAAGTGATGAAAAGAAGAGCGATAGTTCGGCTCTAGGTTAGAAAAGTAGGGCTAATACTCCGTATTTCTTCACAAGAAAAGGACTGGTGTTTGTGGTGAAGCGCAACTGAACCGGAATTGAAGTTCAAGTGATTGAATCGTCAAAAAGTTCATTTACTGAATTGGGAATAGTGCCTCTCCAGGAACAACCCCGGATCTTCACGCGTTCTCTTTGTTGTGCCAATGTCATGGTTCTTTCTCATTTTCAGGATGCCTTCATTGACGGGCTTTCAAGCACTCATGAATAGCTTCGCTCTTGAGTACGAATAAGGCATCCGGAACAGCTCCCCGCTCCGCTGCCAGCTGGTTGCGATACAGTTTCTTCTACGAACTACACTGCGTTCCGGTCTGCTATGCTAGATAATCTTACTGTTTCCGGCGCCTATCGAGAGCAGTCTGAATCTCTTGGATGTCACCATCTCGGCTATATTAGCGCTGCTCTTGCAGTACCACAGCCTTTGTTCTCAAGCAGGGCCATAGTACACGCGAGAACACTGCGAACGGCTCGATAACGGGATGGGTGATCATGCGACGTACCGTGTGTTTACTGTATGGGAGAAATTGCAGCACTGACGCAGGTCAATCGGCCAGTGTCTGTGATGAGTATGAGTGATATATCCCAAGGCGCGCCTGCTGAATACCATCGATTGTCAGCTATTTCTGACTTGCGAATGTTGGCCTGGGACGACCTGGCGCTCACGGTTTGGTTGTCCGCTATGTAAAAATGGTGTCCGTGCCTCCAGTGTCTCTCCCTCTTCGGGCAACTCCATTCCCACGATACCCTTTTGGCTGCTCGATCTCCTCCGCAAGGCTGCATCCTGCGCATCCGATATGTCATCCCCACGGATCATCTGACATACCGACACCAGCCAAGTGGTCACGCTCAATATCAAGCAACTCGACAGGCTGCCCACCTTGATGTGGTCCAACGGCTGCCCAACATGAGCCAGCACCTACCCGCAGTCCGTGCCCCGGATGAGGAAGATCGGAGACTTACGCACCTAGAGTACATGCACAGTGAGACTGCCGCGTAAGAATCTTTGGGTTGCCGATCTTCCAACTGCAGCAGATGCATAGCTCGCACATGTGAGGGAGCAACCCTGGCCACGAAGCCCTGGACGGCGAAGAGGCGAAAGAGGAGCTTAAGCAACTTGACATGCTGGCGCGTGCTCTGAACTACTTAGTGTTTGGCGAGGGGGAGAATTGCGATGGACGTTGCGACGCGAGTCAGAAGGGGAATACTCCATTATCCTAAGACTTAGAGAGAAGATGATCAGTGGCGCTTTCAGGTACCATATTAGTCGCGGGCATGCGCAACAATCTATGGAGCTGTCGGGCTTGTTGCTTTACTTGATGGTTTTTGCAAAAGGTCTTCGATACTCTAATGGTGATCAGAGCCCATGAGCGGCGCGATTCGAGGCTGCTCCGTTATTCGCACTGAAAGCATGGCACGGCCTCTGGAATTGCTTTGGGCTTGAGGAGGTCGAAAGCACGGCATCATAATGTGTTTGACATACAGAGCATACCTAGGTAGATAGACGGTACCTACGCTTTGGCCACGACATACAGTACCTGGAGTGAGAGGGCGACAGTCCTACAAATGAGTGCGGGGCTAGTTCGGGGCCACAGTACAGTAAGGCTTCCTCCAGGAAGGGGGTCTCCGATGGAGTGCCCTGAGAGTCAGGCCTAACAACCACCGTCCATGTCATCACCAACTCCGAGAGCGCTTCAAACTACATTGCGGAGACGACAGCCCGAGATCTGAACTATTATGTACTGCAACCATGTATGTGGTGTTCAGCAACAAGTGAGGAGTCAGCGGAGTTCACCCGACAAGGGCGTTACTTTGCTAAGTGCTGACAGTCCAAGATAAATGGAGTCTCACATAAGAGCGTGCCATCTCGACTGCTGACTCCCATCTGAGCTCTCCTCGAGAAGTTTATCACTTTCTTTGTGCTCGCCGCGAATATCGAAACTCGACGACGAACTGCGTCTGTGGGAGTATCCGATATGGCCTTCCCGTATCCGATCATCGCCTTAGAGGAACACTTCTGGGCCGAAGCGGCGATCGAGTTCTACACAGCGAAGTCAAAGCAAGATCCGTACAAGACGACTGCCCTCCTACGACGATGTCGAGATGAGCTGCTCGACGTGGGCGAGTCTCGGCTGAAGTTGATGCAAGAAAGTGGTGTTACCGTGCAAGTGCTCTCTCACGCGGCTAGTTTCCTGGCCCTCGACGCCGGAACATGCCAGAAGGTAAACGATGAAGCGGCCAAAGCCGCCGCCAGGAACCCCAAGCACTTCGCTGGCTTCGCGACGATTCCAATGCAAGATCAGAAAGCTGCGTGCGACGAGCTTCGTCGTTGCGTCACGGAGTTGAAGTTCGTGGGCGCGTTGATCGACAATACATGCGAGGGACGATTCTATGACGACCCTCTCTTCTGGCCATTCTTCGAAACCGCGCAGGAACTCGACGTTCCGGTATACCTGCACCCTTCATACAATGAGCAGACGAAACCACTCCTGTATGACGGCAACTACCCTGACGCCATTGCGCAGACACTCAGCATGCACGCCTGGGGTTGGCACGTCGAGAATGGTGGCCACATCCTCCGCCTGTTCGCCTCTGGCTTCTTCGACAGATTTCCCCGCTTAAAGTTGATCTTGGGCCACATGGGCGAGATGCTGCCATATCAACTGGACCGAATCATTCGCATTACAGAGCACCAGTGGCCGATGGCCGGCGTCAAGCCGGAGAGGGGGTTGAAGCGGGTGTGGGACGAGAATATCTGGATCACAACGAGTGGGATGTTTGCGTTGGCGCCCATGGCTACATTGCTCAAGCAGTGTAAGCCGGACAGGATAATGATGTCGATTGATTATCCGTTCGCAAGAGTGAGTTCATCTTTGTCGCCAGTGTCTGTCTGAAGCGGTTGGGTATCCGAACAGGGGCTGACGGTGATCATACAGCACGAATGGGGCCTTCAGTTCTTGAAGGACTTGCAGCAAAGTGGAATGGTCAGTGAGAGCACGCTCGAGGACATTGCATACCGGAATGCTGAGAGACTGCTCAAGATAAAGGTGTGATGGAATGGAAGTAGCATCAAATCATTGGCAAGCCGCTGCACCATATCCCCTTCTGCCCGTTGGGGGCGTGAGCTTGTTCCTGTAGAATCCCCCAGTCATACTGTATTTCTGGTCGACCTTGTACGTTGACCTACCACCAATAGAGGGGGAATTAAAGTTCCCCGACGTGCCGCTACCCGCCAAGGTTTCTTAACGCCAAGCCGACTTTACCAGCCGCTTTATGGAAATGACTAATACTATATCCAGGAATGCACCCACAGTGAAGGCAATAGGAATAAAATGGCATTTGTCGGGATGGACCTTCTCACCGTCCTGCTCACTGCAGCAAACGCTGCCCACTCAAGAATCATTAGACGCAGGGGTTGACCGCAATTAGAGCGACGAGCTCCTCAACCTCCTGCGCAGTGCTTAGAGCGACCTGTCACGATGGGTTGAGATGTTGCACAAGCATCGCAAAGTAGCCGACCGGTCGTGAAGGGCAAATCTTTGCTTTTCCACCTCAGAAGATGCGACGGCGATACAGAGGCGTCTGGCTTCCCATAGCCGGGCGTTGACCCTCTTCACGTCGACCTTGACAACGAGGCGAATCGGGAACATCGAGTCCCACCTAGAAACAAATTCTGTCAAAGGTCAAAACCGGAGCGAGGAATTTTGCTCTCGAAGTTGCACCTGAAGATGTCCCCATAGTGGTGTTGGAAAAGCACAATGGGAGAAGCCGATTGCTGAGCTCTCGACGGCGGGATTTGCGCCATAAGACGTCACATCACACAGGTTGTGGTTCGAGGAACGGCTGCGGGAGGTCGACAGTACTAGATTTCTTACCGATCTACTCACGCCAGCCTCCAGCGGCTCGGCTTCTGTTATCAGCCCAACGGCCGACGATCCTGTTCTCCGCCTTCGGTCGGCGAATCTGAACATTGTATGCGAGGACGGGAAAGCATCCGCGCTGTGAGGCTGGCGAAGAGTTTGCCTTCATGAGCGTTGTGGATGCCAGACTTGGTCACTCCTACTTGCGGCAGTGTCGTCATGTGGAATCGTCAAAACTCGTGACTCTCGAGGCTTCGTGTCTTGAGCCTGCCGGTAAGTGCAGCGTTGGTCGCAGTCTCGGAAGTTATACTTACACAGTACGCCCAGGGAATTTAGGACCCAGGGGAATTGACGCGTCCGGTCGACGAAATTTTTCCCCGTGGTGTCGGTTTTGTGACACCCCAGCAAACCAAAGATCCAGTGACACGCTTCCCCGGACAAGCAAATGCTCATCCGGTATGGCCACCTCGCCATTCCTGCAGGCATGCACCGCCAGCCTCCAATGCGCTCGAGGCCTTGTTCACAAACAATCATTCCCGAAGACAGCACCACCAAGGCAGAACGGGAGAGGCGTCAAAAGAATGATCCTGTTCGTGGTCACTCGAAGTCGATTTCATCAGCCACTCCTACAAGGCCATCGAGTCCTCCGCGTTCGCGCCACCCGCGGATATCAGAATACCGTCCTGATGAGAAATTGATCAAGACCAAGACCAAGACGATGACGTCGTATTGCACAGAATCAATCCTACTTGGAGAACGGGCATACATTTCTGTAAACAGACAGCAATCTACCATGCTCGAGAGTGTACCACAGATGCCAGGACCGGCCAAAGTACCAGGATAGTACTACGGAACGATGTACAGAGAGCGGACAAGTCAGCTGAAAGCTATTGTAAAGAAGCCGGTCGACGTCCACTTGCTGAGCTAGATAATAGTCAATTAGCCATGTGAAGGCCTTGCCAGTGGAACCAACATGGCATGTCTGCAAGAGACTATCCTCAAACCCATCTCATTTCCCGGGCGACCTGCCCGGCCTTGGCGCGAACATAGCACGGCTCACCAGCCGATATGTCCGTCGCAGTCCTTCCATTGTACCAACCAGTGCAAAGACTCAGTCAGCGAGGACCGTGACCCTGGAACGCTCGGCCTGACGGTTCCGCGCTCTGACGATTCGCGAGCAAGCCATGACTGTATTGTATTTGTCTTGCGCTGCCTTCTCATGCTTTGCTTTGGTGATCTGCTGTTGATAAGGGTATCGAGCTTCCTCTCCAGCCGTGCGGACACATACTGTGCCCAGGACACCGTAAACGGTACGCAGTACTGTACTGTTTACCTCGTCGCTCTTGCACAGGTAGCAAGGGAGGCTCATCTCGTCATCGGCTCACCCACAACACCTCGGATAGCGGCGTGTGGTTCTGTCTTGTTGCCGTTCCTCCCTTTCCCAAGGATACTTGATTCCTCACAGACCGAACGCCACATATGTGTTATATAGGTAGCTCTTGGTCCCTTTCGGGGCACTCGGAATAGTGCCTCTGGGATCAGCGCAGCACAGCATGCGGTAGTTTGAGCCGACTACTGTGTGGTGTAACTCAATAGCTTGCTGTGCTGGGCCGCGGTTTGTTTTGTCTTGTGCGAAATGATTGTTGAGGCGCTTCGACACGCATTTGGGACGTTGGATGTAGTTGGCCGGCGTCATGGTTGTGTGCGGTTTGCTTGGGAGTAGGAGTGGGACCCAGTATTGCAGCTTCACATAGGTATTGTTTGTGCTATCGGTGCTCGGGTCTGCATCCTATCATCCCGCCGAGGATACGTCAGACGCGAGTGGCAGCTTCGCTTCTGTAAATGATGAGTCTGGCGCGCGTGGCAGCTTCACTCGGAAATGATGAGTAGGCCCGTCTTCAGCAAGTGTGAAGTGGTCATCAACACACGAGACGGAGCTTCTGCTCTTCAGACAAGCTCGCCACCCACAGTGGACACTGCCGGCGTCGTTCCTGTAGGAGAGCGTCGACGGATCGACGGATCCCTGATCAAGGAGAATGGCAGTCAATAAACCGCAAAGTCGCAAGTCCGCGGTGTCTCACCAATTCCGGTTCGCCCAATAGGTATCTGCCACAGATGCCAGCGGATCACCCACCCCGTGTAGGGTCTGGCAATAGATCACTTCTTCGACAACTTCTTCTTGACGTATTTCTTGACGCGCTTGTCGCTCATGATGAAGCCCGTGACAGCCACGCCTAGAAACATTTTCGACGCGGCCTCTGCTCCCGGGCTCGATGGTTGTGATGCTACCGATGCCGTCGAAGCTTTCCGAGGCCCCGTCGCGAACCCGAGTTCGGGATACACCGTCGTGTCTGCTCCCAACGACTGTACTCCAGACGGCGACGGCGACGGCGCCAAGACAACCGGCTTCGACTGAGGAACGATCTCTATCTCCTCGTCTCTCACTCGGGCCTTCTCCTTCTCGGCGGCGGCTTCTTTCTCATCCTCACTTTCAACCCACTCCCTCACAGGTTCATCGCCAGGGAACATGCGCCTCCTCATCGCGATCCAGATCGGCACCAGCAGCCGATGCAGCCTCTCTTCTTCCTTCTTGACCTTTTCGTTGGCTTTGCCGCTCCCATTCCCGTTTCCACCGCCGACCCATTGGGCCCGATGCCACCCGGACCCGAAATCACTCTGCACGCGGCACCACGGATGCGCGAACCTCGAGCCAATGAACCGGCGACTTACTTCACGGTAGGACTCGGATGTGCCGCGCCACAACAGGTAGACGATGGTGGGTTGCTCACGGAATTGCTTGACGTCCTGGAAGAATTGGGGCTGAGAGGTCTTGGGGATGAGCAATGCCGAGAAGAAGCGCATGTAGTTGATGTGCGAGTCCGGCAGGGAGGCGATGTACCGTTGCAGGCTGGGATGGACGATTGGCTCGTCGTCGGCAGACTCGGGCGGTTGGATGAGTGACGTGGAGGCCATCACGACTGTCACAGTCTGAAGAGAGACGCGCGAGTCAAGTACGTAGGTACGCAGATCTTGTACGGAGCCACGTCTGCGTGGCCCTAGATTGTCGTCGGAGCTGTCGGCCTGAGTCAAAGCAGTGCGAATACAGGGCGTGGCTCAGTGTACGAGGCCCATGACTTCGAGGCGGTGTTGGTGATCCACGACGCTCTCAGTCTCAGCATCAACCGTCTATGCTGCTGCCCGGAAGTACATAAGCGCGGACGGTGCTTTCGTCAGCTCGGTCGTCATATGCCAACTGTATGAGGTACGAGTACATGTCGGCGAGTTCAGTGGTTGAGGCTCGAAATTTTCGAGGTTGAGGTCCTCAGGGCCAAGGCTCCAAGACAGCCTTGTCTACGCGGCTCCTGCAGGGAGGCTGCCAAGTCCACACTATTGCGCGACGACGGACTGAATGGCGTTGTGATCGGCGTACAAATCATCGTGAGGCTCTCCGGAGACGACAAAGCCAAGAAAGGGGTCGGGCAATAATAATGGAATAGATTACTCCGTATGTAGAACTTCTTTGTTTCTGCCTGACCGCTGATTAAATGTACTTTCTGTGTCGTTGATATGGTGAGGCCAGCAATGAGTCTCCAGATCCACCTCGGCAGCGAGTGAGCAGCCCGAAAAGAAGCATTGATCGGCGTCCTTCAGGGGCTTGCACTCCGAGAGAGAGCTTACGAAACACGCATGCTCCGTGCGACTGCCTCTTCGGAGTAATGTGTCATTCCTATGAAGGAACCTACGAAGGAACGACAGTCTCATAGTTCCATCGTGCGGAAGTGAGTAGTTCCTTGGCAGTCTGCCGGCGGAACGCTGGCAAGCAAATGGTTCAGTAGACTCAGAAGTGTTGCGCGACTTCCCCACAACTTTGAATCTCAAGCTCGGATGGCAGATCGGTTTCAGAAAATCAGTACGGAGCAGATCCCACCAGATCGGATGCGTGGTGCCTACTGAAACATACTACATGAAGACTAATTTTGAGATGTTAAGAATGTTGATCAGACGCTTCTTCAAACTTAGCCAAGAGTCGCGCCATTGCATGTTCTCCTCCGTAGCTGAGGAATCTTAGCACAGGTTGATACGCCCAGGTCGAAACGATTTCTGCTCTGGAGACGTCGAGCAATGCCAGTTTTGCCTGCCGCGAATACAGAGCGGCGGCTGTGTGGCTCGTCGACTTTCGACTGGCGCTTCCTGGGGAAAGTGCGGTGAGATAGGGAGCGATCATGTGCGGCTGCGCCGGGGTTGCCGGAGCATGTGGACAGTGAGCAGCATGAAATGTTGCTGGAATCCGGCTGACCGCCTTGATCGAGTTAAGTCTCTCGTCGAGTCTCGTTCATGGTGTGGTTGTGCTACTGTGTCAAGTGCCCGTGCTGACCCAGCTTCACTGGGTACAGTCTCTCACGGAAAATCTGGAACACCACTTCCTGTAAGAATTGCAGTGTCTGTAGCCTCGATCGCCATCAACGGTGAATGGCAAACATGCAAGTGAGGAGACTCTGCTCATGGATCTGCCAAAGAGAGAAGGTCAAGAGATGAAGCATGGCTTGAAGCACGCTGTGACCTTTTGTCTGGGTTTACGCTGGTGTTGGTGGACGAAGTTCAAGTATACCTGCCGGATAGGGTAAGGAAGCGTCCCAAAACGGCGATACTGTACCTCCATCCTGGTGGCAGCTCTCGGGCGGTGGCAAAGAACTTGGGGGAGTACAACATGACTGATGCAGCGGACATTCAACCATGTGACGAGCTGCTCGAGCTGCATGCCGAAGCGAGTGTGACTCTGGACCATACCTCCGGCTCCGTAATACTCTTGGTGGTGGCAAGTGGTCGCTCCATGCGTTCAGACACGATACGATAGGCGAGCCGACAGGTGCATACAAAGTACTGTGTACTCCGTACAGCACTGGTCCCTCTTGTGATGGGTAATTAATTCAGTGGGAAAAAATGGTTGTGTGCGTGGGGTGGGAAACGCAGCCTCGGTCGGCAGATGCATGCGAGGTCTGTGCACTCGAGCTGTGCTGCATTAGCCCTTGTCTAGCCTCTCCCTGGCCAGTGCACACAGCAGCAGACCAGACACGAGGTCGGCATGCTGTGTGTATCGCAGTAACACAGCAGCTTGGACTTCCGAGGTTTGCGAATCGTGAGGGTAAGTAACCAACGTGACGGCAGGCAAGCTTTCTCAGCCGGCATGGCGAACATGAACGACACCCGATGGCTGCCGACAATAGCGAATGGCATTAATCCCTCAGGAAATCCTTGTTAGCGTGCACGAATCCTCGAAGAGCACGGAGTACTGTGTGAGCGTCTGCGGGCTGGACCCATCTCGCCAGCTGCGCGCCAGTCCCGTGCAGGCCACTCACATTCTCTCTCGAGATCCAGAATCTTGCAGACACTACTGACAATTCGCATTTGCCATCGAAATTATTGTGGTCACTAAACATCCCACGGTGTTTCGCCATGGCCTTCGCGCAGCCACCGCCGCATGCGAGACGCGCTCAAATGTGACAGAAGTAGCGTGGAGTATCTCGCGCCAGTCGCGCTCTCTCCGCATTGAAGTGCTTCTTGCATAACTTAATTAGAGCTGATGGCAGCGGCGAGCACACCGACCCCAGCTTTATGCATATCTCACAGGCTACTGCTGGGTATTAAGGTGTCCCTGGCGTCCAAGCTCCTGAAGTACTTGGTCTTCGAAAAGAGTTCACTGACAAGGTTTCTCCATGCACACAGGACTCCGTAGGGCCTTGGATTCTGCTTGCCAGCAGCACCGTTGCACAGGCTGTCGAACAGAGAGGTCCTTCGTTTCGAAATCTCCCGAGAGAGCTTCATTTCAATTTGCGGACCGCAGTGGATTCCTGCATCATGTGAAGAAAGATCTCGCGCCGTGCCCTGCGTCTGACTGGTCCTGCCGTCCGAATACCTCGTACCATGCATCGCTTCTATGCAGTCACCCAGTTCGAGCACAGCTACTCCGTATAGTGGGGCACAAGACTCAGCAAGATACCTGACAGCAGACCTGCGTCGTCAGAGTCGGACCTCATGTCAGAAAGCACATGAACCTGGTAAGGAACGGTATCTCTCTCGTAAGGTAAAGCCCGCGAGCCGTGCGGGCCGTCAACGTTCACATAAGACGATTTCCCCTGTGAGCAGTGGCGTACCCAAGTACGTGGGAATGCTGCGGGAGTATTTCTGTGGCGCAGCTCCGAGTGTGCGCAGCAGTGGCGATGGCCCAGTTGACGTCATGTCAGATGATATACCGGGAGGCGTCCACGGCGTCGAAGGCAGTATGCTCGTAAACAGGTTCATCGAACTGCGAAGCATTAAACCTGGGCACGAATGCAGGGTAAAGATCTCAAGAACATATGACGTGCGTTTCAGGTACTAGTAGTCAAGGCCCAAATCACCGAGGTGACGGTTGTGGTAGCGGCACTGTGCGCGATTGAGTGTGGGCCACTGTTGTCTATGATGTAGCTGGGTTAAGCGCTTTTGGTGGTTTCCGAGAGCCGATGACAGCATCGTCGAGAAACTGATTTCTGGCGCACAATGATCCTCCGGCAGTTGTCCTGAATATAAGACGCCACATTACACAGTAGTATTGATCATCGCGGTCACGCTGTTGAACACGAGACACAGTCCCGATGGAGGAAGAGTTTACGAGTGAATGTACTCGACACTGGCCGCGGTTCCGAGATGGCTGTCAAACTGCGTCAAGAGAGCCAAGAGCTCAAGTCAGAATGCTTGCAAAAAGCCTGAATAGCACGAATCGTAGGGTCTTGGACGGTTGTGTGTGTTCACTTAATGGTACCTCGTAACATTCGGCACGAGAAACAAGTATCATGTTGGGTACCGCAAGGTTGATCTGATCGTCGGTACGAGGTAAACATAGGTAGACCTGCAGATCGGGCTCAGCGGCGTACTGTGTACCTCGTACCCTGAGGTGAGCAGGCGTCAACTTGTGTTAGGTTTTGCATGCCCAGCATGGCCTATTCCAAACACTCCGGGTATCGGCTACACACCCATATGGTGAGATCGACATGGCCGTGAGGAGCACATTGCATACTCAGGTACTCCGTACTCGGTGCAAATTTAGCACTCCTTTTACAGACAAACAATGTTCCAGAAGTGGTGTATGACCACACCTTGATCAGAATTACGAGGTACAAGGCAGAGAAAAGAATACTGCAGCTGTGTCGGCGCAGTGTAGATAGCAGTTTCTGCCGAGGTCATGATCTCAAACCTAATGTTCATCGCGTCCAGCGATCAATACCCATTCGTGGAGCGACAATTTTAACATAGTCGCCAGAGTGGAAGCGCAGAAGGGCCGCATGGTGAGCGGTGGATAAGTTAGGCCATTCAAAGCCTTTATCCTGCTGGCACGGCATCGGTTGCGGTAAGGCGAGCAAGCGGGCGATGCCGAGGGGCCATTGCTCGCGATTCGGGGGGGCAGTTGGCGGTGGGAGCAGCTAGCCGGGCCCCTCTGGCTTTTGAAGGATTTGATCACCAGCGACCCAGTCCGAGCAGTTACTGAGCTACCGTTTGAGAATTAGCGGGCGGTGGGCTCTGTAGGCTGTGTGGGTTTGGGTCTTGCCGCCACAGCCATGCCCGGAAAGGAGATTTGACTGACTAAAAGCTCGCGCCTCGCGGCCTGTAACTGTTTTTGCGCGACACGCAAGTTGCAACCCTAAGAAAAGCCTGGCGATCCACCCACGGACAAGTCGCACTCTTCCCACCAACAGCAGTTGATCGAAAATCAACCACAGAAAAGGGCTTGCTCGCCCCCCCGGCCAGTGCACAAATCACTTGACTTGTTGATGACTGGCTAGACGCTGGCCGGTGCACAGTCACAAAGAAAAGAGAGTCGAGTCTATGCCCTGCTGCTCTTCGTCCGCCCTGGCATCTTCTGGCTCTGGCTTGTTGTGCCCTCATCACAAATCTCTTCTCCAACATCAGCTGGGCTTTTGCCGGCTGCCCGCACAGCATTTTCCCTCATCTTTCATCCTTTCCCAATCATCTTCCACCCGTTTCCTGTCGACCTGGTCGACCCTCTCCGAGACCCCTCCGTCTTCCAGCGATTAGTCCTCCACCGTCCTTTTCCTTCCGTCCTCTTCCTATCCAGCATATTCTCTTTCTTCTCTTCAGCAACTTTGTGTAAGCAATTCATCCTTCACTTATTCATATACCCGCATATCACTCACAATCCCTTGCAGCAGCGATTCTTGCACGCACCTTGCGCGCTTTCACAATCGCAGCCATCAGTCCGCCACCCAAGGCACCCAGTCCGTTTTTCTCCAGTTAACCAAAGCCTCTGGTGACCCTTCACCACCCCTCCTGATAATCCTTGACTTTGGGGAGTGGCCTGCGGTATCGAATCGTTGAAGATCACACAATGTCGAAATCCAATTTATAACAGCGGAGGTCCTAGTGGGCCAAGTTTAAATCCCCAGAATACACGCGGTCGTCTCGTTCCCGTACCCGTGTGTTTGCAATTCTCGAGGTTGAGATCGGTTCATCTCCATCTCAAACTGTCAAAGGAGGTTTTCTGATCTTTCCTTGTCCGCCGCCAGCCTCTGCGAATGGCACACCATCAAAAACACCAGACAGACGCCAGCAGAAGAGACTCCGCCATGCAGAGTCTACTCAAGATATTCAAGATGTCGAACACTCCCACAGTTCCGCTCGATGACGATGAACTTGGTGCGGAACCTGACGAACCGCCAGACGATCAGGTATCACCTCTTACGGCAGTTGCTCCACACGTCAAGCTCTACAATCGATCCATGGCCCCAGGATACAGCCGTCGAGAGTCTCTCCTGACTCGCGCCATCATGGCCGAATCCAAACACGAAGATGACGTCCATGGGTTCCCGGGCCGTGGCCTGTCGACGACGTCCTCGCACAGCACAGCCAGCATGCCTTCCACTGCCGAGTTGACTAGCGACGGCGACACATCGCAGTCACGGTCCGCCACGCCCAGTCCACCACCTCCTTCGAGCCGCTTCAGTCAAATCCTGAATTTCAGAAAGGCTAGTCCCAGAGTGGTTATTGCTCCTGCCACGAAGGATGAGAAAGAAACGGTTGCGGTGGCCGGCGAGGCAGCAGTGGAAAAGACGCTCGGGCGCAAACGATGCATAATGTTTGCCTGTGGAGGGACCGAATCGGAGAAAAGCAAAGAAAACTTGAGCAAGGACGGGTCGGCAGAAACCGAGGTCCCCAAGCGAAAATGCGCCCTTACCTTTGCCTGTCCTACCCAGGCCAACTCGAAAGTGGCCAAGACTGCTTCATCCAAACTGCAAGTGGACGCCAAATCCGCACGTCGTCCATCTCCTGCTCCAGCCATGAGACGAAAGTCAACATCCGAGTCGGTCGATCTTTCCGGTCGTTCAGCCGAGACAGCCAGGATTACCATTTCTGAGAAAGCCAACCTCTCCTCGCCAAGCCCTAAGCCTACCTTCCACGAGTTCGGTACCTCTCAGGACGAGACTGACTCGTGGGTTGACAAGCCCAGCTTCCATAGATCTAAGCTCACCTTGGACGACTGCATGAGAAAGGAGAACCGCATCCGCCAGATTGGGCAAGAAGCTGAAGAAGAGGCTGAAGAAGAGGAGAGGGAGCAGGAGGATTTTGAGGCAGACGCCGAGGTCAATGACCACGAAGATGACTTTGCGCCTTCTGAAAACGGTTCGGACGGTGGCAATGAGTCTGATGACGAGGGCGGCTTCGCTAGCTCCGACGATGAAAGCGACGCCGGCTCCGAATATCAGTTCTGGGCGCCATTCACTGCCAATACCACTTTGAGCACCGAGAATCTCAACATCACACGCTTCAGTTCTCGTAGGCGATCTGAAGCAAGTTCGGTCGAATCGATGACGCATTCGAGCAACTCGCACCTTCGCTCCATGATGATGCAGGCTGGAAGGCGTCGCAATAATGCGCCCAAAGTACCGAAGATGAGGCCCGGAACACCCGAGCTGCCCGACAGCACTGACTTTGTCTGTGGCACCCTCGACGAGGATCGTCCACTCGAGGCAGCTTACCTCTCATGCCGTGAGCAGAGACTGCGTCAGAAGCACGTACTTATTCCGCAAGATATCGATCCGAGCTTTCCCACTACCGACCCTGAAGACAATGGAAATGAAAGTGACGACGAGATAGGTGCGTCGCAGCACAGCTCCGACGGTCCTCGGTGGCTCAAGGAGGACTTTGCTGGGTTTGAAGATGACCATCATAGTCACCGGAAGTCGTCAATCGTGTCTACAGTAGACGAAACACCGTCACCACCTCACGTCATTACTGGTGTAAGACCCGGTCGGCCCAATGTCCGCTCACCGCTGCCCAGAATTATGACCGCTCGGTCACCACCGCCTCGGAAGCTCTTCGGGCATTCGCCTACTAGAAACAGGTCGCCTTTCCCAACAGCCAAGTTGCGGTCACCACGTGGTTCTCCTACCAACACGGGTATGCCCACAAAGCTACGGCTTCGAGGTCTTGCACAACGTCCTGGCATGGAACGGACAGCATCTCTTCCTGATACACCCAACCCATTTTTCAAGAACTTCAACATCGGCAGCCCTTCTATCTCCAACATTGCGTCTGGAGCTGTGACACCGGCAGTGGAAGAACCTCCCCGTCCGGACATGCATGTCCGAGGCCCGGTCGACATTGTCGCTGGTCTTGAGAACAAACGCCAGAAACGCAAAGAAAAGTTCTGGCGACAGCACTGTCGCAAAGCGGCCAAGGAACAAGCCGAACGCAAGCCTGTTCCTGGTCGCGGAGCTGAGAGAATGAAGGAGCTTGGTCTCGAATGTGCTGAACGTACAAGAGGCTACGGCATCGGGCAACAGACCCAATTGGTTCTTTCACTTTGATTCTCTCTGCACAAACCTACCCTGGGTACATATATCGACTTTTATTTGTTGGGCGATTTTCACAAGGGCCTCCTTGGCCTGGATTTCAATCATAGCCTGGGTTGGGATTTCGCATTCGGTTATGACGACTTCATGACAGGGTTGGGCGCGGCGTTATAGGGTATTGCGCTGCCCGGGATATGTCTTGATCCACAGCATCCTGCGCGGCAGGTTCTTCATGCACAGCGCACGTTCCTAAGAAGGAACATCTACACTTTGGCATTGTAAATACATGGATCATCAGCATGATCCCCAGATATCCGAGCAGCTGTCTCAAGTCAGAAGACTTGATCGATGGCAACCTCGAATAAATGCATCACAGTAAACAATCCCCAGGGTTTCCCCTGTTCTTGGGCGTGCTATCATAGGCTTTGACTCGACTTGAAGAAGCGCGTTCTAAGCCAGAGTAGCTTCGGGTTGATCAGCACACCGTTCCTGCTGAAAGTATAGCATAAATGCTTCAGGATAGACGCGAAAGTCGTAGCCCTCCGCTTACCAGTGGAAGGGTGACGGCGGTTCAGCCAGCGACTTACTGTACGTAGGTATATTTGAAGCTTGTGACTATCTGGTGGTGGCGCCGAGCATGTCACGTGATTGGCGGAGCAGCATCCCCGTCACTTCGAAGAGGAAACTGCCACCGTGTGCCGTGAGATCTCCTCGTTCAAAGTCTCGTCCTGGCGCCGTCGTGTCGTTGATATCGCTCAAACCCACAAGTTCGCAAGCCCACGCTACCTCTCAAGATGTGGATCATTAATTGGTGTATGTTGACGCTGCCGGTCGTGGGAGGACCTCAGGACGCTGATATCTCCCGCTTGATCTAGTCTACGACATCCTCGCCTCACTGGGGCTCCTCAACAAACATGCCAAACTGCTGTTCCTCGGCCTGGACAATGCAGGCAAAACGACGTTATTACACATGCTGAAGGTATGCTTGACGCCAGAACACATCGAGGACGAGGTGGAGGTCAGGTCAAAAGTGGAAGAGGTGGCGGCCCAGCGGAGGGCAACATACACGATATGGTTCTGAGCGGTGTTGCTGGCAAGACGCCAAAGACTGACGTCTTCTGCTCAATAGAATGACCGAGTTGCTATTCTCCAACCTACGTTACATCCGAGTACGTTCTACGTCCTTGCGGTTCCTCCAAGCTGCGCAGTTTGACATTCCAACTGACCGATATTTGGAACAGCCTCCGAAGAACTCGCCATTGGCAACAACAGATTTACAACCTTCGATCTCGGGGGCCATCAACAAGGTATGCCTAACACCGGTCATAACATCGGTGTACCTCAAAGCTGACGATCGTCCAGCCCGTCGCCTCTGGCGCAACTATTTCCCTGAAGTCTCCGGCATCGTCTTCCTCGTTGATGCCAAAGACCATGAACGTCTCCCCGAGGCAAAGGCCGAATTGGACGCTCTCCTCGCAATGGAAGATTTGGGCAAAATCCCCTTCCTGGTTCTAGGAAACAAGATCGATCACCCCGATGCCGTATCGGAGGACGAATTGAGACACCAACTGGGACTGTATCAGACAACAGGGAAGGGAAAGGTGCCGCTGGAAGGGATCAGGCCTATCGAAGTCTTCATGTGCAGTGTCGTGATGCGACAAGGTGAGTACGATAAACTATCGGAAGGTGGATTGATACTGATGAGCTTCCATTAGGTTATGGCGAGGGCATCAGGTGGCTGGCGCAATACGTCTAGAAAAGTCACGAGTATCAACACAAGGCACGTGAGCACCTTTGCCCGACAGCGACCGTTACAATTGTCGCGAAAATTCGATTGAAGCCCGTGACCGAGCGCTCGGAAGCACGTCACAGTCAGAACAACAACAAGAGAGATCCGTCAAGACAACCCGCAGCCTCTCGGCAGCTAGACCACATCCAAGCTGGCATGATTCGGCGGCCTCCATCACCGCATTTCACGCATCACCCCTACTGGGCCTCTGACGACTAGAAGAAGAGGATCGCAACCTTTTTTTTTTGGCGTAGGCATCCGCTTCTGGGACATTTAGAGACTGGCAAACACCACCTTTCCAATGCAGAACGAACACGATCCAAAGGATGGAAACCTTCTCTTGTCAGCACAACATTGTCGTCGAGCACTACACTCTCCACCTTACCTCGATCAGCAAGTGTCAGGTTCATACGCCCGAGTCTCTAGTGAGCTGGACTGCCTCCGCGTAATATTGGCCCTGTATATTGCTTCTATTGCCACTTGCAGGAAAGTGTCTGAGCTAGCCTTGCCCATTTCCTCTGCTCTGTCCGCCTCAGAGGGTGCGTTGCAGAATTTCCGTGTCTCTTCGCCCAACTCCTTTCTGTCCCCTGTCTCCCTGCCTGTCTGCTCTTTCGAGTCTTGCCATGAATCTTATCCCTGCGCTCCCAGAGCCCAAGCTCGCCCCCCATATCAGATGCACCTCTCCAGCCCATTATCCATCTGCCTTTCCCTGTGAACGTGGGTCTCGGCTCTGATCAGTCCTCACCCGCGTCCTCGTGTCCCTCCGGGCACATAGCAAAGTTCGCCCACCACGTCTCGACAACGCCCTAGAGCTCGACCGGCACGGCGTCAACCCTGATGAAGGGTGAACAGACCGCAGCGAAGGTTCCATCAAGTTCGGCTGCCCTGCCCTGCCCTGCCCTGCCCCGTCCTGCCCCTGCTACACGGCTCGTGAACCCACTCGGACAGCGGCCGATGACGACATCTCAGCACAGCACTGCTTTGGACACATAGCATACCTACTACGCCGTCCACGCATGTCCTGTCCAGCCTTGTGCGACGAACTCTGGACCACGAATAGTGTGTGCATGTCGTGTATCCTGGATTCTGGCTCTGTATCAATGTTGCGTATTCATATGATGTGTCTAACTACGGAGTACATCCCGCGTCCATGCCGTCTATCTCTACAACCTGTGTCTATCTGTATCGTGTATCTGCATCCCGTGTCTGTATGGTGTGTCAATCTACATCCTCGGCCTGTTTCCGTGTGTTTGTATCAAGTATAATATATATATATATATATATATATGGGTAATCAATCAACGAACGACTTCCCCGGTCATGACCCTATGGACAGACGAAGGCATACTTACTTGCCAATAGAGCTGTCTCACAATTCCCACGTGGTTTGCCCATGCAAGGTACGTCTGATCGAGCCTCTCCACTCTACCGATGTGACTCGGCTGGATTGTTTCAAGAAGCTTCGGAGCCAGCCATTCTCAGCAGAAGAGTGTGGACTTGCGTCTCTGATGATCAAGCAGTGCGTACGGCATGCCAGGTATAACACAACTGTATCATGGCGAGAAGGCCGGCGTTGGCACACCAAGGTCTTGTCAGCATCGATACACAAAGGAAATGGATCAGTATACGACAAGGACATGGATATCTAAGTCTACACGTCGGCCGATACAGCAACTGCGTGATATCGTCTGCGTTGGTCTGTCTTGCACCGCGGATACACAATCATTCTCATGAGCGTTATCGTGGTCCGTTGCTCCCGTCGTTATCGTCTTGAAAGCATGAAAACAAAAATCATCACTAGCATGGTACAGTCGGACGGACGGAAAGGTAGTCTTGCGTTGCGCCCTACGCTCCGGCAACGTATTTCCTTCCCTCTTTTGGCACAGACAACATACAGCTGCACCTGTACAGCGCAAACGGAGTCGAAAATCTGAATGGTCAAGAACGATTTCTCCGCGCCTCGCAGACCACAAGTCCTGTCTCGAACATGTTTGCCATCCGTAACCCGCTGACCTTCCCAGCCCATGGAGAACGAGATATAACCCTTCTGTCGCCTCGGATCGACTCAATACCTCGCCCCTCCGATGCGGTTGTTGAGTTCGGCGAGTGCGCCCGGTTCCCGTCGGAGATGTTTCGGCAGACTGATACGGCGTCGAGAACTTGGGAAATCTTCCCAGGGGTCCGGAAGGTAACATGCTCACGGGAAAGTGAAGAACAATATACGGTGTTCGGTCGCATGCTGCGGAATTGTGTGCAAAGGATGTTGGTCGTGGGCGAAGCCTATTCGACGGGGAAGCCAGAAGGTGACCCTATCTTCTTCCAAACCTGCTAACAATGAAAGGGATCAGCCCGAGTCGGAAGGTCTAGTTTTTGGACTTGCGAGATGGAGTGCTGGGCCCGCTCGAGCTCTTTGAGCCATACACGTACTTTTGTTTCTTCTCGGCAGGTTTGAGAATCTGGTTCAGGTAGGTCAGCGATGGAAAGCGGTGCGGGTTGGATTGGCGACGGCGCCCATACCTGGAAGGAGCACAGTAGACTTTCGTCCACACTCATCATGGCTCCAGCATTGTCAAACTCGCCACAGTAGTTTGGAGCGCTGAATAGGGTGACCAGTTGTCGCTTTGAGAAGAACTCGTAGCCGTCTTCAACGACTTGATGCGCCCGACAAATCAGGTCCATGTCATGTTTTTGCAGGAATCTCGAAACAACGTCGGGTCCGAAGGTGAACGAGACGCCACGATCGTTCTCGCTCCATCCTGTTATATCCTTGTCCGGATCCGACCAGAGCAAGTCGCAGAGAAGACCGCAGTCGGGAATCTGTATTTCGTTAGAATAGTCGACACAACAGCTGAGTAACTAGGGGGGAGTCTCGCTAGACGATTGCACTCACATCGGTCGGGCGCATGACACGACGGATTTGTTCCATCGAGTTGAGGTCGGGGCTCAAGCCTCCGTGCATGGTGAAGATCTTTTCATCGATGATTGCGGCAATGGGCAAGCAGTTGAAGCAGTCCGTAAATGTCTTCCACAGCTTGATATTGTAACGGCGCTTGCACTCGTCATAAAAGCCGTAGATACGATTGATCGAAGCACATTCATGATTGCCGCGCAGGATGAAGAAGTTCTCGGGGTACTTGATCTTGTAGGCCAAGAGCAAGCAGATGGTCTCGAGCGACTGTTTGCCTCGATCGACGTAGTCACCCAGGAAAAGGTAGTTCGCTTCGGGGGGAAAGCCGCCGTACTCGAACAGGCGCAGTAGATCGTAGTACTGGCCGTGGATATCGCCGCAAATCTATCAAACACAGTGTAAGCTGCAGTGTTCTTGATATTCGCTGCTCAGAAGGGTATGCACGTACCTTGATCGGTGCTTCCAGCTCGAGCAATATCGGCTGGGAGATAAAGATTTCGCGTGCCTTTGTGCACAAGTAACGGATCTCGGCTTCGAGCAATTGAACTTGCTTCCCTGGTCTGCTTCCTCTTACTTCTAACAGGCGGTCGATGACAGAATCGAGATCCACCTCATTCTGGTCGGCCATGGTGGGATCGCCGCAAGCGGGGCAAGGGAGTGGAGGGAAGGGCGGGCGGCGACCAGCTACGGTCGGATCTCAAAAAGGTCGGGAAAACGATGTGTGTGGTCTTGCAGGTCGCAATACTAATCTGGACGAGGCCCGTTCGAGTCAGTTGAGAATCAAATGTCGACGTGGTGGCAACAGTTGACGCAAGTCAATGCTGGCGGCAGTGCACGTACCAAAATGGAAGGTTCGTCCCTGAGGCAGCCAACAGTCGGCTCAGCGAAGGAGTCCGGAAAGGACTTCACCAGGGGAGTATGAAGATCGCAGGTGACGGCAACTTTAGACGTGCTGGAGTGGTGTTATCACGGCGGGTGACTGAGGAAGTTGTGGCACAAGCAGGCTGAGGAGGTTTTTCTCGGCGCACGGCGGGCGGCGCAGATGTGGATGGTGAGCAGGAACAAACTTGACACAGTTTGATTTTTTCTCGTCTCAGACAGTCAGCATAGCCGTGGTGTGAGAAGGGTCGCAGGGCTAAGTAGATGGATCGAGGCTGATATTGATCGCAACGATGCAGTCAATTTTGAGGGGCGGCACAGTGGACACGCAACGCAGTGCAGTTGAGCGGTTCTGGGATAAGATGGACTGGATGAGTGGTGGACGAAAAGCAAGTGAGGGATGAGGGACGGAGGGAGGAGAGCTTGAGCCTGAGTGGATGGAGCCAAATCCTGGCTCAGGCGGTGTCTCGCTTGGCAGTCAACCTCGTCCCCTCTGCCGCCTAACAAAGAAATTCTGCTTGGGTACGGAGTAATTTGTAGCAACAAGACGATGAAGTGGAAGAGAAGAATTGAAGATAGACTCTCTGTATGCTTACAATGACTCGCAGTCCGAATTGTTGACTGAAGGAGGAAGGAGCAATGGCCACATCCAACTTACTGTACGCATTGTGCAGGAAGCCGCGACTCAACAAGTACGAGTACAGTACATACTACGACCGCCTGGACCACCCAATTGCCAACATCTGATGTTCAGCGCTTTGGGCTTTTGCAGAGTCACCAGGCTACCGGATACCTGTTGCGGTATCTATCTCACAATACGGGTGGTCGCTTTATGGTGGGACGCTGACATAAAGTGCTCGATTTGTCCCTCATCTCACGTTGGTGGGCTGGCTATTCTCGTTTCCTACCAAGACCATCCTGATGTTGTGACGACCGGAGGAATGCAGGCCACCAATGCCGGCTGTGAATAACACGACGACGACCTGCACTAATTAGCTGAGATGCAGGAAAGATCTCGCAAATTCTTTCAATGCATTCTGCGTTGTTAGCTTTGCTGTCGCTTATTTGATGATTCGCCGTTTGTACCTCAGCTCACTTCAAGAGTCTCTCAGATGGGAAGCTGAGAAGAGTCTGCTTCTTCTCTAGCAATTTCTGGCTGCCCAAGGTCGCTGTTATCTAGGCGTAGGCATGTTCGAGAGATGAGATCCATCTACTGTGTATGTGAGCACTTTGTTATTTCGGGTCATGGCGAGCCTGGGGCATCTGGTGGCAACGACATCTGCGGAAGGAGATCGCAAACATATCAATTGAATATCCCGATTCACCTCCAACCCGGTCCGTAGTCTCATGCTTTCATACTTCATGCAAGTCGATGAACTCTGTGACAATGCCACCCACACCAGTAGATCAAAACACTCCGTCGCTATGCATGTAACAAAATCAACAAAATCTCCCACAACCTGGCCGCACAAGGACATCAAAAAGTACAATGGCCCCTCCAGCTATACATGCCCGCCAGGTCTTTCTGCAGAACCACAACGAAGGGGTATCACAACGCAGTCTTGACAAGGATCCCAAATCACCACCGTGCTGAAAAACAATGCCATCTAGTGCGAAAGTCGCTGGAAAAGATCCGCCAAGGCGTGGTGAAGCGCAACCAGTATCGCTTCAGGCGTTGCGGGCTCAACCTAGAGTCCGCCCACCACTGACAATGACCTGATGGTGGCCTGAACGGTGTAGTGCATCATGACCCATGTTTTGCCCCTGCAAAACTTCAAACTGGTGGCTGTTATGCCAGTTCTGTTCTCCAAGCGCACTCAGCCAGTTGCTTCCAAATTCTTGGCGGAGTGCTTCTACCTTGGCTCGATAGTCCTCCTGCTGCTTTGTAGGCTCGCTGGAGACAACTGAAAGAGCTTCTGCGAAGCCGTCATAAACATCTTCGACCAGTGTCTCTGTGGTTGTCGATCTCAGGACCGCTGGGTCGATGGACAATCGGACCGTGTCATGTTCGATCACATCGGCATCGTGATCAAGAGTCGCAGCCATATCCTCGTCAGGGGCTCGCGCAAAAGTCTCGTCGTGCGCCAAATCAACAATCCGTCGCCGAGGCGCGCGCTTCCGGCGAGAAGTGTTCGTCAAGACCTCCGCAACTTCGGACGAGCTGGGCTGAGCAGAGTTGCCCTGATGCACAATCACGGCTTGCTCGGCGATCCGAATGGACGGCTGAGCAATCTGCCTCTCGACTTCAGGAACCCGGTCGACCAGTTGTTTGCGCTCCGAATAGCCAGGCCCGGATTCGTCGATGACGATATCCTCCACGTAGCCTGGAGTGCTTCTGAAAAGATTGAATGTGGTTGTTCGATAGTCAGTGTGAGTCTTGGTGAAGGGGTTTCGTTTGACCCAGACTCGCTTGAGATTCGGAATACACGTCAGCCTCGCCATTTCCATAGGATCAGCCAGCTTGTTGTCCTGAATGTTGAGCTGCTCTAGAGAAAGTAACCGTTCCACGCCTGCTAATGAGTTGAGCCGATTGCCTCTGAGGTTGACCGTGAGAACTGCAGGGAGCGGCGACCTCAAGAGCGATTGCAATGAAACGATCATGCAATTCGACAAGTCAAGAGACACGAGCCTTGTCAGCGATGCTAGGCCATCGGGGATCTCGGTGAAGAGATTCGAAGAGAGATTCAGAGATCTCAGAGTGCTCGCTATTGGAATTAAGCTCTTCGCGGAAATGGTAGTCAAAGAGTTGTCAGCTAGAGAGAGATATTTCAGCCTCTGCCATTTCGAAGAAGGTAAGATATTCAGGCTCAGAATATTGGGACTGCTTTCGCTACGATGAGCCTGGATTGAGTATTCGCTGGAATACGAACTGCCAGACCCTGTTCGTTTCACGGTGGTCGAATATGTCCGGATATGCTTGTAAGAGCTGGCAGGCCGAGCAGCGCCGGGTCTCTTAGGAGACACACTCCCCGAGAGTGGCCTTGCTTTGTGTCCTGGTTCAAACGGTTCTTCATTTTCTAGACTTCCTGGGTTGGGAGACCCTGGGTCGGAATGAGACTGAGCGTATTCGGCTCGCGGAGTAGATGGCACCGTCCAAGAGGCACTCATTGTGGGAGAACCCCGGCCTCCCTTGGTTGACCGCCTGCGACGCTTCTCCGCATCATCCAGGACTATGTTGGTGAGCAGCTCGGTAGGGTCAGAGACATTCGCTCGCTTGACCGTAAGCAGGGTCAATTGTTCAGCGAGTCGATCCCAACCATAAAATTGGCGGAAGTCAAGGTCCACTATGTCCAGCTGTTGCAGGTTTTTAAAGGCAAATAATGGAACAGCGGTATCGAAGGGAAACTCCTCATAGCCCTTGATCAGCCGGGCGCGGTGGTCACTAGTGAGTCGTAAAGAAGGAAGCTTAGTAAAGGCAGAATAGAGATAGGTCAAGTCGGCCTGTGTGAGGGCTTTGGCCTTCTCGCTCTTGGAGTTACTTCCTCCGAGGCCGATGGTTGACCAAAAGGAGCTCATTCCCGACATGACGCTGCGCATACTTGAGACCGAATGTATTGAGTCTCTATCACTGCGACCTTTGGCAGGTTTATGAGCTTGCAGAAAGGACACATAGTTGGAGGGAGTAGGGTCGGTACTCAGGCTCTCCAGGCGAATATTCATGGGACCGACCATGATGTCCAGCTCTTCCATGCGCGAAAGGAGGTAGAATAGATGGTGAGGAGTAAGGGTAAGGAGGGCCGCCTTCGCGGTATGAGACCTGAAGCTCAGACCGGCAAGAGACAATGCTGCCGCTAAGGCGCTTGCTGAGGTGGTCGCATTCATGGTCGCTATGCCGGAAGTCACGGTGGAGGTGTTTGTCGATACGGTAATCCCGGATGACTGCCGCTTGTGGACCGACATTTGTAGGCTGTTGGCGAGGGCCTTTTCATGTTGGCGAATGAATTGCGCCAGTGACTGTTAGAAGTCATGCTCAGTCAGTCATGCTCTTAACAGAGAAGAAACCTGGCATCCATGCAAGGTGCAAGCAACCGTGCACATTCTCGTCTCAACCATAACCCAGAATGCACTCACCCGGATGAAGGGGTGCCCATCCTCTGTTTGCAGGCGGTCCATCTCCTGCTCTCCAGAACTTCGAGGTTCGAATCTTCTCTCAACGCGTGGGAATGGGTCTCAAGGTAAGGAGTGTAAGGAATCAGTGTGCACGATGAAAACTGTTTGCACAATCAGCTGAGAATTCATTCCAGGCTTGCTGTCAAAGAGAGAACATACGAGAGTCCTGCATGGAACTCATGGTGGCATGTGGCATGTAAAGAGGCCGGGTTCAATGCTCTGCCAACGTGACCGCAGTCTGGGTGGGAAGGTGCAGATGTGCCTGTGTCTCTTCCCCGTGATGCTCCAAGTGAAATAGTCTATGTATTTCACCCAGAGGTCAAGGCAAAACACTCTATATGAGGGTGAATTGGGACGTTCAACCACCTGCCGTGTAAGCACAAGTGGTTGCGTGACAGGTGCAGGCGGGCAACCGAGGGCCTGGAAGGGTCAGGGTGAGGTGAGCCGTGGGGTTCTAATGAGGCTGAGAGTCGACGTGAGGGTGTGCGAGGAGAAACGAGAATAGCAGCAACAACGGAACTTGAAGCAGCCAACACTCTAGAAGATTATGAAGAGACCCGAAGTAGCGAGGAATGGTGGTGTGAGGTTTCGTGGAAAGTATCTCAGGTAGTTAGTCCGCAAAGTGCTCGTGGTGCGAGTCTTGAGTGGGATGGGATGCATGGAGCGTGCAGAGTTTTGCTATCAAACGAGCAACAAAGTTAGATTGCTTTGGCCTGAGTGGAGGGAAACGGCGTGCCATTGGCAGTGGGCATGCTCATCTGCAAGCGACACAGGCTCCCTCGACTAGAGAAGATCAGATGCCGGGCCCTTAACTAGCGGATGACCAGGGCAGGTAAGACTCTGTCGCCATCACTCGCATATCGTCGCCTCCCCAAACCGAACCCTACCTAAGGTACCCACAGTGCCCATAGTGTCTTGACTCAAGTAGCTGGTTCTCAACCTGCGAGCTTTGTGCTGTTCACTGGGGTATCTTTGTGTGGTTACGAAGGTACGAGTTACTCGTATTCTATGGACATAGTGGGAATGGTGCTCTGGATGAATCAAGGTTACAGGTCTCCGCAACTGCTAAGATCGACGTTGATATTCCCACGTCTTTCTATGCTTGGGAACTTGTCATTTCTCTAGGTTCAATCTGAACGTCCATCTATACCCACAACCTCGTGCTCTTCGGAACGGTGCTGACACCGTCTTCTATCACGAGAACAACTAAACTGGCAGTGGCAAGGGCACCCTTTCGCCCTCTTCCCGAAACTCCCGAAGTTTCACACCCTCCTGAGCTCTCCTCGTCATCGACCTTGTAATCCGTATGCCTATTCCCAGCTCGCAAGCCCTTCTACAGTCTTTCCAAGCCACCCACATATGTCGCAATCCGCTCCGTTGATGACCACCGGGCGGCTGGCTCGGGCCTCGCTTGCTTCTCAGATACGGTATTGGGTGAGCATGCGGTCAATCCTGCCGTCGTGTTGGTGGGCGGTATTCGGGGCGATCCATAAGATTTCAGACATACGAAGTATCCCTTCTGAGCATTATCTTCCTCCTTGACATTTTTTTGCAGCCACCCAGACTCCCCTGCATGCCTTAGAAGCAGCCTAGCTATGTCAGCTAGGAAGGAGCTGGCCCAATTGGCGAGCCTATGGCCTCATTGTGCGTGATGTTGCGTCTACAGTGGAGGCTACTGCCATTCGGCGCCTCAATGCGCCCCGACTCCTACGCGCTCTAGGTAAGACTCCTCTTCACCTGTCTGGTCTGGCTGATTAAAACGACATGGCGATAGACTAATTAATCATGCTCTTCTTTTCGGTTGCATGGAGTGCAACTCACTCCCTGCACGCTGAGCGACCACGCGAATCACAAAGCTGTAGCAAGTGACACTGCGCAGACTGGATGGCCATGTACTCCTGCGGTGCCTCTTCTCTGTCTGTGCGCCTTAGATGACAGGCCAGGCTATTGACCGCTATTCCGGTGACAGCGGCACGCCGCGGCGTGTCACCGTCCGGACCTTCGAGACAACGCTTGCAGGAGACGTGCGCCGTGTGACACAGGATGCTGCAGGAGCGGAAGTGGCAATCCATCTCACTGACCACAAGTTCATTCTCGACATGATCGGAGCGTGGATGAGGCCCGCTAAGCAAGAATGCTCCGTGCCATAGTGGAGCGCACATTGGTCGAGCTCAGACTCCTTAGCGCGTCAATCAACTGCAGCTCCGGAGGACCTCATGACCACCCCGACGCGCAGGGAAGTGGCATTGACAGCAGAATCATCGAGCCAATACATTATTGAGCTGGAGGATCGTTGCGTCTTGTGCAAGAATTAGGGTGACAGTCGAAGGCGCAGAGGCCGGCAAGCATGCCATGACCGCGTTTCCTGAATGTCTTCTGGTCCAGGTCAGGACAGCTTTGAGGACACAGAATTCGGCGCGCGAGCTGCAGTGCTTACCATGTTCAGTTCGCGTCCTTGACTGCCTATGGATCTAGCGAGGGGCTGGACGGCCACCCCGCTAGTACTTTGATGCCAAGCGTGGGGGATTGAGTTACACCATTGCACCCCGATAATCGAAGCAGCTTAGGATGAGGTGTGACGAAATCGACGTACTAGATGAGAAGCGATGCCTATTGGACATCAAGGTCAGTCTAAGATTCGTGTTGACGTGCTCGCTGGAGCGAATTTCCCCCGCCGAGCCACGGTGATTTGCCCATATTCCTTATATCTGGGTTCGAAGAAAATATCTACGTACATCGAAGTCTCAGGGTTCGGGCTCCCGTATCGACCTCATCCAACCCCACAATCTACGACCCTTTTAGGTCTGAACCAGGAAGCTGCGCAGTGATGCGCAGCCGAATGAAAGTTTCCACCGCTTAGTCCGCCCTAAGCAAGAGCCGGCGGTGACCTGAGGCGAGAAAGCCAATGGTTCGAGGCCTCGATGCTACGAGTACGATTAGAGCATCACCTAAGAGTAGCACGAGAGGTGGTTTTCACATGCTTCACGTCTTACTTACACGAATAAACTCCGAGTCTTATCATAATGTCCTCCTTGGTTTAGTTTCACTTCTCACATCACAAGAGTTCTGTGTGACAGAGTCCCAGTGCAGAAAGCAACACACAGTATGTCTTTACCTTTCTCAATTCTCGTAGAACCGGCAGGCGCAGGAGATGACCGCCCCCTTCGCAAAAAAACTGCTTCGAGAAATCGCGGACAGCGTTAAAGCATCGCCTGGAACCGCCGTCTGGCCCAGGGTCAAACATGCCAGGAGGCAATGACAAAGCTTCGATAGTCGGTGCAGCGCCAGGTCGCGCCGATATTGCTAGACAAGACGCCATTTGGGAAGCGCTCTTGTTAGCCGCAGAAGGGCTTGTCAGGTGCTTGCCGGCGGTGGATTGTGGTGAGGTTGCAGGCCGTCGACGGCGACTTGCATCTGTGCATGCCTTTAAGCTCCTTCAGGCGATAAATCGCCTTCGGTTCATGCGGTACCCCCACAAAAGCTCGAGCTACCGCTCAGCATTCCACCGACATGAAATTTTTGTTCACGAATCATCGTCGCGATTGTCCGCATGTTCTTACCGACAACACTCGCTGATCTCTGATATTTGGCGACTATCAAGTATTGATCTATCCTGAGCTTATTCGTCCCGTTATACGAGAGAAGCTCGACTCGCCCAGAGATCTTTCCCTTAGTGCCCTCAAAAGACGGCCGACAGAGAGTCTGTAAGGGAATACTGATAGACTGAGCTCTGTACGGTGCGTCAGGGCGCGACTCGCGTAAGACCCACCGTGCTTTCAATCCTGCCCCTCCAGCTCGCAACGAAACCCCGATATCTATCCCTCGGGTAGAGTTGTCGGCTCTGCAACATCACTGAGGCATCAGAAACTGTGCTTACTGTACTTTGTAAATTGCCCACATGATCCATCTACGGCCCAGAATGACCACTTGCTTCTGGGAGCAACATGGGTCGGTCTTCGGGCTTGTACTCCGTACTCCCAGTTACTTTATTTTCCACTTAGGCATGGCTTGCGTGAAATGCTGATTGCTGGGGTTATGAGTAGACGGCGAGCAAGGTCGGCGACAGCAGTGCGACATCCCCATAGGGTGAGTACGGGAACCGTTTGATTCCAGCATTAGCATACGTGTGCACCAAGCGCTCCAAGACTGTGGATAGCCCGCGCCTTGACGACTTGGAGCGCTGGTACCTTGTACAGCGGTGGAAGCGGGCGTTGTGGCTTGTACGGAGCCCAAGTTCGCGGGGGAAGTGGCGTAGTGCCAAGCATTCCGAGCCTCAACGCCCAACAGAAGTGGCGGCAAAGAGAGTTAAACATCATCCGACAGACCTTTTCCTCTCTTCGCCGCTTTATCAATTTTTTTGTCTCTTGCTAATGATCCCTAATTTTCGTGACAGCATGGCCCACCCCTAGAGCGCTCTTCACGACAATGTCCCAGTTATGACCATGAATGGAAGCAAGGCCGACGTCCCGGCAACGACTCCATCTACCGGCACATATGATCCGCACGACCTGCCGGACTACGAGAATGATTTTGTTCGTTCGACGGATCTCCAGAGCTTCGCAGAAGCCCTGACTGCTCCCACTACTGAGCCTGTAAGAGCCTTGAACGATTGGGGCCCGGTCCATCAACGAGTTAAACGGGCTCGGGTCAAACGGAAAACAACGAGACGGTCCAAGGATGAAACCCGAGAGGGCTTCGTCTACACACTTCTGTACTACCCTTTGCTATTCGGAGTCTGTGGCTGGATCGTCTTCCTTTTCATTGTCTACAATTTGACTCGTTTCTACATCTATGCCTATGAGCATCTGTTTTCATGGAAAGGACAGCGACAGACGCTACATCGGCAACTTCAACAAGCACGTAGTTACGAAGAATGGCAAAAAGCTGCTCATAGCCTTGACGAATATCTTGGAAACGAAGAGTGGAAGAAGTCCGAAGCTTATTCGTACTACAACCACCAAACGGTGAAGAAGGTGACTTTGCAACTGGCCGATTTGCATCGTAAAGTGGTGGCTGAATCGCAGAAGACCACGAATGGTGTCCGCGGTCTTTCTTCGCTGGATGAATTGAAGGCATTGCTCGAGAGCTGTGTCAAGAACAATTTTGTCGGTGTGGAAAACCCGCGTTTGTACAGCGAGACTTATATCGGCACAAAAGAGTTGATCCAAACATTCGTTGATCAGGTGGAACAGAGCCTGCGATTCGTTCTCGATTGTGAGAGCATCACCGATAAAGAAAAGGTATCCTTTTTCAGGCATCTCGAATTAAACTATGGACGGACAGCTCTGTGTCTTTCTGGAGGCGCAACCTTCGCATATTACCATTTCGGAGTCATCAAAGCCTTATTGGATGCAGGACAACTCCCCGAGATCATCACCGGCACTTCTGGCGGCGCTCTGGTAGCGGCATTGGTAGCGACGAGGACGGATGAGGAACTGGAGAAATTATTGGTTCCGGCACTTGCATACCGCATAAGAGCATGCCATGAAGGATTCACGACCTGGTTTCGGAGATGGTGGCGCACCGGCGCGAGATTCGACTCTCTGGACTGGGCACTGCAATGCAGTTGGTTTTGTCGTGGTTCCTTGACCTTCCGCGAAGCCTATGAGAGGACTGGGCGCATCTTGAACGTCACTTGCGTCCCGTCCGATCCTCATTCTCCGACAATCCTAAACAACCATATCACGAGTCCGGACTGTGTTATATGGTCTGCGGTCCTCGCCTCTGCTGCTGTACCGGGTATCCTCAACCCCATCGTGCTTATGCGAAAGACGAAGGACGGTAAGCTTGTCCCTTATTCTTTCGGCAATAAGTGGAAAGACGGAAGCTTGCGGACCGACATACCGCTGAAAGCACTCAACATCCACTTCAACGTCAATTTCTCCATTGTTTCCCAAGTCAACCCTCACATCAACCTGTTCTTCTTCTCTCCTCGAGGGTCGCCGGGTCGGCCAGTGACACATCGCAAGGGGCGTGGCTGGCGAGGTGGGTTCCTTGGCTCAACCATTGAAACTACTGTCAAACTCGATCTGCAAAAATACCTCAAGATACTGCGCCACCTGGAATTGTTGCCGCGGCCCATGGGTCAGGACTGGAGTGAGATATGGTTACAGCGATTCTCTGGCACAGTGACCATTTGGCCCAAAAGCGTCCTGAGCGACTTCTGGAATATCCTCAGCGATCCGAGTCCCCAGCGACTAGACAGGATGTTGATCGTTGGCCAACGTAGCTGCTGGCCTCAGCTGCGCTTTATCTCCAACCGGATGAAGGTGGAGAGAGTCATCCTGAAGGGACTTCGGAAAGGAGGACCAATAGATGATGGTCAGCATGTGCCAGACCCGGTCCATGAGCAACAGGCTCAGGAGGCTCTTCTTCGAGCGAGACGACGACCTGGCCGGGACCAGGATATCTCCGCCACGGACGACGAGCATCTCAATGCTTCCCACTCGCCTGCACGTAGGCATAGCAGCATTCTCGAGGAGCTCACTAGACAGGCTTCAGTGCTGTGGAACGACCATGAAGTGACGGAAGGAGAAGAGGATCCTGTCACGACAGACGAAGGCGAGGCCGACGGTGACGACGACATGGTAGTACAGTCACCTAGAGCAATGGATGACGAGCGATCCGACTGATAGATCTGTATCATTAAAAGTAAAATCCTGCATCAAGCACGAACGAGCACAAGCGAGTACAATCAGTAAGTACACGGTAGTCGCAAGTGCTGTCAACTGATGCGGAGAGGTATACCCATCACGTGACAAGCAAAAGTACGTTATTTGGGGTGGCGCCAGCACAACCGACAGGGAGGATCTGGCGAGGGCGCAGCCGAGATCTGACGTCGATCAGGCGCGTGTTGTCCTCGAGGAATAAAAGTTCCTACAAGAGCTCAGAGGCTGGATACGTGTCGATCGGGGCTCAAGGGCTCATCAAAATTCGATAGACACTGTCGCATAGCGGCCTGGTATCAGAATCGCGCATTTTGAAGGCGCAAGCTGTCGATGGCGTTGTTGTCGCTGTCGAGCAAGAGTTAATGCTTTCAAAGTGCTGCTCGCGACGAGACCTTCTGCCTGTTGTTGTCTGTTGCACTCGCGGGTTTCATTGGCTGTGGCCTTTAGAAGTGGGGCATCTAGCGCGTCTTGGCGTAACGAGTGGCTCCCAGACGCTGCGCTTCACCCCATATCTTGAACACACCTGCGCCTTCAACCATCACTTGGGAGTCGCCCAAGTCTCAAGTGGCCGTGTCCAGCTTTCGCCGCTGTGGGAGTCATCATCTATCATTCAAAGTCCATCGGCTTGCGTATTCTCGACCATCCGTGTTGTGACAGTAGGACGTGGTCACCTCTCCACCAGCTTCCCGAATCGACAACGTTCCATTGGGGGCATAGGTCGCTTACGGGCTACCCTGCGACGACTATCACTATTATTGTCCACCCGTCGTCACCCACATCAATCCAAAGCGGCGTGACTCGTACGCCTTCATCATACAACGCTCATCCGATGCATCGCTCCCGCGCTTCTTGTTGAGTGAGCACCTCTAGCCGTAGCGGCCTTCCTCCAAAACTCCTCTAGCACCCTCGTCGTAGCCGCCAATCATGCCTCCCAACAAGAACAAAAGAAGTCTTGAGGAGATTGTTGCTGCCGACGATTCAGACGACGAAGACTATGATGACAAAGCTCCGGCTGCATCCAGAACCAAACCTGCCAGGTCGCGCCGCCACCCCGGCGCACCGCCTCGCAAGAAGCAAAGAAAAGGGTATGGGGGCTCGGATATCGAGAGTGACTCGGATGTGGTGGAGTCGGATGATGAAACTTCGTTCCACGAAGATGAAGAAGACGCGCCTGTGGAGACAAATCCAACGACTGGACGACCTGTCCGAAGCGCGGCCAAAAAGGCTCACAAATACGAAGAGATTTCGGATGGAGATGAAGATGAGCTTGCTGCTACGTCAGAAGAAGAAGACGAAAAGCATCCACGGCGGCCGGGGAACGGAACTCCACAAAAACCGAAGAAGCTTATTGTCACTCTCCATGTGACACCTCGGCCAAGTAGAAGTGCAAAGAACAGAGCTGGAAGTTACGGCATGAAACAGCCTGCTGGTCCCTCGTCAGCCAATCATCAATCAGGGACTCGGAGGAGTAGTCGGCTCTCGCATGATCCCGAAGAGCATTTGGTGAAGTTGACTGATTCCGGGCATCATGCCGAAGTTGTCAGGGAAGGCTCACGGGACCCTGAAGGGATTCCAGCAAGAGCGATGAATGGTGGAAAGGGCCTCAAGTACCCGTCAAAGAGTACAATAGACGAAGAGTCACAATCGCAACTAAGGGAAGAGGAAGTCGAAGAGGAGCTTGAAATCAAAGCCTCACAACACGAATTTCCCGAAAGCGATCCTCTACAGCCAGAAGAACATCCAGAAGAACGTGCCGGACCATTACCACATATATTCTCCGACATCATGGAGGCGGCGGCAACTGCACCAGACGTTGAAAGTGATGGAGAATTCAATCCTGGACCCGCTGGCACGCAAGAGGATGCCGGACTCGAAAAAACGGCAACGCATGAAGACGAAGATGAGGAGGAAGACGAAGTGAGGCCCGCCCGAGGCAGAGTGACACGTGAAGCGTCGAAGAGGCAGGCCGACACACCCGAAGTCGAGCCTGAGCCAAAGCGTCTACGCAACCTCAGGACTCGAAACCGGGCGGGAGCTTCGGGAAGTCGTCGGCGGAAAGCTCCAGATGAAAGTAGTGACTTCAACCCTGATGAACAGGAGGCTGCCCTTGATGACTTGTCTAGCTCCAGCGAATCCAATGCGTCACCCCGCAAGAAGACCGACGAGGATGATGAGTACGAAGGGCAGAGCCAGGGCCGAAAATCGAGGAGACTACGCAGTCAGGCTGCTTCACGTCAAAGGTCCGCGGAAGGAAGCGAGGACGAACTCGCCGCCGAGGTCGAAGAGCTGAAGGGAGATGGAAGAAGACCTCGCCGTAAAGAGGCAGAAATAACCTACGAGCCTCGTGGGCGACGGAAGGGGCCAAAGCCCAACTACAATTTGTTGCGGAACCTGCAACCCCTTGAGGAGGAGGATGATCCGGCACCGTCTCCTTCAGCACGGGCTCGAAAGACGGGCGGTGGTGGTGGCGGGGGTTGGAACCGCCCACTGCTAAACACGTATGGTCCATTCGGTGGTGGCGGCGGTCTACCACCAGTTCTGGGAGGAGCCCCGCCGAGGGCTCAGGGTGGTGTAGACTCTGACAGCAGCGACGATGAAGCCATGGCGCGGCCGAGACCCGTCGGCGGTACAGTTGGCATGACTCCAACTACTGCTGGGCCCTTGAATCTCTTCCCACAAACCCTCAATGCGGATCCTGCTCAAAACACGGCTGGCACACCAGCAAACCTGGGCAAGATCAAGGATAAGCAGGCGTTGGCCGACGCCGATCCTCTCGGAGTTGACCAGAGTGTCAGTTTCGACGGTGTAGGTGGTCTGCAAGGACATATCGATCAGTTGAAGTGAGTACTGCCCTACCCAATACAGCCCAAAAATGCTGATACATTCTTAGGGAGATGGTCGCGCTGCCTCTGCTCTATCCAGAAATCTTCATGCGGTTCAAGATCACCCCACCCCGTGGCGTACTGTTTCACGGTCCGCCAGGTACGGGTAAGACCCTGCTTGCACGAGCTCTCGCTACTAGTGTCAGCTCGCAAGGCAAGAACGTCACCTTTTACATGCGTAAAGGCGCGGATGCTTTGAGCAAGTGGGTTGGTGAAGCCGAAAGACAGTTACGGTTGCTCTTCGAAGAAGCTCGAAAAAACCAGCCCAGCATCATCTTCTTTGATGAAATTGATGGCCTAGCTCCTGTTCGCTCTAGCAAGCAAGAACAGATCCATGCCTCCATCGTCTCGACTCTCTTGGCATTGATGGACGGCATGGACGGGAGAGGCCAGGTGATTGTCATCGGAGCTACCAATCGTCCTGACTCTATCGATCCTGCCCTCAGACGACCGGGCCGTTTTGATCGTGAATTCTACTTTCCTCTGCCAGACACCGAGGCAAGAAAAGCCATCATTGACATCCATACGAGAGGCTGGGAACCTCCACTGCCGGAAGACACGAAGAAGGAATTAGCTGAGCAGACCAAGGGATACGGTGGCGCGGACCTGCGTGCTCTCTGCACAGAAGCTGCGCTCAACGCGGTGCAGCGTCGCTACCCTCAGATTTACAGCTCCAACCAAAAGCTCGCGATCGATCCGAAAACCATTGAAGTCACGCCCAAGGACTTCATGATCTCTATCAAGAAAATGACACCGTCCTCTGAACGATCTGCATCCTCGGGTGCTGCTCCGCTTCCCTCCAGCGTTGCTCCACTGCTGCAGAATCAGCTCGAGGAGATTCAGCGGGTGCTTGCGGAGATGTTGCCACAGAGAAAGAGACTCACAGCATTAGAAGAGGCTCAATTCGAGGACGTCGCCGACGGTGGTAGTTTTGGCAGGGAAAGAATGCAGCAAGCGTTCGAAACTTCCAGGGTTTTCCGCCCTCGACTTCTCATTCACGGAAAGATTGGTATGGGCCAACAGTATGTGGCTTCTGCCTTGCTCAACCATTTTGAAGGCCTACATGTGCAAGCTCTGGACATTCCAACACTATTCAGTGACACGGCAAGCTCACCCGAGGCGACTATAATTAGGCTGTTCTCTGAGGTTAAGATGCACAAACCGAGTCTCATCTACATTCCCAACGTGCAGGAATGGTACACTACGGTTGGTCCAGCGGTAATCTCCACGTTCGTTGGGCTTCTGAGATCCATTAAGCCCACCGATCCGGTACTGCTGCTCGGTTTTGCCGAAGGTGACTATGATGATATGGACGAGAGTATGCGCCGAGAGTTCTTTGGATACTCAAAGAAGAACCAATTTCCGTTGAGAGAACCCGGTCATGCAGAACGAGCCGAGTTCTTCCGCCACGTCAAAAGCTACATCAGCACCGCGCCTGATGACTTCCCAGACCCAGAACACAGGAAGAAACGCGAACTCGAGAAGCTTGACGTGGCGCCTCCCGAACCCGAGAAGCCTAAGACGCCTCCTTCGAAGGAGGAGCTCAAGGCACAAAAGAGACGAGATCGCCAGACGCTCAACCTGCTCAAAATACGCCTGCAACCGATTATGGATCAGATCCGGACCAAATACAAGACCTTCCGGACAGGCGTCATCGACGAGAGCCAATTCCGATATCTCTACGAAGAAGCCGATCCTGGCACGGTGACTTCAGATTTGAACACAGATGTCCTAGCTCGAGCGACCTACAGACCGTTCGAGATTGGAAAGGATGCACATGGAGTGCCTGTGCTCGTCGACCAAGGCAACGGCAACTGCTACTATAACCTCGACTCGGTCACGATTGAGAAGCGGCTGAGTAATGGATATTACAAGCGGCCAAAGGACTTTCTGGCCGACATCAAGCGGTTGGCTAAAGATGCGAAAACGATCGGCGACGAACCACGCTTGCTCAAAGCGAACGAGCTTTTGGCCAATGTCGAGGTCGACATTGCGTCTATCGAGATGGAACCTGGTCTTGCAGCCGAGTGTGAACGGGTCTATCAACGGGAGCTCGAACGAGAGAAAGAGGCTCTAGAGAAAGCAAGACAGGATCAAATGCCACCACCTCAAGTCACTTCCAACGTTCCACCAGATTCAGGACCTACCACGATGACTGACAGTGGTCCGATCCTTCTTGGAGTTCCCATGCAACGAAAAAGTGATATTGCCCAGCAATTGGCTCCAACGACTGCTCAGGCAACCTCTTCTGAGACTGTCGTGACAAACGGTGTTCATCTGAGTCATGACGATACGCAGCGTCTGACTAATGGATCTCAGAGCAACGGACATGAAGCTGATGCCACAGGTGATACACACATGGAGGGTACAGAGTCACACCCGACTTCGGGCAACAAGAGCAATGAAACACAGCAGACGCCCACGACCAGTTCTTTTGGTGCTCGCAATTCCGCTCAGACTCGACCTTGGCACGACTACACTGCGCCTTCACAGCACCTCTTGAAGCAACAGGGAATCTCACAGCCGCCTTCGCAAACGGCTGCATTCACTCCCATGCCACACGGAAGCCAACCAGGACAGTTCCTCAACGACGCTAGCACCACCGAGTCGCCAAATGAGACCAACAAGAAGACATCGCCGTCAGAGAACACCCAACAGGAGGTACCGCAAGACTCAGGCCCCGATCTTTATCCCTTTGACGAGAGGCGGTCTGCAGGAGGAAGTCAAATCCCGTCCACTCAAGGTACGGCCACTTCTGCGTTTGATGGTTCCGATGACATCCCAAACTCCCCACTGTCTCATAACCCGTTGGACCTTACCAAACTGATACCTGCGACAGGGCAAAATTCTCAAGCGCAACCTGCCACAGTAGGTGACCGCCCGTCCTCGTCTCAAGGCCAAACCCTCGAGTTCAACTCCCAGCACTCGACGGCCATGCCTCCCCCAACCGACACGAAGTCTCAACGGCCGTCTAATGCAAGCCGCGTCGACGATCTCCTCAACCCTCCAGCTTCCCCGCAACAACCGCCACCCACGGCTCGCCCCAACCTCATCCAAGTCGAACAACAGGCTCTCTCGAACTTACATAAAGAAATCACCGACAAGACTAGTGGTCTGTCAGTGGAACAACTCGAGCAGGTCAACAGTGTGCTGATGGACACGCTGTGGAGAACGAGGAGTCAGTGGGATAGGCACAAAGTCATGGAGAGCATCGCCGAGGCATTTTACGACGTCTTGCGAGACATGGAGGGAGTGGGCCAGGACTTGGGCGAAATGAGCTGGGGGAGGAAGGACTAGTACAGCAAGTCAACAGTAGCAATGCAACACTCGCCGGGTACGAGCTTCTGCGTGTGGGTACTGACTGACATATGAATGGGGACGCGGAAACGGAAACGACACGGAGGTGGCAAAACAATGATGGCAGAGCTGGTCCTCCTGGATGATGTGCATCTTTCGTTCTTACCGACCTGGGAAGAGAAAGGCGACCGCCAGAGTCGCGTAGGAAACCCGCGGCAGGAGAAGAAGAAGAAGCTCGAGGAATTACGTCGGATTGGCTTGAACCTCATCTTCTTGGTTTGGGCCTCGGGCCATGGAATGTAGCAACAGATAAAGATAGATACTCAGGACCAGGGACGCAAGAAGGATCCGAAATGTAGAGAATTTTTGGAGTGCGATGCCGTCGTGTGAAGCATTTATTCCTACGGCAGGATGCCGTGTGCCTCTCTACCCAGTTGCCTCTGTTCCATCACGCTTGGGAGTGTAATACACGGTTGTGCTCGTCGTCATGGTCTGTGGCCTTTTCGCTGCGGAGGTTGTTCGATTCAGGAAGTTCTTTCTGTTGTACGCAAATGCCAGGGGGGCGCAAGGCAAAAGGGATCACAGCTAGCATACCCTACCGTGTCGTGGATTTCATAGCGGCACAGGTACTAAAAGTAGTATCGCTGTTGGTATATACCCATCTTAGGGATTCCCCTCATCGCATTATGTATTACATGTCTATTTTACTGGATCTATTCTTCTCTTTTCCTTCGGTGGGGTCAGACACCGATGTCTGATATATCTAATTTCCGATGCTGGATCCTTTCTGATAAGTCGTGGTCATTTCGTCTTCTCCTTGTCGTGGGTGTTGTTCACCTCCCGCGCAGGCAAAGCATACAATCCGCCCCCTACAAACACGACAGCCGCCCCGAGCAGCACTCCCCCCGGCAAGTCGTTCCCAAACAGCCAGATGCTCAGCACCAGGCTGACGAGCTTGCGGATGTTCAGCACGATACTGACCGTCAGGGAGGACGACTGGGCGGACAGCCTGTTCACGCCGACGATGCAGAGCAGCTGCGTCGCCGCGTTGGCTGCAAGAAGTAAAACCGGGCGCGGGAGGAGTATTGTTGAGGCCACGCGGTCGAGAAGAGCCGCGGGGGTGGTAGCGAATAGAGATGATGGCGTTGCCGCCGCCGCCTTCGACTGCACGGGGCCGGGGACCGGAAAGGCCATCAAGCCAACGAAGTCGGATGTGAGCGGTCGGATCTGCCCGAGGAACCAAGGCAGTGACATGGCGTGGCTGTAGAAGAGCGTTTCGGCCGTGATGTCCCTGGACCGGCCGTGCGTGGCGTACATGTCGTCCGAGTAGAGGCCCATGCAGGCCGAGAGGACGAGGGCGGACGCGAGCAGCGCGAACCCGGGGGCCTGGGACCATGCGGATGCGTCTGCCCCGTCGTCCTCGAGTACTGCGGCGCTCCTGCTCTGCTTGGCCGCCGCGTCACTAAACGCCGCGACCACCACGCCCGCAAACAGCAAGACCACGGCCACCACCTTCTGCGCGGGGTAGTTCCGCCCCTTGACGATCCTGCCGGCCAGCATGCTCGTCACGGGCCCCGCGCTGCGCAGGATGATATGTAGCGGGATCCCAATCTTGTACCGAAACGCCGTATTGTTCAGGATGTTGATGCTCAGGAAATACGCCGTGTAGATGACCCATTTGCGGAGCGGGATGTTGCGTTCCTTGAGAAACAGGTTGCGTGCGCCTCGCGAGGGCGAGAAGTGGCGCGGCAGAGTGAAGAGGGAGACGAGCAGGAATTGGGAGGCGGTCAGGAGGCTGCCGGAGGATGGGGACGTAGATATCAGGGCCTCGAGCGTGTAGACGTTGGAGCAGCAGCCACCGAAGATGAGGAGCAGGGTTGGGGCCCAGATCTGGAGGATTGAGAGCGTCGTCGACGAGGGTGGGGAGGGCGTCGACTTTGATTTCGACTGCGACTGCGACACTGTGCCGTTGGGTACGGACCCGCCGCCGTTGGCATGGGAATGGGGTTCACGCGCTGGGGGTTCGCGTCTCCTCCGCGCCGCAAAGTCCAGCTGTGAAGCCATCTTGGACGGCGGGCACAGAACTGGGAGGCAGTATGGATGACGGATGAGAGAGGGGTAAGGGAAACTTCGTGTCACCGCCAGCTTTGGTGGTGCATTTTCTGGGTGGTCTTGCGCCCGGTTTGTGCGAGCCTGTCAGTAGGGTACGATGTTGGTGCCGGGTGCGAGTGACCGGGAGTTACACTGCAAGTGCTGGACAATTTTGAGGGAATGGAGTGTGACGAGGCTGTGGAACCGCGAGACGAGGCTGAGATACTGAATATTGGACCGAAGTTTTACCAGGGCCCTCAACCTTGACGAGGTAATTAATCCCTCTCTGCCTACAGCGACACAGCTTGCCTCTCAGGTATAGTCAAGGGTGTTGACCAAGCGTGATGCTTCGCGGACTGAATCTGGCTCCGCGACTGTGGTAGCGACTTTCATCACTATACCTAACTATGTGCCTGCGGCGGGACGAATGCCTCGGTCACAACCAGCTATGAGCAGTAGGCATTGTGCTTGCTAACATCAACACAGTGAGCGACAACGCTCCAACCTACTGAAAAGAGAGCTTCATCATATCCATGCCGAAGTCCTTGGGCAGCTTCGGCCCCGACACAGAAATTGTTCCAGCCACCTCCCTCCTCGTCGGGGTGTCCTCATTCACGGCATCGCCACCAGCGTAATCCTCAATCTTAAAACTACTTGGATGCATCCAATAGTCAGGGATCTGAATCCTCGAGGATATGTCGTCCCACTCCCACACCGCAGTGACGCTTCCATCTGTTCTCAGCCAACCACTCGTTGTGACACCGTGACCTCGTAGTAGCTGTGGTGGGTGTACGTGTCCTCCACCTCTGGCAGCGCCTGCTGCATAAAGATATAATGGTCCACCCCCTCCTTACCTGAATCCAAGTACATGGACGTTAGGACGTCATCATTTGAGAACCGCGGATGGCAAAGGATGTCCGAGTGCACGAAGTGTGTAAAAGTCCAACTCGTCATCGAACTCCTTCCATAAGTAGCCGAGATGGCCCAACTTGTGCACGAGAGCACAACCCTCGTGGTATGGTTACCTAACCGAGCCGGCGACTTTACAAAGCGTATGTTGAAAGGGCCTTGATTTTCGTGCGAGGCCCTAAGCTCCGCGCCTGTGTTCGCGGCGACCTCACGCTCCGTCTAGCCATAGACGACGTGCATTGACGTGCCCTCTAGCCGTGCGATCCTGACACGTCGCCCTCAGCCCGGCGCACGTGGTCGAGACTTGCGAACCCTCGCGACGGGCAACTTGGCCGCCTGGTCGGGTTCAGCCTAGTCACTCGCCACGAAGGCCAAGTGTAGGAACTCCGGCTTTCCCTTCTTCCAAGACGACTCGGTAGTCACGTAGACGTACGGATCTCTCCCGTAGCCACGAAAATAGATGGTGTGGTTTCCGGGTCGCTTCTCCTCGAGCAAGCCGAAATCTTTCACGAACTTTGCGAACGTGTGGAGGTCCCGGTGCTCGAAGTAGACGTGCGCCAGACGGACGAACTGTACCTTTGGCGGGTCGTTCTTGACGTCAGGAATGGGCATGTTGGGGACGATGCGTTCTCGGACGAATCTGAGAGAGTATGCGAAGATGTCAAAGACAGTGACCATATTTTTGCTCCCTAGCTCTAGTGAAAGTTGTTAGCAAGGCCTAGTGAGTGAACCACATCTTGGATCCCGCGTCTTTAAGCACTTACTCGCGTAGCTCTCCCAAACCATTCTCACCCATGTATTCATAGTCTCTCAGTATCGAAAAGATCATATAGAACCGCGCCGAGCGCTCCAGGGCGGTATGTGGCGATGGGCCAACTTGCTAGGGTAGTTACTCACCTCCAGACCGTCAAGTCATGTCCGAGGACACAAGTCGCCCCACCCGTGTCCGGCACCACGCCCCTACTTTACACGGTAGACTGATCTTATCCAAGAACGGCATGCGTTAAGCCTTCGAATAAGCGCCTGTGGATTCGTTAGCATTCCGGATGTAGCACAGCTCTCCTGGCTCAAGTAATCTGCAGTCGAGGATCTCAAAAGGTCCAAGGGCACCAGACCAAATTCACTGCTCATGATGCAAGCCTCGGCCGACCCCCAAACTGACCAATCACTGTACACAGGGATCTTTCACTTCACAAGGCTGCGTGCATAGCCTCGCGCTCACAATAAATCAATGATTAATTATTTTTTTGGGACCTACACAATTTCTCCCAACAACAGCCTTCGAACTGAGACGGACCACGGTCCGTCTCCCACCAGAGCAAAGTCGGCAGCAATCTCTGGCTGAGCGGTTCAAGCAGTTTGTCATGTAAAAAAACTCCCGACCGTGCAGCTGAGCTGCTTTGGGTTACCCTGATGGGGCCAGGTCGGGGCTTTTCAGACCTGGATTCTGTTTTTTTGTACTTTTTGACACCTGGCAGAGCTGTTTGGTGTGGCGACGACAGGGTTTGTGGGTTGAGATATGTTTGGCTGGGTTGGGTTGCGTTGAAGGTGGCGGGCTTCTTCACCAACCCTGTCTTCACTGCCGACGAACTCAGCGAGGACTTCACCACAACCAATCCAGAGTGGCTGATCATCAGGCGCACGTGGATTGCGAGATGTAGAGCGTATTCAGCCATTTTACTGTGGTATGCCATGTCTTGGTCGAATTCCGCTGCATCTCTCTCGCAGGACTCACAATGATTACTGTTTGCTTGCCAATTGGGTCGGAGGTTTTGGTTCTCGGTACTCTCTGATGTTGGTGACTTTGATCTCAACCACGTCGCTGTCAGTTCGCTTGGTCCGAAGCAAAGGACAATTGGGAAGAACCAGGAGCTCCGATTCGCCATAGTATTGAAGTAATCACCTCAGTCTCTAATTAGCCCATGAATCTCAGGATTTTTTGGAGGCGAGAAAACCGTAGCCTTCTTGATCTCCGCATCCTGCATGAGCTCTCCATTGGCTATTGTCGTCTATCTCAGGATGTTCGTTTGCTGGGCCACTTCCAGTCGTTGGCGACGGGCATCATCTCAAGCATTGAGACAGTCACCGGCCTCGGTATTGAGTGGTAGCGCATATTGTTCTCTGAAACGCTGGAGTGAGCACAGCGCGGGATTTCCTTTTGCCGTGCCCATTATGTCAGAGTCCCTATATCCTGTCCAAGGTCGACGTTAGAGCTCAATCATCGAGGTAGGCACGGCGAATGGAACCACGGGAGACGAGCAGACAGTATATGGTATTCATTGGATCGCCTTCATCACAAAGTGATGGTGGCCTTGCACGCGGATAAATGCAGGTCGAGCTTAGAGCTACAGTACATTGTCCCACATACGGCGAATACTGTACGGACTCACCTCCCAAAACTAGGTACGTACCTAGCCTGCAAATTCCCAGAAGCGGAGACTGCGTCATTGAACCATGTAAGTCCTCTGCTGTCTCCCAGCGGGTATCTTTGCAAGGAGCTCTTGCACATCTCGACACCTGGCATTGAATGGAATGACCAAGTAGAGCGTGCCCACCCTCTCCCAACGTTCGGGACTAGACAGCGGTACTTTTCGCAGCGTCAAAAACCGAGCGGTCCCGTGTTCGTTCACGAGGTATTGCCCAGCGAACATCAGCACGCTTACCAGTTCCCCACAGACATGCTTGGCGGCCCACTCGCGCTCGGTCATTGCAACCGACATGCCCACGCAGGATAGCCGGCCTCCTATCCTATACCACTTCGCGTCCCAGCTGATTTCCTGGGCCTTCGCCTTTTGACGACCGGGCCTGCCGATTGCCTGTGTCCAATACCATTGCTTCTTAACCTGCTCTACTCGTTGGAAACTGTTTAGGAGAAGCGGGTTCTTGATTTCAATCAAGGTTGGTGGCGGCTCACTGACGAGACGGGCGGCAGAGGACGTCTCTTGCAGGTGAATCGGGCGGGCGTGGTCGGATCCATAAAGGGAGATGTCTGCAGCCCATAGTAATTTCAGAGACTCGGCGTTGAGCAGGTCGCTCATGTAGGCGCAGTGCTCCAGGTTGGGAGGCGCCCGCCAGCTCACCGTGCCGACCCACCCTGCCCATGTCCACGACGGCAGGTTGGTTTTCCGCCGACACGCCTCAGACACATACATGAGTAGATCCGAGCTGGTACGGTGGTACCACGACGAGACTGACAAAGCGAACGTGATTTGCGCACCCGAGCGACCTTGGACAATGTCGTCCAGCCACACGGGTAGTCCGTGAAGTAGGTACAGCTGCCTGGTCTGCGCATACAATCCGAATATGCCTTGAAGTGCGAAGAGACTGTCTTCGTCACGCGTCAGTTGCCTCTTGGAGTATTCCCGAGTGTGCTCATTGAGACCACGCAATTGCGCACGGACAGTCACTTCCTCTTGGGTTGGAAAGCCGTAGGCGAGACGGTGGCCTTCGTCTTGAGTGACGAGCGAGTCCACGGCCCCGCCACGGCTTCCACTATAAGCATCTCCCTTGAAAATGCCAGAGAGCATGAAGTCTGCCATGACGAATTCTGAATTATCTTCCGCTTCGGTAGCAGGCACATGATAAAACACCACGTCGATACTTTCCTGAGCAGCCATGCCCCGGCATTCCCAATAGATCTGCTCGTCTGTGAAGACTAAGCGTCGATTAGAGAGCACACCTTCCTGATAGGTCCAGCCTCGGGACCAGTAGGTCGACTCGAGAATGTCGCGACGGGGATCTCGGAGCATCGAGAGGAGTACGCTGCCACTGTCCAGATAGTACTTTGGCTGCGGCCTTCGAGGTTTGGATCGTACGCCCGGGAGGCCGTGACTCGCGCCAGAGCCGGCGGCCGCTACGATGGTAAGCTCTGCTGCTTCATAGATTGTGGTCATCCTCGAAATCAGGTAGGCCATTTCGTCAGCGTCAGTTTGGTTGATACAGAGCCGGTCAACCCACAGGTAGTCGAAACCTAGTTGCTTGGTAACTGCGACGGCATCGAGCACTGTCTCTGGCCAATCTGTTAGATCCTCTGGCGTTGATCCCCAGACATAGCTTAGAGCAAGGTATGTGGTCCCCCAAGGCTTCTCCTCAACAACAGGAGGTTCCTTGGTATGGTACAGTCGATGAGGCGAAAGCCCGACAAGATGGGTTCGTGAGTTGTCCGCCTCTTACAACCGCTGCCGTGGTCTTTGTGACAAACATTCAACCACTGTCGTGCACCATCAAGGTTCGGCTCTTCGCCAACCCCTCGCGCGCGAAGTATATACTTTTCCTCAGCACTTTGAGAATCCTCGTCAGGTCGGAGACGGTAGATTGCTCCCGTAGCGGGAATATCGTGGTCCAGCCAGTTTTCCCGATAGCCACATAGCGGGATGGGATCGAGATCCGGAACCACTGCCATAAAAACCCCGTCTTTGTCATGCTCGTACTTTACACCGTTGCTCTCGTGCAGCCAGCCGGCCTTGAAAAGCCAACTATCACTGCAGCGGAACGCGAGGAGTTTGTATCGCTTGTGGCTATCGGGCTGGACTCTCAGCGACCGAAAGAACTCACAAAGTGGGCAGTCTGATGGTTTAGACAGGGAATCATCGAATCGGTGTGCCAGAATCGCGTCGTCATAATACCAGCTTCCGTCGGACGCTTTGTATAAATCTTCTGAAGAAGACAACAATCCGGCTCTAACCCGCCGGTATGCCTCATGGGCTCTTTCGAATTTCTTGTCGAGGTCCAGCCGTTGGCAGACCTCACATAGTGGTGATGTCAAGTCCGTAACGAATCTGGGACGTTTGCTGCGCCGTCCACTATCCCCATCATCCGGAGAGGTCGAACTTGTCCCTCTTTTGGATAGCTTGCGCACTGTGGGGGCATTCATTTTCTTTCAGCGACGACTGACGACCGATTTACTGGTAACCGGTCAGTGTAAGGGTAGAACGAGCATGAGTTTGAGGAATACGCACTGTACACATCGATATATGCAATATGCCTTGGTCGACCAGCAGCCAGCTTCCTTCTGAATCGAAACTGGTGGTTTTGACGCGTAAGGTAGACGATTTGCTTGCAGTAGCTTTGCGGAGAGAGCATGAAAGTTGATGATGAGGCTAAGTAGTCAATTGGCAATTGTGAGGCTGCAGATGGCCTTGTACTTGTAGAGCCTGAAATGCAGCCTCTCCATCCCGCTACCCACCGTAGCCTCATGCAGCTGAGCCACTGCCCAAGGCTGGCTGCGTGGACCAAAAGTCCTGGCCGGTAGACTTACGGAGGTCTCGAGCCCATAGCGCCTTCCGGTTCTCCGATATCTCCTGGGTCGTACCGTTGTCAAGATCAAAAGAAGAACAGTGCATCATTGTCGCGCACCCCTCAGTATCAAGGCGTTAGAGGCGTCCCAAGTGTTTCACTAGCGCACGCCACATACTGACGCAGGCCTCTGGCTGTGACAATTAACATGAAAAGACAATCATGCTCGACGGCGGCATTGCGCTGGGCATGGCTGGGTCGAGAGACAGTCTGAAGAGATCAACGTATCTTCTTGAATTGAAGGTCGGTAGAGGTTGCGTGCACCATCGCGACGCACCAAGCATTGCTATTGCTGCCTGGAGTGGATCCGTCGGGGAAAGCCACGGGTAAAGCTCCCCCGTTGACGACGAGCTGACTAGAGCCAGAGCGGCCGTTGAAACTGTACATAACACAGCCCCTCTCGATCTTCTGCCTCTCTCTAGGGGCTTCATAAGTATGAGGCCAAGCGACGGCACCGTTGAGCTGGCCGTGGCATCCTAAATCCCTACTGTGGTAATCAACTACTTCACAAGCGGCGGAAACAATCCTAACCTTTCAGCCAGATTCAAGCACCCCGCGTACATACGTACAGGAAGTTACCCCAGTCTTGCAGTGGCATACGCATGTGGCTTTTTGGTGGCTTGGAGGGCTGTGTCTAGTCCCTACGCACCTTGAAACTCAGCCTCACGGACATACAAAAGTGCCGCAACACCCAATAACCAATATCTTTTACCTCCTACTGTGTTTAGGGTGACAAGCTATCAGGGAAGGCTATGCAAAAGATATATCCATATACGGAGTACGCAGAACAGGATCGTAAGTCCTTGCCGTCGTCCGCAATGGCACATATACAGACAGTACATCCCAGGACAGTTTCTAGCCACTGGAGGGGAGTTCGAAGGCTTCCCTCCGTCACGCTTCGCGTTGTGCCTTGACGATCCCGTTCTCGCTCGTTGGCCTACTGTTGGCTCTACCGACCGATCGACCGACCTGGTCGGGACCACTGTCGAGGCAATTGGTTGGGACTTAACCTTTGATGTTCTTGCTTGCTCGGACAGGACGCGGAGTGAGTTCTCTTCGTGAAGGAGGGCAACCCCCTTCTCTGTTTCCAGTGATATCCGCGTGTTTTGGTACACTTTGCTCTGCTTGCTTGGAGCCCCAGTACAAACAACTCAACCGAGGCTCTGCGTCAATCGATGATCTACGACTTTCCTTGTACCACGTCTATACCCTATGCAACGCATGCCATGCCAGGCATGGCATCAGACGACTTCCTGGACGCGCTTGCCACTTCGCATGTGCAAGATCCGCTAAACAGTGTTTACTCGGCATGGTCTCAGTCAGCGCCATTCGAATATTGCCCGTTGTGGCGCAAGGGCACCATACGAGTACTACATTTACTGCCTGGAGCGTCCAAGGACCCGATATTGTGCGAGATCGAGCACGTATCGTTGGACGAAGGAGTTGAGTACAACGCCTTGTCTTATGCTTGGGGCGATCCCGGCGAAAGAGTGGCAATCAGTGTCTTCGGGCATGGCTTTCAAGTCACCGCAAGCCTGGCAGAGGCACTTCGGGCCTTTCGAAAGCGACAGAAAACTGTACCTGTCTGGGCGGACGCCGTGTGCATCAATCAGACGGATCCGGCTGAACGGGCCGAGCAGGTCGGCCGGATGAGGGACGTGTATGCCAATGCCCGGCAAGTCATCGTCTGGTTGGGGAATGGTTCAGCAATGTCGGAACTAGGACTGACGGTGATAAGAAAGGCCAACACGCTGCCGGTGGAGGAGTGGAATCGTCTCGTGATTGAGACAAAAGGCGAGGCAAGGTTCCTGAAGATGATACTGCACGGTTTGATGGACATATTCGGCCGGTCTTGGTGGAGTCGTGTGTAGATCGTGCAGGAAATCGCGGTTGCGCGCTCTAACCCGCTGCTTATTTGTGGCACGGAGTGCATTCCTTGGAGTACTATCGAGGATTTGAATGAGTTAGCCTTCGGCGCGGGGCCAGCCGCTACGTCCGGGTTTTGGGATCTCATGAGGGCATCTGGCATGGGAATCATCTGCGATATGGTGGCCATTCGAAATTGCGTCCAGGCTGACGGTCACCTATCGTGGAGTCGCTTGATGGGAACAACGACACGGCGCAAGTTCACCGAGCCGCTCGACAGTGTCTATGCTCTCTTGGGACTGGCGAGTCCAGAGATGCGGGAGGCAATACCCATTGATTACAGTGCAAGCATTGACCGATTATATGTGGATGTCGCCACAGCCTGGGTCGCGATCGAGCGAAATCTGAACTTGCTGTCATGTGTCCAGCATCTGGAAAATAGCGCATCGGAACTCTCCCTGGATGACGCACAGTGGCAAATGGTGCAAGCAGCCAGGATGGTGCAGCAATCTATGCGGGTCCTCCCATCCTGGGTCCCGGACTGGTCGCAGCCTGATAAACAGCGGCATCGACTACTCTATCGCGAGAATACATACCATGCCTCGTTGGGGAAGAAAGCGGAGGTGGCTTTCTGTAAGGGCCGGACGTCCATCACTGCCAGTGGAGTTCACGTCGACTCGGTTGCCGTGGTCTTTGACGCCAGATACGACACGTCGAAAGTGAAGAAGTCGCTTCAAGAACTGGAGTTTGTAGCGTCGGCCGCGTCTTCGATTTTGATTGATGACGACGCCATGAGAAGGAAGGTGCTGGATGATGACTTCTGGAGAACATTGGTCGGCAATAGGACGGAATCAGGTGAAAGCCCTGCGCCGGATCAGTGGGCAGTCGCATTCAAGGTCAGCAAGGGTGAAGTCCCAGTCCCGGATCATTTCCAACCCGAAAAGGAACCTGTCGAACGGTTTGCGAAATTTGTCATCCCGTTACGGACGCAGCTGAATGACGCCATGGAAGGAAGGCGCTTCTTCGTCACCCGACGGGGCCTCTTTGGTATTGGACCATGTCACATGCGTAGAGGTGACGCTATTTGTGTACTGTTTGGAGCAGACTTGCCTATGATCTTGCGTCAACATGATGACCATTGGAGACTTCTGGGAGAATCATATGTTCATCGACTTGCCAGTGGTGAAGGAGTTCAGCTACATCTGGAACGCCAGGAAGATTTTCCAAAAGAAGAGTTCGTTATCCGGTAATTCTGTTATAGGGAGGATTTTTATGGGCGCCCTTCTCTTGCTGTCCAGCTCGGGGAGACAGGAAGGCACGTCCCAAGCCGGTCCGGCATAAATGGTTCAAGAGCTTGTCTCTCTAACACTTGGGAGGACTTTCGTTGTGCACACCAGTCTTCGCCATAAGACGACCTGAGCCTCCCAATCGTCGCCAAGGCGGGTTGCCCTGCTGTTGTTGAACACCATAACGCTCGTCTCACTCTCTAGATCCGGATGCCTTGACCGAGACAGCCGCGCCATTGTCGACGCGGCCGAAAAACACCCCTGGTGTATATATTTCCTCGTTTCCGTCACAGCGAGCAAGGCCCGGTGCGCCACAAGTCCATCGTACTGCAGTTGCGACCAAGATAGTAATCTCTCGGTCTTTCGAGAGCCGCTCCCAGGGGAAAAAGAACCCGTGCGAAGTAGAGACACACTCTGGGCTTCCCGTGAAGCCCATGGCCCGGAGTGCGACGTAAGCCGACTCCTCGAGAGATTCTGCCGATCCGACGGCCCGAATCTTGCTCGACGCAAGCCATCTCTCGACAAAGCTCCCGCCATCCTCGTCTATGGCCGCCTTCCCCAGATGCAACATCGCGTCTAAGTAGAAGGAACCCAATTCTTCATGACCCGGCTGACCGGCGCCGAAACAGTGCCAAGGCAAGATGGACGGGAGATCTCCTGGCGCTGGACGCCAACGCTTTGGCGTCCTCGCGTCCCGCTTCGCGGCCGAATAGATGAACGAATAGTCGCCCTTCCGCTCACAAAGGGACATGAACGCCTCACAGGGATCCAAGATACCGCAAGAGCTGGCGCGTGTAGTGCTAATAGCCCCGATCATGGCGTAGAAGTGGTCTTCGCGACGGCCTTGCGTGCGCCGATCCATGTTCGACATGACTTGCAGGGCTGACCGTTCCTGGTACCCCGCGATCATGTAGTCGGCAATCAGATCCTCGAAGGCGTCGAGCCGAGGATATCGCTGCCTCTTGTCACTTGCGAGGCCTGACCCGCTGTCAAGGCGAGAGAGCGTGTAGCCAAGGCAATTCAGGAAATGACTGCCTTGCACAATGGCACCGTGGGACTCTTCGCACGTAATGTACAGATTCTGGCTGTTCACGGCCTCCTGATACGTCCATGCTCTGGTGACCCATTCCTCTTGCTCTAACAGATCGAGATGGACGCGGTCAATGTGGTCGGAGGTGCTCATCTGTTGGAGCACCGGGCGCGCAGCGCTCGAGAGCACGACAATGACTTCCTCGGCGCGCGAGTAAATGAAGCCCATGCTCTCCAGAGTGTGAGCCCTTTCCGGCGTGTCGACATTGACAGGCACGCAGAATGCATCGATCCAAATTCGAGAACAAGCCGGGCGGTGTCTGACCACTGCGTTCAAAGCCGGTATGGTTCGGTCGGAAATATCGTACGGTGGGTGAAATGGACTGCGTTCTCTTCCATCACCCCATGTATAGGATACACAAGTGAATGGTATATCCGCGGTGTCAGATGCGTCTAAGTCCTGAGTGGCAAGTCGCCAGCCCAGCCCTTCCAATTCGACCGAGCCATCCCCATCCCCGCGCTCGGCATCTTTACTGAGAAGATACAGCAGCATGGAAGTGGTTTAAGGATCTGCCGTGCCACAGAAGGGATGGTGAGGTCCTGAAAGGGCAGTATCTCGGTCGCCAACTTAGCATCTCACAAACCAGGCTCCGTGAATGGTGTTTGCTAAAGACCATAGAAAGGACAAGGAAGAAGTTCTGGCCGCATAGGCCCTCAGGCGTTGAGCTGAAGTCGAGCAAAAAGAGAACTTCACAGCCTCAAAGGCTGAGCCGAAGTTGAGCCAGGGTGACATGGCCAACATGGCGGCTGGATACCTGAATGTGCTTACAAGTAAGTCACACAGTCTTGCACATCCAGAAGGAGAGCAGTGAGAACCGCTATCGAAAATACATGTGACTAAACCGCTCACTCATGGCGCTGTATCCCAGGCAAGACCGCGGTCGCTGCCAGCGGATGCCCCGAAAAAGATCGCTCAGGAGACATACGTCCACGGTCATGGTAGCGTTCATGTTCATGGGTATGACCATATCCGTGGCCATATCCATGCTGATCCTTCGCCGCAGGAGCAGTGCTGGTGACATCTGTCTTTGCAGCCATGACTATATCGCGTATCGTCAGGACATTGGCGTCCACGCCTGCACTCCCGCACACGTTCCCCCTCAGCATCTTCAACCACCCGCCATAATTCAGCGTCGTACTCTGGCCAGGGGCCGTCGGATCCGCGCTGTCAATCCCCAGACCGCACAGAGAAAACCACGTAACGAGTGACGTGGTCCCGAGAGCATACTCGGTGACGAACCACATGGCCTCAACGCGGACACGCGCGACGAACACTTGTTGTCGAGCTTGTGGTTGTTGTAGAAAATCGGGACTTGTGTTGGTATACCACTCTATGAGGCTGAAGATGCAGACCCTGAAGGGCCGAACCCCCGTGTCTGCCATGTTCTGGGTGGACGGAATAGCGCTACTTGACTCAACATGTCACTGGCCTGCCCAGTCAGTTCCTTCCATTCCAAACAAAACAGCCACTTTACGCTCGACATGGAGAGCAAATGGCGCATATACTTGCCTGTACGTGATCTCGAATGTCAGCTGTAGGCGACAAAGATGATTTGAAGATAGGTGCTTCGATGCAGCACGCTCAAGTGAGCGATCGAGCTGACCAGACGACCCTTGCCTGCGGAGCATCTGAAGACCGATGGCGACAGCATATACAAGCTTCGTCGGTTCGGCGGATCACCTGCAGTCCTCGCAGACTTCGCCATTCTTGTGTCCGTCTTGGCCTTCAGCATCAGGTCTGGATTCGGGCTTGCTGGGCTCTTCCGATACGGCTGATTGAGCGCTGCCCTTCTTCAAGCCTCGATCAATGTGGCCAAGATCTCTGCCGGGCTCGATAATATTGCGCACTCTGTTCTTCAGCTCTTTCGTCTCAGGAAAGCCGCCGTCAACTTTGCGATCCCAGATCACCGTCTCTGCCACGCTGGCAGGCGCGTCCGGCGACGGGGCCGTGTCAGCAGTTGACTGCGCTGTGCTACTGATGACATGCGTCATCTTGACAGTGAATATCCCACCAGCCACTGGGACCAGAGCGATCTCGCCAATGCTAGTACCGAATGTCTGGAGCAGCTCTTGGGCAAACTGCGGGTACATAGGGTCAGTCAGCAAAGATAGTCCGGACCAGACGGTAACGGTTAGACAAAATGCCACTCCCGAGTGCCGCCGCCACCATAGAGTTTTGAGGAGAGGACGTCGCACTCACATAGGCGGCTCTCAGATTCCATTTACACTGAGTGCAGAACTCGATGGCGATGCGTGGCACCTTGACCCTGGACGAAGCCTCGCTTGTCATACTTAATTTGTGGTTGGTGCAATATGCAACACTATTTTGGCTAGAACTCTCACTCTTCTATCAAAGACGGTATCTGATGCAGGAATCAGGGGCTTGCAGCTTCTGTGTAGCAGCTTGACCTTGTGGACTTGCTCGCGGGATGACAGAAGCGAACAGGAAGTGAGGTGATTTGCTCGGAAGGGAGACTCTTCAATAGTGACAGGAAATGACTCCGTTGGCGTGATGATAAGGGTTGGCCGTGGAATTCCGTACGCGTACGGAGTACGGAGTACAGAAAGTTGTGCTAACTCAGGCTCGAGGAACCCCACTGGACCGTCTCAGGAGAATAGCTTCAAGTCTAGGCGAGGTCCCTCGAGTGGCCGGTACGAAGGCCCAACAGCTCGGTTCCAAAGCTGAGCGATAATTACCTGACTCGTACTCCCGCAAAACGGACCACCTCGTGGGACCTATTCTTACCCAGCTATGCGGGTTGCAATCACTAAGCGAGGGAGAAAGAGGAAGGTCGCTTGCGGGAAGTTCGGGCGATCCTCAGCTAAAGTAGGGGGCCCCCATGCACATCATCCCTGAGCCTCGGGCGGTGTGCCTGGTCGCCCAAGACTAAAGCTCGAGAAACCGATGGGAAACGTCCTGCCCCGGAGCTGCCATTTGATGGCTTTCTGGTAGCCACGTAAACGGTCTGACCGTGCAGGAAGCCTTCTTGTCATAGTTGCATAGGAGGCGCCTACAGGCCATACCACAAATTGAGAGCTGTGGTTGACACGCCTAATACTGACGAGGACGGATATGACACGGAAGCAAAGCATGATTCAAAATCAATTGGTTGTCTTTGTATGCAATCCAGGTAGCCGCCTTCCCTCATAAGAGTAAAAATCTTCTTTTGAAGACGTCCTTTGACACGATGAAGAATAGCTGGGGTCCGTAACCAAGTACAATGGCGCAGTGCAAGGCACATATTAATGACTCGTGCTGCCCCTCCCAGTTGATGGTGACATGAAAACCTGTTGCAATCAAGGCTGTGTGTGGACTCTGGACAGTTCCGAGAACGCCGTGTGCGCCGCGTGCTTTTGGTAACTCTGGAATCAGACCCCACGCTGAGACTCTGTTGAGTGCTCGAGCCGTGGTGTCTTGCTCAACACTCAATCCAACACATTACATGACAATGCAGCATCCTTCGCTTCCTGCAGATTGAGGATTGTAAGGATCTTCCTTTCTGTCAACCTGTCCCCAGACCGAAGGCACCATGTAGTCTCGTGTTTGATTGCAGTAGTTGATCAGGCTGCGCGACAGGAGTTAGTAGACGGACCGCGTGTGTGGACGTGTGCGCCATACCTCAGAGACGCTTCAGCCACTTTAACGCGAGGCCGCTCGAGGTCTTCTTTGAGACGGGAGTTGAGTTCTTGGAGCCGTCTAAGTTTAAGATCTGCCATGCTTTGTTTTTTGGATTTGGCATCACCCCCATCCCGCACCGCATATGCAGCTGGCATGTTGGATTGTTGCACGGGTAGAACTCGGTTCGATCGAACGCGAAGGTGTGGTAGTCGAGGACGCAGGTGACTTCGAAGTCGTTGCGAAGGGCAGGATGCTCAAAGTAGCCTTTGCGGATGGCCGTGCGGTTCTTGAGAGGGAGACGACGATCAATTCGGCGAAGAGTTGGGCGTGGGGCTTCTTCGGCTTCGAGCTTCTGTGGCTTCCGGTCAAGGGCGTCGAGCTCTCCGGCCTCGTAGCGGTCGAAGCGTTCCTCCCACTCCTTCTGCAAGTGTTTGACGCTACGAGGGATGTCGCGGACACGGAACGCAACCGAGTACTCGCGGGGGAGGTGGATTTGGGCAGGATGCTGGCCTTTGAGGATGAGGGCTTTGGTTTCTGGTTGAGTGGGTGCAAATGATTGCAGGTGATTAGCAGGGGGAAACTAAAACCCAAAGGAAAGGGGGCCCTTACCAGCGTCCATCTTGCTTTGGGTTAAGCGTGGAATTGTGACAGTGGACTTCGGTGACGCAAACAAACAACTTGGTGAAAAGTGCGCAGAAGTGCGGTGGCACATTTGTTTTGGTGCTACAGAGAAGCACAACTGATCTTTTGGCAGCCGTGGTTGCGCGGAGGAACGATTCTCCGAATGGCAAGCCGTGCCAAGATTCACAAAACTGCAAGTGTCAGTGCGAATGTGTCACAACGGGACTCCTCCACGCAGGCACATCAGTCATCTCTGGACAAGACTCTAATCCAAACCATCAAAGAGTCTCAAGGGATATCATTGACTTGATCATCTCGTCCAACTGTCGTCAAGATGCCGCCGCCGTTACATACCCGGCCTGAGAATGTGCTCAGAGTAAGGCGAAAACCCTCCTTGATCTCTGGCTGATCGCACAATCACTGACGAGCCTGATAGCGAGCGCAAGAGCTCATTGCCGTCGATCAAACCCAGGCAGCCCTCAATGTCCTCCACGAACATGTCACCTCGAAGCGATCACGGAACAGCGCCATCTCCTCGCTGGAGCCGGTAATGCTCCTCTTTGTCGAGCTATGCGTCGATCTCAGGAAAGGCAAATCCGCAAAAGATGGACTGTACCAGTACAAAAACATTGCGCAGAACACCAATGTGGGCACAATAGAGGTATGCACACTGTAATCTTTATACAAGGATTCATTCTGACGGTTTCCCAGTTGGTCCTCAAAAAGTTCATCGAGCTTGCAGAACAAAAGGTTCAGGAGGCTCAGGCCAAGGCCGATCAGGTCCAATCTTCGCTCGAGTCTGCTACCACGTCGACCCAGCTTAATGTGGAAGATCTCGAGGCTACCGAGACTCCCGAGACCATTCTGCTTGCCACTGTTTCTGGAGAGCAATCCAAAGATCGCACCGATCGAGCCATTGTCACACCCTGGCTCAAGTTTCTCTGGGAGACATACCGCACTGTGCTCGAGATCTTGAAGAACAATGCCCGTCTCGAGGTTATGTACCAGAGCACTGCGCATCAAGCCTTCGATTTCTGTCTCAAGTACACTCGAAAGACCGAGTTTCGCCGTCTGTGCGAGCTTCTGCGCAATCATGTCCAGAACGCAGCCAAGTACTCGTCGCAGATGCACGCTATCAACCTCAATGAACCCGACACCTTGCAACGCCATCTCGAAACACGCTTTCGACAGCTGAATGTAGCTGACGAGCTAGAATTGTGGCAAGAAGCTTTTCGAAGTGTTGAGGACATCCATATGCTTTTGACCCTATCCAAGCGTCCAGCCAAGAACATCATGATGGCCAACTACTACGAGAAGCTCACCAAGATCTTCCTTGTCAGTGACAACTTTCTGTTCCATGCTGCGGCATGGAATAAGTACTACAATCTCCTTCGACAATCCGCCAACACTGTCGCTGCGGGGCAGGGACTGAAGCGCGACAATCCTGCCGTCACGGAAGAGTCGTTGACCAAAGCTGCCTCCTTTGTCCTCCTCTCTGCTCTGGCTATTCCTGTCATCAGCACTTCGCGCTCCCGAGGTGCTTTAGTCGATGTCGACGAGGCTCGGAAGAACAAGAACAACCGCTTGACGAACCTTCTTAGCATGCCATTTGCACCAACTAGAGCCGGTCTCTTCAAGGATGCGCTAAGCAAAGGTCTGCTCAGACGTGTCCGGCCTGAAATCAGAGACCTCTACAACATTCTCGAGGTCGATTTCCACCCGTTATCCATCTGCAAGAAGATCTCGCCCATTCTGGCTCAGATAGGAAACGACCCAGAAATGGAGAAGTATGTTCTTCCGCTACAGCAAGTTATCCTCACCCGTCTCTTCCAACAACTCTCGCAAGTCTACGAGTCTGTTGAATTGAGCTTCGTCACTCGCCTTGCCCAATTCCCTGCTCCGTTCGAAGTCACTCCTGCCATGATTGAGAAGTTCATCATGAATGGTTGCAAGAAAGGCGACTTGTCCATTCGGTTGGACCACGTCTCCGGCATCTTATCCTTCGACCAGGACGTTTTCTCCTCTGCCAAGGCTCTCCACCCTGGTAGTGCAGCAGGATCGGCCGAGAGCGAAGTTGGGTCGGTCCAACGACTGCAGAATACTCCTGCCGAGATTGCTCGATCACAACTCACCAGATTGGCCAAGACGTTACATGTCACGTGCATGTATGTGGACGATTCTTTCAACAAGTCTCGCCTGGCTGCAAGGGAATCTGCTCTAGCTCGAGCTGCGGAAGGAGCAGAACAAGAGCATTCCGAGACCCTGGAGAGACGCGCAGTCATCGAGAAGAAGAAACAAGCGGCTTCCGAGGCCTTCCAGAAGAGAGTGCGCGAAGAGGAAACACGACGCCGAATCCGTGCACAACAGCAAGCCGAAGCCGAGTCGCAGCGTCTGCGCGATGAAACAAGAGCTCGTGAGCTCAAACGTGTCAAGGATGAACAGGCGCGGATCCGGCGCCAGGAAATCGAAAAGCAGCTTGCAGAGCTTCAAAGCGGCGTCAAGATTGATCTTGCCGATGTCAACATTGATGAACTCGATAGCAACCAGATTCGATTCCTGAAGTTGTCTCAACTGGAAAAGGAAAAGAAAGAAAAGGATGAGAAGATCCGTATTACTGCCAAGCGCCTCGATCACCTGGAGCGTGCCTTCCGCCGTGAAGAGCTCAAGTACCAGGAACAGGACTATGAGAAACAGCGTGCCGAAGACATGAGGATTTACGAACTCAACAAGCAGATCACATTGAAGGAGGCGCAAGAGAAGCACAAGGAGGGCTTGGCTCTCAAGCATCGCCTCAGCAGACTTATCAAACACTACGATTCATTCAAGGGCCAAATCACCGAGCGTCGTTCTGCCGAATTCGAAAGACTTCGCAAGAAGGCCGAGCGTGAATTCGAAGAAGAGAAACGGAAGCGAATCCGAGCATACCAGGAAGAAAAGGCCCGACAGCTTGCTGCACAAGAAGCCGACGAGCGCCGGCTTCGCGAAGAAGAGGAGCAGAGACAGCGCGAGGAGGAAGAGAAAGCGCGCGTCGAAGAGGAGAAGAAGCGACAACGCGAAGAGCGACTCGCCAGACTCGAAGCCGAACGGAAGGAGCGTGACGAAGCCGCGAAGAAGCAAATGCAACGCGAAGAAGAGGCAGCCGCCAGAAGGGCAGCGCGCAAGACGGAGCAGGCCGCTCCCGCACCATTCTCTCGCGCGGCGCCAAGAGAACCACCGACCATGGACAACCGTACGGATTCTCAAGAAGGTCCCCGCACCGCACCTCGCATCGCGCTTCCAGGCAAGGCGGGCGGTGGTTGGCGAGAACGACAAGCGGCAAAGGAGGCTGCGGGCCAAGGAGCAGCTGCTACTGAAGCTCCTGCCGCTGCCGCCTCGTCCCCAGAACCTCCCCAACCAGCTCCAATTCGTCGATCAGGCTATGTCCCTCCTCATCTGCGCGAAGGAGCTGGCCCCCGACCAGCCGGAGAGGCCCCTCCATCTCGTGAGCGCGATCTTCCGCATCGTGGCGCCTCTTCTTCGCCCGCTAATGGCGGCCCTGCACCCAGCGGACGGTACGTACCTGCGCACATGAGAGATGGGGGACGCAGTTTGTCACGGGAAGGCGCCGGGTCGCCAGCCCAAGGCAGTGGTGATGAAGGTGCGCGACCGGAGAGAAAGCCTGCTCTGGGCAGCGGCGGCGGTGCGACTGGCGGGCGGTACGTGCCTCCTAGCATGCGCAACCGTCAGCAGTAGAAGACGGACGTGGGTCTTCTTCACGGGCTCTTGGACAAATTGTACGCTGGCCACCCTGGAGAAGAGGTCATGTGTCAATCGTAGTGGAACGTCTCCGGGGTGTGCCGGGTTTTGCCTTTCTCTGCCTAAAAGTATGGCCGTGTATTTTAGTTTCCGGCGCACCGTGGTGTTTCCCCTTGCGAGGTGGCCTGGGTAGCTATCTAGTTTAGCTGAGTAGCTAGCTTTGTATCCCAGGCTCGCCAGGCTGTGATGGCACATGGATCAGGGCTTGCTAAGAAATAGATCATTGACATTGCGTTTTGTCGATCATACCATGCATGGTTGTACACAGGACGGTCTATCTCGTGTCATTCACTTAAGTTCATGAGACATGTTCTTGTAGCACTCACGCCTCCCAGGCATGCCTTTCAGCAGAGATCCGCCACTGTCATGCATGAACAGCTTTGCTCCGGACTGGGCTGACGCCTTCTGGACATGCGTCGCCGCCGGCAGACTTAGCTGGATCGATTTACTCCTCCACTGTAACCTCCAACACGACCCGTCCAATGCCAGTATCCTTTCTCTCAAAGATGACTTGACTCCTCCCGCCCAGGAGCTCCACTTCGCGCACGAACTCATCGACACCGCCTCCAACGCCGAAGTAGACTTTCTTCGCGGCAAGCCATGCCTTCGCGGTGCCAGTGGCCGGACTGCATGCGCTATCTCGTTGTTGATGGTGACTTCGCAGCAGGCTGATGAGTGTTTGGGAGAATGTCCTGATCGAGGTAGGAGAGTATATGGTCTCGGAGGCCAAGATGAGGCGGTTAGCGGGTCTGGTGGACGGTGGTGTTGAAGTGGCTGCGGACGACGAATCTGGGCGTGGATGTGAGTTGAGGACGAGGTCGACGAACTCGGAGCCCCAGCCGCCGGAAATGAAATCCACCGAGATATTGTGGGCGAGGAGATCCTGGACGGTTCCACCGACAAGAGCACCGGCCTCGCCACCTAGTTCTTCGAGATCGACGTCCCCTTCGTCTTCATTTGCTTGCTGGGTTAAGTATGACGATGATGACGACGACGGTCCCAATGCAAAGAGGTAGTTGAGAAATACGTTCGGTGCTGTAGCCAGCCGGAGGACGTCCAAGTTGTAATCGCACAACGTCAATCTCAAGTGTCCGCGGTCTTGGGGCTCGTCTCTCGTCTCTCTTGCACGGAGAAACTCTCCCAGAACTGTCAAGCTGGGAATGGCACTTCCCGCGCCAAGTTCGATGATTTCCCAATCCTGCCTGTCGTGCTGGTCGAGAAAACTGGTGAGCAGAGAAGCGAGGTCAAGCGCGCATTCCCAGGTCTTGAAGCCGCCTTCGTAGATCCCGGAAGAGAGGTCCCCGTTCTCAAGGCCCGCCAAAAGGGTTTCCGCAGAATCTGCTTCGGAGGCAGAGGGGTTTGCTTCGGCCATGAGTTGGGCCCGCATGTCGAAGAGGGAGCGGCGGTAGATTTGGATGGTGGCGGTGTTGTCTCTCGAGGTGCCGGCTTTGGAGGGTCTGAAGCCGGAAACATGCTGAGAGCTGCTGGATGGAGAGATATTGAGGACGGTGTATGATAGCTGAGACGGTAGGGATGCGAGCTGGTTGCATGGGTCACACGGCGGTTAGGAAATAAATATGGAGCAAAGCACGAAGCAAGATGACGGATGGCAGTAGTGCTCTTCCTCTGAGCCCACAGTGGAAGTCATATAGTGACTTACTAGCTCTTCTAATGAGTGTCTCTTGGGTAAGAGAACAGGGACGCCGCTCAGCTCTCCGTCAGAGATGGTGTGCGTTGACATGCCTTTCGCGAGAGCATCTTGTTCTTGGACCTCGCCATCATCTTCAATGTCTTCACCGCTGAAGCCGAAGGAGAAGGACATTTGCATTCGGCCTAGAGGGCCTGTATGATCTATCGGAGTTGGGTTGGGAAAACTATAGATTGGTTATTGTGAGGCACCCGAAAAGGACGAGGCTAGTCTTGGCGGGGCTTGGCGTTCTCGTCTTTAAAATACCCAGTCCGCGATAGATGATAGATGATACATTCCTCACCCACAGAGCTGATTCCTCTGAGGCGCCATTCATTTTTGTCGAAGGCTTTCGGCGGCTGAAGCTCGCTCACTATTGTACTCTGCCGTTTCAAGTCTGCCATGCTACTCACCCTCCATAAATCTTTGACCTTGTCGATAACGTTTTAGATCTCGCATCACGCTCTCCTAAGTGACAAGTCCTCTGATACCAGCGTTGACCACGGAAAGCAACTCCTTTCACGGCAACAAGTTGGCAGTTCTGGCCAGACGTACTCACTCCAACTTCGAAATAGTCGGGACAATCCGTTGGATCCCACTCTCAACCGTGAGCGCGAGAAGACTCCTCGGTGGTGCCACATGCTGTCACGACGTCCTCATTCCGACAGTGGAACCGGACAACAGCCTTCACTGAACCACGGAGTTGTATGCTTGTATGGATTGCGTAACGACTGAGAACATGTTCGTGGCGCGTCTGTTCTGTGGCAACGCCGTGTCATCAATTCCAAGTAATTATACCCCTCCCTAGGACTTGGCCTTACTCGTTTGCAACATCTACTTCTCCGCAAACACTACCTCGACAGACGACCATGAGATCAACATCTTTACGATCAATTTCCATCAAGTCCATCACGAGCATCGGGATCGACAACCACGGGACCTGCTCCGGCATTCACCGCAGAAGCGTACAAAGACAGGATTTTGAGATCTTTGAGCCGGCACAGGTTGGGTGTGCTCGGTCGCATACGTCCTGGCAGGAGATTAGCTACGGGCAGTACTCCAGCACCAGTCGCATGAAGTGGACAAAGCCGCTTGCCTCACCACACAGCGACGTTAAACTTCTGGCCCGGAATCTTCTTCGTACTGCTTAGCTCCTCGCACCTGAGCTCTCCCAGTACGGAGTATCTCACCTCGACACGTGTTGCTCAGCAGCAGCAGCAAATGGCACCAGCACGTGTTTCCGCATCAGATTCGACTGTTCTCGTGACTACGGTGCAGAATGGCAATAATATCACCTGCAGCGGCATGCTGGAGTTTAGACTTGTCCCGTGGCTTCTCTGTATATGAAGGCGGCCGTTCTTTTGCGAATCCTTGATCGCAACATAAGCCCAGCATGTTCTCGGGTGGGGGAGATGTTCGGAGCCTCCTCATGAACAGTTGTTTTTCAAAGAGTCTCGGGATTAAGGTCCTCAGTTGCCTAGACGGGTCATGGTGCCAAAACGTGCTCACATTGGTTCACACCCGCTTGTTGAGCAAGTTTCTACCTACTGCATTCGGATGAAGACCTTGGTCCCACGGTGCCATTGGCAACAGTAATATCCTCTGCCAGTTATAAGGATAAGAGGACTTGTCCGTCTCACTTCCGGGTTATCACGTTTGCTGGTAGCGAAACTTTCCAACCGCATCTGAGCCTACGCCGTTAGCTGGTACAGGACCCAGTCAAAACCCGTCCGATCACGATGGCAGTAGCTTACGAGTTACCCCAAATCCAGTTCAGTCTCGATGTGAGTACTCGACCGGTCGCGTACGATGGCCACCTTGCTGAAAATCATTCTGCGCCGGATGGTGTGCTGACAGAATTCCTCTCTCCGTAGGCGCTGGAACCCTCCATATCAGGGCAAATCATGGATCTTCATTACAACAGACACCACAGAACGTACATCGCCAATTTGAACGCCGCGCTCGGCGCACAGGCGGAAGCAGCCTCTTCCAATGACCTGGTGAAGCAACTCGAGCTTCAGGCCGCCATCAACTTCAACGCCGGCGGACATATCAACCACTCCCTCTTCTGGGAGTCCCTGGCTCCTGCTTCAAGTGGGTGCAACAACATCGCTGCCGTTGCTCCCACACTCAACGACGCCATCACAAAGCGGTGGGGCAGCTTCGACTCCTTCAAGACGGCTTTCGAGGCCTCTGCATTGGCCATACAAGGGTCTGGCTGGCAATGGCTTGTTCAGGACGCGCAGACGAAATGGCTAGAATTAACGACGAGCAAGGATCAGGATCTGCCCAAGGGAGGAAAGGGAGTCGTTCTGGGGGTCGACATGTGGGAGCATGCGTATTATCTCCAATACTTCAACAACAAGAAAGAATACCTGACCAAGATCTGGGATGTCATCAACTGGCCGACTGCCGAAAAGAGGTACAAGGGCGATCCAAGAGCTGTCTTCGGATCGTTGGCCGGATTAGCCAGCCATTTGTAGTGCTAGGGTAAGATGTCAACGTGTGATTGGGTCCGTGGGGAGAACTTCTGTCTCTGTCACCAAGGAGCGCAGAAGAACCCATCAACTCGAGCTAGTTTTCGACACTATCCAACGCGCACAAAGACTCCAGGTTCCAGTGGACGTATTCGTCTTGATTGGCGTTGACATGCACCGCTCAAAACACCTTACGAGCCTACCTGTATGGCGCTCGTGTCTCAGGTCCATTCCGACTCGCGCTTCTCCAGCCTGACGTCCATCAAAGCGCACGCCAATTTACACATTGCCTCGGGATCCTCGCCGACGTCGTTCCACAGCGCCTGCACGTCGTTGCCCAGGCCGATCTTCTCCGCCGTGGTCAGACTTCGGGGATCGATCCACGGCGCGAGACACGGCCACACGTGCTGCGCCGTCGTGAAGAAGATGTCGATCCCCACGTCGCCGAGGCCCTTGATGGTCTTGAGTTCGGCGCGAATCTTCTTCGGGTCTTGAGACGCTGTCTTCGGGATCGCGTTCAGATCACCATCTGCTCAGGCAGCGTCAGTCGGTGAGGTACTTGTGGACGGCAGAACCCAGCTCCACGGCTCTTGTTTCTAGACGTACCGTATTTACCCTCAACCAGCTCGGCCAGTTCGCCTAGGAAGGTCGCTGTCTTTTCTCTGCGTGTCCATCGTGTGATTAGCAAGGGCCTCTCGGTAGCGCGTTGAACTCACCGATAATGAGTATATCCACCCTCGGTGAGCACTTCGGTTCTTTCCTCCCATGTGCTCTTCTTCAAGACGTCGAGGTTATGATACCCCGCCTTGATGACCAGGCTGGTCGTCTTGCCGGCAATGGCATGCGAGACCCTGGTGGACGACAATATCGCATGCAGCAGCAGAGCTAGGACCGTGTCGGCCGTGGGATTGCCCGGGTTTTCCAGATCCGTGTCTGAAAGAGGGAGATTGGCATATTGTTGGATGAGCCTGTCGACCTTTTTGTTGCTGGATTTCTTCTGGTTCTGCTTCGGCTTCGGCTTCGGCTTTTGCTGAGTACTCGTCTCAGACTTCGATGGTGCGCCTTTGTCATCATCCTCTCCGTGGTCGGATTTGCCCTCTTGGTTCTTAACAACGGGCTTCTGCTCGGATTGCGCTGGCTCCTTCTTGTGCTGTTTCTCTTTCGGCTGGGTGGCTTTTGTCTGTGGTGCCTGAGCCCGTGACCGCTTCTGCCCGGTCTGAGGCTCGCTACTAGTAGCCTCTGCGGATCCGTGATCTTCTGATTTGGCCTTTGCGCGAGTGGTGACCATGGTGGATTGGTGGGCCTCCACGGCCCTCTACGTTGATCTTACAGAACACAATATCTCCGCAGTTCGGCGTACGGGTACGAGGTAAGCTGCGACACTCCGGCCGGAGTCGTGGTTCTACGGGGGTCGATGTTTGACGTAAGGGTGGCTACTTAGGTATGATGTCACTCACAACCACCTGTACGCGTGCGAGGTGCTCGTCGCGTCTGCGCGTACCGCGACGACTGTATTGAGTAAGCCAGGTCAGGTGCCAGGAATCGCATGGAATCTATCAGGAGTACTCCGTTGAGTACGGATAGCCCCTCAACCTCGCTCGCAATCTTCCATGGAAAGGCTGTCATTTGCATATCACTTGCATCCATCTGCGTAATTGTTCCAAGTTCGTCCTCGACAGGGCAAAGTGAGGCAAGGATAAACGTGCATTCATCAACCCGGAACATGATCCGTACTGTGTAAAGCCTCGTTATGACGTCTCATTCACCATCAGCCCCCTGATCTTCAGAAACAGAAACATCAATCCGCAAGTGAGTCTGTTGTTGCTGACACCGTTGCCTTGGCCAGGCTCCGGAGGGCCAGGGGAAGCCATCAACCATTGGGCCCCTGCAGTAGGCAGCCAGCGGCTGTGGGGATATGGGGGGCCTTCTCCCCAGTTTAGGCGACGAATCGGAAGTCAAATCCGGGCACGCACATATCAAAGCATCCTTGTCTTGTGCACCTATCCCCGTCCTTGTACGAGTAGCAAACACCTCTGACTTCACAGCCTTCTCTCAATCCGAACTGTTCACGGCACTTGCCGACACTTCACTCACCGTGGCATCGCGGGCATCATCGACGGCCGTGACATCACAGCTCACCTCAAGCAGCAATAGACGAGTATAAGTAAGTCTCGCACTTTTCACTCTGTCCTCACCTTCCATATCTCAAACCATCAAGTTCAATCTGAAACCACATTTGCTCACGAACACACAAGCAACCAGATCACTTTTAACTACTACCACACCAACACGACTCCAACATGGCTGACAACAACCCCGGCAACTTCGCGAACCGCCCCAAGGAGGAAGTCCGAGAAGCCGCTCGCAAGGGAGGCCAATCCAACTCCTCGTCAACCGGCAATGACAACACCTCCTCCAGCACCTCGACTAGCTCCACTGGCAACACCAACCCCGGTAACTTCGCCAACCGTCCCAAGGAGGAGGTCCAGGAGATTGCGTCCAAGGGCGGTCAAGCCAGTCACAACTCCGGCTTCGCCAGCATGGATCCCGACAAGCAGGTAAGTCTCGCAAAAGGACACATCCCGGCCAACCTCAAGCCACCGCTTGTGGAAGAGAAAACTGACGGCCATCAGCGAGAAATTGCATCCAAGGGCGGACAGGCTTCCAGCGGTTCCTTCGAGCCAGGCAGTGAGAGAGCAGCCGAGGCGGGCCGCAAGGGTGGTCAGGCCAGCGGTGGTGGTAGCTCCTAGACCAGACAGCCAGTGCTTCGCGTCGAAAGCGGGTGGCTCGTTGCCCGATCCCTGAGGGAGACATCATCTCCACCGGATGTGGACTTGTACGAATATCATATGGCTCTTCCAGCGAAGAACCCAGCACTCAAGCGGGAGGTAACTAGCGGGGAAGGCAAGCAGTGGCTTGGTAGTGGAGACTGGACACTCTTAAGAATGAAGTGAGAGATAGCAGCTGAGCACAACCATGAACACGAGCATGACCAACGCTTCGCTCTTGAATGACATCCGCGCACTTTTTTTTCAGTCATTCATCTCAGATATGTGGAGCAGCGCCATCCTACGTCGTGCCCCATACAATGCTTGTGATCGTACTCCGTACTTGTGCCGTGGCTGGTTGCGGCGAAGCAGACTTACACTGGGTAATACTCGCACCTTGCATTGCGTCCACGAGGCACATGCATGCAGTCAAATCCACCCGCAGGACCACCACAGCACTCGTGATACGGAGAACATACGGCATGCGCTAGTCGAAGTATGCGCCACCGCTCACTGAAACGCCACCCGGACACGCTCATGGACTCTCAGCCAGGGGACTCTTTGCCCTCAACTTCTCCCCATACCATTTGAGCAAGAGCGGCGCAGGGGCCAGTGGCAAAGCAAGACACCCCAGCAGCGTCATCGTCCAGTGCACCCCGATGCCTTCATACATAGGCCGGGCGGCCACGACCATGGTGCCCGCGATCAGGTACCGCGCCATGGTGATGCTGGCGAGCGCCACGGCACTGTGTTCCGTATAGCTGTCGACGATGTACTCGTAGCTGCTGACGTAGAAAGCCGTGGCCACCACTCCAAAACAGAAACATGCCGCGAGACCGGACCAGATCGGGAGGCTCGCGTAGTCCGTCCAGCCCAGCCAGAACAAGGAGATGGGCAGCAGCGGCGAGGTGACGATCGCTGGCCACAGTCTGTACTCCGGCTTGACGGGCGCGTGGCGGACGTGGTCCGTCTTGTCGCGTGACCAGCGGAACAGGAGCGGCGCGGAGAGCGTAAATACCGTAGACCCTGCGGCGATGGAGGCGAAGCACGAGCCCGTCTGCCCATGCGAGAGGCCGTACGTCTGCGTGAAGATGTAGTCGAAGCCCGACAGGAAGCTGAACAGCAGGATGTAGATCAGGATGAGGTAGCTGCCGAGCACGGCCACGACGGGTTCGTTCTTGAAGTACACGACCGGCATGGGGAGTGTGTGTCGCAGGCGCTGCGCGAGGGGTGCCTTCTCCGCATGCTCGGACACGTACGTGTATCGAGCGCTGGACGCCTCTGTGACACGACGAAGGTTTTTCGCCCTCCAGTCCAGCAGAACGGGCAGGTACGTCTCGGGAAGGAAGAGCAGGGCCACGAGAAACGCAGCTCCGGAAATCATGAGCGTCACCCAGTCGGCCCAGTGCCAGCTTCGGTGGGGATCCTGGACGAGCCAGCCCCCTGCGACGGGGGCTAGCATTGGTGCCGCGACGTTCGCCCATGCAATGATCGGGAAGGCGAACGCGCGCTTGACGGGTCGGAACTGGTCGCTTACACTGGCGCCGTTGATGCCCAGCGCAGCGCTGGCGAACAGGCCGACAAAGTACCGGCATACAATGCGGGAGCCTAGGTTGGGGGTGAATGCGCAGCCGAGCACAAAGCACAGATAGCAGAACGTGCTCCCGAGGTAGACTGGATTGCGGCCGATCGTCTCTGAGAGGGGTCCGCAGAAGAGACATCCGGAGCCGATGCCAAAGAGGAACGTTGCTTGCGATAGATTGCTGGCCGTCTTGCTGACGCCGTAGGCCTCGCTCATGCGCGTGTTGGCCATCGAGTCAGCACCGCTGGCCCATCCCTGGGAGAAGATGAGGAATGATAGGATGGCGATGTTCTTGCACCGGGCAGCCAAAGACCAGTTGCGCGGGTCAAGAGGGTCGGCGTCCCCCTGGAGCTGAACCACAATCTTCTCATTTGTACCCTTACTGCCATCGATGCCGTTGCGCTCGGGCTCGGGGGAGCCGTGCTTCTCAAGACTTGTTGGCGAGCCGTCGGTCTCGTTCTCGGTGCTTGACTCTTCAGATGTGTGTTGTGCGATGGATTCGACATTCCTCAATCCCGATCCGGCTCCAGCCTCCAGGAGCTTACTGTTTCCGTACGGGTCGCCTCCTTGGTGCCTCTGCCTATGCCAATCCCTTTCCACGTGCTTGCCGATTTGTCGATACTGCACTACTGACCACATATTTTTGCAGGCTTTCGAGTAAGTTCATTCTATGAATCGTCGCTACCTGAGTGTGAGAGGCAGGGTGTTAGATACTTAGATATGAACACATCGACTGTACATTCCAGTACAGGCGTGCGAAAAGTCCACTGAGATAAAATCCTCATAGTGTTTTGCTGGAGTGTCTTGTGACTTTTTTCCTTATCCGGACTATCACTTCGACGCCGGGTCGATCACTCAGAGCCGTGCGAACGGGTGACGTCAAAACCAGCGCGGGCGTATGAAAGACAGGTTACCGAGGAGTGAAGGTGTGTGATTAGGAGTCAGGCAAGGCATGATGCCATGGACAGGTCCGTCTGATTTGTCCTTGCTTCGCGCCTCAGTAAATTCCATTCAATGCCATTGGTAGTTGACACCGCTGTTGAAGCCGGTGCAGGCCATGCATAAGTTCCCCTAGATCACGATCCTCTGTCGTTCGGCCATGGGGTTGATGGAGGTCATATCTCGTATTCTGCTGCGCTCGAACGGGGAGATTTGGATGGAAGATATCGTGCGCTCGTGCCAACCGTGCAGTCGCTGGTAGAAGCCGTAAGATATCTAGGTAGACGGTTAAATACCTCCGGTTCACTCCATGGGGGAACATGTAATCACTGTTCCCTTTAAGAAAGGTTGTACGCAGCAAGTAAGCTCACATTAGCTGCCGTCAGCCCCTTCCATTGCAGGCGGCGGCGGGTGCCTAATTAATTATTAGCTGGACAATTGTGGCGTGGGAGTTCCTGCTTGGGGGCCGGAGGCTCGGCGGCCCATAGCGCCACATTTGGCCCGTGGTGGCGCCAACGTGGTGAGTTGCAGATGAGTAACAGGTAAGGCTAAGCAAGCACTTATCAAAGTCGTCGGCTACAGTACGAATATACTCCGACCCCTCCACCGGCACCTACCCACTATACACGCCGGGTCTACAAGCCGACCTGGGCGGACGATAGCCAGAGGCTGCACACATGTTGCTGTCCACGAAACGCGCACAGAAGCAGCGCATTCACCACAGTCAAAGTCGCTGCGATCTTCACATCCTATTGTGAACGACCGCTCGATACGCCTGATATCCGGAGCCTGCTGCATCGAGTGAACATGAACACCTTTGGGATCAATTTCCTGGCAGCCACAGGCAAGCGACACACGGGTAGGCTGGTCAATTTTTTCTCTATGAACAATCTGCAGTTCTAATCCCAGCCGCACCAACGCCGCAACCGACATCCAGTCTGGTCACTCATTCTCAACGAGGCACCGGCTTTTAGAATCCACAGGACTCCTTCAATCTTCACGCAAACTCCACCACATTGCGGAGGGTGCCGATCTTGGATATGGATATCTCCATCTTGTTGCCCGGCTTGAGGAATCTCGGGGGACTCATGCCAAAGCCAACGCCTGTAACCCGCGAGAGAGGTCAGTCGGTCACAATGTAACGGAAAAGTAAGAGGAGCTAAAACAGGAACCAAGGCGTGCGTAGACACGCATGCATGCATATGCACGGGGACAACGCGAACGGGTACGTACCTCCTGGTGTCCCCGTCATGATGACCTGCCCCTTCTGCAGCGTCGTGCCCTGGCTCAAGTACGAGACGATATAAGCGCAATCGAACAGCAAGTCCGAGACGCTCTCGCTCTGGCGCGTCTCGCCGTCAATGATCGTCTTGAGGTGCAATTGCGCGGGATCCGGGATGAGTTCCGATGACACAATCACCGGCCCCACGGGCGCGAAGGTGTCAAACCCCTTGGAAAACCCCCATTGCGGGATCCGGCCGGCCAGCTCGGGATCTCGTTGCAGCTTGCGCGATGAGACGTCGTTGCCGGCCGTGTATCCCGCGACGTAGTCGAGGGCGTCTTCGCGGGAGACGTCCTTGGCGTCGCGGCCCATGACGATGCACTGGGCGGGCAAAAGGTCAGTAACGGGACATGTCGTGGATGCTACGCCGCATACGTACCAGCTCGCCTTCATAATCTGCCTGATCATCCTGTGCAATCTTGGGGATCACCACGGGCGCATCATGGTCCTGTAGACAGGTGGTGGGTTTGAAGAAAAAGAACGGGAAAGGCGGGGGTTGTCGTCCTGCTTCCTTGACTGTAGCCACTCTCAGCTATACTGCTCCAGGACGTGTAGAACTTACCACATCAATCAATCGGGGACAAACTCATTCAGGATGGGGCGAACGTACTATGCTTTGCGTAGTTCAACCCGATGGCCCTAATGACAGGGACGTCCTCCCTCGTCAGCGGTCCCAGGATCTTCTTCACCGTGGCCACCTCGTCCGTGACTTTCGTCTGGCCGGAGGTGTCGAAGATGTCGTCCCCGGTAATCACCTTGGCTTGCAACCCGTCTGCTTCGGTCACGTTGCCTAGGTCGAAATCTTCGGACGGCAGAATGGGTTCACCGCGCAGGGTCCGGCCATCGGTGGCGACGAACCGGATCAGGCGCGTCCAGGGGAGTTTCATGGTGGGTGGTCCAGTCGTGTAATGATACTGATGTTGATATAGAGAGAGTGTTGTAGTAACTTGTCAGTACTCTGCGTTGAGAGTAGTATCAACAGTTAAGTGTCTTTGATAATGGCGTTCACGACAGGCGTGTGGGGCCAGCATCAAGGAGGATCGAGGGCGGGGAAAGAACGGACCCGATATCGGCCTTAACTGGACTGCCCTCAGAGAGGTGGTGGACCTCTTCTTCGGGGCCACGTTGTTTACCCGTGGTTTGACAGCAGCCGCAACATGGAACTGACGAGCCTACGGAGAATCCAGTCCTGAAAAGGTATCACATACTGCGATTTCACTACTGCATTTGCACATCTAATCTGGCAATCTAACTCGCCCTCATCCAGCCATCATGGCCGTCAAGCCTGGCTCCACGCCGACGAGATCGGCGAACAAATCAAGGCTGTTGTCCGCCCAGTACGGCTGCATGCCCATATCATAGAATGCGAACGGGTCGTCTGGACCGAGATTTTGCATCATGCCGTTGTTGGGGACAGAACCTTCCACGACACCCTGACGCTGCATCTGGGCGCCGTTTTGGCCGTTGCCCTGTGCCGATTCCCCCTGCTGGCTGGTGGCTAAGGCCGATATTGCGACCGGCCCAAGCTCTGGGTTTCTCTGCACGAGCGTCATGCATATTTGCATGAGCTTCAAAAGGGTCTTTCTGATCCGCTTTGCGGACTTGGTGCCTTCGCCGAACCGCTTGAGAGCTTCCATTGCGCGTCGGAGTCGGATGATCATTTCCACAAACTTGGTCGGATCCGGCGATTGAGTGGCGATCGTGTATGAACCATGTAACGTCTCTGGGTGGGAGCTGGTGAGCTCCAACAGGATACAGCTGAATATCACCAGTGCGGCGTTAAAGGCTTAATAGGGGCATTAGCAGACAGTTTCGAAATAGCGTGTGCGCGCTTACTGTAGTATGCTGTGAACCACCAGGCGCCTAGGAGCGCCGGCGGCCTGCTTGTCTTGTATACGATGTCCACGATCTCCATGGCCGATTGCTGGCAAATCCGGACGCTTCTGTCGCCGAGGTCGTTGAAGAAAGGGTCTTCGCGTGCCAGCGATTCAGCCGGCCTCGGGCCGCTTCTTTGCCGGAGGAAGGCACTCAGAATCGGCCTGTGGAGGAGGATGCGAGTGTTGAGATAGCGGAGCGTCAAGATGACACTGAGTCTGTCGAAGACCGGATCCCAGGTGGACACCGACACACCGTCAGGGTCCAGAGTATCCCACGGCCTCCGCTGCAGTTGCGGCAGGAGTCTGTGCTTCCACGCAGCGAGTTTCTGTTCGAGGACGACCGTTCTTTCCACGATGGTTGGGATGGCCAGACCAGCTTCGACGTCAACGTTGTCCGCGTAGAGCTCCGAAATGATATCTCCCAGGACATAGTACAATTGGCTGGTGCCAGGTTAGCTAACTGTGGAAATAGGGTTCGTCATGGATGCGTACATCGTCGCCGTGAAGAAACAGACAGTATCTGGAGGATCTAAGTTGCTCGGCCCCGAAATAGAGCGTCCTAACATTGTCAACTTCTCCAGGCTTTGGTTGACAGGTAGATCAAGTTTGACAATGCAATTTGGCATCATACAAGGTCGTCCAAAAGTCATGCTCAGCGTCCTAGTCATGGGTCAGTGCTTGGAGTGATCTCACAGTCAGACAGCCTACCTGTCCAGTATCATGCACCCAAACCAAGTCCGCTTGCGTATCTCAGCTTCAACCGGGCTCAGTCCAGAGGCGGCTGTACGTGAGTGTAAACCCAGCTGGATTGCAGCTCGGACCGCGAGTCCATGGAGGTTCCAGGCTTGGTCGGATCGCTGAGTGCCTTGGCGGTACTGTGCCATCAACAGCAAACATTGCACTACGGTCGATCAGCAAAGGGATCCACCAGCATTGAGCGGAGAGGAAGCCTACCTGTCTCTAGACTCGCTGTCTTCATCTCAATCTCGGCAGATAAGGTCTGTGCGCGCTCTATGAATATCTCCGATTCGGCCGCGTTCTTCTCTGCTGATTGATCCGGCCTCGCAGATATGTATGTCGCAAAGGCGAAGATGACATTGATCAGGCACAGCCAAGACCGACCCACGGCTGTAAAGCGATTCTGTCGCGCTGTAGAGTACGTGCGGAGAATGTCCAGCTCGTGGATATAAGGGAAGAGCATCCCAGTGTCGGAGAAGAACAGCTTGATCAGGCGTTGTGCGCGGGCCTCTGCCGGGAGAGAGCGAACGTTGATGTGGTGTCGCGCTATTGGACTGGTCTCAGAAAGGGTGGTGGTGACTGGAGACGCTACCCGTGACACAATCGACTGATTGATCTCGTTCTCTAAGTGCCGAGATTGACCTATCGTCTTCAGAGTGGCCGATGTCGCGTCAGAAATGTGACGCAGCAATGCTATATTCGATGAGGGACCGAAGAACCGCGACTCTGTCTCTTCTGGGTCAGTAATGGCGGCCATGCCATCGACGGAGTCCTCCGCGTTCGGCTGGACCGAGTCGCCCTCGTCGAGGATCGCGACATCTTCGTCATCGTTGGATGCCTGTCGTGGTGGGTGAAGAGAAGTGGCAACATCGTGGGTGGAGCTATTTCGGTCGGGGCTCGACTGCGCTGGACGCTCCCCTTCCCCTGCAAACGTGACCTTCTGGTTGACAAGAAGTCGCAGGGTCTCCTCGATCGCCCGGAGTCTCTCATCGTAGTCGGAGGGAGGCTGGACAGGCTTGACGTTGCCAGCAGCGGGTTGCTGGTAGATGCAGTCGAATCCAAGCTCTACGCAGAGGCTGCAGGCGGGCCTAGCGCCATTGCAACGCGACTTTCGGTTTCGGCAGGAGGTGCATGCTAGCGCTATGCGACGTCGTTTGTAGGATGGCGGTGGTGTTGCTGAGTCCTGGCCCTGCGCATCCGCCTCTGAGGGCCTCCGGCCTGGTGCATCCGGCATCCTGGCTCAGTCGCCCTTGAATAGGATAGTGGTCTGACCCGTCACGTGGCTCGCTACAATACCACCAGACGTGACTGCATATCTAGGTGGAATCTTGTGCTGGATGGGGATATCGGGGAAGGTTGTGACTCCTGTTGGCTTGATTGACACGACTGCGGGCTCCCCAGAGCACTGGTCTCTCTTATCACCTGCCTCCGGTCCCCTGTCACATACGAGCCAACAGCAGCCGAACCGCTTCGATGCAATTGCTGGTACGCGATCTCGCCGCCCTGCACGCATCGGTCATGCTGTGTCTGTTCTCACGGCGAATTTCAATAGCCGTAGCAATAGGAAGAGGAGGAGCAGCCTCGAAATCTCCTCGCCAAGCCGCAGCCGACGTGTCCCCGGCGAAACACCTCCGTCAGACTAATCATCTACAGGGTGACCCCACACAAAGATTTTGTCTGACAACCCAGATTTATTCTCATCTCACTTTGCCTTTAGCCTTCGTTCATCTCCTCCTCACTTGGCGCTCGCTTTATGCGTTACTACTGCACTCAAAGGCGGAGGCGGCCGCAGTGCAGGAGACAGCCCGCGCGTCGTTCCCGAGCTGGGCAGGACTTAGTCACAGCGTCAAATCAAGCGGAGGTGGCTCAAGGCACGGAAACACGGCCTTCCTCCTCCGAGTCAAGCTGAAGAGTTGCCAATCCACGCTGATTGCCTGAGCGAAAATCACACCCAATTATCGCCTACATCATGACTTTGGCTAATCGTGGTATCTGTCCTGGACCTCTGCCAACGTCAATACCTCCGAGCGCACCTTCGATTTGAGGCCGTTTGCCCGCCACCCATTCAGCTTCTTAGGGTACAACGGAATGATTCCGTCCACCTGGGCATCGTGTGCCAGCGCAACGAACACGCTCTCGCTCGAGTGCAACGACCGAGTCTTGCGGATCGTGTCTCTCGCGCTGGTTGGGTCTTTGTGAAACCCTGGCTGCCCGTTGGGTCCCACGTCGACGCTGATATCACGAGTCGGGTCGTCCAGCAAGTTCCGGTGGTGACAGCAGTCACCGCCCATAGCGACCCATTCGTCTTCACCGGTGCGTGCGAGTGCCATTTGGTGGCCAGGCATGTGACCAGGAGCATTCAGGATAAGGAGAGATCCGTCTCCGAAGAGATCGACACCTTCGTCAAACGGAAAGCCAAATGGCACTGAACCCGTCCTGAACTTCTGGTAATCCGAATTCTTCAGTTCGGTAAAACCGTCGTGCACAAGAACAGAGCCATCGAACGGCGAGCCATCGGCTGCGGGATAGCCTGGCTGGATACAATCTCGAGTCCCAGGTCCCACCACGATTCGGGCGCGGGGAAACCGTTCAACGTTCCCCGAATGATCGAAATGCAAGTGGCTTAGTACCACAATATCGACCTGTTCGGGGTGGATTGGTCCTTCTGCAAGCAAGTCATGGGCGTCTTTAGGCACGTATGGCTCAATCACTGCGTAATCCTCCCTGATTACTCGTGGATTTCGTTCTAGGTCCTGTGTGAAACCGTGTTAACATGCATGTTCCCCAGGACGATCAAAGGGGTTCCAGGAGACAGTGACTGACTTTTCGCATACCCAGGTCAAACAGCACCTTCTTGCCCGATGGGTGGCATATGAGAAAACTATAGTCCGGAGACAGATGACGCAGCCCTGACTCGCCATCGGAAAAGATCCACCGGTCAGGCAGCCAGAGATAGCCGGTAGGCAGGACGTATATATCCACCTTCTGCGAGGCGGGCATTGGGAACGATTGACTGAAGTTGTTGCAAAGTCGTCTAGCACGGATATTGTTAGGGACGATAGGACCGTCTGATATCAACAATAAGCACCTCGGTGTAGAATCGTGTTCCCTCCCCACATCTCCGAATACCCCGTGTTTGGCAACCGGGCTCGGCTTTAGGACTTTCTACAATTGCCACCTCCTTTCCGATCCACACCCTTGCCCCTCGAAGTCGCACTGATATGACCTAGAGGCGCGAGTGACCGGACCTGACATCGCTCAGGAACACATAAGTCCAGCACCAGCGACCCCTCCCGCTGATGTATCGCTCGCCCGGCTCATCGTTATCTGGACGAACGACTCTGTTGCCCGGACAGTCACTTTCAAAGAACTTGAGCAACATGGAGAGGATTGATACGCACGCTCACGTTGTGCCTGAGGTATGGAGGCAGTACACAAGCGAGCACGGGTACGACCAACCCGACGGTATGCCCGCCATCCCTGTGAGTGAGTCCCTTCCCCGAACAATGCTTAAGCTCAATTCACTTTCAGGCGTGGTCACCTGAAGCCCACATCGACCTGATGGGGAAATTGGGAATCACAAAGTCTATACTCAGCATCACCTCGCCTGGGACACACTTAAAGGCGCACGATGATGGACTGGCCCGAAGAGTCACTCGCGAAACGAACGATGAAGTCGCGAACATCTGCCGTGCTCATCCCGATAAGTTCGGCTATTTCGCGTCCCTGCCTCTGCCAGACGTTGCCGGGTCGATTGACGAGATTGACCGTGCTCTGGACGACCTCGGCGCGGCGGGATTTGCTCTCATGACGAATGCGCACGGATACTATCTGGGTGATCCTCACTTGGACAAGGTCTTTGCGAAGTTGAATGAACGGAAAGCCATCGTCTTTATGCACCCCACTTCCTGCCGTTCCCACCAGGCACCGGAAGGGGAGAGACCGCTCTCGCAGTACCCGGCACCCATGCTCGAATTCTTCTTCGACACCACTCGCGCGGTCGTCAATTTAATCCTGTCCGGGACCGTGGCGCGCTATCCGAACATCACGTATCTCGTATCGCATTGTGGCGGAGCACTCCCGCCTGTCGTGGAGAGATTCTCGTCGTTCTCCACCGCGATTCTAGGTGGGGATGCAGGAGTGAATTCGAGCACGGTCAAGGACCTGTTCAAGTCCAGGTTCTATTTTGATCTGGCGGGTTTCCCTTTTCCTGACCAGATTCACGGTCTTCTACGGCTGTCAGATACTTCACGGTTGCTATACGGGAGCGATTTCCCATACACCCCAGCATCAGCATTGGGTGGTATGGGCACTCGCACGGACGAGGAGCTGAACAAGCTTTTCGACAAACATGTAGTCCAGGAGATTTACTCCGGTAACGCCCAGCGTTTGCTTCGGCTCTGAGATATACAGCTGGCAACTCAAGCAACAAAGTTCAAGTGTCCAGATCACATACAGAATGCGGTTGTACACCCCGCGATCGGAACGCTGCCTCCTCCGTGGGATGCGCAAAATCCGGGGTTATCGGAAGCTGGTGCTTCGTAAGAACTAGGACGAGCTTGGCCCTGGGCGAAGTTTATTCTCTTCGCCAAGCTGTTATCTCCGCTACGGCGCTACCAGTGGCACACCAAGCCAAGTCGAGGAGTAACAATAATGCTCAAAGGCTGCTATCGCCGTCCGAAATTGCCCCTGTTCGTGTTCGGAGGCGTTGCGCACTGGCAGTCAGTAGCGCAACGTCTCCGTCCCCTTCCTCGGCCTGAGATGTTTCCAGCGGTAGCACCCTATTGCAAGTGATAAAGGGAGCATGGCGGCGCCGATGACAAGGACGTTTCAACTTCATTCCACATGGTCGAGTCTATGAAAATGCACGTCGAAAACAGCATCGAAGAGGTGGAGCGGAAGGGCCAGGACCTGAACCAGGATGCTTCTGTTGCCGACCCTCACAATCCTCTCACTTGGAGTGTATGGCGCAAGCTCACCCTCCTTCTCGTCGTCGGCATATGGATCTTACTGGGCACGTCCAACATCATCATCATTGCACCAGCGATTCAGACCATCCCGGTGGAGTTTCATTCCTCATTTGACAGCTCCACCTACATGGTCGGGGGTCCTCTCCTGGCTTACGGCATCTCCTCCTTCCTGTGGGTGCCGGTGGCGAACAGGTACGGGGTCAGACTGGTCTTCGTGCTCGCTGCTCTCGCTGCCGGATGCATGGACTGCTGGGCCGCCAAAGCGACCTCGTTCGGCAGCCTCGTCGCTGCAAGGACACTCGCTTCTTTCTTCTACGCCCCGCCGGAGACATTAGGCCCTCAGTTGGTCGGTGATGTGTTCCATCTAAAAGACCGGGCCAAGGCCATGACATGGATCGGGATCTTGCAAGCCAGCGGATTTTCCGGAGGACCGCTTGTTGGGGCCTTTATCATCCAAGACCAGTGAGTTTCCTGCCATCGTTCGGCTGCATGGTGTATTTTGCTGACCTGCCCTCCCTAGAACCCTTGGCTGGCGCTGGGTTGAATGGATACTAGCGATCATCACCTTCGCGACTGCGGTCCTCATGCTTTTGTTCGTCCCGGAGACGCAGTATACAGGAAATCCAGCGGCAGGAGCTTCGACAAGATCATGGAAAGATGACCTCCGGTTCTGGTCGGTCAGTGGTGGCGGAACACCCAAAGAACGCGGGTATGAATGACGGCGAGCACCATCAGGAATGACCCCTACCAGCTGACACATGTCTCAGTGTTGCTCATGGACTCTTGACCATTCTACCATACTTCGGCCATCCGATCGTCATTCTGAACACGGTGTTCTTCTCGCTCACTCTGCTGGTCACGACCTACACCCTGGTAAGTCATCTTTCCTCTTGGCCCGATATCACCCTAACTGAGCTCGCAGACCACCCAATCCATCACCTACCTGACCGTGTATCCGTTCTCGATCGGGAACTCGGGGCTTACCTTCCTCGCACCGCTGATCGGGACGTGGGGAGCCATGCTGTTCTGCGGCGTGCTCGCCGACCGTCTCTTTCTTCGTCTAGCACGAAAGGAGCGACACAAGCCACAGCCGGAACGCCGTCTGCCGCTTCTCATCGTCACCGGCGTGGTCGGAATAGCGGGATCCCTCCTGTTCGGCATCTGCACGCAGGAGAAATGTCATTGGGTGGCCCCACTGTTTGGGTCCTGCTTTGGTACGTGGCTTCCGCTTGCCCTGGTCCAGCTCTCTCGGACGTATTCTGACGCCGCCACCTCCTTTCCAGTGAGCTTCTGCTTCATCTCCTCCCTGAGCATCTCCTTCGCATACCTTCTTGACGTGTACGAAGCCAAGATGGATACCGTCATGGTGATTGACAACGGCATGAAGAACCTCGCGGCATTTGGAATCAGCTACGCCATTGTCCCGTGGAACACAAGCGCCGGGTATTCGGTGCCCTTTGTGGTCATGGCGGCGATCCTGCTGGTCGCACACTTGCTGATGGCGTTGGTATACCTCAGAGGCAAGCAGATGAGGGAATGGACGGTGCGAAAGTTCACCACGACTGGGCCTGTGCATCATGGAGACGCCTTCTGAAAACGGAACAATCCGTGTGCAACGGCGGCGAGAGTGTAGGATGGAGATAGTGCTGGGTCTGGACGCCTTCCCGCGACTTCCCTCCGAGGAGACAGGACACAGTAAGCCGGAAAGTTGTGTGTAGATTCCGAAGCTCATAAGGCTGGGTTACAGCTTCGCTGGCTTCAGACGGAATTTCGTCAGCAGTACGGAGTACACAGGACTGCAAGCGGAAGCAGTAGGTACCCATACGTAGTAAGTAAGACCAGTAAGACCAGATCAGCACCTAAGCGGAGGAACGCGTTCCAGCAGCCTACAGTAGACACAAGCCCAGAAGATCAGATGAGATTCCCTTGTGCCGCACGTCCCATGATTTGTCACCGCTAAGTTTACACAGTACTGGGTACGAGTTACAGAGCTGTCGTTCGTAAAATTCCGGGGAAAGCAGACCCGCTGTCCGCTCAACGTCGTGAAAGTCTTGGAACATCGTGGAGTTAACGGTCGGAAAAAGGGGATATGGCCAAGCGGGTCAGCCGGGTAAGTGTCGGACTGTCGTCGAGCGGCCCCACCGGCAGCCTCGTGCACAGCCCAAGGACCAAGCAACCCCGCGTCCCCGCCCCTCCTGCCCCGCCCCTCTCTCCTCTCCCCACCGCCGGGCACAGTACGTACCACAGTAAGCGCAATTCGGCCGCGACTTCCACTCCCTCTTGGCAAGGCTCGCTACCTCGTATTCCCGGGGCATCCAGAGCACCGATTCGTCACGGCGATGCCTTGTTTCGTACGACTACGACTGTAAGCAGCCAGCCAGCCTTGTCCCGCCGTGGCCCGCGTTTTGGCCTTGTACACAGTATATCTTATCCTGTGCGCGCTTACACAGTACCTCTGGGTCTCGGCGAGTCTGGGATCTGCCCGCGAGCCAGAACTAGTCTTGCACTGTACAGTGGCTATTGTGCTTTCTGATACATGTATACACACGTGTCCATATAACGAGCGTATCTTGGAACTCGTAACGCGTTATCATTCCATCGCCAAAGGATCGAAATGGCACCCTCCATCCCCAAGACGCAGACGGCCGCATGGCTCGAGAAACCGCAGCCAGGGGCTCGCTTCCAGATCAGAGACGATATCGAGGTGCCCATGCCGGGTGAAGGGGATGTGCTCGTCAAACTGGAGTATACCGGGTTTTGGTGAGTAGGCTGCCTACATGCATGATATGGCTGTCTATGCTGCACGTCTACATCTGCATCTGCGTACAGCGGGGTCCGGCGGATTGATAGACGGAGCGACTCCCGGACTGACCGCGCCACAGCCACTCGGACGTGCATAGCGCGTATGGCGAGACGCCCATGAGTACCGACATAGCGGGCCATGAGGGCGTAGGACACGTGGTTAAACGTACGTTGTCAGAGCACTGTCTCGAGACCTGATGGCTCCCTGGCTGATAGAACGGCGTCGACAGTCGGCGCCAATGCGCCAGGCGAGTTGATGGACGCGAAAGTGGGTATCAGGTGAGTTGGTCCACGGTTTGTGCTTCCATTCGGAGTGCGCTCCTCTGTGGAGCAATGCATACGCTGCAGAAGCACCCAGCAGACCGCAGCTAACATGGAGACATCCCCCACGCGATAGATGGCAGTACAGCACGTGTGGGAGTTGCGAGATCTGCGACGTCAATCCGACGGCGTGTCCCAACCAGGTCAACTCTGGACGGGTGAGTCTCGCGAGCTACGCACATCATCCGATGTATGACTTGCTGACAATGTGGCCCGGTAGAACACAAGAGGGACATTCCAGCGTAAGGATTGACTTCTGCCGCACGCGGGTGCTAGAACAGGCGTCTCGGCTGACTTTGGCGATTGCAGAGTATGTCGTCGCTCCGGCCAAGCACGTCACCAGGATCCCAACAGACTTGAAGGCCGAAATCGCGGCACCGCTTCTGTGTGGTGAGTGGCACTGGTCGTGTGGTACCGTGGCGAAACCTACCCTCCTTCGCTAACACACGTCCTTCCCAGCCGGCTTGACACTCTACTCTGCGATCGCGAAGGCGAGGCTTCGGCCAGGCGACTGGCTGGTCATTCCGGGCGCGGGAGGCGGCCTCGGACACATGTGAGTGTGCCTTGTCCCTTTCCGCCCCTCCATCCCGTCACCTGTCTGTCTAACAAGTCTCCCTGCTGGAAGAGGCGTCCAAATCGCCGCCAGGCGCGGATACAAAGTCATCGCCATCGACAGCGGGGAGTCGAAGCGCGAACTGTGCCTGAAGTTAGGGGCAACTTCGTTCCTCGACTTCAAGAAAGACGCGGTCAGTGAGGTTGCCCCGTAGTCCAGCATTGCCCAAGGCTCTAGGTATGGTAGCCATGCCACCTTCCCGGTCCTGACGCGCGCAAACAGGTTGAAGACGAGGTGAAGCGCCTGACCAACGGCTTTGGCGCCCACGCCACGATCGTCACGGCCGGTACAGACGCTGCGTATGAGCAGGCGCTCAAGTTGATCCGGAACTACGGGACGTTGGTCTGCATTGGCCTGCCTCGCACTGGGGCACCGTTGGCTATTTCGCCGTTCTGGCTGTGTGTGAGAAGTAAGTTGTCCTGCTTCTGCCAAGCTCCGGTCCTTTGTTGCGCCCTGGCTCCCCAGAAACCTTGACATTGGCGTTGCATTCGCAACGGCTCACCTCTTCTGACACTTTCGTAGGTCTGACGGTCGTGGGTTCGTCGGTCGGAACGGACGCCGAAATGCAGGAGCTTCTGCAGATGGCCATGAAGGGCGAGGTCGTGCCGCAGGTTGCAGTCTATCCGTTCGAAGAGATCAACACTGTCATGGAGAAGCTTGTGAGGTACGAGGTTGAGGGTAGAGTTGTGTTGAGAATACCTCAATGAGGACTTGTCCAGCGTTCAGCCTTCTGGTCGAGAGCAATGCAAGAAATACAGCTGTACGGGATATCGAAGGCTGGGTGCGGATGTTTACTTTCCTGCGAGTGCCCCGTAGATTCCCTCGCATCTGCATATATGCAATACAGGACCACGGTATCACTTAGTCCTTCCGGCCGATCGTGTGCGTTGTGCTGGCCGCTTGACTGTGCTTTTGCTTGTGACGTCCCCTTCCATATCTCGAGGACGTCAACGTGAGCGGCGTCAGCCTCGCGGTCCAGGCTCTCTGCGATGGCTCCACGCTTCCTACGGCTTCATTATGCTTCTCTTCTACACGCCATATTCGTCGCGGTACAGGCGCCGACGGTGGTGGAGCAATTCTTCGGCCTCCGAGCCTTCCTGTACCAACACAACAACTAACGTAAAGCCGCAAAACATCGGGCATCTCGCTATCTCGAAGGTGCGATGATAAGAGGCGCCAGGAATTGCTTCCTCGCCGCTTTGAACATCTAGCTTGCCTTCAAAAATCCGCGGGTCTGCCATTTCGATATTCCTTGACAGAGACCACAGTCCTTTTCGAGTAATTCTGCCGTAGCACAGCATCTCCTCAGTGTGAGTTGATTACAAGGGTAGACGAGTGACCCAAAGAGGATTATTCGAGCAATGGACGGAAAGATGGCAATATGCACATGCGGACCGTGCTTGGAGCGGTGGCTGTAGCAGCATGTCTTCTGCTGCGAGACGTGCAGTGCACCTCATTATTGCATCGAAGCTTGTCTGAGGACAGATGGCTCAAAAAGACCAAAAGAAATTTGAGAGGAGTGGGACTCGAACCCACGCGGGATTGCTCCCATCAGGAAACGTCTATCCCATAACAAATGAGATACTTGAGTGCTAAGACTGAAGCCTTAACCTGACGCCATAACCAGCTCGGCCATCCTCCCAACACATACTTGGTGTTGATTTGTGGCTATTAAAATTGCTTAACAATTATATAACAGATTGTTTCATGGCCGAGGCGGCAGTAGAGTCTGGCTATCTTTGGAGTGGGTGCTGTGGAGCGCCTATCTTGGCTCCTACTGGGTAACATCTAGCCTCGTAGCCCTCCGTGGTCCTCCCACAGAATGACTAATTAGCGCGACTACACATCAGGTAACTAAATCCAAGGGTTTGACTCTGGCAGATCAAAAACAACCACAACCCTGGTCGAGGCTTTCAACTGTGTCACGCACGGGATACACTCCTTGGGTTAATTGATCGTGAGATCAGATGTCTCTAGTTGCGTGTATAGTCACTGCGAGGAAGTTTTACGTCTTGTCGATATCGTCGCTCTCGACTCCTCATGCCGACTCTGTGAGATGCTGCCGTACCCCTTCGAAATCACCGCTCTTCTTCGGAGATACGGTAGCCACAGTCATATGAAAAGTATCGACGCATCGACGCTTACATTGTTGTGCTGTGTGGTAAACTATCTGAAATGGAGGCATTGTTGCATGATGGGGCAATCTAAGGCGGTGATTCCCACGAGTGTGCCTGCTGGCCTGATGTTCAATCACAAGCGTCGAAGTGGTCGTTCGCATTCTGTACCGATACCTGAAGTCCTTGTCTCGGAAGGTAGTAATGCTCTCATCGGCATCCACTTGCAGCCGTCCCAGCATGAAGACGACCGTCCTCTTTCGAACGGCAGATTTAGCCTACAGTGGTTGGGCCCCCCTCGCCTTGAGGCCGAACATCGTGCAGGGCTTGACTTGCGAAAAGCCAGCGTCGTTCTCCTCGTCGGCGACCCTCGCCAAAGGCCCTCTCAAATGCAGAGGCTCGAGAGTCAGCGAACCACACCGGCTAGTGGGAAGAGACACCGTCCGTGGTGTCGAGATCGTGTTGTCGCTCACGCTGGGCGTCCTAGTCTACCCCTTGTGCAGAGTATCCTTGCTTCACCGCCCACTATTGCAATCTCGCTGACGCGATCAAAAAGGCGATATTGACGTTTCAAAGTTTGCGATACAGACTCGGTGTAAGCATTATTAAAAGAACCGCTGCAGCAGCTTCAGTCCAGTGTCACTACTCCGTATGTAAACCCGTGTATCAGACCGCAAACGCCAACAAAGGACATGTGCGCCGAGAGCCGCTGCCTAACAATGCTTTTGCGCTTCTCCCTATGGTGTGTCGTATACTCAATGGCCGTTCAGATCTCCATTCACCATGTTCGCATTCGATTTCGATTTGGGCGCTCGTCTCTCCCACGCCTGCTTGATCTCCTCCTCTGCATCATAGCCATAGCACCACCTCTGGGTCGTCGGGTCACTCCATTGGTTCGGACTGGTGACGAACTGTTTGCCTTCCACTTCGGGCCTCATAGCCTCGTCGCGCGCCCTCTGCACGGGCCCGTCCGCGAAATGCCACAGCTTGCCATTGATCAGACTGGCCTCCTGCATCTGGGATGTGCGCTTGATGCGCACTGTTTCCCAGACACGCAGCGCTTCGGGCAGCTGCTTCGCGGTATCGACCTGCTGGATGGCCTCAGCCAGTGCTGCGGCGTCTTCCACCGCCATGGCAGCCCCCTCGGACATGTATGGCACCATGGCGTGTGCGGCGTCGCCCATGATCAGGAGCTTGTTCGAAGGTGCAACCCAGCGAGGGAGGGCCGAGCCGCTGACCAGCGGCCACTTAAGCGTTGTCTTGATCATGTCGATGATCTTGGTGAGTCGCGGGTCCCAGCCGGTGAAGTGAGACCTCATGTCGGCCAGGATCTCCGCCGGGCTGCGATGATTCCAGGTCGCCGGGTCTGAGCGGTCCGGGTGCGAAAGAACCATATTGAACGACTTGCCGCCCGCAATTGTATAGGTCATGACGTGTCTCATGTTGCCGATCCACAGATTGAGACCTGGCTTCGCGACAAGTTCGACCAGCTCGGGGTGCAGCCTCATCTCGTCGACGCTGACGGTCGCGCGGTAGGCGGCAAAGCCGGTGCGCTGCGCCGGTTGATCCATGCCGCCGAGCACTTTCGGCCGTCCTACGGATTTGACTCCATCCGAACAGATGATGAGGTCAGCAGTGAAGGACTGGTCGTGCTCTGTGGTGATGGAGGGTTTCTCAGCATCGTAGTCCACTACCTTAGAATTGATCTGCACTTCCACGCCGAGCTGCAGGGCCAACTGATACATCGCGTCGTGGAAATGTGCCCGGTGGACCACGTAGTATGGCGCGTCGAAGTTCTCCTGGAAGTCTGGGATAAGCTTGGTGAGGCCGATGGGTGCGCCGTTCTCCCATCTCCGGAACTTGATGTCCTCTGGCTCGACGACCTTGTCACCAAGGAATGGTCTCAACCCCCATCTCAGGAGGAGTCGACTTGAGTTTGACGGTATTTGAATGCCAGCGCCGACCTGGATTTGAGCGAAGCGTGAGTCAGGCTTTTGAGCAATGCGACACTGACATGCTTGGAGGAGAGGAGATCATAACATACTTCAGCAAGGGCAGGGGCTTGCTCGAAGACCGTGACCTTGTGTCCCTTCCTGGTTAGGGCAATAGCCGCTGCCAGCCCACCAAGCCCGGCGCCCACGATAATGATACTCAACCGCACGGCCGAAAGTTCATCCTGGTTGATCAAGCTGGAAGCCTTCATTGCTTTGAGCCGTTTCTGTTCTTCCTTTTGTAACTTGACCAAGAAGTCGAGACTTCCAGTTGGGTAGGAGGCCGCCTATATGAGCATGAGTATTAGCACCGGCAACAACATCAGAACGGACTCGGCCAATAAGTAATATTCCAATCTCCTGTACTATACCTACCTCGGGTATCTGGATGAATTCCTCCTTCACAGGCGTCACCCCCATCACGGGCTGGGGTTTCGGCTGCCCATTGACCGCCACCACGCCTGCTAGGATCTCAACCATTTTGAATGGACTATGCTGGTTAAGACTCGTAGATATGAAATCGTGCAATGCGTTTTCGTTCGAGTCGAGGATGTTCGAGTACCAAGCTCAATGATCGTGGACACATTGACTTTTCTGTTTACGCGTTCTTCTACCCACGCACGCCCGGGAAAGGAGGTACGTACAACAAAGTGTGGTGTCAGCACCGAAAGAACGATGGCCACCCGGAAAGACCGACGTGCAACACCCGATTTTAGCCCACTCGACTCGTCCCGCGGCGGTGGGAAGCTTAACTCGACATCGAAGAACCACACAGTAACTCCGGCCACGGTGCTGTGTAGACGATGTGGTGGAGCGGTCGAGGTGGAGGAAATGTGGCGGACGGAGTGTTTCCGTTGGTCGGGTGTGTATCGGGAAAAGGGGAGGTCGACAAAGGAACGTCCAGGGTGACCTTGACATAGACGTCGACCTCCTTTCTCCGCCATGCCTCCCCCGCTATCACCGACCACTACATCCACAGCCCGGTCAATGCACTCCTACAGTCGATTCAGCTAAGAACTGCCATCGAATTCTTACAGCCGGACTGCCGGAACCAGCTGATGAGTCTGGAACCAAAAGCTTCCATCTAGGCATCGACGCTTACTTCGCCCATCGACTGTGCATCATCCGTTCAAGAATAAGAAGTCCTGAACTTCACCTGCTGTAATACCAAGCATTTATCACATCACACCACAGCAAAGCACAACACCTCACCAGTACCAGTGAAGCCACTAACACATTAGCTATATCTATACCTATTCCTGTATCTTTACTTCTGGAAAACACCATCCTCACACCGCACCATGGGCTCCCTAGGCGACGTGACAGAGCGGATCTCCGAGCTCGTAAACCCCAAATGGGGCCAAAAAGCAGATGCCAACGAGGAATTAGTCGACTCGGCCCTCAAGGTCAATACCAAGCCCCTATGGGCGCAAATGGCGAAACTCAACCCCCCAGCGCCAAACCCCAAGTGCGTGCCCTTCATCTGGCGCTACGATGAAGTCAAACCGACCCTCCTGCGCGCGGGAGAGGTCGTATCCGAACAGCAGGCCGAACGAAGGGTGCTCATGCTAGTGAATCCCGCTCGAGGTATGTGTCTTGCGCAGAAGTCGATACTCTAGTATATTCCCACGGCAACTCGAAAGGCCTCACGCTAACGCATCGTCACAATAGATGCCCCCTTCACAACCGACACACTCTACGCGGGCCTCCAGCTCGTGATGCCCAACGAGACGGCCCGCGCGCACCGCCACACGGCCTTCGCCATGCGCTTCATCATCGAGGGCCAAGGCGGCTTCACGGCCGTGCACGGCAAGCGCATTGGCATGCAGCGTGGCGACGTCATCCTCACGCCGACTTGGAACTGGCATGACCACGGCAAGGACGGCTCTGGCCCCATGATCTGGCTCGACGGCCTCGACCTGCCCAACTTCCAGCACTTCCCCGTGCACTTCGTCGAGCACTTCGCCCAGCCGCGCTACCCGGCCGACGACGTCGACTCGACCACCAGCCCTATCGTCTTCCCCTGGTCCGCCATGCAGGCCAAGCTGGATGCTCAACCCGGAGACTGGGCCTCGGAGGATTACCTCAAGGCGGATGGACGCGAGGGTAAGTTCAGCGCTCAATTCACAATATACAGACCGACTACCCATTCATTTCATTGTACATGCGCTAACACGCAGGTCCGTTCCACAGTATCTCGCATCCTGGGCGGTTCCGCCGAACGTCTAAACCCCGGTGCCACGTCGCCTGCCGTCCGCGAGACCGCGTCGTCGGTCTACCATGTCGTGAGCGGCCACGGACACAGCGACATCAACGGCCAGCGCATCGCCTGGAAGCAGGGCGACACGTTCTGCATCCCCTCGTGGAATCAGTACCAGCATACAGCTGCGGACGGGTTATCCGAGCCGGTCTATCTGTACAAGTTCCATGATAAGCCCATGTTGAAGGCACTGGGCTTTTATCGTGTCGAGGGCGTCGACGTTGAGACGCTGGTGTCAAATTAGCTCGGGCTTGTTCGACCATGCGTTTATGTTTGATGTACTTGATGTTGATGTCCATGTTGATGGAGGATGAAAAGATCCTCAAATTGTGAAAATCGCGCCATCTACGCAGGTGTAGTGGTTACAAATTCCCCATTCATTCGATATATCAGAATTCGACGACCATTTGAAGCGGTCTGATAGTGATAGTACTCCATACAGGCGAAGACTGCAATTGACACATCTACAAGGCGCATAATGGACGAAGCGCTGAGTTTGTATACTCTCCAGTACTCCATAACGACCATACAGTTCAAAATGAGCAATGGCCGCTACCAGTTAGCCGTGTTTGACATCGTGTCATGCAAAACGCCTCCAACACCGATGCTAACTTCTCAACCATGAATACCTAGGGAACCGGGCCATGCAAAGACAACGCCACTCCATTTGCTGCGAAAAAGCGTCAGGCTGCAAGACGACGTAAAACCCAGCAACCCTTATTGAGACTTCCGCCAACCTGATGCGCCGCAGCTTCACTTTCTCCGCTTGTCGGCAAGCGCCATGAGCCTCTTTCGTTTCTCTTCTTTCTCCCGCTTCAGCTGGTTTTCCAAAGCCAACTCTCGGGCATCTTCTTCCTTAGCGGCCTTCAGCGCTCTCTGCTCTTCCGCGTCCAGGTCGTCCAGCCCAGCTTCCATGTCAGAGGAGGCGTCCGATCCATAATCATCTTCCTCACCCTCGCCGTAGCCACCCATGTCGTCTGATTCGTCTTCTTCGTCAGTGCCAAGATATTCGTCGTACTTCCTCCGCTTGGGTGGCGGCTTAGCTGTACGGCCAGATGTGATGCCCATGGTTCCCTTGTAAGAGGAAGATGGAGGAGCATGCAACGGCGGGCGAGGGGCTTTCGGCACTCTCGGCTGATCGGTCCTCTTCGCGGGGCTAACGCTTCGAGACTTGACCTGTTGTTTCCCAGGTGCAGGCCTCGTCCCGCGGGGTTTCTCCTTGCTCGCCTTGGCCTTTTCTTCCTCTTGCCGCCGTCTCTCCATCGCCTTGGACACTCTTTCTCGGTGCGTTGGCTGGTGTTTGATCATGCCAACTTGACTTTGTTGGGCTTTCTCCGTCTGTGCTTGTTTTGCCCTTGCCATCAACTCTGCGTATGAACCCTTTGCTGGACCTTTGGCAGCTGTAGTGGGCGATGCTGTTGAGACAACGGCCGCCCTGGCTGGGAGATCCGTGGTGGTGTTGAGCTTCGGTCTGGGTGCGGCCAAATTCTTCTCAGACTTCTCATTGGCCGCTTTCGGGGCATTGAGCGGAGGGGCAGCTGGACGATGAGTGATTCTGTTGGTAGTAGTGGAGTTCGGATTCGGCTTGATGAGCTTCTCTGGCAGCTTTGGTGGGCCATCTTCGGCCTTCCGCTTGACGCCGTTCAGTGGTGACGGAACAGCCGGTACACCGAGCCGTGAGGCAGGCTTGCTGACATCGGACGCTGGTCGCACCCCATTCGCGCTCAAAGGTCTTGCTGGTAGTCTCGGGGGTGCAGGAGACTTGTCGCCGCCGATCGAATTGACAATGTCGCTGAAAAGACTCATCTTGAAAGCCGGACCAGCTGAGTCGGAGGTTGTTGAAGAGTCAAAGACAAGTTGGGCCGATCTCAATGGTATGCATAGTACTCATGTTTGCGCGCAGAGCATGAGTCCGATATAAATATTGTGACCAGTGATAGGCGCTAGTCGCAGCAGGCAACAGTGAGATTAAAGGAAGGAAATGAACAACGAGAAAAGTTGAGGGCAAGGACAATGAAATGGGAACGCAGAGTCGCAGGCCCCGCCGCTGTTATGACTGCGCCCGTGCCAAGACCATACAAACTACACTAGTCTAGATCTGGCTTAAGACTTCGGCAAGCCTTCCCAAAGAATTTCCGCGGATTTTCGCATCGCACAGTGCAACAATTCGAGCCAGGCACGACCGATTTCCTGAGTCACCCTCATCTCCAAGAACTTGAAGTGCCAGTCTCCGCCCAACCCAGCGGTTAAATCGATTGTCTCTCTTGTTCGAAACCTTCCAGTTCCCTGTAAGTCGGCCACTGCACCGTCAGAAAACGCTCCGCAGCTGACCCGCGCGCAAAGCAAACCAACCCAAAATGAAGCACCTCGCTGCGTACCTCCTCCTCGGCCTCGCTGGCAACAACGAGCCCTCTGCCAGCGACATCAAGGGGGTTCTCTCCTCCGTTGGAATCGACGCTGATGATGAACGTCTCGACAAGCTCCTCGAGGAACTCAAGGGCAAGGACATCAACGAGGTATGGCGTTCCACTTCGGTTATGAAGGGATGAAGGGACAGAACTGACATATCGCGACAGCTGATTGCCGAAGGCTCCACGAAGCTCGCGTCCGTCCCAAGTGGCGGCGCTGGCGGCGCTGCCGCTGCCCCGGCTGCTGGTGGTGCTGCGGCCGGCGGCGCTGCTGCGGCCGAGGAGGAGAAGCCTGCCGAGAAGGAAGAAGAGAAGGAGGAGTCCGACGAGGATATGGGCTTCGGTCTCTTCGACTAAGCGATCTAATACGAAACGCATGTGGACGGGTTCACGACGCCAGCTTTACCGCTCACCCACGAAGGAACGTTTGGGAAGAGGAACCGCCATGTTGTGTGCAAATTCGCCAGCAGTGGACGACGTCTGTTGCGCGAATTGTATGTGCCATGACTGCAATGGTCTAGCACGACCGGCAACAAGATTAAGACAGCAATCGCTGCATTGGCAGTCATGCGCGGGATTTCCTGCCTGCCTGAGATAGGAAGAGCCATCTTCGGTCCCCAATCAATCAGTCATACCACATTGGAGATTACCAAGACGCCTGACTTCCCCCCTGTAATGAAATCAGTAAATCCATAGTCGCTGTATTCGCAACTAAGTCCCATGTCTTGACTTCTCTTGACTTCAGAACGCGTAGCCTCGTAACACTTGACAAGGCTGTAGTGGGGCGCCAAGACTCACTGTCCGCACTTTCAGATTTTCCCTGATCCCAATCTGGCATCCACACCTCACTTTGTCTCTTGTCCTTCATCCCTCTCCTTCAGTCACCCCAAACCGCGGATCCAGAGATTTCTCAACCGCAATCATGGCTGACGCCGACTACGTACGCTCCCTTGCCCTTGCACACATCCTCTTGATGAGACCACAAATCACTGACCGCTGTGCGTTGCACAGAACGCTGAAGAGGCCGCCGAGCTCAAGAAGAAGAGAACCTTCCGCAAATTCTCCTACAGAGGCGTTGATCTCGATCGGTGCGTCGTCCTCTAGACTTGAAAAGCCATTGGCACAAAGGGGAGCAAAATGTAGCTAACCCTCTGCCATTCTTGGTTCCACATTGTAGACTACTCGACATCCCCTCCAACGAATTGCTCAACATCCTCCACGCGCGCGCCCGCCGTCGATTCAACCGCGGCCTCAAGCGCCGTCCGATGGGCTTGATCAAGAAACTGCGCAAGGCGAAGCAGAATGCCAAGCCGAATGAGAAGCCCGATCTCGTCAAGACGCACCTGCGAGACATGATCATCGTGCCCGAGATGATTGGGAGCGTGATTGGCATCTACTCGGGCAAGGAGTTCAACCAGGTGGAAATCAAGCCCGAGATGGTGGGTCACTATTTGGGCGAGTTCTCCATCTCGTACAAGCCTGTCAAGCACGGTCGGCCGGGTATTGGTGCTACGCACTCGTCGAGATTTATCCCGCTGAAGTAAATGGTTCGGTGGACGCCGAAGAGAGTATGCATGCGGAGAGATCTGCAGGACAACCAGCAAGATTGTGGCACCTGTTCTTTGCTCGTACGCAAGCATGAAAGAGGCCATGCTGATGACGAAAATCTCAGTAATGCGATGCATCTAGCATGTTGCATGCTGACGTCCAAACCAGACACTGTACACCAATGACAGTATCTGACACCGGAGCATGGAATTGATGCCTTGACCCCTGTAGAGAGGTCTACCTTCCAATGCTGTTTTACTTGGCTATCATACTTGTGCTTGTTGTGACCCCGTAACGCCTCGCTATGTCCCTTCAAGCAGACAGAAAGTGGTAGCGACAGTACCTACACACTGTGGGAAGCCGCTCTGTTCTCGTCACCCAATCACCTCCTCACTGGGACAACGAAGGCGTGTGGCGCCTTGAACACGTAGGACTACACGCGAAGCGTGAGCAACCCATCCGTCCCTATTCGCTTGGGTCCGCATGTAAAAGGCCTCTCGGGTCTGGCGACGGGCTTGTGCCTGCTGCCGAGGCTTGTGCCGCCTCGTTCGTGCCTTGTATCTCTGGGTCATGCTCAATTAAATGCTCCATCTCACGGTGTCTGCTCTGAGCACGATTCGACTCTTCCGCTTCCTCCCGCGCCACTGCCTCCTCCAACGCACGCAGCTCGCTGGCGACCTCAGCCTCGGCCACCGGATCAAGAACCTCTGGTGTTTCGTGATCAGGGTAACCATCAAGGCCTTGGTCCCTTTGCGCGGCTTCGGCCCTATTTTCAGAAAGTCCCAATAACCCGTTCAACTCGCCTTCGACGTCACTGAGACCGTTCATGGGTTGCAGGATCTGGCTGTCCTGTCTCTGAAGGATGTTCTCTCTCCTCAGAGGCGTTCCCCGCTCCGCCACGACGATGGCCTCTCGGTGCCGTCTCCTCAGGTGCTCTTCCTCTTGACTCCTCTCCGCAGAGCGCAGCCTTGCACCAGCTCTCGTTGTAGGGCGTCCCGTGGGTTCGTCCCAAAGGGTGATATTGTCCGGCACAAAGAGCGTCCCGGCTGTATCCTCGCCATTGATCATTCTGACATCGTTATCTTCGTCCTCATCGGAGCCATCATCAGCATATACCCAGTTCCACGAATCTCGCGTCCAATGACTGCCGTTAACATTCTCGCGCACACTGCTCGCACTTAAGCCGACCTGTCTCATCTGCTTTCTGCCCATGGGATATTGCATGACGGTGATGATTACGTCTGCCATCAAGGGATCGTCACTCATCCAGGCCATGCGGTCAAATAGAAACGCAACATCCGAGCGCTTGTAGTTGAAGCCAGAGTTTTCTGGTTGGGAACAAGGGAAGGGATACTTCGCCAGCCATTTCGTAACAAGACCTGCTTGTAGGGCCGCATCCATGGCAGCGGCATACTTGGAGCCACGCCGGGGCTGGCTGCATAGCATATTGGTAAGAAGTGAGATTAGAGCTTGTTCTTGAGACGGGCGATATTCGGGTCGGATGGGTGATGGCGGCAGCCTCTTTTCGTCTCCTGCTTCATCCGGAGCTTTAGCCTTCAGATTGATGGCGCGTCGCGAATGCTGGGGCAGAACGTTGATCAGAGCCTTGACGACAGCAGCGACAGATTTTGCGTCTCTAAATTGGTCGCATATAGTGACGCTGAACGAATTGTTGTTGAGAAGCAAATGCAGTGCATTGATAGCATCTTGCCGACGCTCGTAATTCCTGCTCGCGAGATCCCTCAGTAATAGGTCTCTTGCACGGGATCTGGCCGTGCGGCTGGCGACAATCTTGATAGCTGAGTTCCGCAGATCGTAGCTGTACCCATCTGCCAACGTCCGAAGAGTGTCAATATTCAGCGCGTTTTCAGAGTCCTTCTGGAGAGTCTTCTGTGGGGGAGGTGGTGGGTCTGGCGCTGGCGCTTTCGCTGCATCTCTCACTTGTGTCAGGAGAGCAGGCACCAATACGGATGCTGAGCCAAGGCCTAGGAAGATTACAACCACCAGGAAACGATTCGAGGTGAAAAATGACATCTTTGGTGGCCCATGGAGGGCTATGATTGGGAGAAAAGAAGGGAACATGTGCTGGTGGAAGACGAGGCTGAAGTCGTCCTGGTTCCGGGATATGCTCGGCAATGCAATTCATGAAATAAGAAAATCTGTTGCCATACAATACTAGTGCTGTCCCAAGTCTATGGGAGAGTCGAGAAAACGACGGCTACGTAGTTAGGAGACGACTCGTCTAGTAAAACGCGCTTGACGCAGACACGAAGCGAATCTCAGAGCCAGGCAGGCTCAGTCGTGATCCGCCTCGGTCGTGCCTGGACATCCTTCCATGTTCTCGTCTGCGTATCTGTACTTGCACCAGAAGCAGTAGTGCCACTTCTCGCGGAGGTATGCTACCAGCCTTTCCACTTTCTCTGCCACTTCGAGGGCTTCATATTCATCCAACTCGGTGTCATCCTCGTCCAGATCGACATCGACCTCTTCAATTTCTGCTTTCTTGGCGAGCGCCATTTGGTCCTCTTTGTCCTCGTCTGCGTCGTTGTAGTCAGGACGCCGCGACAACGACTGGTGGAGGTCGTATCTCATTCTTCGGTCTCGATCATTGATCGCCCTTTGCTTCACAAGCGTCCGCCATAATACATTGGCACTCTTCAACGGCTTCGTTCTTTTCGGTCTCGCCGCGTCCGGTTTCTCGGCTGAAGACTGTTGTGCCTCGTCCTCCTCCTCCAGTCTCTCGCAGACCTTCATGGCACCCCACATCTGCCCTTCCATCCTCTTCTCTTCCCGCTCCCTCTGCTGCCTTTCCCGGAACTCGCCAGCCTCGACCTTCCTCTTCTTGTCCCCGGCTCGCAGTGCTTCCACTTCCTCTCTGATCTTCCGCTTCTTTTCTGCGTCTGCACCAATACCGGAACGAGAGTCTCGCATTTCCAGCCCGATGGGTTCCAGTAGGCGATCATCCTTTGCACCCTTTGTAGTGTTTCGAGTTGCGCCCAACGCTGTTCCCGCCTTGTAGCCCAAAGCGGCCATCATCTTGAAACCCTTGTTGGTTGTGTCCAGCGTGTTGGAGCTCAAAGCGGCTTCTCTCTTGTCCTGCTCCTCTTTTGCCAGTTCGGCCTTGGATTTGGGACGGCTCTTGGCCTCAGCCTCACGGGCCAGTCTCTTCTTCCGCTGGGTAAGAGTCTCGGTCTTCGTGGAAGGTGCAGTTTCTTCGAAGGTCATGTTCATGTAGTCGTCTTCTTCCTCTCCATCTCCGGCGCTGTCATGAGACGACATGTTGCCAAGTGTTGTATTGCAAGAGGGTTGCCGTAGGTCTATTTGACATCAATATCATTCGCATCAAAATCTGCTAACCGGATGGTAGCGTTGCAGTCGTCTAGTAAAATTCTACGGCAGAGAGAGCAAAGTGGTGAGCCCGAATCTGCCAGTGTTGCTTACCGTGTATACTTGAGTCATGTGCAGGTCACCATGAGTAGGAAGCACGTACAGAGTACCCAGAGAGCATCTATCGCTACACGAGCAGTAAAAGAGCGTGTCAAAGATGGAAGACAGCACAGGGAAAGATCAAAGACGGTCACGTGATTTTTTTGGATTTGATATAGATTGAACCTCACAAAATGTTGTCCTAAATTTGTCGCGAAACAGGCTTCAGTAAACTGAGGTTTTTCTTCGTGCAGACAACTTGCACGGAACCTGTGACGCAGTGGTTAGCGTGTCGTTCTTATATTGTATTTCCCGCGTGGAATCCAGTATGATCTCTTTCGAGCAATGCGAAAGTCGCGAGTTCAAGTCTCGCCAGGTTCAATAGTCTTTTTGACCCTGAGGAGGTGGATTCGTTTTGATTTTTTTGGTTGTGCTATTCAACTCGCTATGGCAATATCGTCACAATTTGTGACTAGCGCTCGAGCATGTGGTATCGCAATTTCCCACCCGGATACCATCGGGTTGTCCCCTCCTTGCGATACTGTGGACAAAGTTAGATCAGTGGCTCTGCTCCTGCGGCACCTGCTTTTGGCCATCGATTTTATCTAACAGTCTCATGTTGAGACGCTCTTTCTATCTACGGAGATTTCCTGGTCTCTTTCTGCATGTTGTCTAGAGTTCCGGCGACCGCGTCAGGATATTGCGCGAAGACGGACCTCTAGAATACCATTGTTATGGTTCGCTCCTCCTGAGGTGCACCTGCGGTCCAAGCAAGTACTTGACCGGGGTAACAACCGGTATGCCAGGTGCAATGTATGGCGCACAGTCACTTGGACCCTTGCAAGGTGGCGCAACAGCACTGCTACTGTCTATCCAAAGGTGGGGATGAGAGGTATGACCATTATCGACCAAGGCAGCTTCCCGAGAGGTCACATTGTGCCTACATGCTTAGTAGCCTCTTTCCATATTCTGGGCTTATCAAGGGATTTGGATCAGCCCGAAGACGTCTTAAAGTTCTGGAACTAGCCCTTGGTTTTGCTCTTTCTCCTCGCCCTCTCCCTTTCCCGCTCATACCCCTTTTGTTCTCGCCCCTCTTCGCCCTGAATCTCCGCCACCAACCTCTTATACTTTCTCTCGTACGCGCTATCCCGTTCCTTCTTCTCCCTCAACTGCTCGCGCGCCATGAAGCTCGCGTCCTTTCTGAGCTCGCGCATCGCGCCCTTCCGTTCCTTCTTGTGCTCGGCCTTCAGCTTCGAGAGCGTCGCGCGCTGGCGGTCCGGATCGTAGTGCCTGTCGGGGTTGTAATTCTCGATGTACTGCGGGATTGAGGTCTTGATGGCGAGAGGCCGATGGGAATGCAGAAGGAGAGGCCGGCGGGTCTTGATGGACGCGTCACGCATGCCCGAGAGGCTGAAAAGCGCGGCTGAGGCAAGAGAGAGGGTTTGTGGGGGAAGAGAGGTGCCGTTGCTACGGGATGAAAGGTGGGTCAATGCGTGGATAAGCGGGTGCAGCAGTTCCGGGAGGGCGGATTTCTGGGACCATAGCTGTGCGGCCTGTGTTGCTAGGCGGATGAATGTGTGGAGAAGGGTGAGGGTGTGGGCGGCGGCGTCGTTATCGTGATCATTACTCATGATGAGGGCTTTGAATGAGAGTTTCTCCCGTGAGGACACAACACCCGCGGCTGCTGATGTGATTTTGAGGCGCAGAGACTCAGACTCCAAGGGCAGCCTGATGGGCACGTTGAGTGGTTTGCCCTCCTTGTCTTGTTGAGGCACTGGTGTGGGTGAGAGGATGGCAAGCGCGTTCGTTATGTAGGTGACCACTTCGGGCACGTACCGCTTTGCCAGCGCCTGATATCGCAGGGCGAGGGAACAGCAGTAGGCGCCGACGCCAAGATCTTGCAGAGACTGGACGGTGCTTTGACCAAGGTATCGCGCCAGAGTCAGCATCGCTGGCGTCACCCCAGAGTGGAAGTGATCTGACGTTGGGTAGATTGTCGACACGCCAGTCAAAATGACGAGGTCGCCTGCTGAGAGTCGTAGCGGTCGTTCGGTGGATATTAGCTGAAGATGCTCCCGGAAGGCAGCACTCACTCGTTCGGGCGAGGATTTGGCCATGGAATGTAAATGCCGGATCAAGCTTTCTAGAACCGAAAAGGGGACGGTCCTGTCGTGGTCGGCCAGGTAGGCGACATGCTGCGTCAACACGCCCGCGAATGTATCGAGCTTGTCCTGGTTCCCTGAAGCAAGACCTTTGTGGTACAGAGCGCGGATCCTCTGAACAATCGTCGGCAGGTCTGTGGTCTTGGTTCCCTTGGTAAGTTCGAGGAACTGTTTGTGTGTCTGGGGGCAGGGAAATGTGTAGGCTAGATTGGTGCTTTCCGGGACCGACTTCGTCGTCTTCGAAGCTGTACGTTTTTCTGCTTCTGTTTCTTGCGGCAAGGCCAGGCCGTTGATGAAGTCGTCATCACCGTCATCCTCAGTCTCATCTTCAGGTTCAGAGTCAGACTCGCCGTCCTCTTGCTCGCTTCCCAGATCAGCGTCGGATCCAGAAGCAATCAGGTCGTCGTCGAGGACAAATTCATCTTCGTCTTCGACATCAAGTTCTCTTCTGGGAGCAGATGCGGCTTCTGGAGCGGCTAACCCAAAGGCTTCCGCATCGTCGATATCGATCTCCTCATCCGGTCCGGGCTCCACAGCCTGGTCGCCCTCCTCGTCCTCCGAACTTTCCGCCTCGCCCTTCATTCGCCTGACTCTCCTTCGCTCCAGCTCTTCAAGACGTGCGGCCTCTTCCGCGGCCTTTTCTTCTTCGGTTTTCGTCCGTACACTGGGTTTGGATCGAGCCTCCAGCTTCAGCTGTCGCAGGTTCGCTTCGTAATCCTTCTCCGCGTCCTCCCTGGTTTTGCCTGCCAACATAGCAGCTCGTGAGGGGTCCATCTGGGGTTCAGGCGCCGCAGCTGAGGACACTGGCGCAGGTCGCTGTTCTGGTGCCTTCTGGCCTCGGAACGCTGCGTAAAAGTCAGACATGCCATTGTCGAGCTCAGCACGTAGGTCGTCATCGTCCTCTTTCGCAGCCTGCCGCTCGGCTTTGTACAATTTAGACTTGGCGATGATCTCCTTCATGACTTCATCTTTTGTCTTCTTCCGTTGTGGTGCTTCTTCGGCCTCTTCATCGTCGAGACCATCTTCGCCTTCGACCCGTGCCCGTTTGCGCGGCCGCTCGTCCTGCGCATCAAACTCGCCGTCTGTTTCTGCATCCTCCTGATCGTCGACATCATCCTCGTCGAAATCATCCTTCATGCGGCCGTTGAAATCGAGCGACCTTCCACCATGTGTGAGCGTCATCTCTTCCTCGCTGTCGTCCTCGAGGTTGAACATGGAAGTCTTCTTCATCTTGCGCTCATTCTGCCGCGCAAAGCGCTCAGCCGCCCTTTGCTCCGGCGTCATGGTGGGATCGTCCTCTCCAAACCGTCGGTCAAGCATCCCGCCGACCTTATTCCGCCTCTGCATCTCTTTCAATAGTGTCTCTCTCCGTCGTTCCTCGCCCAGTCCTCGGGTGACACCCGGTCGGCCGACGGCCGGCTTCACGTTTTTGGCATTGACGAATTCGTACTTGGCTTTCCGCGCAGGCGCCTTGACTTCGAAAGGATTGAATCGTTCCCGAATATCCTCTAGGGCGGCATTGCGCTGGGCCCGTTTCTGCGCATCTTTGCCGGCTGATTTTCGTTGTTTCTTGGATTGCTGAGGGCCGAGGACGCCACCTTCTCGCAGCGATGCTTTCAATTGCTTAAGCTGCGACGGCGCCATTTCTGCCTTGTCGTGCAAGCAAGGCAAGGCACTTTCCCGACTCTCAGAGTCGCCGCGGCCGAAACTTTTTTGACGACTGTTTGTCTCCGCACGCCAGGCAGAGCAGGTTGCGCGAGACGAGGCTGAGTCACATGAGTAATCACATCCTCAAGTGCACTCCTTCGGGGGTAGGACGCGGTGTTTACAGGAGCACATTGCTGGATGCCTAATTCTAGCTTGGCTTCTGCAAACACTACAAAACGTGTGGGAAGCTGAGTGTCCCCTGATCGAGGCGCACTTCCATGCATAATGAGGTAGGAAGCGCCCTATCCGATGACACTAGCTTACGATATCGCGTTGATGGGTATGACTGGCGTTACTGCCCAAACACAATTTACTAGGTTCGACGAGCGCTGGGATGTTTCGATGTTATTAAACGACATCCGGGTTCAGCGCTATAGCTCCTGGCTGAATGGTGCAGGGGGGCCGATTGACGAGCAATGGATTGCCGTCAAGAGGAACTGGATAAACTTCCTATCCGCGACGAGCACGCGGCCAGACGCTACCCTTGCCCCTACCCCAAACGCCACTCACAGTGACAACGAGCAGCCATCAGGCAGGGAACACGACATCGAGCGCTTCCATCACGATCGCCGCGTCCGGGCCGCCATCCAGGTCGCCATCTTTAATGCATTCGACCGCGAGGAGCGACTAGCCGAACGTTGGCCGCAGCAGGCGCGACTCATCCTCAATCGTGCGGGGTGCTCAACAGCGACCCAGCCATTCCGGACGTTGCGTGCCACCGCAGACTTGGGCAAACGGCGGCGTTACCAAGCTGTCTGGGCATCGCTAGTTTGTTTCCTGGTGTTTGCTCATGGCAACCAGGATATGCTGGATGAGATGGGTCTGGTGTTGGCTGAACATACGGAGGATGAGGTTATCGACATCTTGGCAGCAATTGATACCGGTATCCAAAGTGAGCTCGATGCTGCTGTGCGAGTACTTTGCGTCAACATGATCACGGACCACGCACCAACCGCTTCCAAGAATCCTCTCTTCTGGTGGCTAACCGTGTTGGTACGCTCGGCCATTGAACCTTTGCAGGAAATGGACTATATCAGTCGGGGTCGTTTTCTCATGAATATTCTATCCATGGACCTTGATCTTTGCGGCCGTCTAGAAGCCATACAACATTATGCCAAGGTATTGGTGTTGGACAAAGCGTTGGACCTGTGGAGACCCTATTCAGACGACTGGGCGCTTCAGGTGAATCGAGACCTGGATGCGGCGAACCTGGATTGGTTGGACGAAGGTAAAGATCAGCCATTGTTCGACGAGGATGACCCCAGGACCTGTGACTCGTCGGCTTGGCGGTCCATGCTTGAGAATCTGAACCGCTGGGCGCTGGCATACCTCAGTACTCGGAAAGACATTGACACTGTTCTCGGTGAGGTCGGGAAACTTCTTTCAACAGAAGGATGTTGACATTTCAATCCTGGTATAGACTTCTGCGAGTGACGAGGCTCAGAACCTACAAGATGTGCCTTTATTCAAGGTGAACCGGGGCACGGGCTGCAAAATTGCAGTCGAGTGCTGTGGTCGTCTGTGTAGGATAGGCGAGACCGGAGCATAACACAGCATACAGCACACAGGACACAGGGGACAGTTAGAGTTCAGCTTGAAGATCCCCTTCACCTTGTGGGAGGAAGACGAGATGAAACGCCCCTCAAATGTACTGTGCCTGTAAGGCACGACACTCAGGCTGTGTGTGATATTTCGTCGTTGCGTATTGTGGAGTCGGCTCTTCGCTCCAGAAGCCGGCACAGCAGTCCTGACATGTGCTTTCTCTCCGCAAAACTGCAGCCCTTAGGTACGATGAGGAGGCTGTGGCAAGTGGGGGACTTGGGAATGCTCGGCTGTCGGCCTCCTTCTCACTGTGACTACTTTGTCTTTTGCTCCCGATCCCTCGACCCGCGATAGTACTTCTCCACCAGATCCAGGCCAGTCATCTTCCTCATCATCCTATCCATCATTCCTACAGGCAAAAACGTTGCAAGCCATACTTGAAAGGCGTTTCCCCCACGCCAGACATGAAGCGGCGGATTCTTCCTTGACAGATCCCTCACGATCGCTGCGGCCCACTGATCGGCGGGTATGGCCGTCATGTCAATATCAGTGCGCATGAACTTCTCCACCTGTTCCTTCCCAGGCACGTACAGAGAGCTTTCCGGTAGATGTATTTTGCCGCCCTGAGAGGAGCCCGAGGAGGTTGTGTTCGCAAAGAAATTCGAATGGACGGTGCCCGTCTTGAGATCGACAACTTGTATATTGAAAGGCCGAAGTTCCTGGCGTAGGACATCGGACATGGATGCCGTGGCGGCCTTGGACATGCTGTACGGCCCTTGAAGCGGCACAGGCATGGCGCTTGCGCAGGAAGTGTTGTTGACCAGGAGAGCCCCGTCCTGCGCGTTGCGAAGCAAAGGAAAGAAGAGCTGTGTGACGCGCAGAACAGACAGCGTATTCAAATCGAATAGTTTGGCCACGTCAGGGACAGATGCATCGAGGAGCGGAGTGCTGTAGCCTGTTCCGGCGTTGTTGACCAGGATGTCGAGCGAGTTGTGGGTTATCTCGGAGACTGCCTCGACTGCTGCTTTGATGGAGTCTTCTGACGTGACGTCGAGCTGGAGGGTCTCAATATTCATCTGTTTGAGCGATGCCATCTTATCGGGGTTCCGCGCTGTCGCGAACACACGGTCGCCGTGCTTATGGAAGGCGACGGCCAGAGCGGCGCCGAGGCCGCCATCAGAGCAGCCTGTTATCAGTACTGTGCGCGACATATTGAGTATCTATACAAATATGAGTACGAGCATGCCTATGAGCAGGCATGTGCTTTATAGCTGACCGTCGACAAGCTAGGCTGCGTAAAGCCACCTGCCGTCAGACTGTCACCTGGACAAGGCTCCGCTCGGATCCCTCAGGAGCTTGCTTGAGACACATACAGTATATTACTCCAAGACGGTAACTTGAATTCTGGGGAGCTCAAGGAGCGGGAGCGGTTCGCACCCACGGACAAGATCCTCGTCCGAGCTCCGCGCAGGACTTGTACAGCCAATCATGCCAGCCAGCGCAGAATTGAGCCTTGGAAATTGGCCAATAACACTAGCAGGTCAACAGAGTAAGGAATATGATCTTGCCGCGTGTTTGGAATATCCCTCTTGCCATCTGATGTAGAACTTACTGGCTCAACTGCGTTTTGTCATTCATGAGCATCCGTCGGTGAAATCAGCAGACGAAGCCCGGGGGCTTGGTGTGCCAAGCCTTGACACGTGATCATACACGTGACTAGCGTCCAGATTCTCACTCTGTCGCGCCTGGTGTCTGATCGCTCCCTACCGTTTCCTTGCGTCGAACCTTCGAATACGTTCACTGCTGTCCGACATGGCGGATCACCGTAGGCACGCACGACTCGATTGTAAGGCCCGCCAGACCAGCGTGCTCACGTCGAAACCTGGAGCTGGCAAGACCCCATTTCGAGAAAGTCGACACCGTGCCTTTGACAACCATCGCTTTACGAAGCGCGCTCTCTCATGTCTGGGAAGGGTCTGAGAATCAGCATTCGGACACTGCTAATGGCCCGACATTCTTCGTCACCAAGAATTTGAGATGGTCTCCAGCCGTGTCGCCAATTTTGTGAGTAGCCGATTCAGCTCCCTCATTGCGTGCTGTGGCAGATCACCCAAACTCCAAAAACCCGCCCTCCTTCTCGCCACAGCAGCCTACTACCCGCGTAAATCCTGTCGAGTACGTCCGAATTCAGATTCTCCCAGTCGTTTCAGTGGACTGCACCCTTGCATGCCCGTATGTTGTCTATGGTTCAGGTGACTCCAATTTTTCAGCCCAGCCTTGGCTTTAGTGTAGGTCAGGCTTTCAGTTGCAGACGGTAAAGCTGGGCATTCTAGGCAGGCACCTGTTTCGGAGTCGGCCTACTCCACGGACAAATACGGTTCTCTGGATCAGACACAATTCAGCCCAATCGAAGATTCGAGCTGGATCAAACAGGCTCGACCTCCTTCGTATCCACAAATACATATATCTACATTCGATACGGATCAGCCAGCCAACTTTGCAGCTGGATCCCTTAGAGTTCAGCGGCAGCTGAGAGCTACGTGATCGAGCCAGGCGCGGTACCAGGATCTCTCGACCATAAATACACCGTGCCAGCTTGAGCTTGCAACGACGAGTTCAAAGCATCCTATGCCTTCCGACAACCCAGACAGCAAACCTCGAAACTGGTGCGGTACGGAACCTTCAAGCAATCTCAACGAAGCGGATCTAGCTCCCGTCCCAAATACAGGTGTCATGGCGGCAGAAGGAAAGAAACGCTACCCGTGCGTAACACAATCTGGTCTTCAGGAGACATTCGGCCAGCCACCGAGTGGGGAACAATCTGGCGATGGCGACGGGCGGGACGAAATTGTCGTTGGTGTAGGGCCCATCATACCCCGTTGGACTGCATCCACATCCAACCCCACCAAGCTTCTCTACTTCGTAATTCGAGAAGGGTTCCCGAGTGACACCGACTTCCAGTATGCTGCAACCGCGTTCCAACAAGCAGCCGACGAGTGGAACGCCATTGGGTTTGGAGTGAATATCTCGCGGACGTCCAATCGATCACTTGCAAACTTCGTGGTCAGGTACTTCAAACCCACCGTTGATGAAGGCGTCCTCGCTTCAGCTTTCTTCCCAAACGAGGTCGAAGATGTTCTCGTCTACCACAAGACTCTTGTGGAGCCAGAGTGGAGAGCAAGTCTCAAGAATACCTTCTTGCATGAGATCGGACACATCATCGGCCTTAGACATGAGTTCGCTATCGTGCCGGACACCATGGGGAACGGGCCAGAGCAGACTCCGGCAAAGCAATTCGGAAGCAAGAATCCGCACTCGGTCATGAGCTACGAGGACATCAACAACATTCAGGATACCGACAAGAAGGACGTCAGGGATTTCTACAAATTGCCGAACAATAGCGAGATTGACGGAGTCAGGATCCGGGACTATGTGCCAAGGCCTCTTAGACAGTGAGTGCCTGGAAGCAAAATGGTGGCAAAGCACGAAAGTTGAGGTCAAGTCGCGTCTTCTTTTCGGTTCAGTTTGTTTCGTTCTTTCATCAGTTCTAATTTCTGCCTAAGTGGGCTTGACCATGCTTACAGTACGGGAATATACGCTGTTGTTGAAGTACTGGTTGACTCCAGAGCTCCGGGTCGTGGGGTTCCCCGGGAGTGTTGCGGAAGGAGCAGCTTTGCATGGCTGCATGATCATTCGTTCATAGCTGCCATCATTTATCACAGTACAGTCAGGTTCCAGCCTACAAGGTTAATCTTTTCTTCCCCAACACCAGTCTGTCCCTCATGTCGTTACTGGTGCAACGGTCGCCCTACCACCGCTAATACGTCGTTGGAAGGATTTTTGTGGTGGGAGCATTTCAAGTTCAACCTTCGAGCTCAGCATAGCATGAGTACTCCCTACGGAGGACGGAGTTGTGACTGGAGGCCTGGCGTAGGTATGTGATCTCCGGTGGCCATAGTAAATGGCGCCTTGGCAGCCTATCGAAGGACCGTGACACGTGTTGGTAGACAACCGCTACACAGATAGGTACCTAGGGAGATAATCAGACGCCTTTCGCCTTAAGGTAGTATTATAGCATGTCCTCCATCGAGTCGCACAGTAAAAGCACATACTGCACCTAATGCACGAAGCTCGTCTTCAGCCTTAAAAAGCGTTACTGGGATAATCGCCTATCGTATCTAATCTTATCTGATCTGTATCTGATCACGCGTGTCCCTTTTTTGCGCAAACTTGTCCTCTTCAATATTCCCGCCAGCGAAATCGACATCTCACAGCACTCCCACATTACTCAGTACCAAGCAGCCCATCCTCTTTTGACGCCCTGCACCCCCGCCCTTCCGAGACTCAATAGAGCCTCCTTCCACCCTCGAGACGCGCTCGACACAGGCTCATCACCGCCGCCCTTCCCAGCGTGTGCCCACAACCCTAAATTCCACCGTCCCGGACTCCCTCCTCTCCTCTTCAATGAGCACGACCTAAAGCGAACGATCACCCTAAACACCATCCCCCACTGACCACACACTCTCCCTCTTTTGCGCTGTGTGTGCACACGCACGCCCACGCGCGGCACGCCCACCGCCAACATGCAACTCCTCACCCTCTCCCTCCTCATCCCCATCGCCTACGTCTCCATCCTCCTAGGCAGCATGGCGACCTTCTCCTACCTCTACCGCTCACGCCAAGTGAACAAAAAGCTCCGCCTAGCCCCCTACTTCCCCGAACACACGACCCGCAACATCTACCTCTCCCTCCTGCACCTGTCAGACTCGGACCCTGATCACCCCGCCGAAACGGACAAACCCCCCAAAGTCCCAGACAGTGTCCTGCGAGCGGCCCTCCTCGCGCGCGCATGCGACGACATCCGCCGCATCATGGAGGTGCGCGTGCGCAAGCCCGCGCTCGCGGCCCTGCTCCAGCGGGGCGTCGTGGGGGATGAGATCTTCCAGCGGCTGCAGCGCGCGGAGCAGGAGCTCGAGCTGGAGATCAAGGACGTGGTGGCCGAGGCGAACGCGCTGAGTGGTTCCGGGCAAGCAGGCACGTGGGGCCAGACGATCTTCCAGAGCGCCAACGAGATGGTGCAGAATCAGATGTTACGGGAGAAGTTGGAGGGGATCAAGGCCGGGTTGCCGGCCGAGAGGGAGCGGTGGGACCGCACGCGCGAGAGTGCGAGGAAGGAGTTGTTGGGCGGCGTGGCCGAGAGTGAGGGTGGTGCTCTTGCTGCTGCGTCTACTTCTGCGTCGACGTCTACTTCTATTCCAACCCCCGCTCCCGCGCCTACCGCTGCTACACAGGGCGCGAGCCTCAAGGCCGCCGCGGGGAGTAGCGATGAGGATGGAGTTATTGTCGAGACGCCGAGCGCAGTCGCGGAGGTTCCGACGCCTGGAACAACTGGTGCAGGCGGAGGAGGCGGCAAGAACAAGAAGAAAAAGGGCAAGAAATAAAGGCACAAGAATCGAATTTGTATCATTCGATTGAGTATGCCGTCTGGGTCTCTGGCTTTTGGTTCACCCTGGGGCGGTATGGGGGGTAACTTAGGTCTTTTACGGGAGCGTGCACTCGAATCAGCATTAGCATCAATGTCAACATTGGACGGGAACAATTAGTTATTCGAATTCCATCTTTCTGACCAGCAGGATCAACATGACCGGAGGAGAGACTTCGCGTTCGTAACTTGCCGGATGTATGAATGCATAGTACACTATGTTACAGTACGCAATATTGGCACATTGAATCGTCCTGGTAAAGTCTTGCCTCAATCACATCTCGACGTCGCCCCAGCCTCGCTGTCCTAGCAGATCGACAGGGACAGTCGTCTTCATGTCGCCTGCAACCCCACTAACTCTCTGGAGTACGTCGTCTGGCGCCACTCCTTTCATCCTCTTCTCAATGATAAGACCCAGGAATGCAGTTAGGACATTCAGCCTGAGTTGTCGGGCCTGTTCGCTCTCCGCTTCTGCGACGGCTTCGGGGTCGACGTCTGTTTCTTGGATCATCCTGTCCGAGATGGCAACCATGATCTCCGTCAAAGTCTTGACTGCACTTTGATACTGCATGTTCTTCTTCATGCGCAGACCCCGGGCACCGGGTAACGGGGGCGCCCAGTCCGAGGCATACGCGCGAGCCACTTGCATGATGATCAACCTGCTGACTTCCTCATGAGGCAGGGTATTGAAGGTTTGGTTGAGCCCATGTAAAGCACAGAGTGTGCCCAGCGGGTCCGAGGAGAGGCAGAAACAGCGGATGATTTGCTCATATAACTCGGACGAGAAATCCTCCTGCGCCGAGACTCTCTTCTTCGCCTCCAGCTTCTCGAACCACTCTTGCATCTCGGCGAATAGTGTTCGCACATCAGGAAATATGCCCTGACGCCGGCGAGGGGCCGCGTAGGAGGTTTTCGCGGTATCCCAGAGAGCCGCGAATGTCTCAACGTCCGGTACAATGGATGACTTTAAAGAAGAGTATTTCGACCACACATCTGCTATCTGCCCGGATCGAAGCGAGGCGTAGAGCCAATGATTCATGATGAACGAGTTGGGTTTGATCTTGGCCGAGCCGGTCATCACATCCGTCAGGTGGCTGGCGTTTGCCAGGTCTGAGCGACGCGTATAGTGCTGCAAAAGGATCGAGAACGTCTCCACCGTGGCAGCGGGTGCGCGTCGCTTGCCGAAGACCAGACGATGCCCGGGGTCCCTTTTGGTCACAACATCAGCCGACTCGGGGCGGCCTGCCAGCGACAACCGATTCTGTACCATGTCAATTCGCGATTGGATCATCGCCCAAGCGGTTTCTTCAGCCTTCTGACGATCCCGTGGCGAGCCTTGTCGTATCCACGCCGCGATCAGTCCGTTCAACGGACCAGCATCGGGCTTGATGCCACGCTCGTACATGAGTTCGACCACGAGAGCCGCGTCGTCTGTCAAACCCTTGCCTAGCAGCCACTTTATCCAAGCAGTGAAGAAAAATTTGTTCGCGAACCTCCGCGGGAAGCTCGCCAGTACCGAAAGGCCTATCTGACTGACAAGGTCCTCGTTGAAGGGGTGGACATCCGTGACTGCTTTATCGAAATCTCTGAATATCATATAGGAGTTTTGTGGCGCGGTGGCGGTCAGCAGAAACATGTCCTTAAAGACGGCAAGCGCAAGTTCCGGACGATCAGCCTCAAGAAGAACACTGCTGACCCGGCCCAGGATGTCCAGTCTCGTCTTCTCGTCTTCGTTAGCCTCGAGCTTTCGGCAAAGCTCGAGGTAGCAATACCAGGTTTTGACGTCAGCTTGAGGGTGTTGACTCTTTGCCCACGCCGAGATGACCATGACTAGAATCTCGGGGTTGATCATGGTGGTATGCTCGTAGCATTCGAAGGCAAGACGTTGGGCCTTTTGTGGTTTGCCGAGCTGCACGTAGAGGCCGATACCCGCGACCCAGAACAATTCAGCGAGTTCGCGATTCGTGCCTAGCCGTGGTCGCTGTGCCTCCCATGTCTCTGCAGCAGCAGCAATGTCTCCGGTAGCTTGTAGAGCGTCAATGTATTCCACCCATTCCCTGTCCTCGAGCGATACGTCAGCCTTGATCATGTCCTTTCCCAGCATTGCGAGGTGTTTTGGTCTGTAGAATCTCGTGCTCTGGGATTTCCACAAAAAATGCCAGACGTCCTCCGGGATAATCAGGGCGAAGTTCGGGACGTGCTGTTGGCACCGCAGGTACCATTTCCAGAGCGCAAAGTATTCCTTGTCGTCGTCCTTCTGTTGGGCCGTCTCCAACGCGGCGTTAAATCGCTTGACATAGATTTTGTCCCGAACAGGAATGCTCAAGGTCACTTTGAGCGAGGATTTGGCTTGTGTGGATTGCTTCTTTCCCTCTTCTTCCCTGGCCAGGTCTTCCAGATCCTCCTCAGATATCAGATCTGCGCTCTCAGACGGCATTACACCCTCTTCTTCCAGCGCTCTGAGCAGCTCTTCTCTTTCATCGGCAGGGAAAGACCGGATGAATTCACTGTTTGGTCCGAAAGGCCCCTCTCGCATGACAGACAATTCGTGGTCTAGCCGATCCAGCTCTGCCTTGAGGGCGGCCGCTTCGGGGTCGAGAGGGTTGTGAACTGGACGTCGGGTCGAGGAATCCTCACCCTGTTGCTCGTACTCGTGAACATCTGGGTTTCCTAGCGAGGGGACCGCCGGCCTACGGCTTTGAAGGCGGGCTCGAGGAGGCTGTCGGTACTGACGGACCGGTTGGAGAAGTTGCAGGCATTGCTGATGCGCTGTGAAACTGGGAGACAGGCAGAATTGCTGGTGCCATCTTCGCGAGAGATGGCAGATACTGCGCATAGATGGACGGTTCCGGAATGATGCTGGTGTATCGCGGATGTCGAGACTATCAATCGATGGGCAGCGGCCAGAAAGTTGCCTGAATATTTCGAGACACTTCGCTTCAGCCTCAACCGACGATGAGCCGAGACGCAGCAGCTTCTGGCGCCATCGACCTGCCGATTTTCTAGAATGCTCTCCTCATGCTTCGATAACTACAAGTAGTACCTGAGGATCATGTTACGCTGGGAAGATGAACGAGGAAAGCGTATAACTTGACATTGCAGTATTGCCAGCTTTTACTTTGAAGATCCCGTGCTAATTTCACAGCCATCGAAATATAAAGCAATTACCCCAAGACCCATGGCGTCAACGAAGCCACAGCAGTTAGAAAACCCTTCCACAGAAGACAGTGTCCCGTCAAATTCAACACCTCTCGCCCTGCCACCACCAAGCGATGTCTCAGCATCCACTTCGACATCGCAAACCGTCAAGCTGGACGCGTTAGGACCGATGGTGATAAACTCCGACGGCACGCTCTCCCGTATTCACAACTGGGCTGAAATGAGCGAAGCTGAGCGCGAGCGGACTCTACGTATCCTGGGGAAGCGAAATCAACTGAGGCGGGAGAATATTCTTGCCGCTGAAGGGGAAAGTGAGAACGGTACCGTGGCAGGTGGTGAGCAGTCATGAACGAAAGAGGGAATCTTAGGGGAACGCTTCTATCGAGAGTACAGGGCTGCACTGATAGCACGACGAGCGGCGGACTCTGGACTGGCTTCCTTCTCGCCATCCACTGACATCTTGCAAGGTCCGTCTGGACGATAGAACATTGCAGTCACGGAGCAGATGTCGGTTGTCCTGTTCGCGACAGAATGCAGAAGCCTGGCGTCAGATGGTACAGTCCATTTCGAAGGAACGACCAGTGTTCAACCAGAAGAAGACCCCACAATGAACCATTGGAGAGATGGGCTGTGGAACGGCACAGAAGCCTTGAGTCGCGAAAAAGGCGCCATCAAGAGCTGTGAGGTTGTGACACGTTGTCAGTAGCCGGTTCACCCACGGCACTGGGCGGATATGAAATCGAGGAGGGTCACTTACATCTTCTGGGCTCACTCGGTAGCGAAGCTACTCTCTCAAACAATGAGCATTTCATCGATTTCCCAACCGTGGTAATTTTCACTCTCTTGCCAGGCATAGACCCCTTTCCATTCCCATTGTGACCCCTTGTCAGAGCTAGCACAGATAGCTGCAACTGATCCAAAGTCTTCACCTCGCTGACTGCTGCCAACGTACGGAGACATGCCATCTTCATCCAGTGCTCGGACGAGTCTCACCTCTGCCGCTCTACTCAGTAACGCCTCCATAGTGTGACACGCAAGAGCTTCGTCCGGATAAGCATAGACGAGCTCAGATTCGTCAAATGTCACCTCTTCGTCCTCGTAATGTGTCAAGTGGCAGCACATTTCTTGCACGTTCTCCAAGAACGAGCTATCAACTCTGATGATGCGCCACCGGCCACGTAGCCCACGATCTGTGATTTGCGCGAACAGACTGCCTCCACCGTCATAGCAAGGAAACCGTACCGTATATTCCTGTTTCCTGCCGCAGGGCAGATCAACGGCACGGTGGATAGGACGAATATATGGGGAGTCGGGCGCCCATCCCAAGCCATTGACTCCGCTGACACGAGGTGCACTAGAAAGGAGAAACGCACTCCTAACTCGAACCTGCTGTCTCCAGAGGTCAGCAGCTTTGGTTTGCACCGGCCTGTTGATGAGTAAGCTCCAGCAAATGATGACATCCTCAGGCCAGGAAGTGTGACGCTGGCTGAGAAGATAACCTGCCTCCTCAACGCTTTTGGTAGTCGAGGGATCTGCATGCGGGATTAAATGCTGCGTGCTGCCCAGAAGTGCCGCAATGTCAACAGACCCTCGTTCGTGTAAAGTCAACAGAGCTTGTCGCAGATTGACCACGCGATCGTGCCTGCAAAGTAGGAAAATGGCACGGCTGGCACGGATACCCTCCAACAATGTCCAGCCCCGGACAGTCCAGTCACTTACCAGCAAAGTCGATACAAGCATCTCAATTTGGTCAATGGTTGGTACTGAGGGATCCACGTCAACGGTTTGGACATCCATGTCTATCACCACCGTCACCTTTGCGATCGCGAAAATGTGGCTTATGCTATTGATAGCCTGCCGTCGAAGTTTCGTTTCACTCGGGATAGCGGCAACATCGATCCAGTACGTGTCACATCCGAATTTATTGGCCAGGCGGCAATATCGCTGATGAAGACAGGCATTGATCCCAGATTCTGGCCGACCGCCTTGACCATGGCTCCAGACGTGGGAGATGGCAAGCGTCTCCGAAGAGACAGGCAAGTACTCCAGATGCCGCGACTCTTCAGTGGCCACAATTGCAGCCGGTTTCAAGGAACCATGGTAGGATGAAGCATCCCAGACAATCTTTGCACAGTCCTTGCTACAGGATAAGACGTGGGCCGATTGCGCTGCGGTCTCTGCAGCGGTGAACCGCTGACACGTCTCTGGACGACCTCCTGCACAGGCGTCCTCTGAACCACGTATGCACCTTGCAGACCGGTCGTGGAATTGAGCGTCAAATCTTGAGATCATCCGACGGAAGTCGAGTCCCACGGATGTTCGACTAGTCTTCAACAGCCCGAAAGCCCAATTGCACATATACTCGGTACAATTCTCCCGGGAATCCCCCCTGGACAGTGAGTTCAACTCAAAGACACCGCGCACAGCCAGTAGGGAGTTCCAGGTAGAAGAGTAACCATGAACTAGCTGGACTCCGATCACGTAGTAGAAGTGAAGCATCAGTGAGCGCTGCCAAGCCGACCACAGGAAGACCTTGATGATAGCCATGGCCTGTACATGGTCGTCATGCTCCTGGGTAAATAATGCGTCCTTTAAGGCTCGACCTTGGTCCGACATATCTTCGAAGGGAGCTTCGATGCCCATAGACACAGCATTACTCATGGTCTCGAATTCATCGAACAACTCCGAGAGTAAATTGACGTAGTTCAAGGATCTTTGTGCGAGGCCGAGATCTGGCTTGTTGCCTTGTCGTGCGAGTACAGTTGCCAGAGTCAAGGAATTCGTGTCGATATATCTCGTGACATATAGGTTGTCCCACGCGAGGTCGCGCATTCGGTTCATCAGATCAAGCATTGCAGTCGAGTCCTCTCCTGGTTGTTGTTGCAGTTGCGAGCGCGCCTCAGGCAGGATGTATTTTGCGGCCCAGCTGCCACCTTTGATGCCATCCCAAAGTGTTGACCCTCCCTTCCGCGCGAATCGGCTGTTGAGAGGCAGGTAGAAGCTACGTTGAGGAACCTCAGGCAGTCTCGACAGGAGACTCTTTACCTTGGAACATAACTTCTGAATGGGAGCTTCCTGGGCCACTGGCAGCCCGTCAATAGTGCTATGACGACGTGGTAGTAGAAGAGAGAGATCTCGGTCAAGCTTATTAAAATGTCCCGTCTGGTCGTGCACGTCGTTCAAGAGTGGGGTGCATGACAATCTCAATGCATACCCTCGAGCACCGGTGTCTTCAATCTGTGCCAAGGGGCACGATAGCAGATCGTCACTATTGCCACCGTACAGACTTCGAACATGCTTCTCTAGAGGACAAGGAAGCCGGAGGGTCTGCATGTCTCTCCGGAGACTTGAGCGACATCGCAGGCCGAGAGTTTCGTGCGGCTCATGAGGCCCGTTGAGGCTCCTCAGCTCCGACGTTATTTTGAAATATGCCCTACCGTAGTCGGTTCGCGGCTCAGATTACGGTAAAGCAGAAATCCCGCCCACGTTTGCAATTTGACGCGTCACGCGCGTCCATGCGTCCTTGCGCGTTTCCCGCAAACACCACGACGACGGCGGCGGCGACAGCAGCAGCAGCAGCAGGATACCGCAGCCAAGCGAGCCTAGGATGGATGATAATGCTCATGCTGTAAGTCCTGGATCTCCTCGCCTCTGACCTCGACTAAAATATCTCAGGCCTGCTATATCTTCAAACCTGCAGCACAAGAAGATGGAGACATCAATCCTCGACCACCGAAAAGGCGCAGGCTAGCCAAGGCAACATCCAAGAACCTCGAAGAAGATGTCCCTTGGCCACGTCTCCTGGGAGGACTAGAGTCGCAAGAGTCTGTCAAGCTGCGCAAGTCATTGTTTGAGTCAACATGGGCCACACAACAAGCGAAGCTCGACAAGGTGGGGCACACGGTCGACGAACAAGTTGTTCATGATGTACTCAGTCATGGCCGTCTGGGGGAGACAGCAGGACACGAAAGTCTGCCCACTCATTTACTGGTAGCATCTGCAACAGCACAGCATGAGTTTCAACAGGCCATGGAAAGAAGGATGCAAGACACCGCGTATAACAACGATGTCATGGTGTCGCTTCAACCCACGCATTGCTCAAATCTGCAGACTGCCCTGAAGACTATCATCAAGGCATCCATAGCCGGACATCGGGGCGAGGAAGCTTACGCCGACTTCCTAGCAGTGAACAAGGCATTAATCCCGATGAACTTCGATCTCGAACTCCTCCACCGTTGCGTACAACAAGACAAGATAGAGCGGATCCTGATTTCTGTCGCAGACATAGAGACGTTTGACACGACTGTTCTGTCCGAGCTTATATCGACCTTCCACTCGTGGTCCGACAGGATCCCATTTATGCTTTTCGTCGGCATTTCTACCACGACCGGGCTCTTTGAGTCTCGTTTCTCAAGAGCAACGATCAGTCTGCTGGACACTCACTTCGTCGCAACCAACGCCTCAGGAGCATCAGAGAGCACTCTGTTCAACATGTACGAGACGCTCCAACATGACAGCGCGACTCAAATTTTCCTAGGCCCGTCTATCGTCAATGGCTTAGCCGAACTAGCAGAAGCCCAGAGCACTACCCCGGACACTCTGGTCCGGGCGTTGAAGTACGCCTACATGTCGCACTTCTTTGCCAACCCTCTATCCGCCTTGGACGTGCAATTCAAAGGAGACACTCAATGGGATCCGGCAATATGCAACGCGATCCGCAGCCTTCCAGCCTTCAAGAATCTATGCGAGCCGCTGGCCAGAGGCGACAGAACTCAGAGACAAAACGCTCGCGAACTACTCACCTCCGATGAGAGCCTCCGGAGGGAAGCAGAGGCCGCCATCCCAGCCGGCCAAGATTACATGCACTCGTGTCTCCGCGCCATCAGAACTCTAAGACACTTATATCACTCCAAGCTCCATATCCACACTGTCAAGAACACGCCATGGGCGACTGAAACGGACCTCCTGGCATCACTACCAGATCTAACCAGGTCCGAAACCTTCAAAGCCATCGAAGACACGATGAGAGCAAGACAGACAACCTCCCTGAGCGAGATCGTCGACAGCGAGACAGAAACAGAGACAAACCACCTCAGCGACCTCGAGAATTATTGTTCAGAAACCGGAACCCAGGTCGACCAACAAGCCGCTGTTCCATTTCTGCGCGCCTACCTCCAACACCGAACACCCATTTCCCCGTCCTCGTCCTCACCCACATCATCACCGCTCCAATCGGGGATCAGCCCCTTCCGGCAATTCCTCGCCGAAGCATTCACCATGACCCACAGAATGCCGCTCTCGCAAATCATCCACCCCCGTCCCCGCCATGCCATCGAGCGCGCGCTGACCCGCCCGGCAGACTACCTGGGCTGTTCGTGCTGCGGTGCAGCGGGTGACGACATGACCACCGCAACGAGAGCGACCCTCCCGCCCACGAGTGTTCTGGTCCACATGCTGAACGAAGCGGGCGTGGTGATCAACGTGCGGGATCTATGGGATGCGTTCCGCGACACGGTTTCGCCCGGCGTGCGGCGCCGTGGGGAGGAAGAAAGTGGCGACGGCGGCGAAGAAGAGGGAGAGGGAGAGGACCATGAAGAAGACGGGGCTCAAAGCGAGAGACAAGTCCTCGCGCTGTTTTACCGCGCGTTGGCCGAGCTCAGGTACTTGGGCCTGATCAGGCAGAGCAAGCGGAAGCCGGGGATCGAGTGTATCCAGAAGACGGCGTGGATGGGGCTCTAAGCAGAAGACCGTGTGGGATGGGTCTCTAACGAAGTGGCTCACGCCGTCGATCGTTGCTGGTGGGGCTGATTACATACAGTATATGGCGCGTGAGCAAGAATGTCATGCATGGTTCATGATATCAAAATGTCATTGTTCGTGATATAAAAAAGTCAGAGTTCCTGATATCAAAATGTCGAGGTTCCTTATATCAAAATGTCAGGGTTCTTGATATCAAAATTTCAGGGTGCCAGTTCTTGATATAGAACTGTCGGGCGAGTACCCTGTACCCCCCGGTCGAGGCAATCCGGGATCCAGGAAATCCACTGGACCCGTCCGAGTACCTCTGCAGATCCAGATGTTATACTAAAATAATATAACTCGTAGTCGTCAAGACGATTATCTGCACACGAGTCTATGGAAAACATATCTTGTCACAATATGACGCGTAGTCGTCGAAGACGATCCTTCGAACAGAAAGTCCATTGAAAGCATATCTCGTCACTAATGATGCGCTGCGTTGGGGTATCTGCCTAAAGAAATGAAACGGACCATCAGACATCAGACATCAGACATCCTAGACCCATACTCGTAGCCCTTTACTCCACCTGGAATGGCACTGACACTGACCCTGACCCTGACCCTGACGCCGACCACAAACACTGACGGTGACACCGACACAAACACAAACACCAATAACCAACGGCAAAGCAAGGCTGCGCGGCTCGAATGTCGTCCGAACGGACCGCCAACGGAGCAAACACTGTCGACGAAATCCAAATCACCCCAGATACGGAGATGTAGTGTCCGACACCATTGACGCCATGAGTGCACTCCACCTCCATCACTCTCATGAAATAAGCATAAGACATTCCATCGTGGGCCAGAACAACAAATCCCAATATGCTCGTCAAACAACATGAAGCACATGCTCCCAACATGAAAGGTATATTCGTCCCAGTGCAGCATTTTCAATCAACAGTTCGAAACTGCAGTCCCGTCATGAGCAAAATACAGATCCAGTGGTATAGGCGAACCAATCATACCTCATCGTCCATCCACTCCTCATGGGAGCAGGCAGGGCAGAAGCGATGGTTGCAAGGAGGCATGCACGAATCCGAGAGGCTAGAATTCGCCGTTTCGCCGCAGTGACAGCAGAAGACATACTTTGTGCGGCGTTGTTGGGCGGCTCGTCGTGGTTGAGGTCCAGCGTCCTCAGTAACAGAGTGGGTTTGACGTTGCAGTGACCCCGTATGAGCCTGAGGTCCCATCATCAATGGCAGGTCTTGCATCATTGAAGTGGAGCCGGGGAGTCCTTCAGAATCTGAGGACTGGTGTGACACGTCGCGTTGCATCGGACAGGAGTCGTTGTGCGATGGGGTTGGGGTCGGCGTGCTCATCGAAGTATCTTGAGACATGGCCACAACGTCCTCTCCACCTTCGGTGGCCGTTTGGCTTTGTTGTTCTCGATTTTGCTGCTTCGTCTTTCCCTTGCTGCCCAATTCCACCCAGTCCTTGCTAGACTTGTTGCCCTTGGTGAAATGTTCGGCAATGTGCTGGAACCTAAGGTTGATGGCTTCAACATCCGTCTTCTGGTGTGTAATGATCTGACAGCAGAATCCGCACCAGAATCGTCCCTGGTGATTCCGAGCGATGCGATATTGTCTGGCACTCTCCTCAGGTCGTTGAGTGGAGTGGACGTTGGTCATGTGCTGAATGTAGTAGCTTTGGTCATGAAAGAAGATTTCAAAGCACAGATGGCAACGCCAGCACTCCTGCTGCTCGTGTTGTGATTGTTCATGCCTCTTCCAGTCATTCTTACTGCCAAAGGTCTTATCGCACCCGTCGAACACGCACCCGTAGGGCTTCGAATGGCGATGCATGTGCTTGTTGAGATCACTTTGTCTCTTCTTGGGCTTCTTGCAGATGGAACAAACGAAGTAAGTCTCCTTCAATGCAGGGCAATACTTCCCGGGACCTGTCTGGACGTCAGCAGGTCCCGGTAGCGGGCCGGCATGTGAAGCATCGCAACTGGTCAAGGTGTCGCTGCTTCCGAGCGAAAGCCGAAAACTCTTATACAACTCTTCTTCCGATAGCGGTTGGTTGCCTGCCTTGGCGTTGTGCTCGACTAAAAAAGAATTGATGTCATCCTCTAGGCGTTTGTGGAGCTTCGACTTTGGCGAGTCCTCCAAGGCTCGCGCGATGCTGGCTTGCTTGGGCGAGGGTGCCGGTACGTTGTCAGCAGCTGGATTGCTTCCCACATATCCCAGATCGGCATCTTGGCTCGCCCCAAAATCATCTATCGGGACGGGTTGGACTTGTTTGGGAGAACCAAAAAAATCTGCCATTCGGTTCAGTCTGATGTCGGGACCAGCGACTGTGCGTGCCTTCTTCACCTTGCGAGGTTGCTCATACCCGAAAGCCCGTGGGATGGAATAACGCCCTCGCACTGCAAAGGCGGAAGGGTCTAAAGACGGGGCAGAAGTGAAGTGGTAGTTGACCGTCGGGTTTGCGAAACCGGTCGGGGCTTGCGAGTCATCCTGATACCCAGAATAGTCCGCATGCGACCTCGAAGTCTTCTGCGTGTGAAATTGAGGCGGGGCGAGGTTAGTATTGAATGATGGGACTGCCAAATAGCCTTGAGGGTCACCAGTGCTCAAAGGGCCAGAAAGACTTCGCCGTTGGAACTGCTGAGTTCGCCTAAGACGCGGATCCAGAACCAAAGCAGGGTCTGCTGACTGAGCTGGCGTGCCGTGACTGGCAGAGCGCAGCATATCGCTGCCTCCAGATGACAGCGACATGTACGATGGATTGGAGTCCGAGTAGTTGCCCTGATATGCCTCAAATTGCTCCGAGACAGACATGGCAGAGTTTGAGGCGAATGCATTGTGTGGCCTGGGATGTGATGCTGCGTCAGCCTCCGCTTGACGCTCTGCTTCTTGCCGTTCCCACCAGTCATTGGACCTTGAAGACTGTTTAGCAGGAAAGATCAAATATTTGGAAGGGAAAGCTCACTTCTGAAGCAGATCTTCCATCTTTTGCTCCTTATGCATTTTTTTGAGATGTTGTTTGAAGTTGTCGAGGCGAGGCCAGTCTTTGTCTCCCCTGCTGCAGCCCTCACCAAAGCATCTGTACGATCTACTGGGCCTGTTGATGATCTTGTGGACCGCTTTCATGTGTCTGTCCCGGTCATTAACCGTGGCGAAACCCTTCTCGCTCTGCGGACAGGTTCGAACTGTGCACTTGTACTCGCGTCTATGGCGGGCTGAATGTTTTCTATTTCAAGATTAGTTTGGGGCATGCCCTCTAAACGTGCCGGCACTCACTTCAGGTCTGACGGCGTCTTCCCCGTGAACTCGCAGTCGGGGCATTCGAGCTCTGTCTGTTTTCTTGGTAACCGGCGAGCCGGAGATTGTCCGGGCTGCGAAGGTTGAAGGCTGTTGTTGAACGGAGTGAGCGTGGCTGTGGATGAGTGAGACGACGTAGGGCCAGGCCCAGGAGCAGAATAGGGGGTAGGCGTGGAGGTCCTAGTCCGTTGTTCAATGATATCAGAGCCATGTTCACTCATGGAGCAAGCTTCACTGGCGTGTTGAGTTTTCCTGGATCCAGTGGCGTATGCCGAATCTTGAAAGGTCATTTGTCCACTGGCAGAGGACGGACGAAGAGCATGCGATGGAGTTCTCAGGTGTCCTGAAGGCAGCCCAAGTTGATTTGAATTCATAGTGTCAGGCAATCCAGGACTAGGCCCTACCGTGGCGTCCACGTGTGTCCAGGGGTCCGGACCAGTTCGGTGACTGGGTACACCGTCGTTGTCGACAGCAGACGTGTCCAGATAGCGAGGATTGACAACAGAAGCAGAAGAAGAAAGAGTATATTGGGAATCGCCTTGTGGGAGATCGAAGGAATAGTTCTCGAAGGCAACAAGGTCCAGGAAATGATCGTTGGGAGAAGAGACGGAGCTCCTTGGAGTTTGGTCAACGGTGGGAGTCATGCCTGGGAAATGAGCCTGGATGCCCCTCAAGTCTGGGTCTGATGACAAGGCTGAATGGAATCCCGGTCCAGATGCACTGCCATCCTCTTCTGAAGGGATAGATACCTGGTGGATTGGGATTAGAGACGGTAAAATCATGGCGGGGAAGTGGCAGTGTTAAAATACATGTGCACCAGTCACCCTCACGTGGAGAGAGACCGTTTGAGGAGATGGTTCATTGGCCATGATGACCCAGCTCCGCTCAAGAAGGTATTATGCTGAAAACACATTAGCGTTGAAGATCACAAAGGGAGAAGAGACCATCGCCGTAGGTATAGAGTGAGGCACAAGCGTAGTGTTTCTAACTGACCTTTTGGTCAAGATGCGATCCGGCTCCAACCCGAATGGCGGATGCGTGTGCTCAGGGGGCGCGCAGAGGAAGGTAGCAACACTCTTGCCGGGGTCAAAACCCCTTCAAGGTATTCGAGAACACAGCCTTGCTTCTATCAGACTTGCAAGACGCCCATAGTACTGTAGTTAGTGATAACGGAATGAGCGCCTCGACCAATCAGAATCGATTGGTGGCGGCCCGGGTACCGTACAGCCTTCTTTCGCCTGCTTAGCAAGTGAGGCGGATGACATCCACTGAGGCGGACGGGCGTTGACTGCTATATCATACACGAGACGAAGGATACGATCGCGCGCAAAAGTGTGATTCGAGGAACAGAACCGATGTGCAATCGAGAGTTTGGTGGACTCGGAGGTTGATGGAGGGGGCGGTGCAACGAGGGCAGGATGCAAAGTCGACTTTAAGAGGCAGAACGGCCACGGAACCTGGCTCCCGCTGTCGCGGGAAATAGCAGACGTCGCGGAGGAGTCATTCTGTGCTAGAATACGGCTAACAGCTGAAAGTGTAATTGTTGGATTGAGGAAAGTGGCACTGTGTGTAGAAAGAGTGAATCCAAAGTGAACCGAAACCGGTGACAAGGCAACCGTCTTGGAAAGACTGAGGTGCACACTCGATCAATACACGAACAATGACGGAGGGTGACGGCAAGCGTGCAGGCGGTTGATTTTGGCGCGGGTGTTTTGGCTTGGGCTTTGGCGTTGGCAGTCGGCTTCTGGGGGCCGTTGGGCGTTCCCTAACCACATTTTGGGGCACTTTCGGGGGCAGAGGCACTACAAACCTACTGCCCAGGACACCGGTCTGACAGGTCACCTCCGAAACTGCCTCGCGGCCTGTGGTTCGCACCAATGGGCATTCGCGATTGGGCGCAAGAATGCCTCGCCTTAGCCGTTGGCGGTTAGCCGCCGCCTTTTCTGCCTGGAATGGTGTTCTATTACAATACGCAATACTCAGTACCAGGTCGACAGCGACGTCGTCCCCGCGAACAGCAAGTAGTTCGGGCCATCATCAGATTGCTGCTGCGCAGCTCTTGATTTTGCTCGAGAAGCGAGAGGTCAACATTGGCACACCCTATCAACAGCTACAACACTGACAACTGCTGCACTATCCGCAGTGCCCTGCATCTGGTGGTGGCTGTGGCCTGAGGAGCTTGGTAACCACGGCTGCAGTGAACTTTCGCTACTTTCGCTACTTTGTAACTCCCAGTCTTTCGTCAAAACTGCTGAGCTTGGCCGCGTAAGGTGCGGACCAGCACCAATCGGGCCATCGCTTCCATCCCGAGAAGCTCCAAACTTGTGAGAAACATTGCAACTTGCAATATTGCTTTGAAACGCCATCATCATCATCATCATCGCATTATCGTATCCCCTCGGTCGCTTCCCGATTTCGATCGGAGAAGACTCTGATGTGGGCATCGTTCATCATAGGGGTATCTTCAATACATCGTGGAATGTCACGTATCACGCTCATGAGCATCCGCCCAAAAAATCCCAATACTCCGTGAAATGCCCGGGAGAGCCAGCCTGCTAGCCGTGTGCCCCATTTCCATACCTCTTGCCTCACTTCGAAAACCTTCCCAGGGTCAATCGACACATGTAAGCAATCTATTATGCGAAGTGCATCTTTACCTCGGTAAGCCCACTGCCTTGAGCCTCGTACATGTATTGCTGCTGTGGATGCTGGGTCAGGGGCGTTTGCAACCCCAGTCCTGTCTGAACATTCACGTTCATCCCGCCCGAGTTCGCTGCGTGAACATGACTTTGTAGCATAGACTGACCGTACTGGCCCGTACTGTACATCGGCATCGAGTGCGAGTGAGAATGTGTACTGGGATATGTCTGTTGCATTGCCGCTTTTGGATATGTCCCTCCAGCCGGCTTATAGAACGAGCTTTCGTGTCTTTGAGTCGTTGGTTGAGATCGTGGCGTCACCATCGCCGCATGAAGCGACAGGTTGTGGTCGTGATGTGGGCCCGCCTGCGGAGATGGTATGAAGGGGGAAGACTGATGGATATAGTTGGCGTTGCCACCAAAGCCATTGCCCATCATCGGTCCTTGCGTTGCCGGGGTCATCGCATGCGGGCTGTAGTATGGCTGATCGAAATAATAGCCTCCATTGTGAAGGCGACCATGCATTGACGAAGGTGACTGCCCGGCTGATGACGGCTGGTAGGCCGAGTTGGCGCTCGTTGGATAGGGCGACAGATTGCTGGGATCGGCAGTGTTCACCGAACCAGGGTTGGCCGCAAAAGCAGGAGGCACCACGTGTGGCTGCTCAATTGGGCTGATAATGGTGTCAGGCGAAACTTGCCTCATGTCCACCAACTGCAACACCGGCATTGCGATCTGTTCCATGTGCTTGCCCATGTGCACGGCAAGCTTTTTGAACGTAGAACAGATATTCCCGCAGAAGGGACAGGGCTCGTCATGAGGCTTCTTCTCTGTCTCGAAGCGGCAGTCTTCAACTAACCGCCACACCTCGCTGTCTTCTGCAAAGCCGTTGTTGACCGGCTTATTTTTGCTGCTGCCAGAACCACGCTTCATCTTGGGTTCTGTCATCTTGTGCTCCCTCACCAAGTGCTGGACGAAGTTGTCTTTGCGGTAACAGATGTGATTACACTCTTGGACAGAGCACTTCCACCACTCCAGATGTCGATGGCGCTCGTTTTCATGTCGGACCCAGTCTGCCTTCCGCTTGAACGACTTGGACTCCGAGCAGTTGGGGAAGGTGCAGGAGAATGGCTGGATGTCCTCGTGAACATGCTTAGTCCAGTCTGACGGCTTTTGGAACTTCTTCACCTTGAAGCAGATATTACACTCAAACTCTGCGGGGAGCCGTTGGACTGGGGGCAGCGGTATGCCGGTGGGAAACAAAGCCGGGGTAACGATACCGTCAGTGAATCCAGCATCATCCACTTCTTCATCCGCCGGATTACTGACTTGGAATTGTGTCAATGTCGTGTCCGGATCTTTAGAACTGACACGAGGCGCCAGCAACCTCGCCTCACCACCCAGGTCAAAGCAGAACTTGCCCGAGGAGCACTTCTTGGCCACTTGTACCGAGCGGGTATGCCTGATCTTGGTTTCAACTAGCTTCTTGTAGCGTCGAATCTGCTCTTGTGCCACGCGGTCAAGTAGATACGGCGCAAGCCTGGGATTGAGTTTGCGTGCATGATCTCGGAAGCCTTCGATGGTCGGGAGGATATTCTCAGCCCGGATCGCGAGATTCATTTTGATCGCTAATTCGTCTGCTTCATCCTCGTCCTCATCCGCAGGAGCTTCCTCGTTGTCAATGATTTGAGCAGCGAGGATAGGTTCACGCTCATGCATAGGCGATGCAAGCGTGGGAACAGGTGGCCCGCCGTGCCGCGTTAACAAATCCGCCAGTCCGCCCGGGCTCTTCGCATTCTTGCCCACGTCGCTCTTGCTCCTCTGCTTCTTCAGTGCTTGTAGTGGTCGTGAAGACTTTGCAGTATCGACTTCATGAGCTACTGAGTTACCACGTCCGACTGCCGCCAGCTGGCCCGTCATCGCGAGAAAGGCGCCGCCGGTGCTTATCGATGGTGACTTGGGTTTTCCCCAGCTCGGCGCTCTTTGAGCAGGTTTAATGCTTCCCACTGAGCTGCGATGCGCATGTCCTGTCACAACAGGCTCCGTTCGATCTACTGACGGCTCCTCTTTGATGTTGCTGCTACTTCGTCGGGGGAAAATGCCCCGTGCCTTGCTTAAAATACTGCTGGTTCGTTCACGACCTCGCTTTGATAAGGAGAGGTGTCGAACTTGGCTGCCATCGACGATGGAGTTGACCTCGCTCTCACTAAGTCGACGCCGTGTTCCCCAGGTTGCAGCTCTCGAAGAAGTTTCCCACTTTGCAGCCTCTTGGTTGAACTTGTAGGCAGCCGCGTTGGATGTGTTTGGCTGTTGCTTCGTAGTATCATAAGGGCCCGAATCAGGGTCTTGCCATGGGCCTCGTCTGATGAACTGATTAGGATGTGGTTCCTCTGGGTCAAGTTGCGCATCGAGTTCCAAAGCTGGAAACGGAGTCTCGTCGGGTTCTTCACGGCTGTCAAGAGCGCGTGGTGAGATCTGTGGCGAGCCAGACTCGTGATAGTCCTGCACTACCAGCTCGGTGTGCATTTCGATTTCGGAGTCGTCAAAGTATTCATCATCGGTCTCCACGTCGACAAGTGCTCCGGGACCGGGGATATGGGCGTCCGAGTAAACAGGGCCAAGTGCATCAACATGCGTACCAGCAGTGTGCGCGCGCCGTCGTGACGCTTGAGGCGTCCTGCGTGATGTGTCCGAAGGGCCTTGGTCTCCTGGCTCACTGCCAGCATCGCTTGTTGCAAGCCATTCTTCGACGTGATCATTCCTCTCCTCAAGCTGGCGCTTGTCTGCAATGTCTTTAAATGAGTCGACCACTTCATTATCTCTGGAATTTGGTTCCACCCCAACACGGGGTGACGACCCGGTGCGTAAATTGTCAGCGCTGCTTGCATCTGGCGGCATCAGATAGGACGTAATGCCATCGACATTTCTAGGTGCAAGGACTCCTGACCCGTCTTCATCTTCATCACCATCATCGGAGGAGTCGCGTCGACGACTTCGCTTAGCAGAAGTCGGGATATGGGTCACAGTCGTTGGGGACTTGAGGTAGGAGGTTTCATAATCGGAGATCGTGACAACAGGACTGCGTGCCCGGATATTCGGCGCCTGCTGCCATGCGCCTACCTTGTAACCAGGAGATGGAGTCTGGTTTGGAGTAGTGTCCACTTTGAGGTTTTGGGAGACAGTCCTTCTGTGGTGGGCCGACGGCATATCCATTGCATGGGGCTCATTGAGATGAACGTTGTGACTGTGCGTCGGTTGCGACAGTGGAGACCCGGCCATCGAACTCTTCGAGCTCAATAACTCCTGCCCCGAAATAAATTTCGGCAGCGTCTCTTCACTATGCTGAAAGATACGCTGCAGCTCTGAACTCGCTGTGGTTGCTTGCGCGGCGTCAAACTCATGTGAGTCATACGAATCGACTATGTGAGGCTGCGATGAATCGTGCGAGATGAATTGTTGCTCCCAGATAAGCTCTTGTGGAGTGGTGTGCTCGCTCAAAGGGTTTTCGGATGAAGCTTCTGTCGTCAGAAGATCGTCAAAGGAGGAATCGTGGTGCGAAGTGTCTTCGTCGACGCCGTAAATGTCGGTTGTCGGGTGCATAGACCCAGGGCTCGCGACTGCCGGGGTATTGTACCTGGGGTTGCCCAGCCAGAAATCGGGTTCCTCTTCCGTCTGCTGGGTTGCTTGAGAAGGATTCGACGTTATTGTCGCATTGTATGGCAGCGTCCTGGACATAGAGGGTTTGAGGACGTTGGGGTGCTGGGACGGTGGTTGTCGCAATGGGTCGTACCTCGACCTGAGAGTTGGAGATTGCTGTGTCGGTCGTTGAGCGACATGGGGACCTGGGTAAGAGTGCGACATCTTCCGGTGAAAATGGAAGCGCGGTAGCAGAAGAAATGGGTTCCGCTGTTATGCTCGACCAAATGCAGAAGACGTGATAGTGGCCAGGCGATCAAGACGCCAGAGGCATGGCAGGCGCATGAAGCGCCCCCTCCGAGGCTGTGAAGTGTATCAGGGTGTAGCCGAAAGATCTCTTGTCACACAGCGGAGCACGGGTCACGCCAACATCAAAGATTTCGAGATCGGATAGTCCTTGTGTAAGTGGGTATGACTCGCTGCAGACTGCGCCTGATGGTCGACCTTTCGAGTAATTTGGATTGAGTATTTGCCTTGTTGAACGGACCAAGGCTACCGGAGGATATGAATAGAATGAAAGTCGTCAAGATGTTACGACGCTAGAGAGAAGCAAGAAATGCTGCAGAAGGAAGCGAAGGATATGCGAGACAGCTCGTTGTGTCTTCTGATGTCAATGGTATAGGCACTGCGCAACTGTGACTGGTCGGTTGAATGGCGCCTTAGTATCGGAGGCTACAAGAGGATTTAAACAGTAGCGCCGGGGCTGAGAAGGTTGTATGGCGCTGCTCAATGGCAGATTCGAGGGGCAGATTCCAAAGTCTGTCGAGATGGACAGTTCACAACATGGCCGAGAGGAAGAACGGCTGCGCTTTCTGCCCGAGACAGGCCAAATGCTGTAGCTATCGGAGGTCAGCCGGCGAAGCTGCAAGGGACGGTGTTTGCTCGAACGCGCGACCGGGAAGAGTAAGGGATGCAAGGTCAGGGCACAGGTCGTGAAAATGGCCGAGGGAGAGGAAGGTGATGAAGGTGGTGGTGTTGGTGGAGGAGTCTCTTGTCGCGCGCGGAGCACGAGTCGGAAGTCAGTTGCAGCTAGCCGTGCACAGCTCCACGGGTGGAGGCAGTCAGTGGTGCAGGAACCAGGGAGCCCAAGGGACCCAGCACAGCCGCACCGAAGGCTCTTTGGCCGTTGGGTGGTTTAACTTCAGCTCCCGCATTAGAGCCTCCAGGCGCCCGGGACTGATTCGCCGGCGGCCTGTGTGGCCCCCCAAATCGAGCAGGGTGCTTTGCAGGATCCACGATATCAATCCACTCAAAGGCTTGACAAGCCACAGCTGTTCCTCAAACCGGTGAACAAAGACACCTGTGAAAAGCCCGATAAGACACAGAGCCACCCTGGCTTTTTTCCAGCTGCCGTTCCCGATATACAGTCTTGTGAGTTCCCGACTCCAATGTTACTGGTGTTGCTCCTGGGAGTGGACTCACTATGCGCTCAGCATGTTTACGTTTGACTACCTGGTATTTAGGCCTGCGGGTGCTCGTCCTCGGAAGTAAACAGTCAAAGGAAATGATGTAACCGCAACGCATAGGCCCCATAAGAGGTAGGGGTCCGGCACGCGCACCGCCCCCTCCCCCGAATCAGCCTTACGAACACACGAACCGAATCACTGAGCAAAGACCGTCACGTCCCCCGACCACTATCTAGCTCAGGGCAGACTCGTGGCAGACTACCACCCCTTCCCTGGCCGTGCGGTACACAAGTATACGGAGGACGAATAGCAGTAGCGGTAATAAACTCCCGACACCGCCGATTCACGGCATCTCGGTACGTCGTACACAGTAGATGCCGTTTCTGTGCCAGGTGATTTTGGTCGCTGTCAAAACGCTGGGACCGACGGTGCTCTGACAATTATCCTCCAACAAACTACAACTCTACATCCCTCTACGTAGTATCTGATTCACCAGTAAAGCTTGTACTTCTTTAGCAGCTCTCGTCGTCCTGCCAAGGCTACTGAGGAGTCCTGGCAGAGCGTAGTCCCTTATGATAGACGGTGATAACCGTGCCGGGGTTCCCACAGCTGAAAAGTGCTCGACATTTACAACAGAGCCAAATTCCTTCTTCACAACATAAGGCTCGCACTCAAGCAGGACATCCGCCGGACTGGGGCCCTTCTCTGCACCTGTCGACGAAGCCATGTTCAATGCGTGCTCCGTCTTCGTCGTAGTGAGCGTTTTCGGGCGTGAAAAGGGCTGGCCAGGAAATTCGTCGACACAATGCTCTAAAGATCTGGTGCCGCAAGAAGATACCTCGCACTTCTTGCGTGGCGTATGGGCGCCTGCGATGGCAGAGGTCCGAATGAATGCAGCGTGGCTTTCTCTACCAGGTCGTGGTCTGGCTGACGCCGGAAGTGTCTCTACGAGGTCTCTTCTACGGTTGATGCCAGCGTATCGAAGAGGATCAAGGTAGAGTCCAGCTGTCAACGATACGTGCCCGGTATAGACCTGTACAAGCATCAGAAGGCTCTTCGCGGAAAGGACCCGTATCAAACTCACAAGAACTCGTCACTGTTGCTATTGCTGGGAGCAATTTGTCTCAGATTCTGCAGAATTTGATCCATCCGCTCACTTTCACGTTGCCATTCGGCTTGCTTGTTTCTGAGGTTAAGCATCGTTTCAGCCAGCTGGGCATGATGCTTGTCAGTCAGCTTGTAGTTGCCTTGCAGTCTCTCGTGGTCCTTCCGCGCAGTTGCTAGCTCCATGCACTTCGCCTGAAAGTCGCCCTCCAGCCGTGCAACCTGAGCACGCATGCCTGCCAATTCCTCGCAAATTTCTGCTTCGCGTTGGTCGTGCTTTTTCGTGGTTTCCAGCAAGCGTCCTGCGGCGAGTTTTCGTACCTGTTCGAGGTCGTTCTTGCTCGCATTTCGTAACTTACTGATCTCCTCCTCATGCTTTGCAGTGGAGTGGGATAGTTTGTCCGACAACCTGGCAATCTCCTGCCTATGTCGCTGGGCTGCTTCTTCGCTATCCCTTCGACTATTCTCTAGCTGCGCCTGATGTAGACGGCGGGTATCAGCGAGTTCTTTAGCCTTTTCAGCCAGAGATTGATCCTGTTCTGCGATGGTGGCTCTTGCAAGGTCTAGCTCTCTTTTCTGCTGCGTATGCTTGGTGATCATTCCTGCCAAATCAAGCTGGATTTTTGACAAACTGACTTTGTGTTCGTGTATTGACTTGACGTGTTCTTCTTCCCTCCTTGCCATCTCCATGTCGTGGGCTTGCCGTAACTCGCCCTGCACGAGATCATGCCGCGTTTGTTCATCATGAAGCTGATCTTTCACAGTCTGAAGTTCTTCCTCTAACTTCTTCTTCTCAGCTTGGTGGTGTTCATTTCGATTTTGTTCCTCCTCGAGCTGCTTTTGCAATCGCTGGAGTTCATCGTCCCGCCGCTTCTTTTCCTCCACCAATTTTCCATTGATAGATCGATAGGAATTGACCTGCTCGGTCAACTCTTCACAATCAACTCTCAACTCGGTGAGCCCTTCGTGGGCGTCCGTCACTGCATGATTCTCGTCCTGCAGTAGCCCTATCTTCTCCCTTTGCTCGGCAATCTCACCCTTCAATCTCAGATTCTCACCCGCTTGCTCACCAATAATCTTCTCATATTCTTCTTTGCACGCGCTCAGTTCCATCCTTAGCTTCGCGGTCTCTTCGAGGTGTTGTGCTTCAACCTGTTTGACGATGTTTTCTCTCTCTGACAAAAGCCCTTGACTCTCCTGGTAGACACGCAGCAAGCGGTCAATGTCAGGTAGTACACTGGATACTTTTTCCAGGAGTCTGGCCCGCTCGTCTTCGGCTCCCGCAGAGCCAGCTCGCGGGATCTCTCCGGAGTAAGGAAAAGACGCAGTCGGAGATGTGAATGGTGTAGGATAGAAGGCCGGCGGGAAGTTAGCCATGAAGGGCTGCGGATGGTGATACGGGTAAGGTTGTGCGTAGTGAAGTGGTTGCGGTGGCGGACTACTCATTTGCTGATTGATATAGGGCGACAGAGGAGGCGATGCCAGCGGTGAGTGAGCCGGGGGTATGAAACCTTGATGCACCATCGCGTCTGCTACCGGAGCAGGACTCGGAGTCACGCGAACACTCGCTTCCACTGAGTCCGCGAGGTGCTGGTCGAACCTAGGTTGCATGAATGCCACTGGCCCCTGAGGAGTAGGTGCCACTAAAGGCTCATATAAGGAAGATCGTGGTATTTGGGCGACTGGAACCGCTGCGCCATCGTGTACAAATGATCCTGGCATCCCGGAGTGTGCAGTCATGGCTTCTTGTGGTACGGGAGGTGCCGGACCTTCTAGAATCGCCCCTGCTAGCGGCTCCTGTAGGGATGATATTGATGTCGTTAGCCCCGGCGCATGTGCGACATCTAGAAGAGACGACTTCGAGGTTCCAGGAGAAGGAGCGATATCATCTTGATGTGAAAAAGAACCGGACATTCTAGGTGAGAGTGTCGCCATGGTTGTAGGTACAAGCGTGGAGATAGACTGCTTCGGGGACGGCGGCACAGCCTGAGTCACGGGGGACTCTTCCGATTCTTCGGCAACGGTAGGCTGCATGGAAGCGAGGGATCTTGACGAAAGAGTCTTCCATCCAAGCCCATGGGAAGATTGGGGAGACTGCAAAGGCAGTACTGCCGGAGCTTCAGTTGTCTTATTTGTAGCGTCCGTGGTGATATGCTTCCAGAGCTTCAAAGGGGAGGGCGACCGTCGGCCTCGCTCAGGCACCTCGAATTGGTGCACATCGTGGACAGTGTATGCTCTGGGCTTGGTCGGTGAGATTGGCCTTGAGCTTGGGCCAGCTTGGAGCGAGGGTTGAATGTGCCTATCGGACTTCAGCGAGTTTGTAGACTGCCATGAGGGCGCCACTGTCGGGTCCGACGTCCTCGGGTCGACAGTCCTCTGCCGATACAGGTAGACTGCTGGTGAAGCCGGTCGGCTGTTTCTCGGTATTGAGATTTCATCTAGAGTTCTCGACAGGGTCTTGGATAACTTTGTAGAAGCAGTACTTGAGGCTCTACTTCGAGTCGGTCTCTCTGATGACTCGCCACGGCTGCCACGGCGATCCCGAGGCTTTGCGCTGGTCTGATATGCGGTTGTCGACATTGTGCGTCAGGGTGATCGCAGGCGTAGCTGCGAGGATCAGCTTTTCCAAGTAGTTGTACAGGGTACTCAAAAAAAAAAGCAGGGTAGTGTTACAATAATTGTACAGAAACAAGCGGAAAGCGACTCAAGGACAACATACAGCTATCTTAAGAGCCTGTGAACACAGCCCGAGATACAATTTTGAGTCAGAAAAAGCTGAAACCCAGGGAACGATGTGTATCAACAGCCACGATGCTGAGGACTGGCTCCTAGCGACCGTCGGCGGACACTTGCTGCCCAACGAAGGGCCGAGGATCATCGTGCTGCAGCACTCCACACAATCAGCAAAGCTGCATGAACTTTGGTTTTCATCGATGCGTATACATAGTAATGCGCAGTGGCAGGCCATCACTTATGTAGACACTCGTGGCTGACCTCCATTGGTCCAGTGTGCGTGGAAGAAAAGCTCCCCAAATTTACCCATGAGAAATGGGTGAGAGCACACTGAAGTTGAAGTGAGCGGCGTCACAGACTAAGCACTCGGAGTAATACCCAGCCCGAGATTCTTGGCGGGTCAAGCAGAGTGAAATCTGCTGTTAGAAATGTCGGAGCTCACGTGGGTGCTCACCCCGATCGTGCCGCTTCTAAGACGACCTGCTCGCGACTCACCCTCTTCTCACCTCTTCTCACCCTTCGACTCACGCTTTAACTCACCCGCGCCTTGACGGTCTGATTTCTGCTGCAGTCCCCTTGTACGTCTCTTCCAAGGACAGGACCTATTATTGGCGAAACTTGGTGGACTCCGTTTTTGGGCCTCTTGTGGTCGACTCTGCTTTTGGTCCTCTTCTATCCCCTTCCTGGCACCCTGCGGTCTCCTTCGACTCTGCTACCTCAAGTACAAAACGGCGTCCATTCCACGTCTCGGCCTGCCGGGCGCGATCTTCCATCTCGTCACCAGGCCCTTCAGCCCTCACTGTAGGTGTCGTCTCTCCTAGGACGAAGTAAATCAAGGTCCTCAGAGAAGAGTTTTTTTTTATTACGGAGCCAAATCCGAGGTGGAGATCGCAACGAGAGAATGCCGATTCTTACACTCTACCATCCGACCCGATTCTTACACTCTACCATCCGACTTAGCCATACAGATTCAAATAATTAAGCCTAAAAGGTAAGAGTCATCAACCTTATCCAATCCATAAATCATCTAGACATGCCACTTAGAAGAATCACCACGCAGTAGGTACGATGTCGCCAAGTGTAGCCGAATTGGGTGCGAGCCGGATTTGTCCCGAGTTCTCAGTTTAGTGCCCCAAACATGCTCTGATCTATACATTTCCATATTTACCTATTTCCCTTCTCCATCACTTTTTCTCCTCTTCAATCCATATCTACTCAACAATAACTATATCCATCACGACTGTACTCCCACTCATCCCGCCAACATGTCTATCGTTACTCAAAGAGAGACCAGCAAACACACTCACACAGTCATATTCCTCCACGGCCGAGACAGTGACGCCCAAGAGTTTGCGGACGAGTTCTTCGAGAGCGAGGCATCCGAGCCTGCTGGGAGACCACGCACCCTTCCAGATCTGTTTCCAGGTATCAGATGGGTGTTTCCCACAGCACCAGCTCTTTACTCGAAACGCTTCGATACCAGGATATCGCAATGGTTCGATATATGGTCAGTTGAAGATCCTGAGGAGCAAGTCGACATCCAAATGGATGGATTAAAACAAAGTGTTACCGCCCTGCTGGAGGTGATAAGAGCCGAAGAATTTCATGTGCCTCGACAAAACATCTTTTTAGGAGGTATCAGCCAGGGATTTGCGACAGCGTTGTCTACCTTCTTCGCAAACGGCCAAGGGTTTGCTGGCCTAATTGGCCTATGTAGCTGGATGCCTTTCGCTAACCTTGTCGAAGATCTTAAAGCATCTAGCGCCAATGACGAGCAGCTTTCCAATGCAGTTCAGAGGATTTACTTCGGTCAGCATTCCCCAGAAGAACCATCATCGCCGTTCCTCCGGTCTACTCCCATCTTTCTCGGCCACTCAATCGATGATGACACTGTACCCATGAAGAATGGAAGGCGAATGTGGGATGTCCTAGTGCGTTCCTTACAATTGAACGCTCAGTTACACGAGTACGCGGATGGGGGTCATTGGGTGAACGAGCCTCAAGGTGTGGACGACATTGTGGAATTCCTGAATCTCACCATGCGAAATATGGGAATCTCTGATGATGAAATAATACACGTCGAATCGACCATCGACCTTCTGCTTGTCTAATGAGGCCAAGAGATAATAATACAGCCAACCAAGCTCAAGCACAGCTTACTGCTAATATTCTCTGAGCCTCAGAAGTCGACGAAGTGGCCGCCTCCTTACAACCAAAATGCCGCAATTTCTCAACCACCAGCCTATCTCAATGACCCAACGCTGGCAGTTCCAGCGCGCGGACACGTTGTTTACAGCCCAACTCTGTATGAGCCGACGAATTCTGCGGATATAAAATGACCGAATATGGCCAACACGAATGCGCATTCGATACAGTCGTGCGTGACTCGGCCGCACGCCCCAGCGTTCGTTGGCCACATAGTAGCCTCTGCCGCCGATCTTATCGTGCACTTGGTGCAGAGTGCTACGGCGAGTAGGGGAGATTATGTGTATCGCCCAATGATGCGGGTCTCTAGAGTCTGTCGGTCTATATATAGCGACGTCGAACGTGGATTCGACGTTGTGCAGCTGAATAGACTCGCGAACAGGAGGAGGAGTGACAGGAGGATTGATTATATTGGACCTAGACCGCTAACGTACACAACCTTGCTCAAGAGAGAAACATTGGTCCAAACTCGCGACATTCTTGCTATGAACAGATACTGCTACTCGTGATCGCTATGGGGAATTGATACAAGCGACTTATGCTGATATCACGCTGGGAACTGTTGGAATTAATGAGACTGCAATGCAAGAGAGTCGCAGCCAAAGTCGTGAACAACACTACGTCAACCGTTATGTAGTACGCGCACTGGTGGGTCAAGGGTGATCGCCCACCCAGCTCGCGCGAGCCCGGGGCGAGCACAGGGCGGCGTCACCCTCCTGCCCAAAGGGGTTGAGTCGCGAGCGGATTTCCCAACCCTTGGCATATCTGGTCCGGCTCCGGGTCAATTGTACTGGACCTCACAACGTACCTTGCAGCTCATATCTCGAGCAATCTGCTGTTGCAGCATATACAACCATGTCGTTCGTCTTAAGAGGGGCGAGAGCTGCAGGCCGACCCCTGAGACACTCGATTCGACAGCCGCCACGCAGATTTGCAGGACACGAAGCTGGACACGGCCATGGAGATGCACATCATTCTGGGGAGAGCGCCTTGCACGTTGCAGGCGGGTCAGGACAAGAAGGCTTCGGCGTGAGCAGAGATATGCGAGGGCTTTTGGGACCGAATTAGCTGACACTCGGGTGAACAGAAAGGCTTTTACTTTGCCCTAGCCACGATACCACTCTTCTACGTCGTCTATTCGGTTGCCAGCTCACCGAGCGATAACGCCATCACCCGACTCGTGCAGCGATACGATGCGGGAAGGGAAGTGCAGCTGCGGAAAGATGCTCTACATACGACAATGATGGAACAGGCTGCTGCGGACAGGCAATTGTTCGCTGCGACACCCACTAATGCAGCGGGTCCGCCTCTGCGCATGCAGGAGTACGAATACCCAGTTATGAGCTTCTTCTCCCAGAGTGACTAATCCGCGCGGTATAGGATGTTTAACTTCGGCTCGCCGTGGAACGTGTCCGCCGGCCATGGTACGGCCGACCTCTCAGCATTGGCGAAACACTATGAAGAGGATCACAAGAAGAGCGAGGAAGAGAGAATAGCTAGATTACAGAAGCAGAAGGGCTCTGTCTACGACATGCCCTTCGAGGGATTCGACTCTTCGAAGGCTTAGTTTTCTGTGGCATTGGCAGTGTACATATTACGAAAGTCCACAAGTAGTAATGGACGCGGGTACAAGGGAACTGATTATCGTACGAAAAGACTTCTTCGTTCTGGTGTCGTCGCTTCATGTTGTCTCATTCAATACAGCTCCTTGGTGCATTTCAGACCTCTCTTCGCTCAACAACGTCGCTCCAAGGTATTTCAAGCTTCACCAACCCCAAGGAACAGTCGGGCGATTTTCACAGGTTCTGCTTCAACCCTGGTGTTGTCTCGCCGATGAGGGTCAGGAACGACTCATGTACTTGCTCAGTCAGGTCACTTGCTTGCAGACTTCTTTGTTTCGTTGCGAATGCTCTCCTCGAGCACTCTCTGGTGATCGCGCTTCCACCGAACGCCGCGATCAACAACGTCTCAGCTCGACTCATCTCCTCGCCGATATCCCACAACTTCTCATGATACACCTCCCGCCATGCAAGCAACGTCCCCAAGGAACCGGTCAAGGTATCACCCTGACCACCAGCTCGCTTCAACCCACCTTCGAACTCAGACACGGTCGTGTCGACACCCTGAGAGATGTAGTCGACAGGGCCTTTCTGGATGATGCAGACCCCTCCCAAGATCTTAGAGAGCTCCAGACACGCCTTCTCCGGATCTCCGCTTTGGTCCAGGCCAACCGACTTCGCCAAGCGACCGAACTCAACCACGTTCGGGGTGAGAATGCATTCTTTGTGGCCTTTGATGAGATCGGGATCTGTCTGGACAATCCAGAGAGCATCTGCGTCCAGTACCATAGGGATGGGTGGGTTATGTTCTTTCGCGGCCTTTATCACAGCTTTCACTTGCTTCTGGGTGACGATGTCTCTGCCCAGCCCAGGTCCAATGACCAGCACATGCAACCTGGGTAGCATATCCAGAATTGGCTGCGCCAACTCTTCTCCCGACGGTTCTTTCTCTTTCTGCGCCTGAGATATTGACACGGTGGACCTGAGGATCGGTGACACCATCAGGTTGGGCGAATATGACTTGATTGTTGGTGCAGCGGACGGTTCGCAGAAGACGTAGGATAGATCACACCCCAATCGCGCTGAAGCCATGGCCGAGAAGTACGGGGCACCTGTATAGTCCGCACTGCCACCAATGACGGCGACCCGACCGAGCTGGCCCTTGTGGAATTTCTCCAGCATAGGGGGCACGATTTTGCGGACCTTGCCTAGCATTGCACGCGCGGCTGCCGACATCTTGACTTCGGAAGCTGGGCCTTGTGAGTTTGAGGAACTCATTTGTGAGGAGAGTAGAGCGAAAGTGGTGGTGAAGAGATGAAAAGAGGAAGCAAGTCACTACTGTCCTCAGATAAGCGAGATTGACAACATCACTCCTTTCAGATCTTTGCAGGTGGGCTTCAGTGCTGCGATTCTCCTCGAAATCCAGCTGTTGACGAATGATGTCAGAGGAGACACTGCGTCACCATTGATTGATGCGGAGGGGTTGTCCGCGGTGGCAGTCCGTCCCACAAGCAATTAGCTGTAGACGGGTTATCAAGAGTCTGGCACTGCTAGTAGCACCGGGACCGGGAGTTGATTTTGCTACACTGAGATATGAGATGGCTACGCATACGTCAATACAAGGAGTGTGGTGCCCTGAATTCAGAGGGCTGTGAGAGGTTTCTTGTAAACCTGAGCCATGCCAGTCGTTGAGACTAAGATCCACCGTAGGTCCTTTGGCCCATTCTACGCCATTGGGTCTCCTCACATTGGCGTCGACTGAACAATCTGCGATAAGTCGAAGCTCAAGTGAGTCGAGCGAGGATGGAGACGAAGATAAGCGTATCGGAATGACTTAATTCAGCCCTGCACTCTGCCACTCTACGCTCACTTGTAATCATGTTGCAGCTTTGACCTAAGGGCATGCTGCTCATAGTTCCGCCTTGCCAGCAGCCACCTTCGCATAATAGCCCGCGATATCCACAATCTGCGTCTCGAAATCCTTGAACTTGAAACCGAAGAATTTCTCGCTCTCGCTCGCGTCAAATGGAAAAGGCAGCGACACTTGGCTTCCGCCAAGAGGGAACACCCCTTTCCCCACTTCCGTAGGGAAATGTTTCTTCACGATATCAATGGCTTCATCCCATTTGATGCCGTTGACATCGGAGTTGGCGCCGAAGTTTCTGTTGCCCTGCACCTTGGGTTCTAACGCGGCGATATGCAAGAAAGCGACATCGTCGACGTGAACAGTGACAGCTGGCATTCCGTTGGGGTTCTTGACCCCGAAGAGAACACCTAGAGCAGCACCATTCGAACCAGACAGGACGGCATCTGTGGTAGTTGCCAGCTCATTTGGCCCGAGGACAAAGCTTGGCATGATGTTGACCACTGTGAATTGTGGCTTTTCCTTGGCAATGAATTCTCGGGTGCGGTTATAAGCGAGTTTCTTGCTGGCAGCATATGCTGCAAAGACGTGAGGATAGGGTCCATGCGGGTCTGGCTCGACGTTGTCGGCGGTGAAAGGCCCCGTTGGCGAGTCGGGGTTTACTGCGACAATCGAAGATGTGATGACTACTCGTTTCACGGAAGGTTGTTTCAAGGCCGAGTAGAGAATGCTGAGTGTGCCCCGGATAGCGGGCTGGATAATGTTGGCCTCGTCGTTGTCACTAGGTCTCGCCAAAGGAGAGGCAACGTGCACAATGTAGTCGACACCCTGTACGGCCTCGTCGAAAGCACCGTCATTTTCTATATTCGGCACAATGGTAAAGGTAAGCTGCTCGAGGTATGGTTGGGTTGGTTTGGCAGCCTTGATCTCCGCAATCTTGCTTTCAGATCGGACCGCGGCTCGCACCTTGTAGCCTTTGCTCAGCGCTTCTATCAATGTCCGGTACCCGACGTGACCTGAACCACCAGTCAAAAGGACGAGTTCGCCAGCCATTGCAAGAGCTAGGCAGAATGTGAAGAATCTTAAAGCGGTGTTATAAAGTCTGTTAGTTGGACACTCAGTTTCCTGTCAACTGTTGCTGTTGTGACTTGTGGGATAGCGAACGGCGAGGAAGAGGCTTGAGTATATATATCTTTCATGCTTGTTCCTCTTAATCGCGCGCGGGTCCCACGTCTCTTGCATCGGAAGTAGCCCAGATCATCGAAGGCTGCCTCTATAGTAATCTCCTCACCCGATGAAGCTTCGTTACGTTACAAATCTAAAGCCATTTGTCAGTGTTCTGCGATATTCCGTGGGTTGGGTTCGTGTCATTTCACGGCACGACATGACGAGACCGCCCAGTGCCCGAACGTTGTGCCAACAAGCCAATCAGATGAGGAGTGACAATGCTCGGGATGCCATGTCAGTATCGGGTTGCTCTCAGGTTCATGCAGGTTGATGATCCATTTCGTCTTCTTTTGGGCGAGCAGCTCCTCTGTTTAGTGATCAGATAGTTAGCACGTAGTAGCAATACGCCGAAGCGGGTTAGTCTCTGAATGGCTTGGCGGTGCTCGCTTTGTCCTTTCCAGGCAATTTCAAGTTCGCCCACTGTGTGCCACATCTTGATCCTCTCATGATTGGCCTATGCAATTGCATACGCCCGAGTACCCGATAAGGTATTCGCTGAACTGCCCATCACAGCCTCTGCGGTCATCAACACACATCGGCCTTGTCCGCCATGATGCGGCAAGAGGACATAGCTCAACTGAGGGCTTTTCACGCTGCCCATTTCCCGGGTCAACCGATTCCCCAATTGACTACGACCCAACACCAAGTCGAAGCGCAAAGTGAACCCGACCAGCTCCCAGACATTGACCATGACGGCCTCGGCTACTACGACGACGGGGCCAAGAGAACTTTGACTGATGAACAGATCAAGATGTTCCGTCATTCAGAGATTCAACGCTTGCTAAACGAAAGAAGAGCAGCCAGAGAAAAGGACGAAACGCGGATGGACATGGAGGCTGGCCGTGGCTCCTCCGTCACTCGAAACTCTAGGAAGCACCGATTCTACGACGAACCTTCGACGAACCATCAAAATGTCGATGCCCTGGTATACGACGAACAGCCAGAGTCCCAGTCAGTGTTGAATGCAGCAGAGAAGGAATTTTTGTGGCCAGTCCTAGGGCAGCGCGAGTCATGATGCCTTCATCGCGTCGGCAATGCCAAAAACAACTATGAACCTGAGCTGCTCGCTGTCCTGTTCCTCATCGGGAAATGAGCGCACGACATCATGTCATTTGCAGTTCAGATGTTCAATTGAGTATGTCAGCAATACTTTTGTCTATGAAATATGTTTTGTGATGAGCTCCTTTATCATCCTTAGCCTGATTTGGGCGCTGGCAGCAGTCTCGGCTTGCTTGATGATCGCTTCAGCACGACCACCCACAACTGCTGAGTCAATCTTCTCTCTGATTACCTCTTCCCAAAGCAATAATGCTGACAAAACACCGTGCAAGAGCAACACTAACTGATGTGCAGTCGAAGCCTCCATTCACGTTCCTGAATGAAGACGTTCAATCATTTTGACCGGCGACCATGCAGCTCTTGCGATGCCTTGCGTTTGAGATTCCTCCCGTGAACAGAAAGAAGCTGTGGCTCCTCCATGGAGCCAGACTCGGGTTCACGAGGCTCTCTCTTTTCACTCGTATCGGTGCTCTCGTCCTCCGGTGGACCAAAAGACAGAGACGCCTGAGAGCTTGCACCGTGCAGTGACCCAACAACAGGGGGGGTTGCCATTCCGGCTGGAAAGCATTGACTAACACGTTCTTCATCTCCCGCTCGAGGGTGGTAGTGCGACTGTCCGTGGTGTGCTCCGTCACTCCCGGTATCGTCGTCGCAATGCTTTGTCTGCGGAGTGTTGGCGTCAACACTTTGCTCTTCCGAATCACTCTTGGAACATCCTATTGATGCTGGTCAGTCCGCAACAACCAAGATTGGGTCGACTTTTACGCACGATGAGAGCATCCATCTGTGCCGTTATCTTTCGCGCCTCTTTCTTCGTCAATTTCGTCATGATCGTTTTGCTCTGTATCGTCTCCGGAACGAGCCATGACCGCCTTAAAGAGTTCTGCCATCCTTGAAAGTGGCTAAGTCTATGTGTCCCAGGTGTCGGGGTGGGACGATGGGAATATAGGCTCTACAACATTTGGTCCTCATCATACGGCTAATATGTGTTTGGCGAGGGACATATCTAAGAGCTATCTGGGAAATCAGAACCCCAACCTCCCCCTTCTTGATGCAATTCTACTCACCGCTCCATTGCGATAAAAGAACAGGCTGCCATGTGTCCGATGATCAACCAAGGGAACAATGAAACGAAGCTCGGATGCTCAGGGGTTGACGACGCTTCTACTTCTGCGACAGCCACTACTTCGAGAACGCTCCAAGGTGAATTGTCCTACAATCCGCAGCTTCGAACAACATCATCATGCACGACAGCACACCGGATTCGCTGTGGCAAGAGGCTTGCAACGCGTTGCTCTTTGAGAATTTCCAGACGCCATAGCGTGTCGTGAAAGATGAGGCCTCCTTCCCGAGCGAGTACGCCATATGCAAGGCTCGAGAGGTGCACGAACCATTTGGGGGAGTGTGGAACGATGATTTCGACCCCTTCTCTGGTGGATACGAGCAGAAATCACGTAGACAACCCGATGCACGGAAGGGACCAAGGTGTCCCAGGATTTCGGGATGCACTATCTCAGGCTACACGGAACGCAGCAGCCGGTCTTCCGGGACACTAGGCATGCGCTGTGTGACGAATTTCGGTGCACTTACGCCTTGATCAATCAAACAAAACGATCCACATACGGCTCACTGCAACCATGACATGAAGTCGCATTCAGTGGCTTGGTAGAACTTTTGATGCCTGTGGATGGGCACTGCTCGCGACGTCTCACCGGTCGATAGGGCAGACTTTGCCTACGAGGTCGAGCCTAAACTGCTGGCTTACAAGCTGGAGAAGCTGCTTGCTCCGCGGGCTCTTTCATGGCTCCAACTCACCGCAAAACGGTCCAGGTCGCCGCAAAACAGGCTTGGCCTGATTCAGCCTTATCAGGCGGGGACAACCCTCTCCCCGGTGCAAGGCGTCTCCCGAGCTCTCACACAGAGTACCTTGTCTCAGTCTGCAAATCATTCTGAGAGTTCGCCCTTACAACATTGCCCCCGCTTAACCATGGCCGCTCCCATGGCCGCAGGTGGCTAAGCGCCTAGCCCGTTTCAACAGGCTTCAGATGCCGCCACTCCTGCACTCTATGGTTGGTTTCTCAGAGTGATGCTACCCCGATTACGTTGTCACCAGGGATTAAGATAAGGCTGCGGCTAGAAATGTCCTTGGCTTCCAGTCACCAGGATGAAGAAGAGCGGTGAGAAGCTCGAACTACAGCAAGACCACGAGAACCGGCCGTTAGCTGCCTTTACTGCTAGGTAGCGAGTGACCCTGTCAGGCTGTCAAACCGGTGTACTAGCGCTCAATCGTCAGCCCTGAGACCCCTAGCTCATGCCTTGATGAAATACAAGCAGGTTGGATGAGTAGGAGCGGCCCGTCAGCTGCCTCAATCTCATTTTGGCCTACACAAAACGACGGGATGCAGATCGGCTTGCAGGAAGGACAAGCCGCGCCACGAATCGAGCGCTGCATGAGTGGCCTGGAGTTCCATCTCCGCAAAGACTACAATGTGGCTGTATTGTTTATCATGGGTCCACTACTTCCCATCGGCATACGGAGTCCTCGACTGTTCCTTGCGACGCGTAGGGGTAGTTGGATCAGCTGTCTGGGCCCGGAGCGAGGCAAAAGGCTGTGCCAACTACTCCGGAATCAGGCTAGAAGCAGTCCTTGAGGATCTATCAACGAAGCACGGAAGACACATTGTACTTCCAGTACCCTAACGAGGACAGGTTGAGATGACGCTGCTCAATCCTGGATAGCTATTAATGTGCTGGCTGATCACAGGTTGCTTAGGGTCAGAGGTTGGGCCTCCCAGCTCCGGAGCTAAAGGTGTTGTCCCGGAAGAAGTCACTTTGACGTGCCGCATCATTGTGGTGTCTTGAGTGGCAGCCTCCCTGGGCAAGGTCCGCACGCTATGGTGACCACCTTCGAGACCTTGCAGCGCCTAATGCAACCTCAGCCCCTGAGTGTGTTGGCAGAAACCCTGTACAGACCGTTTCAATCGTCCTGTTAGCTATGCCTGAGGGAGAAATCGTCACATCGATTTTTGTCGTTATGCACGCTTTGTACTGACTGCGCCATAACCCATCCTCATACTCAGGAATGCTCGGATGCCTGAAGGCTGCAACTCGCAGACGGAAGTCATCAGAAGAAGGCAGAACCTGCTGGGCGTCTGGCTGACGCGAGGGTGCTGCAGCAGAAAGGGATGACTTGGACGTTGCCATGCTTTCGGGCTCGCCAAAGTGAGAATGTCCTGGTGTAGTTCGAAAAGTCGAGGCTAAGTTCCTTTCCTGATGGTTTGAACGATTCGCAGAGCCATTCGAGCCTGTTCCTCTCGTATACCACTGACAGAGAAGCTAAACTGGCACCTGTACGGTGTGCCATGTCAAAATATGTGCCACGATCAAGAGCTTCTCCCATGCGCCGCCCGACAGTCTCACCGCACCGCACCGCACCCACCCACTATGTCTTGCCCACCATCGACATTGACCTCCATTGCGTAGTCACGCCTCATGCAGAACTCGGAATGTACACAGGCAAAATGAAGGGACAGAAACCAGATATGTTTCGAAGACATCTCAGAGACTCTGTCCAAAAAAAGCAAAGAATTCCGACACCAGGAATCGAACCAGGAGCTACGGTGTGAGAGACCGTGATGTTGACCATTACACCATGTCGGAAGCTTGAATTCTCTGCGGAATTATAGGGTCACATCCTGCGGGTTGGATATAAATCACTCCAGTTCGAGTGACTTTATGAGTAAGGGAAAATCCAGTAAGTGAGTCATTTATTCTTCACTTGTCCTTCACTTATCCTTCACGCGTCACTGAAGGAGCCACATACTTGTATGGCTTGGTGGGGACGAGGAACCCTAGTCCAGGTCTCTGGTGGGCTACCACTCTCTCTGCAGGGCTCGCCATGGATCTCTGATTGTTTGCACAGCGGAAGACATGGTCGATCTGCGAGATGACCTCGGACTCACAATATCTTGATCCCCGTGCTCAATCTGCCCCTGACCTTTCTTGACGCACAGACTCATGAAACCTTTTCCTACCCTCAGCTCCGATCCCTCTGGAGCTTCGACTCTGCGTTCTTCACGGCGTACATATCGCTCGCAAAGCCAGCTATCAGAAGGACGGGAAAAGACGGCGAGCACAAAAAGCAACCGAGGACATTAGCGATGGTCTCCAGCGGAAGCTTTTACGTGTCTGCCACATCTCATTGCCCTCCTTCTGACGGTGAGAGTCGCTCTCCCCAGTCGGTCTGCACGGATTCTTCGGTACTGGTGTTTGAGGCCTACCTAGCACCTCAGTTTCGAATACCACAGCGGCGAGGCTGCAAGTCCATACCAGCCATCCCTGTTGCTCTCTATCTCGTGAAGGTGGAGACAAACCCTGGTTCCGAAATCCGTCAGACCGTCTCGGCGAAAGCATGTCGCCATATCGTCCGCCTGCTCACCGATGGAGCATCCTGTACTCCTCACTCGGGAGGTTCCGTCCCACTCGTATAGGGCCAAGATTCACCAGATTCCAAATCCTGCTCTAGCACCGTGTCGCTCGCTTGCTTTCACATTGGATGTTCCAGCTGAGCGATGCTCGTGACAACCTAAGGTGATCGAGCAAGGTGTAGCCTCAAGTCAGGGCCCGGGCGGCGAATACGAAAAGATTAACTTTAGGGAAACTGAGCGGGGTTTCGACTCTTCGGAGGGACTTGAGTATCTGGCTTTTAGCGTGCTTATGGAACCTGCGGCCGAACAATACCCTCGTCAATTGATGCCGAAGGAGCCGCGATCTCAGCCCGAGGTTTCCTGTACACGTTGATCGGTGTCGTTGTCGCTACCGCTATCCCTGTCCCCATCCGAGCTCTTCCACACCACCGCCATTGATATTCTGGCACCACCAAGACAGTCCCATCTGCCGAGAATGGACACACAAATCCGCAGGCTACAATCCAACATATGCGTCACAAGCTGACAATCACCACCAATATAATTCCTGATGTTGGGCTCCTGACAACATCCGAAGCACCTCCTCGACACGCTCGAGGCTCACACCGCGACGGGGCTGGACACTCCGCCTCCGCCTGCGATTGAGCCCGAATCCTCCTCCGGTTGTTGCATAGTATCTGGCATATGTACGGAGTATCTGGACTGTTCAATCCGGAAGCGGTCCCATCAAACAACAAATCCCAACCCACCACAACACATCCTATTGGAGTCTGATTCCGGGCTTCTCGCCAGGCCCTTGCTCGCGCCGCCCCGTTGTGTCAGAACGCAGGAACCGGTGGCGGGAAAGCTGGCCTTGCAGTGCCAAGCCCACGCACAGGGGCACAGGGATCCACCAGTCAGCTCCGTTCCTGGACGGTCAAAGGCGGAAGCTGGGGAAGAGCGGAAGGGCGCCTTAACGAAGGGACGATCAAACGGCATCGGCCCCTTCTCCGGCAGCCGAACACTTAGCGCTACGGGCCTGGGAGACCAGGCTCGCAAGGCTGCCAAGCGGTCTCGCCTCCCCTTGCTTTGGACCACTCGTTTCATACAGAGTGAGAAGCGCTGTTGTCTGGTGGATGTTCATCGCCGAACAGTCCCGGGGAAGCAAGGCTGCATACAGAGTGGTGCAAGCTGTCTACTTTGCATATCAGTCCGCGTGTCAATCCACACGCAGTTCAGCACGAAGGAGGCTGACTTGATTGGACTGCTCTGTGCGCATCTACGTAGGATGTCAATGCCGCGCTCGAGAGTATCCGCGTATCACCGTGTGATTCTGGAGATCTCGCGAGACGTTGACCTTCCTGCTGCTGTGGTGTCTACTCTCTCTGTTGTTGCGGCCAACCAATCTAGTAGGCCATACACATAGAGCCGACACGCACAACTTGTCGATGGAGCATAGCATTGTAGCACACTACTGTATCAACGAAACGATTGTCTGGTCTCATTATCCGTTTCTGTATGGACATACGAAAAACTATTGACTAGTAATTTCAGGTGACCTGGGACCAGCAAGCCCGAAGCAGCTACAAAGCAGAGCAACAATTGAAGAACAGGCAAGAACAGACAAATCGGTACCAGGAACACAGGGTTTGAGTTTTCCAGGTTTGTTTTCTTTTTTCCCTTCTGATCTGTGTTCAATGTCCCTTGTGCGGCGTGTGGGTGTGGTGGTGCAAAACGCGTACACGAGTAAGTTCTGCTCTGTCCAGTTGCGAAAGATGCCCATTCTCCCCTTGGTGATCCATTCACAACAGACACACACGACCCGTTTGTAGCTTGCAGCGAACTCATCAGCACAAGATTATGAAATTAGAGAAGATAATTTTCTGTGCATGCGGGCACCAGCATCCTCCCCTGTCTTGCTCGGTGCCACGCGCAAATTATCTTCATATCTCCACCGGTCGATCAATCTCCATCTATTCCTCTGCAGTCATAGTTAGCAACGGGCCTCGAACAAGAGGGATCAAGACAACGTACCTTCTTCCTCTCCCGTGGCCTTCGAGCCCAACACCCATTTCGACTTGCCGTGCACATCCGTCTCGTGCTCAAGAGCAACGCGGCTGAGGTGGCCGAGGATGTTCTCCATGGTGGTGTCGGCGTGGCTGCGGGTAGCACGACCGAGGTTGTCAATCCATTTCAGGCTGGTCAGAATGTAGTAGACGATAGCAACAACGATAGTGACACCAAGCGAGTAACCCCAGATAACGACGACGGTGACAATGGAAGTCTCGCGGCTGTAGTGTTCCTCGGTGAACGCATCGTAAGGGGTGGTGAAAAGTTCGTCTCGGCTGCCAGCGAGCCAACCGAACACGCAGAAGAGCGTGGAGATGGCATCGACCGCGAGAATGGCGCCAACAAGCTTCCATGATGGCCAGGTTTGTCCTCCGCGGGTGACGAAGATGAGCCAGTTCTCAACCAGTGAGACTTGGAGGAAAAGCATGAGCTGAACGTTACCGAAGTTCTGGACAAGGCCACCGTCTGATCGGTAGAAAGAGCCACGCATGATCCAGGTCGAAATGGCCAAGAGCAAACCGAGGAAGACTGAGATGACCCAAATCTTGGGCAATTGCCATTCGACGGGTCGTTGTTCGTAGTGAGCATTGTCGTAAGCGACGGCAATGGTGGCCAAATCAGCGAACAAGGCGATAAAGACGATCAGATCGGTTCGGATGGTTTCGTTGATGATGATCATGGAGGTGGTCAGGTAGATTTCCAGGTGCAAGCAAAGAGCAATACGATATTGCACGTACGCCTTCATTCTCTGGAAAATTTGACGGGCGACCTTGATAGCGTCAACGATCGTGCTAAGACCAGGAGCCAAGAAGACGATATCGGCAGCGGCTTGGGCAGCCTCGGTGGCACCTTCGACAGCGATACCGCAGTCGGACTTCTTCAAGGACGGGGCATCGTTGACACCATCGCCAGTCATGGCAGTCAAGTGGCCACGCTGTTGCAGCATCTCGACGACCTGGTATTTGTGCTCGGGGAAGACCTCAGCAAAACCATCAGCCTTCTCGACCAGGTCATACTGAGCAGAGCCGGCGACACCACCAGCGATCAAACGCTGAGAATTGTAGACCTTGGTGCCGAGAGCGAGGAGTTTGCAGGTCTCTTTAGCGATGGCGATGGCATCACCAGTCAACATCTTAACGCTAAGACCGAGATTCTGAGCTTCGAGGATAGTGTGGGCGGTATCTTCACGAGGGGGGTCGAACATGGGCAGCATGCCGATGACCTTCCAGGGCTCGTCACCGCGCTTCGAGGCAACACCGAGAGATCGGAAGCCACGTCGGGCGAAGTCTGCTGCGGTGTCGCGGTAATGTTTGGCAGTGGCTTCGTCGCACTCAGCGATCGACAAAACGGCCTTGGGCGCACCCTTGCAGAATGACCATTTCTCACCCTTGAGAGTGCAGATGGTGGTGATACGCTTGGAGACAGGGTCGAAGGGCGTGAACTTCTCCGTCTTCCAGCCTTGTTGCAAGATCTCTCGGGCCTTAGGATAGCGCTTGAGGGTCAAGATGGTGATCTTGTCGATAGGATCAAGTGCCTTCAAGTTATGCGAAGAAGCCAGGGCAGCGCAGGCCATCATCCAGTTGACATCCTCACCCTCGGCGACGTAGGGCTCACGGATGGTCAGTTGGTTGGCGGTCAAAGTACCAGTCTTGTCGGAGCAAAGAACGTCAACACCGGCCAGAGATTCGATGGCAGTCAACTTCTGGACGATAGCCTTCTGCTTGGCGAGATAGGCAGCACCGACAGCCAAAGTAGTGGTTGTGACGACGGGCAAACCGACGGGGACACCAATGATCAAGAGGATAAGAGCGTAGTGCAGCAGGTTGACCGAGCTCTCCTCTGGCGTCGCAATCTTGATGTTATGGAAGAAGCCACCAATCCATGCTGCGAGAATCCAGAAAACGACCAACACGAGCAGCGCCGTGCCGATGGAGTCCATGACAGCCTTGAAGTGGCCTTGGTCAGTAGCACCTTGGACAAGAGACGCGGTTTTGCCGACGAACGAGCCGCGAGCAGATTCGGTGACGACAGAATAGGCCTTGCCTCGCTTGCAACCAGTGGTGTAGTAGCAGATGTCACCCATGTATTTGTCGACGGCCAGGGACTCTCCAGTAATAGCAGACTGGTCAGTAGCGACAATTGAGTGGCCGATGTGGTGCTCCTCGTCATCGTCGGAGTCGGTGTGATTCTTGGAGTGGTAGCCCTCTGGGTCGTTCACCATCTCCTTGTATTCTTCGAAGCCGGCTGTGTTGTCATAGTCGCAGATCAGCCGGCATTCGCCAGCAACGACGGAACCTTCCTCAAGGATGAGCTGCCTGAAAGTCAGCCAACGGCAGCCATTTGGCGGGCAAAGACGAGAAAACTCACAATATCACCAGGAACAAGCTCACGAGCTTTGATCTCTACCTGTTGGCCATCACGAACGACCTCAGCCTTCATGGCGATGTCGCCTTTCAAGCTAGCGACGACATCGGCGGCTTGCTTTTCTTGATACCAACCGACAATGGCGTTAAGCATCAAGATACCGATGATGACACCAAAATCAATCCAATCACGCAGACCAGCAGCGAGAAGGACAGCAAGTTCCATAACTGGGTTTCTCATCAGCATGAAAGAGATATCAAGAGGGGAGCAGTAGAAATACCATAAAGGATGGGGCCTCTGAAGTAGCCGATGAACTTGAGGAACATGTTCTCTTTCTCTGTTGCCAGTTCGTTCCAGCCAGTTTTTCTTCGTCGCGCCTCGACCTCGGCGGAGGTCAGACCAGTTTTGATATCGGTGTTGAGCCAATCCTCAGGAACCTCGAAGAGCTCGCCTGGGCCGCTGCCGCTCGAGAACCATCTCTTGTAAAAGGGAATCTTCTTCTTTTGACTTGCGTCGGCGACGTCATCGCCAGAGACTTGGGAGGGAGCTTTGGAAAAGCGACGATCTCGGTAGGTTGAAATGTATCGGATGAGGTTGGCATACTCGCCCTCGTCCTTATCGGGATCCCATCCGTCGGCGAACGAGATTCTCTCCCTCTTGGGATCACCGTTCTCGAGGTCTTTATTCTCCTTTTCCGCCATGGTGACTGTGTTGAGTGGAGAGGTTAGTATGCAGAAAAGGAAAACAAAAGACGGAAGAAGAAGAAAGGACGACGGCGACAAGGTCAGGCGTGAAGACCAAGCTGAAGGGGAAAAGAGAGCAAAGAGATCGGAGCTCGACGCGGAACCCCTCTTTAAAAGGTAAAAGGGCAGTTCACAACATGCGAGCCAAAAAGAGAGCAGCAGCAGCTTGCTACTCCGTACTCACCTTTTGTCGCGAGAGGTCCGAGTGGATGAGGTTGTTGACTGGAGGACTTGCAGGGAACCAAGGCTCCACCAACGATCCGTCAAGCCGTCGAGCTGCGATAGCTCGGACAGGGTGCTCAGAGTGACACCGGATTGGCTGCTTAAGCTTTCCTTGGGGTTGAGGTTCAGCGAGGATGCCGTGTGAGCCATTTGATAAGGAAAGACAAAAATGACACGAAGCGCCTGGTAGACGGATGAGGGATGTGACGGTAACGGCGGGTGTGTGGCGTACCGGAGAATCGCAGCTTGACGAAGGGCTTTTGTCACAGACAGGAAATTCGGCGCAGGCAAAGAAAGTTTAGAGGGGTTTAGGTCCTCAAGAGTGACGCCCACATGCAGCCGGGGTCAGGATGGAGTTGCCGAATGGTTGCAAGGGTGCGGGTGATAAAGGAGAGTTTGAGATTGGCCGGTTGGATGAGGCAGACCGGCGAAGAAGTCGAGAAAAGAAAAGAAACTCCACTCTGCTTGGGCTACGAGCTCCCAGCTGTCACTATGATCAGCAAATCTGATGTACCACGAATTTTTGCGAGTCTCGCAAGTGTAGCCGGCCGCGCAGGCGCGCGAAGTGAGGACGAAATGGATTTGTTTTGTTTTGGCTGCCTACTCCGTACTGTGTATGTCTGTGCGAATTGTTTCCTTGTGGGCCAGCCTGCAGTATGCGCCCGGAAGTCGCCCACAGGACGCTGGGGGTGCTCAGTTCTGGAGCTGTCGCTGGTGGGTAAAGCCAATGACGTGGGCCCTGTCAACGAAGGTGCCTCGCGTCGGGTTCAATGACCAAGGTGCATGGTGTTTGCTGTCGTCTTCACCACTTACCGTCTACACGACACTGTCACTTTTACTGTCATGTATGACAGAAATCGTTGCTTATCTCAAGAAGGAAATAGGCTGAAATTGGCCGTAGACGTGGACGTGCCATCTTTTTATCAGGATGCTCGCGCGTGGGCTTCCATGAGTCAGGATTAAGAGAAAGCTTTGCATGTTGCAGGATTGCGCTTCTTCAATCGATCAGCACGATTACCTGAGCTGATTGCAATCTTGTTGCTCTTCATCTGGCGGAGGTGGGGGCTTGTTTGATCCAGATCTACCCCAGGCTCATGCTCCCTCCAAAGAGGATTGCAGAAGATGTCCATGTACACGATAAAATGCGTAGGGATGCGCTCAACACGACACTTCGTTATTGGGAACTTGATGGGCTATATCTCTCTGCTGGGAGAACGGCGGCCATGCGTAGGTACCCTCAGAGAGCTATATGGAACTTGCGCAACACCAGTACTCCGTACTCTTGTCCCGAATATTTTTTCGAGTCGTGGTCGAAACCGTTGCACGAGATAATGGTGTCATTCTTTGCGCAGTGGACAAGTCCAGCTAATACTACTGAGCCCTCTCCATACCCCCAAGTCCCGAGTCGATATCCCTGCAGCCATCAATATACAGTATTTCTTGACAATGGAACCCATCCGGCCATGCTCGGCGGTGAGAGAATCCTGCATTAGCCATCCATCATTTGATACTCCTCTGAAACCATCACCGTTATATATCAACAAAGCCTCTGATCAATGATCATCATGAGCCTGGGCCGAAGAGGTTACGAATGTGGCTGGACGTCGAGCACGTTCGTGCGTCTCAACTGTCGCTTACAGGCTCAAACAGCCCGTCATGTTGCCGGTTGCTTCCTCCCACGCAGAAATGCCCATTTGTTCAGAGGACCATGCCCAAGTCCGGAAAGGTCGCCAGGTCCACGCTGACTTCATTGTGTCGCATCTGCTCCCTTCCCTTCGTCACTGGCGCAGTAGGAAGCTGCGGTATTGGCGGCAGCAAGATGGGGCGCCTACTGCATCTAAGCTTGCAACGGCTAGCTGTCCACCGATCTATGGCAGCCCGTCATTTGAATCTTTAGTCCCGGTACGGCCTGTAAGTCAGCGTAACGCGGGTTTTCCTTTTACACATGTGCGTGAGAAACCCAATTGAGCATTTGAAGACTTTGTTACGCACCGGCCCCAGGCTCAGTCTTTTCTCCGACATGGTCGTCCCCAGCTCGGCGGTAGAACTTAACAGCCCTAGCCTCGTACAGCCATGACTCCATTATTGCATCGCTCGTCACTTTCTGCGCTCAAAGGCCGTTCGCGCACAGTGCAGAATGCCACCCACCAGAGTTGCATTTGGAGATTCCAGTTGCCGTCATCGATCTCCTCGTGCATCAAGGTCCCGAAGCTGAGGACGCGCACCTCCATTCCACTGTTATCCGGCCGTTCCTAACTCGGCGATTATTCATCGCTTCCACAGCAAGATTGGTTCAACGAGTCAAGCCCTATTTGTCCAAGTGTGCGAATGCTTGATTGAGGACTCAGATCCATAAGCCTGCACTTTTGGCCTGGGAACTGGGGCCGCGACACGGCCTTTGGCTTGTGCGAGATTCAAAACAATGATGAGGTCCACAGTTTGATTAACGACTTGAGGCGTGAATTTCCGCTAGCAGTGGCAGGCGAGGAACAAGCGCTGGCTGCAGTACAAGAACTGGATTGGCAGCGCCCCTAGATTGGAGCTCGGCTTCCCTCTTATGGGCCTTTAGGCTCTTCCCTTGCCCCAAGCTTTGAGCCTGGCCAATCCACTTCAGGCCGAAGTAATGATTGTTGACATTTTTGACCATCGTAAACAATAAGCAGAAGATTGCCAGAGATTGCGCCCGACGAGAGTCTTACGAGTCACGACGCACAAAGGCCTGGGCAAGGCTGCTGTTCACCAGCCCTTTTAGTACGACAAGCCTTTGCATTGCGCACTGACTGGCGATCATACAATTATTGGCAAAGCATGTCCCCAAATGGTTGCTGGAAAAGGATACTGGCGCGTCGGTGGTAGTCCTCGTCTACCTGTCAAGCCTTGAGGCGCGTGTTTCAGTAGCCAGTGGACACCAAAACTAGGCTTATCTGTGTGGAAATTTCCCTCACACGTCGTTTTCTCTAATATGGAGCGCGCTACTACAGGTACCCATCGATGTTGCCAAGATCGAGGCTGCGACTGTGAAAAGGATCGCTGTTCGGCGCAAAATGCGGACCGAGCGCAAGGCTGCTTTGCGCGAACAACATGGAAATACCACCTTTCCGAGTTCCCACTTGAGGCATTTTCGGTTTCGAGCACTGGCAGAAAGTCGGTCGGCACATACGGAGTACCTCGCACGTAGCCCAGCGTCTTCAGAGCAAAAAAAAATGATGTGGCTCTCATTCAAACCCACTGAAAAATGTATAGTTTCGACGTTGTTGATCGGTGCCACTGTTACACCGCAGGATGCTCCCTTTCGACACCCATAAGCGCAGAACCCCGGATAGATCACGATCGTGGCCGCTGGCCAACCCTCGTTTCCATCCTACCACTGAGGGATTTTCAACCAGATGAACTCGAATAGGAAGCAAGGTGTAGGGTTTGCAACGCATTGTGACTTGCATGAGTGCCTCAAGCCGGAACTCAAAGTCAGGTATTTGTCTGGCTGCGGTCTTGTCGTGAGACCTAAGACGGCTACAAACCTCGAAAGCTCTTGGGACTTTTTCGACGTGTGCTGAGCGCAATGCTTTGGTCGCGCAGCTCTGACAGATTGTCGGTCTTTGGCTCTCCCAATCCGGATCCCTCTCCACCGCAGCGGCTCACCAAACCCCTATCTGGATGCCCCCGCGAGATGTCTTAGCTGTTCTGTACAAGCCGTGCCTCGCGAGATAATGGGAGAACGGGAGCATTGCGCTGGAGCGGCGACACTAATTCAACCAGCAGCCATCTGATGCGTGCGCCTGCAACCAACGGAACTGAGAGGACAGCCAGGGACAGTAGGCAGCACGCTGTGCTTTTGCGCATCCTGGACTTTTCAGACACTTGCTTCGAACCGCTACTCACCACTTTGCGATTTTCGAATAGGATAGGAAGACTCTGTCACTGTATCCCCGACAGCCTCGATTCAGGTCAAAGAGGCAGTCGACACACCGTGACACTTTCACAAGCAAAGGTAGACCGCAAATCTGATTCGCATGATCAAGGAAGGCAGCTACGGGCGCAGACTGAAACCGGCGGAATCCAAGTGCTTGGAAGACCACCCGTGGACAATGTGATGACAGCTTGACAGAGTATCTCCGCCACAAACTGCACAGGACGTGCCTCAAATGCGTTATACACGCTATCGCTAATGCCATCCGACCTGCCGTCAATAGTTAACGGCTCAGATACGTTAGCATTTGCAGGACCGAGGCGGGGCCAGCATCTACGCAGCAATGAGTGGTTCTCGGACCTCCTCCGAACCTCGACACGAAGAGATCGACCTGCTCTCCCTGTTCGCCACGACATGCAACTACTTCCAACGGCATGGGTCCATGACAGTTTGGCAACAGTATGCGACCGCTTGGGTTTCTTGAGTGTGGTAAGGTCTCGCACCCCGCATCTTGGAAACTTTCCCAAGCACACGATCACCGCACGTAGTGTGAGGGCGATGATACCATTGAGGCGCCGCCCTTGATGGCACGACGGCAATCAATTCCTTCTTATCGAGAACCTTTCCGTGGCGTTCGCACCTCGGTTCTGCTCGTCCTGCAATCTTCTTATGCACGATGCAACATCAGAGACAGATGATGCGGAGAAATGAGCTGAGTTAGCCAAATAATCTGCGATGCAAGCGACGAATCCACAAAGTATCCTAGAGCTCAGCGATTGAGCGATCGAACGTCATCTTGATAGCGCATCTTCGGTTAGAATTGCCGACAGCAGTCACATCAGTATGTTTTGTTAATCGGGGAGTCGAACGAAGTTTCTCTGGACGAAGTACGAGTCCTGATGTCACCAAGGGCGCACCGTCACGTGCTTAGAAAGCGCATAATCCTCCTCGATGCCCTGATGCTCTAACAAAAAGCGCCCGAGGATCATATGGGACATCATTGGTATCAACGGACGACAAAAGCGAGAGCGCCTTACCAACTTCAATGAATGGGGGGCTCAAGAGATGCCGCCGGCAATCGTGCCTGCCTCCAGTTGCTTTGCTGGAAATGAATGAGTTAAAATGACTGTGCGAAGGTACCTGTTTGTCTCTATTTGGCCGTGGCGGGATTTTCGCATCAACATATCGTTATGGCCCGCTTGCCGCCGAGGTCTGAGCTCGTGGCACGATGGTGTGATATACTTATCCACCACTACTGCCTGTTCAACGGCATGGAACAATCCCATGCTTCTAGGAGTTCAGCCTAACTCGACAGTGAGTCCTGGCCGCACCGACGTGCTGCAGCTTTTCGCCGATGACGAGCTCCTTCTCCTGGACAATGCCTCATGTACAAGCTTCTGGCGATGGTAAGTCCGTACCTGAGAGCCGATTCTGGAAGTGTAATTGGACGGCGTACCGGTTCGGTCGGAAGAAGAGGGCTTCTACAGCAACAGGTGCTGCATTATACTTGACAGCGGCGGTGTTGTTTACAGCAACGCGTCGATGCAACGCGCTTGCCATGGATGAGTTCATCTTCACTATAGGGCCGTGGTGATGCACCTGCCGTCGACATGCTCCTGCCCAACAACTCGATGATTGCGTCAGCTTGTGCCCTCGCTCTCTTTATTTTGCTCGGTCTCTCACTGCTTCCTCATCTTCCTTCACCACCACCCTCAAATCCTTACTCACTTCTCGTCTCTTGCCCACAGAGCAACAATCCTTGTCCTTCAAGAGCTCCTGACCCAGATCGTGCTTCATCATGTTTCTCTACACTCTCGTTCTGTTGGCCCTGGCGGTTTTTGGTCTCTCAGACACAGTCTCTGTGTCTTCTACAGGCACTGACACCCCGAGTTGCACTCTTACTTTCACTGCCACTCAGCCTCCTCAGATCGGTCCTACCACCACAATCTATCAAGCAATCATGACAACCTTCCTTTATGTGAGAGGCACCCTCCATCTCTATCCCGGCCATAGCTGACACGAGCAGGCTGTGGATTGTGACATCTGCACAGTGACGAATACTCCGAGTGCTCTGATTCAGGTGAGATTCAAATTCAAGAGCTTGGGCTCCTCGAATTCTGCTGACATTGGCCAAAGGGTCCCTTCGAAGTCAGATCCACCAGTTCCATGCTCACAATCACTCAAGTTGAATGCATCCCCACGGGCAGAGCCAGCACCAGACTCCACGGTTTCGCTCATGGAAACATGGCCGCAGCAGCTACCCAGACCGCGGCTTGGAACAATCTGAAAGGCTTCAAGAGCCCGGACATTCTCCGTCGTTCTGACCAGGCCACAAAAGCTTCTCTAGCAAATTTGGCCATGGATTTTGCCGCTGCTCTCCCTCCCGATGTCTCTTTGCTCTCTGGTGGTCTGAGAGACGAGTTCACGAACATTGCTTCTGCCATGTTTGCCTTGAGTGTCTGTGATTCTGGCCTGAATTTGACTGCGGCTTGTGCCGGACTGGGGACAGCTCAAACCAAGCTCGAATTGTTACAGTCTTGGTACAACCCAGACAACATCGAGTCAGTTGTCTGCTTCTGTTCCATTTACGGCTACGACTTCGGCACCACCCGGCAACAGCTTTACGCCAACCTCTATGCCGCCCTGATAGGCGTGTTGGCGGCTGCCGACGTCACTACTGAACGCGGTCAAATCTGCGATACTCTGGGTCTCTTCAATCGAACTGGTGGCTCCTTGGGCATCGACACCCAACTGTACCATGACCTTGTGTGCAGCAACATTCCTTCTGCCACTCCAACAACACCGATCTGGTATGGACCAACACCGATCGTTCCATATGTCACTAATAACATGACCACCTGGGGGACTCCAACCTCATGGGCACCAAACATGACAATCACAGGAACAGGCATTCTTACTTCTTTGGCACCCAACATGACAGTCTTGCCAGGAACTGGCATCTCTGGGTGGAACGGAACGGGTAACGGCAGTACCTGGGGACCACCACTCGGGACTATCGGCAGTGACTGGTCGCTTACCGTCAACACTCAAACCAATTGGACTGATTCTCAGCCCACTGGCACTGGTGCAGCATCTGAGGCAGGCGCCACAGCATCGAACGCCACGCTCATTGCTGCACGCACACCACGAGGTCCTAATGCCATGCCATTCTATCCCGCAGTCAGCACTCCGACACAACGTCCAGGTCTTTTCAAGCGGTACTGAGAACGACGAAAATACGGTTTGGGCTTCTTTCCCTCGCACTGAGCACTTGTTGATGGTCATGAACGGACGGACTTTACGAACAGAAGAAGCCGGATGAAGATGAGGTGACACAAGATAAAATTGTATCACAGAATTGTGTATGATAGAGGTCTGAGGGACAGATGAACTGTACACTTCATGGCAGCCAGTAGCATAGCGTCGGTAATGTGAGAATTTGAATCTTTTCGTCAATGATTCTTCCTGAAATTTATGCCACCTGCTCCTGTACGCTTTCAACAGTGCGGTACTAGGTTGAGCACACTTGAGAGCCTGACCAGCCCACACCAGTGTGTTTACGCTTGTCTGCCTAAGTTTGGTTCGCTAACGACCGGTGCATTCACATGTCAAGCCTGGATCTAGTAACGGCGATGGTCATGGACGAACAGATGGACTAGATCTGAGGCGAGGGATACATAAGTGGATGAGCTCCCTCAGGAGCACAAGAGCGCATACGTGAAGAGAACCCGTGACCTGATTTGTAGTGGCCTCACTTGCAGAGACAATGAAGCCGGCACTCATTGACCCGAACACTCTGGGGTACGGAACCCCGAGCGCGCATGGCATTGGAATACTGTATGGTTGATCAGAAACCCGGGCGTCGGTGAGAAAAGGAGAAGGAAACGAGGGAAGGGAGGCTATTCTCCCGGTTCTCGATTGTGGGGTTCTGGAAAGAAGCGCGCGAGGGCGCACGACGCTTGCCCCCGATCGGGGCTTTGTCCTGCTACTGCAGGTACGCACAGGCATTGAGACAGGAGAGGACGGGAGGAGGGCGAGGTGGGAAGAACAGAATCAGTCAGTCAGCCTGCGAGCAGATTCTTGCTGGTTATCGAAGGAACTGATGGCTTGGGGGAAAGTAACTCTTTTCGCATTTTTGATCTCCATCCACATACTCGCCCTTGCGTGTATACTTTTTGTCCGTGTTCATGTGATGCCCTAATGCCTGGTAATTCCTTCAGCGCCCGTTGTTGTCCGCCGATCTACTGATTTGGCTGTCCGTCTGTCCCTCCGTCGGTCGATCCGTCCATATGTACATATACAACCAGCATGTTGCCACAAAATACGCCATGTACTGCCTGCCATCCAGGGGAGAAGAAATGCAGAAGGAAATGTGGTCGATGACCTCGAAGAATGATCATGTCAATCGTGAACAATGGCAGAGGGGACGCGAAACGCCGTCGCTAGAACGCTGGTATTGAGAACGCTGTGGTGCGGTGATGGTGTAGAACCGTATCGGGTCATAAAATGACGTTAAGGTGAAGCCTCTTGAAGCAGAAAGGGTGTTTTGCCGATGTTGAGGACCAAAAAACATCTGAACCGCTCGGGGGAGAGCCGGCTATCCAAGCTTGTCGAGGAAACAAATGTGTGGAGCTGCAGTGGCCTTCAATGCATCATCTGTCTAGCGAAGATCGTGACGTGCGTGGGATGGTCGGACAGATGAAGGGTGGTGCACAACATTATTTCGACTTGAGATACTCCTCGCTGTGTCCGAGATGCGCACAGAACGCTGACCACCCAGTTCCATCACGAGACTCGAGGCACCTGCTATCAAGGTGGTGGGCCGCGAGTGAATTTCGTTCACATCGGCCTTTTCTGGGCGCGGGACGTCGTAGAGTTTGCCACAACGGGCTCATTTTTGATTTAGCCCCCTGAAGTCGCCCTTCAGCAGCTTCGTCTTAGCCGCATCACAAGGGTAGGGCAATGCTCCTTCTGGGCTGTCTTTGGATGATTGGATCGTTGGGATTAAGTGAACTCATTGAACTGAATGGTCCGAGACCATCCCTATCCTGGAAAACTCTGTTCAAATTCATGGCTGCCTTGGTGTACAGCGCATCGATAGCCTTCTGGTCTCGGAACGGGTTCGGCGACTTGTCCCAGGCGTGAGGCACTTGAGGAATCATCTTGCTGTCAACTCGTTTGCCCAGGTTATCCAGCCGTTCGGCAAAGAGTTGCCCTTCTCGGAGGAGCATGTCCCACTCGCATAGCCACATTTGGATGTCTCGCGGTAGGCCAGTCTGGAGCATTTCGTCGGGTGCCAAGGACGGAGAGGCATAAGGACTGCAGTGGTCACCGTGGAGATCCGGTGGGGGAAGGTAGGAGAAGTCGAACAAGTCAGTGAAGGTCTTGGACAGACATCTCTTGGGGTCCAGTGATTCACGTATCTTACGCGATCGAGACATGGTCCAGTCAAGCAATGGGTACCACGCGACAATGGAGCGTATTTGCAGAGGGGAGCCTGACTTTTGGCGAATCAGGTGGGAGCTGGAGTGAGCGGAGTCTGAAGGCATAGGCGTCAAGAAGTCGTGTGATTCATGGGGTTGTTCATCGTTATCGTTCATCTGGGAGCCATAGGTGTCGGTGGTCTCAGTGGTAGCGGTACTGCGAGCAGTCAGGGGCCGGGATTTGGTCTTTTCCAGGGCGTTGATCTTCCGGTGGTGCGTGAGACGAAGAGCTGAGGTAAAGGCTAGGTTACCTCCTGCAGAGAAACCCGAGAGAGCGATATTTGTTTGGTCAATATGGAGTTCCTCGGCGTGTTCGGCCACGAACAGCAGGGCTTCGACACAATCGTCCACGGGGCCAGGGAAGGGATGCTCGGGTGCACGTCGATAATTGACGCTGACGAAGATGCAGTTCGTATGCTGTAGGACAACGCGTGCCCAATACTTGTCATCTGTTGCTTCGCCCAGACAAAACCCACCACCATGGAAGTTGACAACACAGGGGAAACGGTGCGAGGGATCCCGCTCGAGGACCTCGTTGTGTACCGAGGGGAGGTAGAAGTATAGTTCAATAGGATTGGTATCCGTCTCGATGCCCCATTTGAAGGCAGGCTTTGCAGGACGAGGCCAGGCCCAGCTGTGGAAACACATGCCCAACGTCTCCAAGGCCCTCCACCACTTCGCCTTGATCGTCAGCCAGCGTCTAGACGGGATGTCCTGAGCAGACAGGTGGTGTGACATGGATCGCGGCCGCATACTGAACTGTTGCTCCTCCTCTTCCGTAGAGTATGTATTTGAGCAAACCTCGGTAAGTCTGTGTTCAGGAGGCTCGCGGTGGTGGTGACGGCGGCCATCTTCGAGTTCAGGTGCGTTGGCGAAGGCGACCGTAGGACTCTTGGGCGAGGCGAAGTCTTGAGCATCAGTGTTCGCTACTATCGTGTCCGGCGGTGACTCGGAGGGCGGCTTTGTTTCTTCCATCTGGATCTCTTCGACCGGCGACGGAATACTCAATGGTGAAGGTGTTCGAGGCATGTTTGCGAACTGAAGGTAGACCGCTGCTTGTAGTGCAAGCTGTGACCATCGACGAGATACGTCGAAATTACCGTTGTCTATGAATCCTCGCAGGTCTCAGATTTCCGATCCTGCCTTTGTTTTTGAAAGGTGTCGGCAGATCGTAGAGGTTCATCGATGTGGATGGTGTAAGAGAAGGGTTCAAGTATCTTCGGGGACAACAGTGGCGGCCGTATTATTAGCGAGGTCGTCTGAACGGCGGTATGGCTCGCAAGGGTGCTCGGGTGATTGCTGGTCGGGGAAGTCGTCCCTTCTACGCCAATGACATGACAAAAGCGTGGCAGGGACACTTGTGAGTTGCGAGCACGAGGTGTGCTGCGATGCTCGATCTGGTGTCTTTTTGCGAAGTGAAAGTCGAAGTTGTTCCGCACGTTCTATGCTAACCTGCGGCTTATCGGCCGTTGGGTACGATGACGCGTGTTTGATTGTGGCTGTGGGCTCGTTACAGAATGCAGCATGTTGCATGCAGGGCGAGGAGTGCAGCCCTCACGATGTCTCGCCCTAATTAGAGAGGCCCGAGGTGATCACACCAGAGCAACAGCCCGGGGAAAGCCCAGCAAATGGAAGGTCACCAAATGGTGCCCTGGGGATTGTTTAGACGACACGGGACCAACCTCCTGTCCAGACGTTGCCTCAGCGGCGGGCGCTAAGCTGTCACCACTACGAGTACCAGAGTACTCGCACAAGCACTCCGTACGGACAATTCTTACCCGTATGAGATCATTAGCAACAAGCAGCCAAACAACTCACAGTACTTACTCCGTCCGGGGTACTGTGGACTCTCCTGTGTTCTGCAATGCACAAGACACGCATGCAGTCGCACGAACATTTCTACGGCTCTGAAGCTCGGTACTTACATGGGAAGACTCACCTTGGGCAGCACATAACCTTCTGAGGCTGCTCTGCACTGATGCGAGCACAGGATCACTCATCATGCGGCTCGCAAGGCTTTCGGACCCTTAACCTCCGAATGAGACGACCCAGCCTGATATGTATGGAACCAATGGACACGGGCTTAAGACATATACTCCGTGCAGTGCATGCATAGCTGGGCACATGGCCTTCACAGTTTCATGTCCAATCCGCGGTGTGTACGGAGTAGGTGAACAAGTGCTTTCAATCATGGCAGCTAGTGTTGTCTTTCGTTTCAGCATTAGGAATGGGGCGAGCAGACCTCGGGGTGATATTCCCTTAGAGTAATCTTTATGGTAGTAGGTGGGTAGGAGTGTGCTTCGATATTCAGGGGCTACGGTCACGCCAGTCTCCGCTGTGGTGAATCCTAGACAAGGGCCCGTAGGCCAAGTCAGCTTTTGGTGTTTCTTCTTTCCTAGTCCGACCACTGACATATTTTGTTGATCTTGTGTTGTACCCGTCAGCTGCTGAGCGTCCAACGGGAGAAGCCGTGCTATCGCCAGACATGGAGTAGGAGTTGCGAGCAAGCCGCAAGATCCCGTCAACAGACTAAATACATTCCAGCGTAGACTACCAACGAGCTGTTGCTCGACAAGGTTTTCATGTTATATTTTTTTGAGAGACTGCTGAATGGGCCGCACCCGGGCCATGCAATGCCAATGCTGCTTTGCTGCTTGATCTGTCAAGACCAGTACCATACGCATATATCAAGCCCGCGTCCTGACCGCTAGAAGAAACTCCCCCTCCTCTCTCCGATGTTGCTCACTTTACCTTTCGTCAGGCCGATTCAGGTCCCAGCGAATCATGTGTCTCTCTCAGTCCTGTTTCTAGTCACCTGAATAATCCAGACCGCAAACATGCTCTGTGTTTCACGTGAACACGGCCGAAAGGGCGGAGAAGTCGAGTTCGAGTAGACATGGCTCACAGCTCAGCGATGAGTGCCACGGCATTTCGATATGTGTTCGTCTGTGCGAGCTGGCGGCACACGAACTGAAGGTTTGGACGGCCTCGACGGCCTTACCTCAGCAAGTGCGAAGAAACACCAGCACGGCAGCACCCAGACCAGAAAATGGAGGCCGAAATGAGAGCGATTCAGGGAGCCGTTACCTCACAGGAGAGCGCAAACGGACCAGTGATTGGATGACGTCGTACGTCCCTGTCGCCTTACTCAGCGGGCTGCAGCTCGAACGGGATTTGCACCACAGCTATGCAGGGGAAGAGTGCACTAGGTAAGCGGCCAACAAAGAGCAGTGGACATCCACTGCATTAGACCGATGAAAAGACTCGGGGCATGCTGGTGGTGCAAGTGTTGGAAGTGATGGGAAAGGTCTGAGGGGGCCGCTACCGCGACCGTCACTTCTGACATCCGTCCACAAAGTCAGCCGTACAGTCTTCCGAGCATCCGGTTTTCTGCTTTCAACAAAGCGACGACAGCCCTCTTGATCCTCCATCCGTCCTTGCTTCTGTTGCGGTTTCCCTGCTGCAAAGCTGTCACTGCAAGGAAGGCTGCGAGTTGGAGTCCTTGAAACTCCTGCCAATCTGGTCGCATTTCAGACTTTCGGTTTTCCCCTCGTCTCTCTCCCAGCCCCTCCATTCCATCCAAGCCCGTTCCGCTGCAGGGCCAACTTCTTATTTCGCAACCGCCAGGGTCCCATAGAGACTCCAACAGTGGCATCGAGGTTACGGCCACCTTAACAAAGTCTGACAATTAACGCTGCCGTGTGGGCAGCTTGATCGCCGCAGCCGAGTCAACGGCGCCTGATCGCTCAGATACAACATAATCAAGATTCCTTTTCCAGAGTCTAATCCTCTTGCTGGGCCCACCATCCTAAAATATCTCAGGACAGCGTCAGTCAGTTTTGTTGAAACTCATAACTTGAGCGCCAGGGACACCGTTTTCTTCTCACCGAAGAACATTCCCCTGCGCCCACATCACCATGTCAGTCCTTCGCAAACTCTCCAAGCATGTCCACCCAAACGGTGGCACCGACAGTCCTAAGCACGCCGATGGCCACAGCACTCCCATGTCCTCCCAGAGCCCCGGCCCTCACCGACGCTCCCTCGCTCAGTTCCTCCACCTTGGCAACCAGTCGGACTATACCTCAAGTGACAATGAGTCCGAGATGAGTGATTTCGACAGCGATAACATGAGCAAGAATGCTCAGAAGAGAGCCATTGCGAAACAGAGAAAACACGAGCATCGCTCGAAGCTGAGCCTTGACCATCGAGATGACTCCGAGGAGCGCATCAAGAAGAGATTGGAAGAAGCTGCCAAAACTGAGACGGATGAAATGAAGGCCCGTTACGGCGACATGCCTCTGATGCAGTCCACCAGTCGCAATACGCACCAACGCCTCGATATTAGCACAATCACAGAGGACATGGCCGGCCAAGAAGTTGTATTCCGTTGCAGATTGCACCACGTCCGAAGTATGGGCGCCAAGTTGACGTTCCTCATCTTCAGACAGCAGATTTCCACCATTCAGGGCGTTCTGGTTGAGGAACCAGGCAAAGTCTCCGCCATTATGATTCATTGGGCCGAACATCTGCGTACCGGCAACATCTTGCTCGTCAAGGGCGTTTTGCAGAAGCCGCAGATACCTGTCAAGTCTGCTTCTATTCACACCGTGGAGATCAAGGTCTCCGACTTGCACGTTGTCGTGAGACGCTCGGAGCCAGTTCCCTTCTCTGTGCAAGAGGCGGAGATAACGATTCTGGACGAGAACGAAAAAGTCGACGGCCGCCAGAGTCAGATCCCAGACCGCGTAAGGCTTGCCAATCGAATCATGGATCTACGAACCGCCACCTCCCAGTCCATCTTCCGCATTCAAGCAGCCGTGGGGAATCTTTTCAGGTCTGCTCTCGACGAGCAGCGCTTCGTTGAAATCCACACGCCCAAACTCCAGGGCGCCGCGACTGAGTCCGGCGCGTCGGTCTTCAAGGTCAATTACTTTGGTCGTTCGGCATTCCTCGCCCAGTCTCCTCAGTTGGCAAAGCAGATGGCCATCGCGTCCGATTTCGAACGAGTCTACGAAATTGGTGCTGTCTTCCGAGCAGAAAACTCCAATACCCATCGCCATTTGACCGAATATACAGGTCTCGACCTCGAAATGGCCATCGAGGAGCACTATCATGAAATGATGGATGTCATTGACCATACCCTCAAGACCATCTTCAACGGCATTTACACCAGATACAGGACTGAAGTCGATCTCATCAAGGAGCAATTCCCTAGCGAAGATCTCGTATGGCTCCAGGAAACACCGCGAATTCCCTTCAGAGACGCCGTCCAGCTTCTTACCGACTCCGGCTGGCTCAACGAAGATGGGGAACCAGTCTCACCCCTCGAAGATCTGGCCACTCGAGACGAGATTCGATTGGGCGAGCTCATGAAGGAGAAATACAAGACAGACTACTATATCCTGGACAAGTTCCCAAGGTCTGCAAGGCCTTTCTACACCATGCCCGACGCTCAGGATGAACGTTACACAAACTCTTTCGATGTCTTCGTCCGTGGTCAAGAAATCATCTCTGGAGGTCAGCGTATCCATGAATCAAAGATGCTTGAGGACAATATGCGTACGGTCGGGATCGACCCCGATGATATGGCCGAGTACATGGAGGGTTTCAAATGGGGTGCTCCTCCGCATGCTGGCTGTGGTGTTGGTCTGGAACGGATTGTCATGCTTATCCTAAAGCTCGGTAATATCCGTCTAGCCTCATTATTCCACCGAGATCCCAAGTCGTTCCCTGCCAAGCCAGTGGTTGAGAAACTCAGACACCCGGAAGCGGATACCTTGAACCCTCTCTGGAAACAGGAACGTGGCCGCGAAGTGGCTGTCGAGGATCGGAAGCTACCAGATCTCTTCGATCTCGTTGCCAATTATGGCGACGCGACTTCGACTTCGTGGGGCGACGAGCGCTACCAGATCTGGCGTCATGCAGATACTGGCGCCGCAGTGTGCTATGTTCCTGAGGGACATTATGCCATTCTTCCAGGTGACCCTCTGTGCCACCCGAGTCAGTACTACAGGATCGTTGTATCTTTCCTCCAATGGTTGAAGAAGGAGACCAAGTTGAAGCCTATCTGGATTCTGATTAGTCCCGAGCTGGAGGAAGTCCTTGGTGAGAGGTTAGGCTGGAAGACTCTCTCTTGTGTGGCCGAGGAGCGTGTTAACCCCCACAAGAAGTCTGCCGAGTCTGACCCGGAAGTCGCGAGGAAGATTCGGAAGGCTCAAAGTGACGGAGTCAAGATCACTGACTTACCTCACAATGAACCCGTCCCCGAGAGCATCAAGGAGCGTACCAATGCTAGAGTCAAGGATTGGTTGGCGAATCGCAAGGGGACGCAGATTCACTTGTCGAACATTGACCTTTTCCGCGATGAGAAGCACAGACGCTATTTCATCGCAGAAGACAAGGACGGCAACATCTGCGGTATTGCAGTCATGGCAGAGATCGCCCCCAAAAGAGGATGGCAAGCTAAGTACACTTTGGACTTCCCCGGAGCACCATCAGGCACCATTGAATACATCACTACGCATGCGCTCAATGTTGCTGGCAACGCAGGCGTGCCTAGCGTTACATTCGGAGGTGGTGCCGCCAACCACCTGACTCCGGGCCACCACATGAGTGGTGCCAAGGTCAAAATGTTGCAAGCCACCTACGACGCGATCGTCAAGCAGTTCAACTTGGCCAGGAAGTCCGAGTTCAGAGAGAAGATGGGCGCTGTGGCAGATCCTATCTGGATCGCGTATCCTCCGCACGGGCTTGGTTCTAGAGGTATCAAAGCGATCATGCGGTAAGTTCTCAACGAACCTCATTTATGGGAGTATTGCTGACGTGAGTGTCAACAGTTTCTTCCAGGACGAGCCTTAGAAAGGTCCAAGGCGTCCGCGGGTGAAATCCAACTTTAGCTTCAGAGTGGCTGAAAGGAAGAAGTCGATGCTGAGTAACGTCAAGCATATCCTCTTGGGTATTCCGTGGAGCTGGTATCTGAAGTTCGGCCAGTTAGAAGCGAGGGGGTAACGTCTCGCCGGCTTGATCTATTTTCGTGACAGCCGCTGAGCCCGAGTATATGAAGGACCGCGAAGTAGAGGAAAGGCTGGACTTTTGGAGGCTGTCAAGAGACCAGAGGAAGGCTGGATGGACCGTGGATGAAAGAACAACTATCCCCTTTGTTGGTCGCTCTTGTTATCCCCTGATGCCTTTGGATGAAATCGTTCAGATACCACACATAGCACAGCACGTACAGCACATCGCAATCGATCTTCCCACTACAGTAAGAAATCCCAGTTCCTACGATCTCCAAATCAAGATGGAGTCGGCCTGATCGCTACAGCGGCCTTGAAGCAAAGACGACTTGACCGCGGTGTAGATCAGCACGACCGGAGCACAGGTCGGAGGTATTGTAGCAATGCGAGTACTATGCCAAAACACCTTACTTCCATTCATCAGTACGGAAGTACGGAGTACCTTTCCCCCTTTCCTCGTCCCATATACTTCGATCCAGATGGATGCCAGAAAGCTTAGGACCCTGTGGCATCCGCACACGCCTCGCTCCAAAGCACTTTTCAAGACCACGAATACCATCAGAGCTAAACCATACGCCGTTCATATTGGTGTATCCCTCCCACCCTTCACAGCCTGTTCGCTGTAGATCGTCGTCGACGGCGAAATAAGGCCATTCAGATTGGTGTTTTCCCCCCCACCCTTCACAGCACAATGTCTATCATCGTCGTTGGCGAAATGAACGGGTATTCATACTGGTGAGACTGCCCGGACTATCGTGTTGACAACCCGGCGGCTAGTCCTGTCGTTACATTACCACTGTCCTGTATGAGAGGTCTTCATGGCTACTTGATCACTCGTTTTTCATCCGCAGGGTAGAGAGTCGCAAGAATAGAATAGACGTTTGGCACGTGAGCTTGATGGGGCTTGAATTGGGTTGGCTTGTTTTGGCTTGGCTATGGGATCGAGAGAAGGTGTTAGGTAGCTTAAGTCGAGTTGAAGGCAAGGAGTGGGAGATAGCCATCCCTGAGCTCGGCTTGGAGCGACATCTACTGTAGTGCATGGGTAATAGGTACGGTCCCTCGGTCATCGCGTAGTTGTATGAATCGGAGTTTTCCTGTGAGCCTGTCCCTTGAACCGTCACTGCTTGTCATGATACCAAGCTCTGAATGGTCCGTACGTACATGGATCAAAAGAGAAGTCTGGAGTCAACTCATGAACTGGGCTTCATCTTCCCACACATGCTGCAGGTCCACCACTGACTCTCCATCCAGTTGCCGCACTGCCCACACGTCCAGCCTACTGGGTTTATCTGGGCTTTTTGCCTGGCCGCACTCTCGAAGCGCGCGATGTTATCTGCTGCGTTGCGAGAGGCTAGGAGGTTGTGAGGCTGAGGTTTTGAGGATTTGGTGCTGCGGGTGTTGTTGGATGTGGATGAAGGGACAGGAGAGGGAGAAGGTGGATTGAACCATGGTGGACGCTCGGTCTCGCAGGCGCCGCAGAGGAGATATGTGATGGGATTTATGAGCGTGCAGATTTCGCATGTCCAGGTTTGTTCTTCGTGGGGGAGACGTGCTGGTGGGGGTGTTGCGGGAGCGGGCTTCGATGCTGGCTCGGGTTTCGGTTTTGATCCTGGCTCGTACTCTGTTGTCGAGGTGGGTGATCCGGGGTTCTCTCTCAACTGTCGTTCGATTTCGAGCTGTTCCTCGCGTAGTTTCCTCAGGTCTGTGGGTGGTTGGACGGTGTTTCCCTGTTCATAGCCACCTGTAGGGTTATCCTGGCTCGGTGGAACGTAGCCCGCACCGAACTTCTGAGCTTCCTCTTCCTGGATGATCTCGATATAGGCTTGCATGAGGGCTGCCTCGTCTTCGTCCGCCTTCTCCGCCTGCGTGGTGGCGACCTTTTCCTTCTTGATGGCTTGTTCTTGCGCGAGCTTCTTCCCCATATCCGGCACCGTGCTACCACAGCCCCGGTTCACGCGGTTCCGTCGCTCAGCCGCGGCGGCGATGATCTCACGTGCATCTTGGCCGCGCAGGATCCCCTTCCCGCCGAGTTTGCTGCCGCTTCCCTGGGCTAGGATGGCATTCCGGCCGCGCCGCTCAGCCGCCGCGCGGGCCTGCCGTTGGAGTTCAGATCGAGGGATGCCTCTCCCTCCGAGGCGGTTGCCTTTGCCCAGGAATCCTTCGCCCGTGTAGCCCTTTCTCAGCAGGGCCTCGTGCTCGTCTCGCAGTTTGTCCCACAGGGCGTGGAAGGCTTGGTCATGCGGGCCGTGCACAATGTGGGATAGCTCGTGCAGCATGGTGTCCACGATGTTCTCGAAGGGCAGGAACTGTCTGTCGTCCGACGGATAGCGGAGTCTCAGGTGGATGGCCTCGCCGCGGTTGGTATTGAGACCGAGCAAGGCATGCTCGTCGGGGTAGAACTCCGCCAGGATGCCGACCCGCCAGCCACGAACGCGCATGATGGGCTTGACCAGGGAGGCAACGCGCTTGAGGATGGTCAGAGCTTCATTTGGTCGTGCTTTGGAGGTCAAGTGCTGGAATCGGTCGACGAGAGGGTCGAGTTCTGTTCCTCGGGTATGCGACATGGTGGGCGTCGTCGGCTTTGATGGTATGGTGTAGTATGTAACGGCCCAGCCAGAAAGATGTACGATGGTACCCGACAACTGTGCTGATGGTACCGCGGGGCCTTCTTCTGTTTGTAGTCGCGCTGCCCGTTACACCTGCGACCGTGAGGCACTTGGTTTGTTCATCATGCGGTGACAATCAATCCCTTGGCCTCATCCGTGAACAGCCTGCATGGTGGAGGGGTGGATTACACAAATGGAAAGTTGAAAGACAGAATCCGACCACGCTATTCTCAGATGCGCCCTTCTACCCAGTAGACGCCGGAAGATGCCAGAAAGAAAGCGTTTACTCATTCAAAGTCGTTTGCTAGGAGAGTCGAGCGTTGGATGATTCGTAATGAGACTCAGCCTGATGGGTGTGGGACGAAGGCGAATGGAAGCCTGCCACGTGATGGGCACCGATCGTTCTCCATTCCCCGCGCTGCGATGTCAGTGGAACGTCTCGACGAGGTGTCAGTAACTTCATCTCGAACATGATCCTACGTGATCCTACGTAATCCTGGACGAACTGTACCCTTCAGCGAGACCAACACCCTCGACTCTAGAGCAGCGCCCACGTCTTCGTGCCAGGCCCTGTCGCCTACCCACTGTCATAACCACATACCCACCATGACGAGCGACGACCAGCAGTTCCTCGACCTGGTGAGTCTCCCATGGGCATACATGCTACCCAGCCCTACACATCACTAACTTGACACGTTTTGACTTGCAGCTCGCCTCCGTCCCGCAAGACATCGCCCACTATGGCAGCCGCGTGGCCGACTATGTCGACAAGCACGCCAACGCCATCGCCAACGACATCCGCGACGCCATCGACCGAGCAAGTTGGATTCCGGACTCGCTACGCCCGCCCCGCCCGTCCGGCACATCAGGCGCATTCTTCGTCAAGCCACCGCCGCCACCACAGGGAATCTTGCAGAAGACGGGCGCATGGGTGTCGAAGAACCGCACCGCCATCGCCGTGGTATTAGCGTTCGCCGGCACGACGATATACCTTGTCCATCGCCGCCGACGGTCCCACGCGCGCAAGAGACGGGCCAAGAAACTGCCCAACGGGGCGAAGAAGGAGATCGTCGTGCTGGCGTGCTCGACGTTCCACGACGCCCTGACGCGCTCGTTGGCCGTCGACCTCGAACGCAGAGGCTACGTCGTGTACGTGACGGTGTCGTCCACGGAGGAGGACTCGCTCGTCCAGCAGGAGGCCAAGCAGGACCTGCGGCCCCTGTGGATCGATCTGACGTCCACGGTGCCCAACCCGGCGGTCGACGTGCACCCGAACCTCGAAGCCATCCGCGACCACATTACCCGAAACATGACGCTCGCCGGCCTGGTCGTCTTCCCCGGCTGCTCGGGCTACAGCGAGGGCCCGCTCGCGCTGCTGCCGCCCTCCGATATCGTCGACACGATCAATACGCGGCTCGTCGCCCCCGTGCTCACAGTCCAGCAATTCCTGCCCCTTCTCGCGAACCATAGCACCGACCCAAAAGCGCCGGCCTCGATCGTCATTGCGTACCCGTCCATCCCGAACAGTCTGGCCCCGCCGCGCCAGGTGCCCGAATGTCTAGTGACATCGAGCCTCTCGGCGCTGGCGCACTCGCTGAGGCGCGAAATCTCCGCCGCGAGCGCCAACATCACGGTCAGCGAGCTGAAGCTCGGGAATTTCGACATGGGCTCCGTCTCGACGTCCCCCTGGGCGCGGGGGACCACGCCGACTCAATCGACCTTGGGGGCGTCGGGCTCTTCTTCGTCGGCGTTGACACACAGCAGCACCCACAGCCACAGCCAGTCGCACTGGCATAGTTCGCAGCGCGCGGCCCACCAGCGCAAATCACTCGGCCAAAGGAGCAGCCTCATCCGCGGCTCGTCGGCCCGCGAGTTCCACAACGCCGTGTTTGACGCGCTCGCGCCGCCGCAGACCTTCCGCCCGTTTGGGTACGCGAGCCTGGAGTTCGCGAGTAGCAGGCGCGCGGAGGTCGTGTTCGTGGGCAGTGGTGCCAGGATGTATGACCTGGTGGGTAAAATCTTCCCAAGCGGACTGGTCGGGTTGATGATGGGCTGGAACCGACGGCGGACCGCACCGCCCGAGGAGTCCTATCAGTCTGTATACCAGGACGACGCACGACGGGTCAGTGCAAGTACGAGTGCAAGTGGAAATGGGAGTGCTGCTGGCACTGCTGCTGCGTCGGGTTCCGGTACTGGTGGACAGTCAACCTCGGCGTCCGCATGGGGATTTCACTCCTTGGGAAGCGACAGTGGGATTTGGGAGAAGGTCTAACATGGACTCTTGGAACTTCTGTCGTGGGTCTGAACGGATGACTCTTCTGTATACAAACGATTCATGATATACTCCTTTCCGGTAGCATTGCATTAGCGGACTGAGACCTCTTCACTCATCCTGAAACATTCCCTTTCCCCGCCAGAACAATGACAAACGGTATCAACAACGAATTGTGACGATTGCTCCCGCCATGCATCCGCTGATGCTTCCATTTTCGACACACGCACCGGTCCTGCCCTGGGCGATACACCCTCTGCGCGTAAGGTTCACCAAGGATCAAGGTGAGCGCGCGGCTCAGACGCCCTCTTCAATACCCGTAGTGACCGTATACTCCCCACCCATGTCCCCGCGGCTAGTTCCCGGAGCACTTTTGCAATTTTCCGCAACATTGGTGAAGAGCACTCTGCTCGTTCGTCAACCGGGGGCAGCCATCAGGATCGGGCGTAGCTCCCATGGTTCCAGCTGTGCCCAAAACTGCTTGTAGTGTTCCTGGAGCTGAACGGATTCCTCGAACTTGCCCTGTTTTTCCAGTATGCGCTGGAGTCGATCCAAAGAGCTCAAGATAGAAGCTGCAGCAGGTTTCATTCGTTGTGTAATGCCTTCGAAAACCATTCGATGGAATCTTTCGCTTTCTGCGAGCCGTCCCATATCATCGTAGAGACTTGCCATTTCGTAGCACAAACAGATACCATCAACGTTGCCATTTGGTTTGCCAATATCCTTAACGACGCGTCCGATACCTAGCGTGAGGTGTTGCTCAGCGCGTGCATAGTCCTTACGCTTGCGCGCCAAACAGGCCATCATGAGAAGGAGGCGAAGCTGCGAGGCTGATGGAGGCGAAGATATTGGTTGCGCCGCAGCCCATAGATGCTGGCACAATTTCGAGGCATCGTCAAGCCGTCCATGGTTGAAGTAGATTTCAGCTACACTCCTCAATACCCTAGTCGAGGCTCCGGGTTCAGGCAAACTCATAGTCGTATCCGTCAAGAGTTCTGCATATCTGCATACAAAATCACGCTTGTGTTCCTGTCCCATCGCAATGAGTGACCCCATTAAGCTTGTGATAGGATGGGTGGTCCCTAAGATGGCATCCGCCGATGAAGCCATAATCTTCAATATGGACCTTTGAATGTCGCAATAGCTGCCCCATCTGTCGGTGGAAAAGGCGAACTGACGGATCAATAGCTGCAAGAGTTGGAAAGGCTGTTCTTTCAAAAGTACGACGAAATCGGAGCAGCATCTGTTCAAGTAGGCAAATCCTCGCCGAACAGAATTTTTTCTGAGCCAAACCACAGCTTGGGTAATGTCCGCGGAAACACCCTCAAGACCAGTGGTATACGCGTACTGTGCTTTGATAACTTTCTGAGTGGAATACCAGGAGTAATATGTCCGGGCGTATCGGAGGATGTTTTCTGCATGCTGGGTTTCGAACGATTGCTGGAGCGGGATACGGCATATATTGCCCACTCGGGCTAAGGAAAGACGTCTTCTTCGCAGCATTCTGCAGGTCTGACGGTCTACCAGCGAGACTCGGGCCCCCTTCCGCTGAACGCTTCGCAATAACCGTTGAGTCTGTAGCGGCTTTCCGTTGGGATCCGCGAGGGGCGAAGAATCTGGTGCCATGTCTTCCTGGGTAAGTTTACTAATGAGCTCTTGCTTCACGTCTTGTGTGTAATTCTTCCTCATCTTCCAATCTCGCAGTCGTTTCTTGTACATTTTATCACTATATCCTTAGTTAATGGTCAAGTTCAGCCGAAGCAGGGCGACTTACGTAGCATCGAAGCCATAGTCTTGCTTCATCCGTGCCATCACATCCGTGAGTTGAAGACCTTGATGGATATACAGCTCCTGGATGATTGGCTTGAGGGGTTCCCAGACGGTATCTGCTATCGGCGATCTTCTCTGACGTAGCGGGAGTTGATGGGCTGCTGGGTTCTCGTGTGCATTGACGAAAAAGGCCTCATGATAAGTGTCTGTAGCGGGGGTCGGGACGATATCAGATGAGAACTCATTGCTGAGGGCCAAGGCACCCTCGGTGATGTCGAAGTAGTCGTCCATGGTGATATCCAGCACATTATTCAACGCCATGATCTCAGCGTGATGCTTTCAGTCGACAGCAAGGACAACTCGTTGCCAAGCGTGTATTGTCAGGAATTTTGACAGACAGCGGAGGCAATTCGAAGGCCATGGAGCAAGCCGACCCTATATAGATTCATAGCCAGCTGTCACTGGAGCATCTTTCTGTCAAGAACATTCGTGAGGCTGCTGCTCGAGGAAGTCGCGAGCGGTGCCTCGTCGGACTGTGCTGCGTTGCGCCAATAGACAGCCGCCATGGACGCCACAAAAACTTCTGTCAATCGCCACCAGTTACCAACCGGAAGCTGGCCCAATCACTACCCTGGCATGAAGAGGAGGAGACACCAAAGGATAGAACTGCTGCACATGCCTAAAAGGATTCGAACAACTTTTGAATGTTCGTGTCAACACCGCCCCGTTTGCGCAAGACAGAAAGATGGGCAATGAGAGGACCGACGGGAAGCCGAAAAGAAAGAGTTGAGTTCGTCAGGCTAGACTTGAGGCCGTCGTCGGGCGCTTTTCGGCTAGCGATGCGCAATATGTACTGTGATCACTTCGCCTACCGCCACAAGTTCAACGCAGAAGCTGCTGTACCAACCAATTCACAAGCTCCAATGGAGCGCTGAACTGGCCTCACGAAAGAACCGCCAACTTTGCAAAGTCACATTCGGTGCTCCTGCACATGTGCTGTTACCCTTCCATTCCTTGTCCGCCTGCCTTCTTGACACCTCGGACCGTACATTCAAAGTCTACCGTCCTCCCCATGACCATGGACTGAGACACTACATCACTGGTCAAGTCGATAAGATCAGATCGATATGACTGTTCCTCGTCACCTTGAGTGGAATGCCTCTCTCTTCACTTGCTGCGTAATTTCGAACCCCGCGGCTCAGAGTGGAAGCAGAGCTGCCGTGGGTGCCCGTCCTGGCAGTGCAGTCGCCCGAATGTCGTGATGGAAGCCCGATGTTCTCATGACTCGATACCCTCAAAAAAATGTAAGACGAAACGTGAACATGATTGTGGCTGATTTCAGACAGAGGAGAACTCTCACCGAGGCCATGACTACGTCCTGCGTTTGACAAGATCAGAACAAGTATTCCCTTGCTGGCGGTGATACATTCCTTCCCTGGTGTGATATGTCACGATGTCTCTCAGAGCAAGGGCAGGACACCTCATATTTAAGCCCATGAGCCTGCCACTGGCCGAGCCCGCAGCTTCTGGTCGATTCCTCATGCCCCAGGTATCAGCTGAGAAAACATCGCTGCCGAACAACACTTGCCAACCTGGCACCACTACCGCTACTGTAGTCTCTCGGATCCCCTGACGGTCAGTCATGTTGCGCGCATTTCCAGCTGCTTCGAACCGCGCGTATCTGGCCATGGAAGAGGAACTGACGCAGCTCACGAACGCATCGACCGCAGCTTTCTTCCTGCGCAATGCCGATTGCCCACAAGGGGAAGTCTTCCACATCGTCCGACCTGACCACATCTCAGCTGCTCCTCCGGCGGCAGTGAAACGACCACCTTTCCCAGAAAAGAGACAGGCGGCACTGCGGATGCTCGAGCCGTGTATCTTCTATGTACAGTTCCCGTGTCGACAAGGCTGCCGCAATCTGGGTATCTGTATCCACTACCAGTTCGTTGGTGGCTGCCGAAGACTTCCCGATGGACTACAGTGTCCGGTTTGTATTCTGAGTGATTGTGAAGTGGTATGGACGAAAGTGGAGAGACGTGCAATGCACCAGGTACTAATCACTGAGGCAGGCTATCGATGCTGACCGCGTGTGTCCACTTCATCAAGACCCATCACAAGCAAATCCGATCAACAACCGGCCTGAGGACTTTCTGGCCACGGAACAGCAGAAGGAATTCTACGAGCACGTCTTGGGGCGATCCATGGTCTGCCACTGGCACGATCTACCCGCACCACCAGAACGGCATCCCGAGGATGTGTCCGCCTCGTACCGCAATGGCTTCCATCGTGAAACAACGCCCAAAGACATGAATGATGTCAAAATGTTGGACAGCATAAAGGAAGAGGAGGTGCAGTCCGAGGAAAGTACGGTAGACACAACTGGAGATAGCGGACCTGACTGGCGCGATCGTCCCTTTTCCATGGGATTCGCAATGTCCGAACATCCTCTGGCTATGGTGTCAAGGTAGATGCATGCTAGAAAGGGTTATGTTGTCGCGGTGGTGGTTCTGAATGCGGAGTGAGTGAGATAAACGACCGGGTGCTCACGTTCAGCTGGGCCACAGCGTCCCGAAAATTGAGCTCGTCGTCATGCTAGGCAGGGAACGGCTCTCCATCTGATGCTGCTGGGTCTGGGACCGCAACCAGTGTCGCAAGCTGGTATTCGCCAGTGGCAAGGGTACATCGGGCATTGAAATACGACAGTGGGGACGGCACAGTCGCTTGAGCCAGCATCACGGGCGGTGGAGTGGCTGTTGACAACATCGAGACAGGCCCAGACAGTCCAGACGGGCGTGCTGAATGGGCCTCTCGCATCCCAACTCCTCCCCATAGTGTACGTTCCTGGCATTGCACGACGTGCAGCATCATGAGATACAACAGCATTCGTTTCGACCGTGGATTGCTCTCCGCCAGATCGCTATCGGTTAAGCATGACTGATATTTTCTCCCTTCTGCCATTACTGTACTTGGATCGTGCTGGTGCTGGTGCTGGTGGCCCGTCGTGCTCGACGTCCAAGTGCTCACCATCGAGGCGAGGAGACGCCTCTGCTTTTGATACAGTGTCTGCCAATGGACGGGACTCCCTGGGAGTAAGAACCTCCCGCGATACCAAGCCGGCGAATCAGCGAGTAGGTCGTAGTGTTAGAATTTCCCACCGTCATTGTCGATAACCCGCCTGGATCATCCCATCCATCCATTGGTTGTGTGAATACTCGTCGTGATACCACTTGCAGTCGTAGTACTCGAGGTACCGAGTAGTCATGCAGTAATTCAACAGGAGGACGACAAAGGCGGTGCTCCTACTGTATCAGAGGATCCTTGTGGGCTGCGCGGACTGCCTCACCTCCAGTGCACGATAGTACACAGTCAGAGCCTCACGGGTATAATGTATGCAGACGTACTTACCACACCGACGGCCGAGCAGGATGTGATGATGCCGCGCCGGTACTTGTACGTTTTGCCCTGATCTCGCACTGACCAGTGACGGACGATATGTTTCCTACACGGACTGCACCACAGACTTTAATTACCACACCACAGTAACCCAGCTGTGCAGTCGCAAGAAGTTGACTCTTGACAGCCAGCGATCGTTCAAATAACAACGACCACAGCCCACGCAGCCGCAAGCGCGATCCATGGTTCCAGGATCTCGCCGACTACGATGCTCGACCTACAAGGACGAGGGCTGGGGGTTGACATCCGCGGCCGCACGCTCGCTCGCACGTCAGATGTAACCTCTCTGGAACACGTCGGGTACATACTGTGTAAGAGGAAATTTACTCCTGCAGATACAAGCCTGTACGTTAAAGTGACCTCTCCCGAACGGGTTGCGTGCCGCGTCTCATGTCACATCAGGTCATGGCATGTCAAGTCATAATGTACCATGGCGTTGTGTGTCGCTATCACTAGCGCCTAGGCAGCGTCCTCACCTTGTGTATATTGTGTGTGTGTATGTATTTCTCGTGGTCGGTAAATTGCTCTCGACAGGTAATCCCCCGGGTTAAGATCCCATCATTACTGTCTAGTGGATGAGACTAGGGACTGGTGGTCGTATATCATGAATATATGGTGCACGTAAATAACTATGTCATTGTTCCGTTGTCGTAGAATCAAGAAGCCACGCTTCCCCAGTCACGAACCCAGCCAGTGATGCCAGTGCCAGTGCCAGTGCCAGTGCCAATCCCACTTCCAATTCTAGTGTTAATTTTGGTAATGTACGAGGCTGGAGGAGGACAAGTATGAGTATGGTAGGAGTAATCCGCGGTGCTAGACGCTAAAACCCTCGTCCTCAACACATACGTAGGTAGATAGGCGAACTTCGGCCACGATGCCACGGGGTGGAAATACATGGTGGAATGCTGTATTATCGGCCCTGGGTCAACCGCGTGAGATTACATCGTTGCCAAGCGAGCAAACGCGACGCTGGCCCAATGATGCATTGTTGCGGCTGAGCTGCGCGCCTGCCGCCCTAGCTGACGTCGACTAACAAACTGACCTGTGGTTGTTGGAGTACTCATTCGTACGAGCTACGGGCAGTGGCACACTGGGTCGACAGGATTACCCAAGTTTGGAGCTTGGGAGGTGGGAGCTTGTGGTTGTGCTCGTGCCGCTGCAATTCCGCCCGACGCAGGGTAGGGAGCATCATCACTGGCGTCACCGCCAGCATGACCCATTACCGGTATGGTGGACATGCATGGCTGACTGGAGCTCGTGCACCTGCAACGGCAACAGTAACAGCACAGTAGCAGCAAATGCAGTGTACTGTGTAGTTTCGGAAACAGGAAGAACCAGCCATCATTGGCCCCACGGTCAGCAGCGTGAGCACATCGTCCCTGTCTGTTCTACTGTGTACGTACATGCTGTGTTAGTATACACGGGCACGAGCACCTCGTAGGTTGTGTTGGTCCGTGCTTTCGGCAGAGATGCGATGGAGGGGCCTGAGAGTGAGCGGAGCAGGGCAGACAGAGCAATGAGCGTGGGGATAAAAAGCCACATACGACATTATGCGTGTATGCGTGCGTGCATGCAGAAAGCGTGATCCACTTGAAGGGATGGCGACCTGCGCCGTCCGAGATCATTGCAGTCAGTGTGTCAACGGCAAGTGCCTGGGTGCGTGATACCGACCCGCGGGGTTCAGTCGCGGCGCTGCGCTGTGCTGTGGGACAAAAGGAGCAGCTAGCTGTCCAGGTGGAATGCGAACGAATGCGAACGAGGGCATGGACTCCGGGGTGAAGTCAGAATGTGTGTCAGACAATGACACCCCTCGACCCTTACGTAGCAACGAGGCCGAATGCCGTATGCCGTTTTGTACGAGTACGTTTGTCGAATCATGCACGGGTCTTGAGATGCTAGCCTGAGGCGCCATAGCCATGGCCCTGGTCGACGTCAAGAGATCCTTAGCTGGTGACGTGAAGGTGAAGGTGAAGGTGAAGGTGAGCGGAAGGTGAGCGATGAACGATGTCATAGCTGCTCGAAGCACTCGATGCTGAAGCGTACTGGGTGTGCAGTGTCTGTCCACCCACATCTTCGGCGCGGTGAGCACCACTACAACCAGAATGAGCGAAGACTCTGGCGGTGCCCAAGAGTAACCAAAAAATCGTACACTCAGAAGTCGAAAAAAAGGGCCGAATTCGATTGCTCGTAAATGCGAGATAAAGCGAAAAGAAAGGGAACACTCAATGGTCATAGATTTCGCATTTAGATCCGCCAGTTGAGGCGACTGCTTCTTTCCGTTGCGGGATAAACTCACTTCCACCTCTGTCCCAACTGATCGCAGTGTGCAAAACAGTCGGCAAGTCCATCTCTTCACGGGCTTGTAGAGCCCACACGCTTTGTCAGTTCCACCACATCAGTACCCGTGCACAATGACACCAATAGTACGCCTTTGCCACCAGTCTTGAAAGCAGACTTCACTGTCTAATCGCGCGCGATGATAACCTCGCCATAATATCGCATAGCAATTTTTGTCCTCCTCAGAAGCACCGTTGATTTCCGTCTCACAAACAATCAACCGGCGCATTGCCTCCAATTCGAGCACGCTCGTAGACAGGAACAAAAGTCATCATGCTGGAAACCATCAATCCTGGGTATCAAGTCGTAATAATAAACGGAAAACAAGTCTGGAGTAAGCGAAAGTCGTGAAATAAGAACACGGGCATCCGCGCTGCCGACTGCCGTGTTATCGCGCCTGGTGTGGTGCCGTCATCACTTCTATCACACATCTTTGATGTTGTACACTGACGTAGCGCACATCTTGCGCGCAACGCTCACGGGTAATGTACAGAGAGCAAGGTCGAGGCGGCATGAATAGACATGCCAAGTCGTCTTTGGCCAGGACGTTCTGAATCCAGGTCCTTGTTTGATTTAAGGGCTCAATCACTCTTCGACATCTGAATGACTAGTAGTGGATTGAGAATCGCCTTTGTGTACCTTCTTGTGTCGGCGCAGGTTGGAGACGACAGAGAAATGGCGTCCACATCCTTCGACGTCACATGCAAAGGGCTTCTCTCCAGTGTGGCTATACATGTGTGTCTGCAATGAGCTGGGTCGCGTGAAGCGCTTGTCGCAGATTTTGCACTTGTGCTTCTTCTGCGTGTTGGCAGACATTTTGGATGAGAATTGGCTCATCATCGACTGGGGGGCAGGAGGTCCCAAAGGTGCCCCCAATAGTTGCGCTGGACGAGGGAGTGTGCGGGAAGCGGCCATGGACTCATACCCCGCGTCTGAGGCTGCCGAGCTGTAATCCGTTGCAGAGTCGCTGACAGAGCCAACTGAACTTGGCGCATAATATGGATAGCCACGGCCAGACTCATTCGAGATTGATGAATGAGATGAGGCGGCTTGTGGAAACCCGTAAGAATCAGTCGAAGCCCTTTGGGTCCGAACTTCGTAAATGTTCCTAGGCGTCAAATCCTGCATGGTTTGGTGGCTGAGAGCCAACATGCCTCGGGAGGCATCGAGTTCGCCAAAACTGGCATTGGCGGCGCGCGAGTTATCGACCCTGCTTGGCACGTTAGAAAGAGTGTTTGGAATTCAGGGCCATTCAAGATCCTTACGTATCTGAGAGTTTTCTGTGCTGTTGCTGTTGCTGTTGTTGGTGCAGAGACTGAGCGTAACTGAGGGAAGAGTACGACGGGGCGTACGAAGATGATGTCGCCGGCGACGAGTATGACTGCTCTGCATATGTCGAGCGTGGAATGTCTTGAGGATAACTTAGCATATCCGTGCTCGAGAATACAGTGCCAGAGTAGGCGCTACCTTGAGCCATTGAGCCAGTGACTGGAGGCATGTGCGAGTATGGCATCGAGATTCCAGATCTCGAGCTGTCCGTCTTGGACAGCGCTGGAAATGACGAACCCGAGGTAGTGCCCGTCTGATGAGACCACGGATCACTGAACTGTGGTGACGGATGCATGTTGGAATACATGTGATCGTAACTTAAGCCGCCGTAGTGTCGACCTTGGTTGTCAATGACCATCGTCATGGAGCCGGTATTTGCAAAGAGCCTCGAGAGAAGCCGTCGATGGGGGGGGGGAAGTTTCGAAAGGTCTCTGGTATTTTGTTGTGTTCGCGAGAGCGAAGACTTGAGGTTCACCAAGCAGAGGAAACCAGGATTGGATCTGGTTCCTGAGAAAACGTGAAGATGATCCAACTGTCACGGAGGGGATCGGCGACTGTTATGTAGCTTCTTATGTGGAGATCTGGAGGTCCAATGGCAGATCCGCAGATGATCGATGTTGATCTTTTGCTCAAGTTGTCGATAGCGGCCTTGAGCAATGCCTCCTTTCCCTTGAGAGCGATAACTCTGGCTGCCACAGATGTCGACTTCTCAAACCAGTTCGGCGAGCGGCAGATCGACAGGACTGACTGGGGATGAAAGTTGTACTGGCCAGCGGATGCAAATGCTCTCGACAGCTGGCGTTTGTTGCGGTATCTGATATTTCCGCCAAGTGACTCCTTTGCGTGGTTGATAGTTCTTGTACTGTTGTAATTCGATGGATATTTCCAAGTAGAGGCCGGCGTGTCTTAGATCTTGGAATGCTGGATTGAAGATGTGCGGTGCGATGGTTTCAAAACATCAAGTCCAACCGTGAGGGGTGGGGAATGTGAGGGTAGATAAAGTTGTTGTGAAGCACCAAGTTTTGGTGGCTTGCTGTCAGGTCGACTTACGTCGGTGGAGGTGAGAGAAAGGCGACTGCCATCATTGCAATCATCAGAACCACCAGAACCCTTATTCTTTTGCCCTGGGATGATCTTGGGTGTGTCTGAATGCAGGGTTGATTAGCCTCCTGTTGGAGTGGAGAAGCTAAGGAGTCGTCTGGCAAAAGTGATCCTTGCGCAAGACACCGGAGGTTGGGATGATGGGGAAAGCTTGCAACAGCTGCAGGAAGTCGGGAGATGAGGGCGCTGCAGGGATACAGGCACTTGCCAACTTCGTTCTGATTGTTGGAATGAAGAGGGCCTCCTCAGGCTCTCACCCAGCTGTCATTGGGCGACGTCAACTGTCCTTGGTTCTGTGGGCTTCAGAGCCCGGTCCTTGTTCAGATTGAGGCTTAGGGGACAACAGGGACCGGGATAATATGACGATCGATGTCGGATATGTGGGTACGAGGATGGTGGGGATCTTCCGCTTCATGCCAGATTGGAAGATGGTGGCTTTTGTGGGCGTCTGTCCTGTCGCCAGAAATTCCAGGTTAGGTTCAAGAGTCGATGCCAAAATAGGGACTTGGTACCTCGTACACAACAGGTTGGTTGGCTACCTCTACTGTATAAATCTGCCTTATCTCTCGCGCCAGCTCACACGGGCATAAACTAAAAATTGTGTCTTCGGAATCTCTAACTGTGAATGACAGATGGACTCGTAGAGGACTTTTGAGGAAGGGCAAGCTCCCGTGAGGAGGATTCAAAGGTGCAGACAGGCAGTCGTCTCAATTGGTGCGATAGTCCCCATTGGCACAGGCGGAGGGCTTTCAAGCTACCGGGTGGCGTTGAGCCACTGCCGCTTCTTAGGCTGGGGAGTCCCACTTGGTGCCGGGCTTTGGAGCACTCAGTGTCGGAGTGAGTTGAGTTTGAAAGGCGAAAAATGGCTGGATGCCAAGTGACACTATAGTTGACGGGCGCTTTCCGGCCGACAAAAACGGCATAGCCATGGAGCTCCAATGTGCCAGTTACGAGTACCCTCCGTCCAGCTCGGAGAATTCCTCGATATGGCGTCGTAGCGGACTAGCTAGCAGCCTGTACACAGTAGCTGCCGGGAGTGGTGAGGGGAATAGCCTGAGAATGGGGGAGGGAAGATTGGGAGGTACGTAAGAGCGAGTACACACTGTGAGGACTATGCCTCCAGTTAGGGGATGTGTTTCCCTACTTGTGATGGCTGTGATTGCGAAGATAATACATCTGTCGACGCAGCTGTGGCAATAAGAGTAGATTTCCATAATATTGTCTGCCACAGATTCATTATCCCAGGATTGGGCCGAGGTTCGAATCTTTCAGTTCATGCAAGGCGCAGAGGCTTTTGACGCCTACAGTCAAGCACTGTGGTACTGTACTGTACAGGCGGTGAGAGAGGCGGCGCCTGACACATATCAGATTGAGATGAGTGGCTTCAACAAGCTGCCAATATGCGCCCATGAAGCCAGTGCTTAGAACAGAAGAGTCTGATACTCCTGGCGCTCCTTATCTTAGCTGGTATCCCATGCAGGCTCTAGCTCGTGCACAACAATGAGGTCCCCGAGCCATGCCCGCCGAATGCGATTCTTTGCACACTTTAGTTTGGCTTGTTCAACCGCAAAAAATCATCGACACCAGGTGCTCGTGCTCTGCCGTCCGGTTTTGTTCGCCGTAATACCCTCGTAGACCCTTTCCCGACTTCGAGTCCAGGGATGCGAATGCCCGTGCCAGCACACACAAATGGCTTCCACTTGATTTTGAGTTCCTTCAGTTCTCCGTATCGCAACTTCCAAGGGCCATAGGCCAGTAGCGTTGAAGGCTCCCCATTGGGCAAATTGCAAGGGTCCCATCACGCTTGCGTGCCCTTAAAACGCCGCTGACTTCACCTGTGATGTGCCGCGTCTCTGCTGGCCACACAGCTTTCGTCTTACGGGACTCTTGAACGCCAAAGGAATTGTGGGAATCAACCACAACAGCCCTTTCCCATTCCGATTCCGATCCCCTCAGCCAGGTCTTGGGTCCTTTCAATCCTTACCACGGGCCCTTGAAGCCTTCCCAAATCTCCTTGTCCCTGTAGCTTTGCCGAATCAGGTCTACTAGCTATCCTCCATCTGAGCATTCAAATGGGCCTGGTGCCTTTGGACATGAACGCCCGGGGTCCGCCAGAACTTCCCGGCTTCTAGAGTCTGTGTGCCGATTTCCGGATGTGACTTTTCTGTCTAAGACGCATATCCGGGAGGGGTACCCGTACCTTTCCCAGCTACTCAAACAGAAGTGTTGTTGTGTTGGGTCGCTCATTATTATTGCTGAGTTTCAGCAACCTGTTGATAGGGATTTTATATCGCAGCCTTGCCGCGGGTTGGCAGACATGCACGCAACGCCTGGGGAAGTCACGGGCTCCATCGCTGATCTTGTCTATCATCTGGGGAATACAGCAGCACGTGAAGCAGGATTTGATGCTTGTTCCTGAATGCCACGGCGTACTGCCCGCCATCACGGAGCAAGGTCCATGATTATTCGCCACCCGTGTTTGTTCGCTGGAAACGCCCCGTGTAATGGTTGCAGGTAGTCTTTGCGCTGTGTCCCATGGGCGTGAGTACAATTGAGAACGCGCTACGATGGATGTGTCGAATAGCCCTTCCCAAATATCGAGACCACGGAGTACTGCGCCCAGTTGCCACCGCCAAGGGGTCAGTGTTCGAGCCCGTTGCAAGTTTTGCACCGCATATCTGTGCACTCCAACTGGTTTACAAGGTGCACTTGTGTGTGCAAAAGTGATGCTGCGTCGATGCCCAAATAGCGTTATACTTGGCCTCCAGTCGGATTTGTCGCTTGTTGTGGATTCTGTGCCCGGCTAGGCTTGCTCAGCCTCCTTTCCCTGGATGTCTACCCGACGAGCAGGTCTACTGTTAGGTCTGATCTTCAACGCACTGAACCACCAACCACCACCATCTATCGTTACGCATGAATAGCCCTGTGCTTCCGGGAGGCAACACGAAAGAAGGGTTCGACTAATCTGACGCAGGGTCTTTCAGCACTGATACTGCCGGCGCTTAATTCATAACTGCTGCAGCAATGACGTCCTCTCCTGACCAAGTTATGCTTACTGGGCAGATGGTACTCCGTACCATACTGGGTACACCAGGGCCAGACGTTTCTTTCTCGCGGTGGACCCAATATAGCAGTCGTAATCTCGAGCAAAGTATCGTGCTCCTTACCAGCGTTGGTAACTCGTATGTGACCTCTTATCGAAGTGGTACCCATTATTGCGAGTACCCAAGCCAACCTCCATCAAACCAAACCTCCACCTCGTTCGCTGGCGGCCTCAGAGGCCTACCGCTCTGGTGGAACCAAACCTGAAACGAAGCGATTTTGTCTTTGGTGCTCGAGCACCCAGGCTATCCCTGCCGAGGTGCCTTAGTGCGGCGCTCCCACGGCTGTGGCGCTCGCATACGGTCGAGTAGTGAGCCCTGCTTCTGGACCCTGCGCTAAGGTATGGAGAACACCTTCGGACTTCCATGCTAGCAAGGTTTGTCGAACAACTCACGTCATGCACGGTGGTCTTGGAGGAGGGCGACGATGGGCCATTGGTACAAGTGATCATCATCGGTGAGGCCCCAAGCTTTGAATCTGTGCCCTGCAGGAAGGGTCTCAAACCACAAGTTCAGACAGGATTTCGATGAGTTTTTGTGCACAAAACGCAGAACTCTAGTCGGAGGTGAAGCGACAGTGACGAAAAATGGGCGCTGCACTAGTTCAACGCTTGGCAAGTCAGACTGAGATTGATCGCAGGTGCCAGTCCGCTCTCCCGTTTTCGGCACCGGCCCAGAGGAAGTGGCGTTTTGGGTCTCCAGTCTTCGGAAACAGGCTCGCACCATATTCACTGATAGCTTCAAGAGCCGCCTAACCTACTTTGGAATCCAATGGAGGCTGCAGTGTGCATGGGCCATAGCACGGGACCGCACTACCGTGTAGACAATCTCCGCTCAGCATGAAATGTGCTTTGTGAACCATCACAAAGTGGCTCTGAAGCGGGAAGGGAGAAGGCGGTCGGTCGAACTAAGAGCTCGTAGTAAGAGCAGATGCTCCGTGGCACGGACTTGAACCGGAAGGGAATGGGACGTGCTCCAACATCAGCCCTCTCGATCGCATTGTCTTTGCAGCTACTCGAACTCGGGAGCGCAACAAACAAGACCGCCAGATTCGTTTCTGACGCTGCCATCTGGTCTTTTCACGTCGAGCGATGCATGCACAGGTCTCCTGAAAAGTCATCTAAGCTTGCGGATTCCCCTCGCCTTGTTGTTTTAGAGTTCGGACCAGCAGATCTTCGTAGATCCCGCGACGGCCTTCCCAGTGTCTAGACTTGTTATCTTTATCGTCCTCGCTGCACGGGTCACTAGGCACCTCGATATGGACTCATCGCGGCAATCACGGAGTATTCCACAATCGAATGCGGGAAGCCAATTTTCACCACAGACTGTGCAAAACCAGTCCCATCCAGCTGCAAGAGCTCCGAACTTTGACCATCCTGGAGGCTGGACCAAGAGCCCACCGAGCTAGGAGCCTCAGGCGAACACCAGCCAGCGTTGCTCGCTTCTTTTCGTCAAGCGCTTACGAAATATATTGTCCGTAGTCCGCGTTGGGATGGGTTAGCAGGTGAAAGAAATTGCGCAGTGACTGCGATATCGAAAGCGGTTACTGCCACCATTAGCACCAGCCTTGCACTGTGCCTAATAAATCGAGCCTTGTTCACCAGTGGCCGGCATGGACCCTGCAGTTGGCCAGATCGATCAGAATAGACGAGGTCGCCGAGCAGCCTACCGTGTAGAGTTGCCGATTCAGAAGCACTCTTGTAAAAGAGATCCCGGATCTGCTGTGGAGGGAGGGACAGCAAGGCAAGGGTGTGCAGAAGAGTGCAGTGTGCCTGAAGAGTTCTCGATCTTTGTAGGACCGACCGGCTTTTTCGTCCGGGTTATTGCTCCTGGCTCAGTCGCAATTGTCCACAAGTCAGGCCCGGAGGACGCAGTCAGCCAGACGAGGTTTTGACGATTTCTCATCGTTGCGATGTGCTTCTCGTGGAAGCCGTTGATTTGAGAATCATGTGTGATTCAGCACGTGGTGATCATCGTTGGAGTCCAGCGGCAGATAGACCGAGCACCAGGAACATCAGATCTAATTTTGTGGAGTGAGGTTGATCTGAAGATCAGGATCAACGAGGCTCTATCATCCATCCCCACCATACCGGACCCTGCCAAAGTATCAGGGAACGTCCTCTGAGCCAACCCTATGATTGAACGCCTCTCCAGATGCTCTTCGTTGGCATCTCCAGAACCTCGAGAATACCGTCTAACGTATTCTCTTGAGCTTCTCGGTTTGGAAATGTAATCGATCGTCGAAGCGATCGCTCTGCCACCGGTTCAGCTAAGGAAGCACTAGCATTGGGGTCAGTAAACGTACCTTCTCGGCAATAGTTGTTATGAGCTTGTTCTGCGCCTCTACTTCTTCTCCCGTGGCACGAGCAAGCAAGTTTAGGCGCCTGGCTGCGCCCGAGAGATCGTCAAGGTTTCGATCGATCTCATCCTCCATGGCATCATCCTCGCTATCAGCCTCGAATTGGTATTTCGCTCTTTCAGCCAGACTGGTCTTAGGTTTGGTGCCAGATTGGGTCTCCTCGAACCCTTTGAAATGCTGATTCATTCGCTGAGTGGTCTTGAAAGCAGCCTCGCGAGTAGCCTCGCGAGCCTCTCGCTCGGCGTGATGCCTATCCATGATCTGTTCGTCTCTGCGAGCACGCCTGTCCCCAGCGGTGAAAGGGTTATTCACGTGGACCGCGAACATGCTGCGGTTCAAGGTCTTAAGTTCTTTGGTTTTGTCCTCCGCAATGTTGATATGATTGTTTCCGAGATCGAGGTTGCGATCAGTGTTGTGCATTCTCTCGCCCTGAGCTCCGAGCCTGGCAAGTGTGTTCCGGCCCATTTCTTCAGCTTGAGCTGCAATTCGGAGAGCGTTTCTGGTGGATGCCACATCTTGCTGCTTCATGAACTTAATGTCCTGCTTGGTGGCATTGATGTCTTCCTCCTCCTCTTCTTCGGCCGTCAGTTGACGATCGCCATACGCACCGTAGCTGCGGTCACCGGCATCAGGCTGATTGTTGGAGTTGTACTCATAGTCGGGAGGCCCATCTGGACGACTCTGCTGCTTCTGCTCAAGTCGTTCCCGTGCTCCGCCAAACAGTTCATCACGATTACTGTCGTTGTCGTAGAGGTTGGGGGCGCTTAGCCCACCGTAACCTCCTTGCCTTGACGTGCCGCTGGTCTGTTGAACGCCGGCATACGGATTGCCGCCAGGAGGGCCACCTCCTCCATATCCGTTCTGATTGCCAAACTTGTCTGAACCGTAACCACTACCTTCTCGGAATCCACCTTGCGGAGGACCGTATTTGTTGTCACCACCAAAACTGCTAGTCGGCGCTCCGCCATAAGGGTTGTCTCTACCTTGTGGCGGCCTCTGTTGACCAGGACCGGGTAATCCCCTGACGCCGCCTTGACCTGGAGCAGCGCCCTGACCTGGTGGGGGGAGGATTCCAGCATTCATCTTCGCCTTTGTGTAGGGGTCGGGTGCAATCGTGGGCTGTGCGTACGGGTTATTTGAGGGCGGAGCGGGGGATTTGCTCTTCGATCTGGAGCCGAAGAGAGCGAGTCTACTGGAATCACCGTCGTCGTCGTCGCCCCGCCTGAGGCTGAATTTCCCCATCCTGGCGACGGGTTGAGGTAGTTAGGGTGCAATTGAAAGTCCTAGGGAGAAGACGAGTTCCTGGCTGGCAGACAGAGACAAAAGAGCAACGATGCAGAGCAGGAACTACTAATCTTGTCAAAGTTGAAGAAGGATCTCGAGCTGAAACAGGAGGGCGAGGACGTGGCTCGAGGCAGTGCTGTGAACCTGGACTCACCTCTTTCTCACTTCAGCCTGTCGGTCTGCGGCTGACGTTCTTCCGCGCGCCGCGCCCAATAACGATCGGTCTTGGCAGCCTGGACCACCAAATCAGATCCCGTTTCCGAGTCTCGATTTCACCAGATCAAGTTGCGAAGTGAACACCTCGGTTCCTGGTCAAGGTAGAGGTTCGCAGGGCTCGTACTATGGACTAAGGCTGCAGCTTAACTGTGAGGGCCATGGCCCCGAACATAGACAAAGAAGCGGAGCATCTCCGGAACAAAGCCAGGAAAGAGCTTCTGGCTGTGCTCGAGGGCGTGAGTGGACAGTCCGTCGGTGATGGCAGGCACTAGAACTGACATCGTGCCAGGTCCGGGGAAAGAAGAACTTAGTCATCGGGAAGGACTTGACTGGATTGCTCAGCCTCTTCATCCAGTTCCCCACCCTGAAAGAGTATGGCGTGGACAAAGTCTTCGAGCTCGAGAACGGGAACACCGACTCTTCGCAAAAAGGCATCATCTATCTCGTCCACGGCGAGAAGGCCAGCTTGGTTCAAGCTGTAGCAGGTACGTGTTATAGTCGTTCATATGAAGGCGACGGCACCACACGGAGACTGCACCGATGATCGCCTGTACCCTGCTGTCCTTCTAGCGCCGAGAAACGCCGCCAACGCTGACTTATGCTGCAGAACAGATCAAGAAACTTCAGCGAAATGGGTCAGTCGAGCATGAGATCTCGATTTGCTGGGTTCCCCGAAGAACCCTGGTGTCGAACAAAATTCTGGAAGATGAAGGCGTTCTAGGAGATGTCAACGTCTCAGAGCTGCCGCTCTATTTCCTCCCCCTCGAAGATGACCTGTTCTCGCTAGAGCTGGACGAGGCCTTCACTGATCTCTACCTGGTATGGCCCACAGAGTGTCAGATGGCGAGTTTGTTTGACGCTGTTGCAGAGACATGACCCTTCACCTCTATATCTGGCGTCCAAAGCACTGATGCATATCCAACAACGGCATGGCCTGTTTCCAAGAATCCTAGGGAAGGGGGACAATGCGCGAAGGCTTGCCAATCTTTTACTCAGGGGTCGCAAGGAGCTGGACGCCGATGAAGCTGCTACGCAGTACACCAGCTTGCCCAGCACATCAATCGAGCAGCTGATCATCATCGATCGCGAGGTTGACTTCGCTACAGTCTTGTTGACTCAATTGACATACGAGGGCCTCATTGATGAGATCATCGGTATCAAGCATAACCGTGCAGAGGTTGATTCATCAGTTATCGGGCCAACTCCTCAACCGCGGCCACAGGCGGGCCCCGCCTCGACTTTGCCTCTACCAGCTGTCAAACAGAGCCTGAAGCGAAAGATCCAGCTTGATTCATCGGACACGTTGTACGATCAGCTTCGTTCCTCCAACTTCGCGCTTATCGGTCCGCACCTGAACAAGATAGCTCGACGCTTGGAATCAGACTACGAAGGACGTCACAATGCTCGTGGTATCAACGAACTACGAGACTTCGTGAACAAGCTGCCTACTTTCCAACAGGAGCATCAGTCGCTGGCTATTCATACAAATCTGGCCGATGACATGACAAAGCACACCCGGTCTGACACCTTCAACCGCGAACTGGAAGTCCAGCAGAACATCGCTGCAGGGGCAGATCCAATCTATCAACATGATACCATCGAGGAACTCATCGCTCGCGATGCTCCACTCTCCACCATCCTGCGCTTGCTATGCCTCGAATCGACCGTGGCTGGGGGCCTGCGTCCCAAGGACCTAGAGTCCTTCCGCCGACAGATACTCCATGCCTACGGTTTTCAGCATCTCTTGACTCTCGACAGACTGGAGGAGATTCAACTACTGCAGCCACGCTCATCCGCTTCGGCATTGCTTCTCCCAGTCGGTGGCGCAGCAGGTCAGTCCGATAGGGGCACCAAAACAAACTACGCGTATTTGCGGAAGGAGCTACGACTGATCATTGATGAGTACAACGAACAAGACCCCGGAGACGTTGCGTATGTTTACTCTGGGTATGCACCCTTGAGCATCCGCATTGTGCAATGTATATTGCAAAAGCAGTATCTGCAGACACTGCACAAATCGCCTTTGCCGCTCACCCCTTCGAGTACGGGATGGACTGGGTTTGAAGACATCCTCAAATCGGCACGGGGCCCACTGTTCAATATTGCCCAGAAGCCCACAGATGAGAGCGCAGCGAAAGCCAAGGCTGCTTTGGCAGGCACTGGGGGCTGGAAGACCGTCTTCGTCATGTTTGTCGGAGGTATTACCTTTACGGAAATTGCCGCCCTCAGATTTATCGGACGCAAGCTACAAGAGGCAGGACAGAGAAAGAAAATCGTCATTAGCACCACTGGTATTGTGAGTGGTAGAAGTATAATGGAGGGAGTCATTGAGAAGTCAACCTTAGGTTCAGGACTTTCCGCAACCTGAAAACATGCATACGAAGGGCGCTCACATTTTGGAGCCCGATGACTTCTCCAGGCTGAATTGTACCTTGACACCCAGGTGATCAGTTATCCAACCGGCCTCGAGCCCTTCGTGCTCGATCAAAGCCTTCTTGACACTCTCTTCCTCCACCTCGACGCCATAACCAAAGCGCTCAAACTTCTCGACTGTCAATTGGCCACAGAAGAAAAACTTGTCCATACGGCTGCATCCGAACATGTTCCTCAGCTTTGTTGGTGCCATCTGGCCCCAGGTATAACCTTCATCACTATGCTCTTTACCCCCAAGGGTCAGATATGCGTCGTGGAGGTCATTATCCGAGTGGAGTGTTTCATCGAAGGCCTGAATGGCATTGAGATCTCCACCCAATACGCTGCCACTCACATCTGGACTGTGCATCCATTTCGCTGCCGTGGCCAATTGGTGTGGCCTCCTCGGAGGATCTGCTACCAACGACTCGAGATGAGTGTTGCAGATGCGGATGACCTGGCCGTTGCCGAATTTCACATCAACGAAGAGTCCGTCCCTCTCCATGACGGTCTGCTCGTAATGGACACGGAAGACCGCAGTGATAGACAGAGCTTTTGGAATGAGTGTGCAGGTGCCATAGTGTCCCGACTCCCAATATTGTTTGTCGATGTCGGTCAAATAGTAGTTCTCTCGGACCCAGGATTGGGCTTGCACCAGTGCAAGGTCAGTCTCAAGCATTTCTTGCAGCATGATGATGGTTGGTAAGGGTGTACCGCTGACATGCGACCGAAGGTGCTTGAGCGCAGGAAGCATCCTCTCATCCGCATATGGAAGCATGAAATCGATATTCCAGGATTGAACCGAGAAGGTGGAAACTGCCGACTCTGTCTTGGTGTCTTTGGAGGATTCAACCTCTTGCCACGAGGATGTCTGTGGCGAGAAGGAAAAATATGGCTGATCGAACCTCTCTTGCCGCTTCCAAGGATGCGAAGGCTTTTTCTTGGATTCGATGAGTTCAATGATCTTCTTGAGCTTGGGATCCATCGTTGGCCACCTGGAGATGTGCTGCGGTCTCGAACAGTATCGCACGTGAACGCCGGGAGAGACCCTTGCGAGACTTTGTAGTCCGGCTTGAGCACCTTTTATTTTCCTGAAAGGCCTGACACGCCGCAGTAAAGTGGACATGAAGTGACAGAAAGGCAGCAGTCAGCAGAGGATGAGATGAAGGCATTGTCGCGTGGAGCCGAGGTCAGCCTTGATTGGCCGACACGAACAGGCAATTGCTTATGTACAGGAATTAATTACTCCCTCAGCAGTTCGACTCCGGCGTGTTCGAAACGCTGCACGGTGTTGTCCCTCATATCCTCTGTATACAGTACACGTAGACAGGCCGGCATGTTACGCACTGGATGAGCGGCGGGTGACAAGAGCGACTTCGGTCACTGCCAGGTCCAGGCCAGACCATAAAACAGCATGAATACCGACAGACTCGTCAATTGCTCAGCATGTCAGAGCCAGGCTCGAACAGTCCGGCGTCAGCACCGAGTAAACGACCAAGACCCGTCATCTCGTGCCTAGAGTGCAGGCGCAAAAAGCTGAAATGTTCACGCACGCATCCATGTCAGCAGTGCGTCAAGATAGGCAAGCCCAGCAGATGCGAATATCAAGCCGGACAGGAACCTGAGCCAAACGTCGACTACTCTGCATCTTACAACACACCGAACAAGAGACCACGGCTCGTTCTGTCTCCCGACCATGAGGAAGTCGAAACATCCTCAGATAGAATCGACGCTCGTAGGCAAAGTTCTGTCGCGGCAAAGTCAGGCGTCCTCGAGGATCTGCAGGATAGAGTAGCTAGGCTGGAGCGCGCTCTTCTGGCTCAGAATGCGCACCCGAATGGCAAATCCGCCTCTTATTCGCATTCGACAGGTCTTCGTGAATCGGCGAGCAGCACTGATAAGACTCAACCTCTGAGAAGGTCTATTCACGTCAGCTCGAAGGTGAGTCTGTACCGAGTTCTGGCCAGGAACTTCTCGAGGAGTGCAGAGCTGATTCTTGCAGTTCACTAATGCCTGTGCATTTTTGACCAGGCTGCAGCATGATTCCAGCAACGCCCAGATACTCCAGCTGCGAGCGGACCTCACGGACTTCCATCGCGCAGTCGAGGGGAACCACCGAGGCCAGAGATATCAGGCCATGTCAGCCTCCTCAAACACTCGGCATACTCTACAGCTCCCGCCCTTCGAACTCTGCCAGAAGCTGGCAGTCCTCTACTTCGACAACATGGAACACTGTTTCCGGATCTTGCTCTGGTCCGAGTTCAAAGACCAGCTGGACCTTCTGTTCTCCGAGGGCGAAAGCGCCTGCAGATTTGGCTTCATTCCACAACTGGTCGGTGCTCTCGCCATCGCCGTTCTCCTAGGCACGCATCAAGAATGTGAAGCAGCCGCCGCATACAGGACGATCAACCCAACCGAGGCAGTACACTTCATGGACGAGTTCCTACGGAGTCTACACCACAACGACAGATATCGCCTACCGGCGCTTCAAGTGAAGATGCTCGTGCTCATGTGCAGGTGGCTAAATCTGGAACCGTTTGACAATTTGTTCCGGCTCAATGGTGAACTGCTGAGGGACGCCCTAGTGATGAAGATGGACCAGGATCCGGCGAGTCTAAAGAACGTCACCATATATGAAGGCGAATTGCGAAGACGCAATTGGATGACAATCATCGAAGTCGACCTCATGCTCTCGATCTTATGCCAGCTGCCTTGTTTGGTTCCCCCCTATGCGTCGCAATCCCCACGAAACGTCAACGATGAAGAGATTTTCGAGAGCATGTTGGCTCTCCCTGCTTCGAGACCGACGACAGAATGGACCGACGGCCTCTGTCAATATCTTCTTGCGCAGACCTTTCCCCGCAGAGTGGCGGCCTGCTCACAACTGGACAAGCTCAGCCGTGTCACAGCCGAAGACATTCTCCCGCACATTCGATACCTGGAACAAGTCCTCCAGGAGCTGCCGCCTCCTTTGCGCTTCAACTACCTGGGCGACGAGGCGAGTAAGACTCCAGCTCGCCTGATGGCCAGGATGGAGCTCGACATAAGCATTCGAAGACCGTTGATGCATCTATACTCACGTGGCATCCTATCCCCGGACCTGGACAACGTGCCGCGTGACATCCGAGCCGGGTATTTGCAAAGCTGCCTGATGATCGCCAACTACCAGGACTTGTTCGATCCACAATATTCCGAGCTCGATGTCCCCAGACCCCACGGGTACTGGGATTTCTTCTACAGCTGCTACAGACAGGAACTGGGCCAAGCGACGCTCGGTCTCTGTCTGGAAATCCAGAACCTGAGCTCTCCCATTCACGCAAACGGCGGTCTCTCAACAAATCCGGCGTCATCATCGTCGGATACCCCGGCCACTGCTGTCGTTAAAGCGCCGCCGTACACACGAGAGAGTCTGATCAACGCTGTCAAGGACACGCTGGAGCCCATGAGACGTCGGCTCCCGCACCGCGCGTCCAAGGTCAAAGATATAGTCTACTACGAGACCATCCTGGCGTCTCTGCTTCCCGAAAGCGCCGCGCAAGCCGGCAAGGAAGTCGTCATCACGGAGAGACTGCATTCCCTTGTCCGCGAGTGCCGAGCCGAGTTGGAACGCGCGGCCGTCTCAAACTGTCAGAGACACGAGCCGGGGCATCATGACATTCCTGACGGTAACATCTCCAGCTTTGACCCTCTGTGGGAAGGGTTTCCGAAGATCGACATATTTGAGCCACTCGACTTCGCTACTGCGTTAGGGGATTCGCGTCCCTGACGTCCTCTTACGCCTTCATCCAATATGGATGGCGGTCAGGAGGCTATGAGTTCGCTACAATCGGGACCAAAACCAGTATCAGAATCAATCAGAATACCGCACACCAGCACCACCAGTGCTAGATCCTATATTTGATTTTGGACTCTATATAGATCGATGATCTTGACATCGATATGACTTCGATACACATCATACCACATTGCACCATGCCAGGCCATACCATGCGTACCATATCGTGCATATGATACGGCATCGCATAAGTAGCCCAGATCGCGTCACGACGCTTCTCCCAGCCAGTTACAGCATTGTGTATGTACGTATGCATACTTGCGCTGCCTTGGTACGTAGGTGTGGATGTAATGTCTGGCTGGATCTCGCGCTTATAGTGCCCGACTCATTCCTTGTCCTCTGCCGGGAGGTTGGGGTCTTGTCGACCTTAAAACTCAATCGTGGTTAGGTGTCAGCAATATTCGGCTACCTTGGACCACTTCTGACATCAACGACACCACTCGTGCAGACGTTCAGCCGAAATATTTCCTCAACGCCTCGTAGATGCTGAAAATGATGGCCGAGCTAGGCGCCGAGCGGAAGACTGTGATACCACATCCGCGATAGAACCCGCGTAATCCCTGTTCGCGCCAGAGGTCTTTCCCTGTGCGCAGGAACGTCATCTTGCCTTGTTCGGCAAGGGGCTCGGCGTGCGAAGTTTGCATCCGCGACTTGATCGTGTCGGCTGGGTAGAAAACAAAGTTATAGGACATGCCTGCTACTGCTCCGGCGGCCATCTGCTGCCAGATTTTGACGTCCGCAGGGTGGGAGACGGCCGGATCGGAGCGGAGGAAGAGCATCTTGACGCCCTCGTAGGAGCCGAACCACGCCGCCGAGCCGCCTGTCTCGCGGATCAGCGTGCCGAGCTGTCCGTGCCAGAAGCCCAGAATTCCCTGCGTGCGGAAGATCGTGCTAATCAGCTGCATGGCACCCGGAGAGCGGGTCGTCGTGTAGCCCAGTTGGGAGGCCATCTCAGATTGTGGTGCCGGGAGGGGCACTTGCATTTTGCACTTTATCAGCTCGATGGGCGTCAGGAGCAGAGATGTGAATGCCCCAGAAGCAGCGCCACAGCCAGCCAGGGATGCGAATGGGAGTTCGACCTTTTCATTGGGATGTTCGTCTCGTTTGGCGCGGAGGGACGGTGTGGTTGCTACGACAAGGTCCTGGGCAACTCGATAGCTGAAGAACAGGGAGGAGGTCTCAATCGCCGCGCCGAGGAGTGGTGCACTGATGCCTCTGTACAGAGAGGCTAACGGGCCCTCAGGCGATCGAAAGGCAGACGAGAAGGCATCGAGAGGGCCGCGGAGGCGGGGGCTGACTCCGGGCTCGTGCGGTTGTGATTGTAGACGGACTTTGACCGTGTCGAAAGGATATTCGACGAATTTGCCGAGTATGCCTGCTGTTGACCCGTAGACTATGTCCTTGAGTGCTTCTAGGCTCTGGCTTTGGGTCGGAGGGGTGGCCACCTCTACCGGGGTGTGAGTCAGGCCCGAGACGGTTTGCAGCTCATCCTTGAAGGCTGCCATGCAGAGAGTGTATGGATAGGACACACAAGGCCAGTGTTATCGCGGTATCATGGTGTGGTGTGTGTTGAGAGGGGCTCAACTCGATCGAGAGACAAGCAGGAAGAGCGGTGTCGCAATGCGGGTGTGGGTGTGGATGGGGTGAGGGTGAAATAGGAACGGTGGTGAAGTAGCGCTGTGACACGTCAACTCCAGTCAAGATCCGGATTGAGGGAATTTATGTGAGTGAGCGTTAGATGCTGCCAATGCATGTTGGGCAGCAGAGTCAGAGTTTTGTATCCATTGTTTTTCCTGTGCTCGCCATTGAGGGGCAGCGCCAACTGCAATTGAGTCGCAGCTCGAGTGAGGGTTGAGCGAAAAGCGAAAAAGATGCGCGATGAATCGTCACGATAGGAAAAGCGTCATGCGTGCCATGCACGAGTGTCTGACAGGTGTAGGACATTGAAGTAGGCCACCAGGATGGTGAGAATCCGGGTATCAGACAACTGTATTTCCGCTGATCTTACCGCTATGATAAGATAAGAATTTTCGCCGGCCACTTTGCATCATCCACCGTGCCACCTTGTGTGCCATACCGCCAACACTCACCCCGATTTGACGCCTGACCATCAGATCAGTCCTGTGCTACAGAGACTACGGGCAGGATGTCGGTCACGAAGTCCTCACCGACTGAGGCTTTTCCCGGTGCCGTTATTGCCAGCGCTGTTTCGAAAGCTTCCTCACAGCTAACACAATTGACGCAAAAGCTCGGTAGAAGAGTAAATGGTACGAAATCTAAATGTCCATCGAGACACTAACGGTTTCAAGTGTTGACCGGCCACAGGCAAGAACTGGCATGAACCGAAGAAAGCCTTCCGTCCCACTGCAGGCCAGACCAGCTATGCCAAACGCAAAGAGCAAGAGAAGGTCGCACAGGTCGCGAAGGCCCGCGAACAGGAGATGAAAGAAGAGAAAGAGGCAGAGCGGAGCCGACGTATTCAGGCCATCCGAGATCGCAGAAAAGCCAAAGAAGAGAAGGAACGCTACGAAAAGATGGCTGAGAAAATGCACAAGAAGCTGGTGGAGAGAAGGAAGCGGAGAGAGAAGAGGAATAAATTGTTGAAGAGTTGAGGGTTGTTTGGATTCTGAAGTCCTACATCAGCCTGTTAAGAGCGATGGATCGGATGCTCCATGTTGGTCGGCTTAAGAAAGCGGAAAGCCAACTCGATCAGCCGCAGCACCACCGGGACTGAGATTTTGACGAGTCAGCCGCTCCGCTGCTTATACTGGAGATCGAGAAGGCAACCTTGGGGCTTTTTCGCGTCAGGACACGGTGCGAGCACATGTCTATCGCTCCTGTTCCTTGAGCTCACAGGATGCCCTCTGCGGCTGAGGCAACCGAGCCCATTTCCTTGCGGTGGACCGCTGCGCTTGACGCTAGATGCAGCAGAAAATGCTGTGGTTGTAAGGGAAGGCTCTCCATACCAACTCGGCCTGGTATATTCCCTGTCACTTGCCCGCCTCGCGATTTTGGCCAAAGGGAAGATCAACCACAGTATTGCCCATCTTGATCTTAAGAAGTGAGAAGCTCACCTTGAGACCATGCAGCTGGTCATCCACCAAACCAACGAGCTTGCGCGCCCGATCTTCGGGATTTTGCAGTGTCCATGCGATGCTGATATGAAAAGCATCGGAGTTGTCGGTCACTGACACAGGCGTCTTACTCCTGGGCTGGACCAATCCGCCTGGACCAGTCTCGGCTATATCGTCATAAAGCTGAGACAAGCCGAATCGCACTGCGGTGGCATTGCAAATCGACAGTAATTTGTTCAACTCGTCATCCTCGGGCTTACTCAATCTCAGCACCAAGAAGAAGCGACTCCTATCGTAGTTCGCGACCCAGTCGAGTCTTGTGGGCCTGACTGTGAACGGCTTTATGTGGCTACTTTCCAATCCAGCCTGTATGCTGGCCTGGAACGACTCCTTCTGTTCAGTCTTCAAAATAAGGGGAGCAGATAGACTAGTATGCAATGGCAATTGTGCTCCGAGATCTGAACGTAGAAATCCGTGAATGTGGACCTTTGAAGTTTCCTTGGCCGTCGTGGTTGCCCGGCTTGATTTCCGTATCAATGTGTCGAGAAGAGCGAGCTCTGATTGTGGTGGATACCATTCGAGATAGATGTGCGTCGGCCAGTTACCTACCACATGGGGCACTTGACGCGTCCGACCAGCATGCAGGGAAGGGTCATCCGTCGTGGAAGTTCTCGCATTTGTAGCATACAGCGAATGGAATGAGGCCGGTAAAGGTGGTGGAGGTTTGGCGGTGTGGACTGGTTCATCGTCAATGTGGTCAGCCTTGCGCTTCCGTCTGGCTTGCTGGTTGGTCTTCTTCTTATCGGCCGGCTCTTGGTTGTCGCTCTCAGAGCTTGAATCGGAGTAGTCGACTAAGACCATGACTGAACTGCAAACATGCGCATGGCATGATCGACAAGCAGTGCCTGCCAAGGCAGAAATTGAAGCTCAAACCTCGACCGGTACGAGGTACGATTAATTTCTCGAATCCGGAGCCAGGCTGGCGAGGGTTTGAGCAGGCTAGGATCCCGGAGTGTTTTGTCGATCATACAGATGGGGATCCGCGGTGTACGTCAGCAAGTTGCCGTCACAGAAGACACTCAGAAGAGGTTGGATGACCTCGCCGATTGACCACCTGCAGGTTCGATAGGGATGGTGACGAGGAGCAGTATGTCTCAGATATTGCTGGTTGTCTTCGAATAGTCTCCGAGCAAATGAGAACGCAGGATTAGCAACCGTCATGAGGAGGGGAACGAACCCTCTCTCGCCATTGCACAAGAGTTGTTCAATACAATAGCATAGTACTCCGTCCTGTGTGTTCCGTAGATGTGCACGAGCCTGAACCAGATTATGCGGTGAGGACAAATCCATTACAGAAGCACACGGTACCCTGGCTAAAACTGACCTCTAACTCGTGTGCCTCGTCAAGATCTCACTAGGCTACACACTCCCCGTTACGTTAATCTGGAGCAACCCCCGTTCGCCTACCATAAGTCGGTTTACATGATTTGGGTTCCTGCTTTGGCCTGTATCAACGTCACTCGGCTCTGTGAAGTCCTGATTTCTTTATCGCAGCGTCCATAGTTAAGCTTAAGTTTAGTAGCGCATTCTAAGCCCCTTGCAGATCTACTGGGCACCAAGCAGGATCCAGCAGGCCTGGCATCAACATGCCAAGTCATAATGGGTAGTCTCTGTACAGAATTGCATACCACAGTACTACTTACTGCGTATTAAAGCAGCAGAGCCTCGACTCGACGCAAGAAGCATCGGAGGGCTTCGGCAGCGCCCTTGTCAGCCTGTTTGCAGTTTCGCTTGCACGTCAAAGAGCAGGATAACGGGTTCCGCAGGGCTACTGTGTCCATGAGTGGGCGCCAGGCCGATTAGGCTTAACTTAGCGCATCATAACGAGGCACAAGGCCAATGATACAGTGGCTTCGTGGCTAAAGCACCTCTCAAGCCTGGTCCCAGGACAGTTTGGATTGGCCCCGCCGTCCAGGCTCGAGAGACTTGCCTCCATTGAGTCCTGCATTCACTCCACCATGACATCGACACAAGCATGGGTGAGTGCGCACTGCTTGCCCGCCATGCTCCGTTGGCAAGCAGGTCTTGGGTCTTCAGCTTCGTCTCGTGTTCCTCGATATGCATACGGAAACTTGAAAGTATCGAGTATCGTGTTTTCTTCTACTTATCCTCCTGTTTTCTTATCTTGCGCACACTGAACTCGAACTCCACCCGTAAGCTGCTATAACTTACCTAGTATTCGATTTCAGTTCCTATCCGGACAAGAACTCTCCAGCGAGCGGATTATCAACGTTCATCCGCTTCCCAGACCTCTTTCTCTCAGCTTATTGTAGGCACCACACCCTCCAGCCTCGACAAGATGGACACAGGCGACAAAGAATGGGTACGTACTATCTCCTTTGCCCCTTCCTGAGTTGATCGAATCAATCCGTGCCTGTCTTACCACGCAAAGCTGACCGACCGTTGGGACCGTCAGGCAACGAAATACCTCCTCGACCCGTTGAATGCGCCCGAGCCCTCCCAAGAAGATGGTCCTGGAAACAGTTTCCGAGCCGGCGCCACCCTTCCACCCGTTAAGGCTCCTACAAAATCACAGCTAGGAAGACGCTTGTCCAAGACAAACCCGTATAGTAAGAGCTCTGAGGTGAAGCGGTCCGCGTCTCTGAACAGCGGCACCAAGGGGTCCCTTGTGACCAATTCCGGCAAGGGGCCATATCCACCACAGTCCTACCCTTCGCCTCCCCACTCAGGAAGGTCTCCTACCAGCACGGGAGGCGGCTCGGGCAAGAACTCCCCAACCGTAACACAAACTCCGCTGAGCCCACAATCGCCACGCTCCCCATCCCAAACCCACAGACAGGAAGCGTTCGGAACCAGTGACAATGCGTCGACCCCGACCGGCCGTCGCCGCCGGGGCTCATCCCTCGGCGAGCGCTACCCGGGCGACATGTCGCACCGGCCACTAGACGCCCTGGTTAAGGAGAAACACGTGGCCGACCGGGCCCGACACGCCACGCGCAAGCACCGCATCCAGCCGGACACAATCGACAACCTCGACCTCACGGGCGGAGGAGGCGCATACCACCACGGCGGGCCCTACGACGCCACGCTGTTCGCGCGCAACAATTCAAAGGACTCGCCCCTCGCTGCGCTCAAGGACTCCAACGCCGAAGCCCTCAAAGCCACGCCCAAGGAGAAAATCATCGACTCGGTGCGCGGCCACAGGCCTCTCGACGGCGTGGCTACCTTTGCGCCCGGTAACGCTGACCGCAATGGCACCGTCTACAACTACGAGGAGGGCGATAACATGATGATCGAGGGCGGGCCCGAGGGCGGCGCCTACAAGCGCTGGCCCGGGGTGCAATACCAGCCGGATGATATCAAGGGCAAGGGCGAGCCGAGTTACAGCTTGGAGAAAGCCCTTAAGGAGCATAAGATCTCGGCCCAGGACGGCGGCAGCAAGGCAACGAACGGCACGGACGGCATCGAGATGAAGACGCGCCATCGCAGTTCCAGCGCTGTGATGCCCGAGACGGTCGACCGCTCGGGCTGGGATGATGGCGATACGGGCATGGGGACGGGACTGGGCCGGAGCGGAAGTCTCAGCAAGAGACTCAGTGGCGGACTGAAGAAGAGGTTCGGAAGCATCAAAAGGAGCCACCGTCATGACGAGTGAAACTTTCTCTATCTAGTGCTCGATTCGGTAGAGAGGCAAGCGGATTACCGGCTTCAGGAAGAAGCAAGTGCTTGGGATGACAGCCCTAAGTTAACACGTCGTGGATATCGTCTTGGGTAAGAAATGAATGCGTGGGATTGACAGCCCTAACTCAACACGAGATCGGATAAATATACAAGGAGCGCACCGGCTATGCTACTGTAATGCTGGAAAGATAAAGGTTGAACGGATCAGAGTCGATGTACGTGTATAGGTATAGCTATAGGATGGTGACAGCGTCATTGATACATGCGGGCGATGTTGTGGCTTGCCCACGTCGTCGATCGTTGCACACAATTTGATTGAACCCAAGCCGAGCTATGACTCCGACGAGACCCTTGATTATGCTTCGGACTTGTCCTCGAGCTGCTTGTCGTTCTCGGTTAAAGTCTTTCTACTTGCGCCATTCGCGGAATGACTGTAGAGGCCGACGTCTGACCGAGGCCAGATTGTGATATCACACACGCAGACAGCTCGTCCTCTGCGTAAGGACGATCCATTAGAAGAGGCAACCAGTTCGTGAGAGTCTGTGGGCATCTTTGTCCATACGGATTTGGACGAATAACTTTCTGCCATGTGTTTGAGCACCTCTCGGAGTCTGTCCTCTTCGAACTTGACATTCCTGCCATTGTCTCGACCTCTCAACAGAATGTCGACGACAAAGACAACTCATCGCAACACACCGGAACACCGCCACCAGAAGCACTCGCTCCGGAGTCAGCCGAGCATGGTTGTCATCCGCAGGTCCACCGGCAAGTTTGTATTGCACATATCGCTTAGTATCTGGTCAATTCAATTCCGACAGTGATTTCTAGGCATCGCTGAATGCCCCTCCAAGCCATGCGCAAAGGCGATAATTACCTGTACCTCGGGAGATCGTGGTAAGAAAACGATCCGATATTGCCACGTCTGACTGTCTGGAAAGTGAGCCTTTGTACATACTCGCCGAGGTTGGCATCGCCCTCTGGTTTTGTACACGATTGGAAACCGGTCGTCCATATGGATTCCCTACCCATGGTGAGGTGGCAGTTTCCATGCAAAGCACCGCAGGCTTCGCCGACGACAGCGAACGGGATGCGCCCGCCGTGACAATTCTGGTCCTTGCAATTGCTTTGCAAAGGATCGGCCTGAACGGACGGACAGCGTTCAGGTAGGCTGAGGCTGAAATCTGCCTCAAACCGCGTTCGGCAGACCTCGATTGTGCAAGCGGCGGAGAACTTGAGCACGTCGGGCTTCCCTCACTTGGACCACACCGACACCCTGGCGGCGTAGGCAGATTCACTGTGGCGTCTTCAGGACAAGTGAAATTATGGACGTTGAGCACTGCCAAAATCCTCCTTCGCATCAGGTCTATCCCACGACTCTTTTTCTAGCACTCTCACACGTTGTTCGATCTGCTGGATTTTCCCATGGTTCTCGGCTTTTGCCGCCTCCTGCAGATCAAAGGTCTGTTTGAATTGCTCGAGCATGAACGGCTCGAGCGTGCTTTTCTTGCCCGCTCGGTAGTTATACACCACGACGTCTTCGAGACACCTCGCCGCGGGTCTCTGCTTGACTTCAGACATGATCAAGACGTCAAGTATAAGCGACTCTGTAGACTCGTCCGGCCGGGCCCTCAACTTGTGGTATACAGATATACGATCGGGCCAAGTCATGGGAAACTTGAAGTCCACAGTGATACTCTTCAGGATCAGTCCGATGCCTCTGGAGGTCAATAACTCCTCCCATTGGCGCTTGTGCGCCGGGTCGACGTGTCTGCTATAGTTGCGTATCCAATTGCAGCGTCCACTCTCCGCAAAGCGCACATACATGACATTGTTGACGTGGCCCATGGAATCTTGCTCGCCCCAGACTATGTTTTGCCTGTGTAGGCCAGCTCTTTTCTCCGAGGTAAGGTAGCCCTCACTACCTGCCACGAGTTCTCGCCAGTCTCGACCGAGGATACCGAGAAGATTGCCGGCCTCCTCGACGAGCTTGGGGGCAAGACCAAAAGTGATGCACCGTCCAATTCGGGATTTTGTGTCGGAAAGCCATCGTGGAGAGATCGCGTTCTTCGCTCCCTCGGTGGTGGTTGCAGCTGCGGGAGGAGTGCCAGAGGAGTAACTCCGTGGTGAGCGAGGTATGTGGTCGGTCAAAGCGATTGTGCGGCAAGCACGCCACCAGGTGCGCTGAGCTAGCATGTTAGCATCGCATACTTCACGTTACTGAGCTGGAGGACACGAAGAGAGCCCAGGTCCACGCGGGAGAGCGGAATTCTGTAATTAATTATCTCTCGGACCAAGCTCGGCGTTCCGTCATTCTCACTATCGTGCTCTCACTCTTCGTCGCATATCGGGATTTCAAACTCTAAAGAAACCATTCCTTCGCACTTCCATGGCCGGTGAGCGTGCATCTGTGTGCTACGAAGCCCTGCCTGATGACCAGATCCCGAAAGGGAGCTCCTTACAAAACCACAGGCACATCGAGCCGTGTCACATCACGAATATGGCTGATACAACTATGTACGCGAGGCGACCCCGGGAGTGAACACGCCTCGGCAATTGAACCAATGCTTGAATGCAGCCTTCCATTCGACGGCCCAGCCTTACGCCTTTCATCTCATTCCTCATGTTTTGATGAGGAGCGTACACCGCGCTGACAAAGGTGTGACACGTTGCTGGTGGTTCAGATGAAGTTGGAAAAGCATAGTCTCACGTTTGCCTTTTGCTCTTGGGCCTAACATACTGGTGTACATAATACACTCTAACATCTGCTTTTCACTTGAGTGTGGGAGTTCATAACTCGTAACATCAATTACTGCCGCAATATCGTAGTCATCCTGCACGGCTCATTCCTCAAATCCTTGATTATGTCGTAATTCATATGCCCTAAGCTCTGCATCTATAGTGCAGCTTGACATCTTGTCTAGATCAGGCACATGCTTTCTTTGCCTCGACTCTCAGGTGCTGGGTTATTCATTCGCCACACCAACAGTGCCATACTTGAGCTTGTGCCACAGCTGAAAGGAGCTGATCTCCGCAACTGTGTTCAAGGCATGGAAAGTCTTCAAATGCGATACATACTTATCCTTATCAGGGTAGAACTTGTTCTTTGCGCCGCAGTCGGGATGCAAGCATCTGGTCCCGTAGAATGGTGCGATTTCCGGACCGCCAAAGTGTTTGGGGGCCTCAGATTTCTCGACACCGTGTGACACGTTGAGGTGGCGTACGAGAGCAGGCTCAGCTGTGTACGTGGTGTCAAAGTTAGAGCACAGTGGATAGTTACACGGTCCAGCTTGAAACTCCCGTGCGACGGGTGAGGAGACGTCTATGGTGGCCAGATCCGGGCGAGGATGAAGGCGTACAGTGGCAGCAGTCGGCATGTACTTTGGATATTGGTCAGGAGTCTGCTTGTGCGTCTTCTTGAGGTGGCTGGTGTAGTCACTGTAGTTGGCAAACTCTGCAACCGTTTTGCAGCCCGGGAACAAACACATCGTAGTCATGTACGAGGCGCTGGTCCCGCGAGGAGCCCTGAACATGACATTGATAATCTTGCCAATGTACTCCAGAGCCTGCGTATTGTCGAACATGTGGAAGGTGCTGAGATGCCGGCGGAAGGCTTCTCGAGAAACGAAATAGTGATCACCAGGGAGTTGGCATCCAAGAACGTTGCATGCCTGTTCTTTTGGCCATTGCGCGTCATGGTGTAGGTTGCGGTGGTTTTTGAGCAAGTGCATCGTTGCGAAGTCCTTTGTCACCCCACAGATATTGCTATCAGGACACGGTTTGGGAAAGCCATCGTGTACCATGTTGATGTCCGCGCGTTTGCGATTGCGACTTTTTGGCACCGTTTGCTGGTGCTCTTCGCCAATAGACAAAGGTTCTTCGTCACCAAGACCGTCTGACAAGACTCCTTCACAGTTGACCTCATGCTGCTCACGTCGCAATTTCGAATCAAAAGCCCTCAGGCAACCCTCTTTGCGGCAGGCGAAAAGGAACTTCGAAGGCGCAAGCCGGCTGCCTCCGGTCTCAGCGTCGTGTGGTAGATTTGGACTTGCGGTGCTGACCAGATTGATCGTGGACAGAAAGCCTATGAAGTCGGAGATAGAAGATGTGAGGATGCTCGATTGTTGAGGCGGCGGGCACGATGCCAGTAAGGAGACATAGCCGTTAGACATGCTATCGACCGCCTCAACTGAAGGGTCGGAACTGTGACCAGCGTTGTCGAGCCCGAGTATATTCGTCATGGTTTGGACGGAAGACTCCTCGATACCTTCGTTTGCAGTATTGGCATCATCTTGAGCTTTAGTGGCAGGCAGTGGCCGTGGTATATTGGTGATGTCCATCAATGGGGCACGTACGAGGGCTGAATCGATAGGAGGTCCATCGATGTAGGCCGGAACGTGTGACCCGTTGTCAGAGTCCACGACTGCATCCATTTCCGATAGAGTGCTCGAGTCGTTCATGACTGACTGCTGTTGAGCCAACCAACGGTCGTATTGAACCTTCTCTAGCGCTTTACGAGCCTTGTGACGACTGTTGCGATCATTCACATCGAGTTTGTGGGTCGTACAGTATTTGTCGATGTCTTTCGTGGCGACTTTACGCTTCACGAACGGCGTAGGAGCCAACGGAACTTCAAAAGGGTCTTCTGCTGCAATGGCTGATACTTCAATACGGGCTGCCCAGCTGTCGCCTTTCACTCGCCCGATGTATCGGTCAGTGGTGCCATTGCTCTTGGCTTGCTGAGAGTGGCCAAGAGATCTGCGTACTCCTTCGACATTAGTAGATTGCTTCAGTGAGAAAATATCAGAAGCAGCTCCACGGCGGAGATCGTGTGACACGGGCCGCGCCATCATTCCGATGAGGCTCGCTGCATGGCGGAGAAAACGGGTCTGCTGGCCCACTGGGGCGGCGTTCGCAAAATCCAGACGTTCTCCCTTTGTGTGTCCGAAGAAAACAGGGTCGTCAGGTCTGCTCCAAACAAACCGCTTGCTACGGCGCCGAAGGACTACAGAGATGAGCTCTTCCCACGCTGTCTCCGCGACTCTCCCGATGCGGAGCGCATATGCCACGAGCAATTTGACGACGTCGACAGTGTTGTGCTCTTCGTCCAGCAGCCCAAACTCCAGCTGCAGGGCATTCCTCGGGTCGTTCCTGGAGTAGTCAGTATCAGCGCTTCAGATAAAGTTGGGGTCAACTGGAGATACATACTTGTGCGCTTTTCGATACTGTAGGGTAATCAGCATTCTGAGCCCGGGGTCCTTGACAGAAGAGCCTGTGGCTACAAGCTCGATGTCCTGCCATTTCAAATACTCGGCGCCACCGTAGTGTGAAGACCTCGTGAAATCGCCAGCCCTCGCAGCCAGTGCTGCCTGTAGTACAAGACCAAGGCACCCGGCTAGCGTGACATCCCATGATTTTGTACCGTTGAGCATGGCATCAGTGAAGACGGCCGTCACCATGCGCTTCACCATCTGACAAGATAGCCATAGAGCTGCTTGCACGGGACTCTTCGTGATTTCTCCATCGTTGAGAAGTTGTTGGATCGTGGCATCTAGTCGAAGCTCGTCCCGTTTGGATAGCTTGAAATCTTCGTACTTGAAAAAGAGTGCTCGCTCAAGGTGGGCCCTGGCGCCTTTGATAACTGTCCAAGCTATCTTGCCGTCCTCGTGTCTGGATTCTAAGTGACTAGGCAGTTGGAAGAGGAAGCGAATCAGATCGTCTCCTGTTGGTGTGGCACTGTGAAGAGATGATTAGACTCTATCTGTAGATGAACGGGTCACACGTTGACAACACTCAGCACTTACTTCTGGCGACGGTTGATGTGGAGTGTAGACTGTGCATACTGTTCGAAGAGTACAAGCCAGTACTCGCGGTGGATGGCCGTACTGGGAGCACTGGCAACATCACGGAGCTTCTCGAGTTTCTTTTTGGACTCAATTCGATCCACGGCCGACTTTTCAAGGATAGATTCGATGGCTTTGCGGCCGATACGCGGGTTCTGGGTTTCCTCATCGCTGAATTCGATATCAGATGAACCTTCAGAATCGTCTGCCATGTCAATGGTCGTACAGAGTAGCAAAACAGAGGCAGAAAGTAAGCAAAATCAAGAGAGAGGGTAGCAGAACGGAGAGAAAAAAAACTGAGAGGAGAAGAGGGATAGGAGAGTTATTATTGTCGAGCAAAGTAAAAGTGACTGTTGGTAAAGGCAAGGTAGGCGTCTGAATCTGCTTTGACTCACGAGGAAACTGCAGCCAAGTAACGTTGAGACCGAGAGTCCTAGACATATCACGCCCTGAATTCACTGGAAGTTTGGGCTGGCTTTATCTCTATCGCTACTTCTTGTCGTCCTGCTCCTTTAGCCGTAGTTTCTCTTCTTAATGAAGCCTCTGTTTCTTGACCGTGTCGTCCTGGAGGCTGTCTTGGGTATGCCTTTTCTTTGACTTCTTCTTCTTCTTCTTTCCCTTCCTCTCCTCTGCCTTCTTCTTCTTCCCCTTCTTCTCCCCCTCCTTCTCCTCCATTCTGCTCTTCTTCTTTTTCTTCTTCTTCCTGACGCTCTTATTTTCAGTCTCGGTATCGGTACTTTCAAATCGCCACTCGACCGGCTTCGGCTGATTCTCAATCAACGTGTCCCACGTTGGCTGGTCGATTGGGTCACTGTGTTTGATATCTGGGTTATCAATCTCATAGACTGACTGGTCGAGACTCTCTCGCATGTGCCGGGGACGCCATTCCAGGGCTGCTGTATCTGAAACTGCGTGTATTTTAGTGACCTAGCTGAACGGACAACCAAGTAGACCTAACTTACAGTTGGGGACCATTGACAGACTATCTCCAGCTTCTCCGCCGTCTTCGCCGTCTTCTCCGTTGTCGGAACCGTCTTCTTCGTCGTCGGAATCGTCTTCACCTTCACTGTCTGACTCAGATGACTCAGACGATCCAGTTGAGTTATCTGAATTGTCTTCAGACATGTAATTCGGAGGCACCCATTGCTTCATGTCTGCTTTGCCTGTGGCATTGGGCCGCAAGAGAATAACGAGTGACCCGTTGGCCTTCATGAGTGCAGTCTTGTTGGCCTTGCAAGGCTGATTGAGTTCATTGACCAAGGCGTTGCGGAGACTTCTCAACGCATACTTCTCTGCATTGCTAAAATCACTCACAGGCTGGCGACTGAATGGATCATGAAGAAAGTCATCGATAGTGTTTGCGAGGACCGTGTTGCGGTTGTTGATGTCCTTTTCGAGCGCGTCTTGTAAGTTTGCGTCCTCCGTGGCCTCGAGGTTCGCCTCGGCCTTGACTTGCGCATCAAGGTGGTCTCGAAGAATGTTGAGCTGGTGATTAGGTCCACGAGGGACAGCGGCGACCGTGGCCTGCCTCCTCCGCTTTGGTGGCATTTCTTACCCTGGGCAAGGAGACCCGCAGAAAATGTTTATGTCATGTGTGTGTGAGTGTTTGTGTAAAGGGTTGTTTGAATAATGCACCGAGAACTTATTGATCATTAAGTCAACTTGAACTCTCTGCTCAATCGCCAAGACCTCACGTCAATTGCAGGTCAGTTATTAGTGAAGTATGCCAGTGAAGTGCGGCAGTGAAGAATTATCGCCCCGTTAACACTTGCACCCTTGAAGCTGCGCCTATTTTCCCATCTCCAGACATCGTCCCCGCCTTTCAGACTACGTAACCCTAAGACCCACGAAGGAACGACTCCTGCCGAGAGCCATTGGCTGCTGGTGCGTACCTACTCGAAATGGCATCCACAATCTCCAAATCCGTCGACCAGCTGGCCTTCAACGTGTCTCTCGTTGCCTATGACCATGGTCTTACATCTGAAGATTTCCCAGCCGGCGGGCGCTTGGGCTTCAGGGAAATCAAACGCAACAAGAAAATCGAGCACCTCAAAGATGGCGACTACACCATCCCACCGATCAAGCCGACCCATCAGGAACTCTCGATTGACCAAGCCGAATTTGTCGGAATCTGGATCGGGATGCGACCATCCACGGCGAACAATGTGGCTGAAGGAGGGAGCAGCAGCAACAGCTTCAAGGGAAAATCTATCCAGAATCTGGCGCTAAGTGGGGGGTACACCGTCCTCGCCAAAGATCCAAAGGCTCTGCGAGTTGTGGTGCCGATGGACAAAGAGACCGCAAGCTACTATGTTCTCGCTGACCCGGACAACACTGGCCTCTGTTGGGGCATCAGCGTTCTCATCACCGAAGTCTTTTTCTTCCCACAGTATCGAAACGACGCGCAGACCGACGTCTCGAAGCGCAAGAGTGAGTGGAGTGAGCGGGTCCGCAAAGTCAGCAATCCGGTGGAGAAGGTCAGCTTCGCAAAGGCTTACGACAAGACCAAGTTCCAGGTACCACCGAAGCAGTCGCTTGCGAATGACCTCTCAAGCTTCATGGGTACCTACATCGAGGGCGGTGATGAATCTGTGTTGAGATCGGCCATTGATCTCATCGATCGAATTGACACCGACGGCTCTTTCATCCCACCTCCACATAATACTGCCCTCGTCAAGCTCGCACAGTCGACTACCAATATGAGCGGCGAGGATTGTGCGGCCGCCTTGTCTGAGCTTTTGGTAAGTCATCCACCGTGTCACACGTTGCTGCCTGCTTGCCTTGTCAACTAACCACTTTTGCAACAGACCCTGGCACCCGAGCTCAAGGAGCTGGACATAACCGCTCGAGAACTACGACGTATCAACAAGGGTCTTGCCAACAGCAAGGCAATCCTTCCATATTGTCACCTTCGAGCCTTCATCGTTCAATGTGTGCATGAGATGCGAATGTTCGAGGAAGACGACATTGCTCATGTGATCGTCCGTTGTGTCAATCACGTCCGTCTGCAAATTGGTGGCAAGCCCACTTTCGTCGAGCGACAAGCCGGGCATGATGGGTTAAGTCTCATCTTGGCCGGCCAACAACAAAAGATGCAGGACTTTCTGGCTTACGCGCGCCAGTCCATCACGGCGTTGAAGGACAGTCAGGGTAACAGCGTCGTAGCCACCGCTCCAACACTGCCTCAGATCTGGACAAAGTACGGCGTTTCCCCAGATCTGGATACGGCCAAGGCCTTTGCAACGGCCATCCATCGACACAATGTTGAGGCTTTGGCAACCATTCTGGCTATATTCGAAAAGTTGCTCAAGGGAAATTGTGACCACCTCGAAAAGCTCAGGATGAGCATCCCACCAGTGGAACCAGACGAGGATGGGGACGAGAACATGACGGCGGGTATCTGATGGATTGCGAGAGCAAAGCACTTGGGTGTGCACCGAACGCAAAGGGTAGAAGAAACGTGTCACTCGTTCAGACGAGTTCTTGCCATTGGGAATAAAATGCTGCTGCTCCGGCACGTACCGATCCACTTGAGCTTTTCGGTGCTGTCCTATTCCCACCAGTATCTGTCCACTTTGAGTTTCCCGGCTACCAAAATTTTCCTAACGTTAGACATTTGGGCATGGGATTGCTCGATGGTGAGACAGGGTCGAGTCCTCAAGCTCTGACTGGAAATTTGAAATAAGCCCCAGAGGACATCAGCCAGGGCATTCCTGTATATATACTGCTAGTCGCATGCATCCCATTCGTGTCGTGAAGCTCTCTGAAGACAGTGTTGCATTGCACGACTCCGTGTACAACCCATGTCGCCCTCATGAAAGGCAGGCTATGTACGGAGTACTCCGTACCCTGTCCTGTGTACAGTGGCCAAGGCGCCCTGACTGGCTCGCACAGTAGTTCAGCCCTGCAGCTGAGCTAAAGCCATTCCTTGCTTGATCCCCACCATCTACCCACCTGAGTCTCGCGAGCTCAGCCACGAATACAGCCCCCAAACCTTCTGGCACGATACAGCTGCGACCAGCACTCTTACTTCACCTGTGCTTCCTGCTCTCTGCCTTCCCAAAATTGCGCCTGACTCTTGCCAACGACTCTCCTTCGCTGTCCTTGTGCCCTGCCTCGACTGCGGTCTCGCGCATAGCCATATCTCCACCACCGTCAGCCTCGACAATACCCCGCAGCAGTTCGAGTCTCCTGCCGAATACTTCAACGTGCGGCTGTCCTCAGAAGTCAAGAGTGGTATAAGGCTCGAGGAAGCTAGATTAGGATTTCTTCCGACCATTACGCCTTTCTATCGCTCGGAGGTCGGACCTGCCTCAAGCACTGTGAAGGACCACGACTGCCTACCCAGGCGCTTGCCTGAGCCGCTGCAACCATGAGTGCTTGTAAGTCTCAACATCTCCTTTCGAAGGCAGTCTCCTTTCCGCTCCTTGCATGTGTACTAGCGAAACTGTACTATGCATTCTTAGTCTTGGGACGAGACCACGGAATATCTGGCGAACTGAGCTGAAGACTCTTTGATGTACACTGCTGATCCGTCGACGAATAGTCAGTGGCATGATGAACAAGCTGCAAGGCCAACCCGACAGCTACGACAAGAAATCTAGATACCGCTTCGGAAAGACTCTGGGAGCAGGCACGTATGGTATCGTCCGGGAGGCCGAGGCCGGCGGAGAAAAGGTCGCAGTCAAAATCATCCTCAAGAAGAGCGTGAAAGGGAATGAGCAGATGGTGTACGATGAACTCCAGATGCTGCAAACCTTGAAGCATCCGCATATCGTCCAGTTCGTCGACTGGTTCGAGTCAAGAGTCAGGAACATCCGCATACTCATGCACTGGCCGAGACTAACACGGCGATAGGACAAGTTCTACATTGTGACCCAATTGGCTACGGGTGGGGAGCTGTTCGATCGGATTTGTGACAAGGGCAAGTTCACGGAGAGAGACGCCTCACAGACGATTAAGCAGGTGCTGGAGGCTGTCGACTACCTCCACGAGCGGAACATTGTGCACCGAGGTACGGGGACTACACAACTCTGAAGAACATGACTCCTGACACAAGACTCCAGATCTCAAACCAGAAAACTTGCTCTACCTCACGAGGGAGCCCGACTCCGAACTTGTCCTTGCTGACTTCGGTATCGCCAAGACTCTGGAGAGTCCTGGTGCTGTGCTGACCTCAATGGCCGGCTCTTTTGGTTATGCCGCTCCTGAAGTGATGCTCAAGCAGGGTCACGGCAAGGCGGTCGACATGTGGTCGTTGGGCGTCATCACATACACGCTCCTCTGCGGCTACTCGCCTTTCAGATCCGAGAACCTGGCAGATCTCGTCGACGAATGTAGGAGCGGCCGGATCATCTTCCACGAGCGATACTGGAAAGATGTCAGCAAAGATGCGAAAGAGTTCATCTTGAGTCTGCTCCAACCAGAACCGAAACGGCGGGCCACTAGCAAGGAAGCGCTCAAGCATATCTGGCTCACAGGTGAAACCGCCTCAGACCACGATCTCCTACCAGAGATCAGAGCCTACCTCGCAAAGATGAAGTTGAAGCGGGGTATCGAGCTTGTCAAGCTGGCCAACCGGATCGATGCTCTAAAGATGCAAGACCAAGAAGACCCAGGCTCGCCCGACGCAAATGACATCCCTGCCAACGCTCAAAATGCTGCCGGGCTAGCCGTCAAAAACCATATCAGAGGGGTGTCACCCGGCCGGGGCCTTGCGACCAGTGAAGCAAATGAAAAACGATCATTGAGCAATGCTGCCAAGAGTGCTATTTTCAGAGAAGTCGTGCTCGCCAAAGTACGAGAGATGAAGGACAAGGAAAAGACCGACAAGCTTGTTGCCGACGTGACGAAGGAGCATGAACGTAGGAAGAGTTTCTCCGGTCAGAAGTCGTGATGCGATGAAAGGGCCCTGGTCGACTTTCTTGTTCTTTAATGACCACGAGATGAATACGCTAGCACGGCTTCGAGTGGTATGATTATCGGGAGAGCCTCGGAAGAATTCGACACCCGCATGGAGGAAGAAAGTGTCGGGTGGCCATGCAAATGCAGATCCTGTATTGTCATGCCTCGAAGGAATCAATGATTAGGCACGCGGGTCACGCATCGACTTTAGCTGAACTTCATTTAGCCTTTGACGAGCACATGAGTAGGGTTATCAAAATGCATACGTTGACCACGCTCGCCACGCACTCTGGGCCCGCTTACATGCTGTGAATCGACAGGGGAGCCCAGAGCCATACGCGAGCACCTATCATATTCTACGGAGTACGCTCCCGCTGCTCGGCCTGACAGCTACCGAGCATTGACATAACATCGCGTTTGAGGTGTTGGTCCTCGTGGCACCTTGACATATGCTCTACTCGCAACCACTATAGTATCGTCAACGCAGGGAGTGGCTTGAGTTTACGCGGTCGGGAGTACACGAGCGCGTACACGGCGAGTAAGCATGCGGTGTTGGGGCTGACGAGGTGTGCGGCCAAGGAGGTGGGTAAGAGGGGGGTGCGTGTGAATTGCATTGCGCCGTGAGTGGGCTCTCTCTTTCTGTCTCTCTCGCAGTGCTCGAAATCACGCTAGTATGTTGAGCCCAAGTGCAGGGCGAAAATGTTAGACTCTGTGCTTTTCCAACTTCATCTGATTCACCAGCAACGTGTCACACCTTTGTAACCAGTGGTGAGCTTTAGGCCGGGGCTTCTTCTTCTTCCGCGAGGCCTTCCTTTTCAGCTTCGTCTTCGAAATCACCTTCCTCAGTCTTGGCCTTCAACTTCTTGAGCTCGCTGGCTGAGATCTTGCTGACCTTGAAGGTTTGACCCTCAGGTGGTCCCTTCTTATGTCTGCGAACGGTCTTCCGAATCTTTTTGGTCTCAGGGTCGGTGAGATTTGTTGGGCGATAAAGCTGGTTCGTAGTCGCGTCGTACCACACTCCTGGTTTGATCTCCTCAAATGAGGCAGATTCGACAAGTTCGCTTTCTGGCACCTTTTCATCGTCGGCGACTGGCACAAGGTCGTAGAAGCCACCCTCGTCTTCTTTAGCGGCAAAAGTGCTGAGCTCTTCGTCGGTCATTTTCGCCACCAGCTGGTTGTCGGCCTCTACGCGATCGAGGAATTGGTTGAGTCCCCGTAGTGTATTCTTTCTAGTCGTGCCATGTTTAGGATCACCTTTGACTCCCGCGCTGACATCTTCTTCGGGCACGCTGCTGCTCACATCCGAGCCCTCTCCTTCCGCGTCCTCTCCTTCCGAAGAGCTCTCTTCTGCCTCACTGACGTCGCTATCATGGCTTTCGTCAGAATCTTGATCATTGTCCTCCTCGTCTGCAGAGACATCAGAGCTAACACCAAGCGTATGGTCCAGGGTCAAGTCATCCTCGCCTCCATGTTAGCCAACGTGTCACACGGTTCACGGTAGTCACGCTTACCATGAGAGCATCATCCGTCGAGAGCTCGTTGGCGGCAAGATCTTGTAGTCTACGAGAACCAGTCCGCCCCTTCGCACGGGCCTCCTTGGTGTTTTTCTTCAAATCACTCATCCCGAAAATTCCTGTCTTCCGCTGATGCAGTGCAGACTTGTTGGAGCCAACCATCGCTGAGACGCCGGTCTTCTGCCTCTTGTTCGTCAAATTCTTCAGATCACCCATCCCAAAAACGCCCGTTTTGCGTTTTTGAGGCGGAGCCATGTTGGGCGAAAATGGAATCTTCAGGAAAGTGAGTGAGCGGGAGGGTGAGAGCAATACGAGGTGTCGTGTAGATGATAGTTGGTGTGAAAAGTTTTCGTGGATCTGTAGTGATCATTTATATAAGGGTATAAGTGAAGCTTCAATGAAACTATAGTAAACGAAGTAGTTGAGTGACTTGCGAATTCACAGCGTGCTCTAGTGAATCACTCGTCTTCACTTCACTCTCATCTATCTTACTCGTGTCCTCGAGCCTTAACATTTCTTTTCAAATCCCACAGACATTACTGCTCGTCTTTTATCGAACCTGTCATCATCCGCAAGGCGTCTTTACGCGCAAGATGGCCGCGCAGCAGCTCCAAGAGTCATGGAGGTCCTCACTTGCCGAGTTTCTCGCTTACTGTGAGCGGCGTGTGCTTGACAACAATACACTCATCGAGGCTGTGCGTGACCATGTCAGCAAGACTGAGCTTGCAACCACAGCTCATATCAAACCCCACGTCTTTCTCATAGATCACTCCTCCGCTCAGACATTGGACGAACAACGAAACAGTGCTACGACCCCAGAGTCATCAGCAAATCTCAACAAAAAAGAACAAGATGGAGAAGATGTTGCTGCTAGAGAATCGAAGAAGCTCAGAAGCGGTCGTATCTTAATGCAGGATAACAATGTTGGAGACCTAGACCAGGCCGATGCTGGGACAAGCCAGAACGGGTCACACGGTCATGGTCTTGAAGTCAGCAGCGGTGGAGACGATGCGGATTTCGAGTATCAGGACGACAGATCACATGAGAGTGGCGATGACGATTTGACAATAGGTGCTGCAGAAATCCGAGAGCTCATGCATGACGACGACGACGGCAATGATGATCTTCACGAGCAAGAACGCGAAGCCACTGCCAATGATCGTCACCACCCGGAAAACTACATTGCAGTGGAAGGGTACGAAGTTCCGGTTCCTATTTGGCGTTATTTAGGGCGGGAATGTACGCAGGCCATCGTCAGTCTCTTCAAAGACCCTTTGACACAACAAACTCAATACTAATATACCGAATAGGTCGAACTATTGGAGGCTAAGCCCATTGAGCAACCCGAGAACTGTCGGACCCAGCTTAAGCCCTGGCAACTCACTGGAGTGGGTAAGCTCAAGCATCTTTTCGAGACTCGTCACAAAGGAGGAATTCTTGGTGACGAGCAGGGTTTGGGTAAGTCATTGGAGGCAATCACGGCTATGGTCGAGGATATTGTTGCGAACCAGGGGAAACCATACCGCGGTTTCAATTTGATTGTGACAACCAAGAGCTGTGCACAGCAGTGGATCGATGAGATCAAAAAGCACTATGGATCGGTGAGTTGATATGCCGTCCTGGCGTTGCTGGCCTCGAGGAAACGGTGACTGACTGGCTTCAGGAGATGGCGAAGAAAGCCTTTTTTCTCAACGATGCCAAGGTCACCGCCAACGAATTGCTCGACGGCGAATACAATTTTGTCGTATGTACCTGGCAATTCGTCATGAGTCGTTACGCCTCGTATCGGAAGAATATCGATTTCTTCAGACTGCTTGCAATGAAAGGCAAAAAATGGGTCGACGAGAACCTGTCCTCAGTCGATCACATGCCCCTCAACGGGAGACACGTTAATGCACTATTTTCTCACGTCTATGATGAGCTCGGCTTTCCGATCAGACATCTCGTTCTCGACGAAGCTCAATTCGCAAAGAATGTGCTTACGAAGACTTATGATGCAGTCCGCCACTTGCATTACGAGCGCATCATGCTATTGAGCGGCACCTTTCTGGCCAACAGATGGTACGATATATTTGGCTTCGTATCACTGATTCCAGGTCATCCCTTCAAGGACTTCCAGCAGTTCATGAAGACTTTTGCCCATAGAGAGGAAAATGGGTACTACTCATCACCCTCGGTGTCGAAGAGGAATCGGTTAGTCAAATTCTTGATGAGCTTCACCGTCGCTCGACCAGTCTCTGTGTTGAAATTGCCCCACCTCAGCAGAGAATACCATGATTTCCAGCTCACGGATGACGAGGAAGCAGAGGTGGCATTCCGGGTGGAGAAGTATCTCATGCTCATGTCTTTTTCAGGCAGACAACAAGTCTTCCAGCCCAGCAATTCCGATGGGAAGAATAAGGCTCTCCAACAAGCAGTACTTGCACAGTTGCAATGCGCCAACCGTGCCTTGATCCCGCCTGGAAAAGCCCAGGTATCGCAGCACCTCCTCTCGCAATACGCCAGGCTCAAGGATCGCTTCGCAACAGCCAGAAAAGCAGCGGGTGGTACAGTGACGATGCAAGACCTTCTTGCCATGATCACTCCAGATGGAATGACCTCAAAGCAGATTACATCAGTCAAAGTGGCTGAGGAGCTATTGAACGTGTCACTCCATGTGCAGCAGGGCGAAACGGCCGAGATCGAGGGAGACGTCCCAGAGGATAGTGCTTCTAACAATCAAGCTCGTACAGAAGAATCACTGGCGGAGGATCCGGATTCCCCAGCGGGTCTCCCAGAGATTCTTGAGCAGGATGACTCCAGCGACTATAAATCGTTCAAATGGCCCGAGGAACGTAAAGATTGGCTCGCGAGACTTGCTGCCATTCCAGACAGCGAGCTGCTGTCTCGCAAGGTGCTATGCATCCTGGACCTCATGTCAAATCTGCGATCCAATTATCCTGGCGAAAGAATCATTGTGTTCTCCAAGTACTTGAAATTTCTCGATATGCTGGGCGAAGCCATGCGTCGCAGTAGCACGCTGTCCGACACGGTGCCGTTGCAATTCAATGGTACTCTCAATTCTCACCAACGCTCATTCAGTCAGAAATCGTTCAATGACGAGAACAACAAGCGACCCATCTTCGTCACAGCTGGAAGTGGAGGCGCGGGTCTCAATCTTACTGGGGGCTCTCAGATCATCCAATGTGAACCGTGGTGGAACCCAAACGACGAGAATCAGGCCCAGAGTCGTGCTTGGCGCATGGGACAGACCAAGGACGTACACGTTTATGTGATCCGTGGTATCAACAGCCTCATCGACTACATCATACAACAGTGCCAGAATATCAAGGCCGCGACCAACACGGGTATCATGGGGCCTTTGCGGCGGGAGGACGATAGCGTGGCCATCATTCCAAGACAATATCAGGGAGGCATCGGAGAACGCTGAAAGGAGACCGTGTCACACGCTGGAGTGCTGAGGCAGGAATCTGAGCTTGACAGTGTTCAAGGGCAGGAAATACCTTGGGGCAAGCTGGCAATGTTTACTGCATGGAGTCAGGATCAGCACGACTGGTGCCAAAGCAGTCTATCATACGAGATACGGCAGGAGCCATGTTCCTAGGAACGTACATACATGAGCAGGAAGTCGTCTGACCCCCTCGCACGTCTTTCACAAGCACCACGAGCATCGAGCATCCTTCTCCCTTCCTTCCCGTCTACCTTATCTGTCGATTTCGCCGAAAACTAGGTCCATGGTGCCGATGATGGCAACGGCATCTGCCAGAAGATGGCCACGGCTGATCTGGTCGAAACAGCTCAAATGGGCAAACCCTGGAGCACGGACGTGACACCGGTACGGCCGTTCACTCCCATCACTGACAACGTAGACGCCCATCTCGCCCTTCGGCGCTTCAATCGCAGTGTAGGTGTCGCCCGGAGGGACCGTGTAACCCTTGGTGTAGAGCAAGAAATGATGGATCAGAGCTTCCATGTTCTCTTTCATGGCGGCTCGAGGCGGCGGTGCAATCTTGTAGTCTTCGACCTTGACTGGGCCAGGCGGCATCTTGTTCAAGCACTGGTGGATGATTCGCAATGACTGTCGGAACTCTTCCATTCTGCAAAGATATCGATCGTAGCAGTCGCCATTCTGGCCCACGGGCACGTCGAAATCAACTTTGTCGTAGGCGTCATACGGTTGGCTCTTTCGAATATCCCACGGCACGCCAGAGCCTCTGAGCATGACACCTGAGAAGCCATAGTTGAGGGCATCGGCAGCAGAGACAACACCGACGCCTTTGGTCCGACCGATCCAGATTCTGTTGTCTGTAAGAAGTTCCTCGGTTTCGTCAATGCGGTCGCCGAATTGAGTGGCCCAAGCGTAAATGTCGTCCAGCAGCCCAAGGGGGATGTCTTGGCTGACACCACCAGGACGGACGTATGCAGCATGAAGTCTTGCGCCAGAAACGCGCTCGTAAAATTCCTATCAAACATTACAATCTTGGTTCCTGCGAAAACGCCTCGATACTCACCATTAGCTTTTCTCGCTCTTCAAAGCCCCACAGGAACGGGGTCAAAGCACCAACGTCCATGGCGTGTGACAGAATCGACATCAGGTGGTTGAGAATTCTGGTGATTTCGCCAAACAAGGTTCGAATCCACTTGGCTCGCTCGGGAATGTCGACATTGAGCAGCTTCTCGACGGCCAACGAAAAGACCTGCTCGTTGGTCATCATCGAGACATAGTCGAAACGGTCAAAGTAGGGAAGCGCCTGGAGATATGTCTTGTACTCGATCAACTTCTCGGTTCCACGGTGCAGCAAGCCGACATGAGGATCCGCTCGGAGAATTTCCTCCCCATTGAGCTCGAGAATGAGACGCAGCACGCCGTGCGCGGCGGGATGTTGTGGGCCAAAGTTCACGGTGTAATGCCGAATCTTTCTTGTTTCAAAGTCATCGCCCAGGTTTTGGTCAGGGGCCTTGTTGACATATTCGGTTCTCTCCTGGTTTACGTGCTGGGTGAAAGTCGAATCGGTCGGGCTGATAGTCGTTGTTAAGGGTCCGCTCGCGTATTCTGGATTGGGCGTCGGATTGGGGCTCGTGCTAGGAGGGCCTTCCTGCCTTCGAGATGGCGTGGTACAGATGGCGCGGGTCACGAAAGGAGTGTGTCCCTGTCTTGATTGAAGCTGAAAGCTGGGTCTGAGGCAGAGTCGTTTGGCCGAGTGCGAGTGCCGGCTCGCGGCTCGTGCGAAGGAGGCGGCCATTGTCATGCTTGTCTAGACTGGCACGATGCCAGAAGGAGGGAAGCGGTGGTTGTCGAGCTAATGCCTCGAAATCGGCGGCATCAATCGCTGGGGGACGAAACGGACGATGGCGATTTCCAATGTGCCTTTGATGTCGGCTCTATGACAGCTGCTTTCCGGATTAGAGGCCCGCTGATTGGCTGGAAGGATAGCCAATCAGAGATAGGTAGCGCCACCCAGCGGGGCCGGGACCAAATTTCTTTGGAGAGCAGATATTCTGTCACTTTTCGAGTCCGTCCAGCGTACTGGAGACCAACCTCTCCATGGCGCCCATACAGCCCTCACAAGACAGCCTAGACAGGCGGAAGGTACGTCGCATAACGCCTGCCATCAGCACGGTATACTGAATTCTCCAGCTCGTCGGCATCAACGCCGAAACTGTCACCAACATCACCTCGACCGACTTCCCCGGCCACCATGCGGGCGAGGACAATTCCTGGTCGCTCGAGAAGTTCAAGCAGATCCTCAAGATAGTCTTCTACCAAAATCAGAAACATGAAGTGACGTTTTCCCTCATCGGCGTTGACGCCTCCATCGCCAACGCCTTCCGCCGCATCCTCCTCGCCGAAGTCCCCACCCTAGCCATCGAAAAAGTCTACGTCCAGAACAACACCTCCGTCATTGCGGACGAAGTCCTCGCCCACCGATTGGGTCTCGTCCCACTCAAAGGAAACATACAGGGCCTGAGGAAACTCACGCCTTACGTCCAGACAGACCTAGACACCGTGGCCCGCTTGACGGAGCTCACTGATAACAACACCATCGCCCTATCGATGAAAGTAAAATGCGAGCGCAATCCCAATGCCGACAAGACTGCGACTGAGCCGGAGGACAAGTACATCAACAGCAACGTATATTCGCGACACTTTAACTTCTTGCCGGAAGCCATGCAGGCGTCCCTTTTCGGCAATGAGCCCATCCAAGCGGTCAGTCCAGATATCTTGATCGCGAAGCTCCGGCCAGGCCAGGAGATCGATGTGGTTATGCATGCGCACATGGGCAAGGGGGGGGATCACGCGAAGTTTTCACCCGTCGCGACCGCGACATATCGACTCCTCCCGACCATCACGATTACCCAACCGATCCTGGGCGCGGACGCGATCAAGTTCCAGCAATGCTTCCCTGATGGGGTCATCAAACTCGAAAGAGTAACTCCGCAGGAAGCGCAAGGGGACACAGCAGCCTATCACCACCACGAGGGTGACGAGAAAGCAGTCGTTGCAGACGTGATGCGCGACACGGTCTCTAGAGAATGTCTCCGACACGACGAGTTCAAAGGCAAAGTCAAGTTGGGGAGAGTGCAAGATCACTTCATCTTCAACGTGGAAAGTACCGGGCAGTTCCCCAGTGATGACCTATTCCTCCAGAGCGTCGATATCCTGAAGAAGAAGGCCAAGAGGCTATTGAAAGCACTGGATGAGATCGAGAAATGATCCGGGCTTTAAGCCATGTGCCATGAGATACGAGTGGGTGGATTGAACCTGGCGTCCTCGTGCATTGCAAGGCGTTTAGCATGAGCTTCCCAAGTTAGATACCACGATTGCAAAATCAAAAAGTGCTATGACTCTGAACCTATAGCTTGATGGCGCCTGCATGCGGACAAGTCTATGGTAGTGCCATTCCTCGTCAGTCGTGTGCTTCCGCGTGAGCATCCATGTTCACTTCTTGCGCACCAGTCTGAACTTGAAACTGATCGTGAGCGCCGCATCACTGACACCCACCTCCTCACCATCACTGACCAACTCGCCCATCTTCTTCTGCAGATTCGGGCGCGTCTGCTCCTCCAGACTCTTCGGAGCTTGGACATACAGCGTCTTGGCCTCAGTACGAATACTCGGCTTCTTCAACTGCGCCTCGGCCCTCTCAGCCAGACTTGCGAGGAACTCCTCTAACGTCCACTCGGGGTCGATGGTAATGGTCTGAGCCAGATTTCCGCATACAGGACAGTCGTCTTTCTTCTCCGCCGCAAACGTATACGTATATAGACCGCTTTCGTTCGAGTCGCCTGTATACATCATGTAATTGTCCAGAAACGGGGCGCAAGAGGTGGCGATTTTCAGGGCTTCATTGCAGCATGCTGCCGCGATGATGGCGTTCGTGCTCGCTATGGCGGGGATGATGTTCTTCACCACACCCTGTGTCATTGAGTACGTGACTCCGGGGATGTTGAATTCTTGTGCACGTTTCAGCGCCGTGCTGTACAGCCAGGAGATATGTTCGGGATTGTCCGTGTCGAGGGTGTCATTTTTGCGTTGTTCCTCCCAGGCGACAATGTGGGCCCATTCAATACAGTGGTGAGGTTGACGAGGGATGGTGGCGAGGGTACACAGTGGGACGGCGGCTCGTGGTGCGTGCATGGATAATTGGCACTCAATGCAGGATGTAAGACTGGGGAGGATGACCCTAGCTTGGCCTTTGAAACCTTCTGTTCCGCCGTCAATGAGTGGTTTGAGGGATTCAGGGTTCTCCATGTCGACCATGTCGACCAGGGTGGCGTTGATCCATCTCCGTGCTTCAATGCTGTCGAGGCCACAGATGACGAGCTTGAATTGCATGTAATAGTCTTCGTCCTTGTCCTGGATCTTACCATTGTAGGGCGTGATTTTGACTCCAGGCACACGTCGTTCGACGAAAGCGGCGGCAACTTCAGCTTTGGATTTGCCCACGTCAGATTGGCGGAAGAGGAATTGTCGGTTTAGATTTGAAACGTCGATCGTGTCCATATCGATGACGTGGATGTCCTTGAAGCCTGACATGGCCAGGTTCTTCAGGATCTCACAGCCTAGCCCCCCAGCGCCGATGACCAGGACACGCGAAGACTCCAAGGCATCGATGGTCTCTTCTCCAGGAACGAACTCCTCGCCGGCATAAGGTGACGTTGTGGACAGTATGCGGTCAAGATATGTCCTTAGCAGAAGTCAGACTCAGCGACCCTCCAGAAGGCTTTGATCTTACCATCGTTCTCGGGGAGGCGAAGGTGTGCCGTTGGTGAGGAGGGATGAAACCGGTATCGCCATGTTGCTGGCTGGCGGTCACCGCCCTGTCTACGCCACCAGCCGCTCGATTGATTTATTGCATTGGTTTTGGATTGTTCTTCGAGATGTCACAACAGCCGGATGAGACAAGGCCGGGGGAATGAAGAAAAGTGTACTGATGTTTGTTAATAGAAGTCCGGAGGCACCTCAGAAGTGACCCACCTACTGTACACTGGTAAGACCGCGCCGCTTTTACATAAAGTCACTTGGGCCTTTCCTTACCTCGACGGTCCTACCACATCTCTCTCTCTCTCTCTCTCTCTCTCACTCTCTCACCTTCACCTTCACATGAACCTTGCTCATCTTAGAAATGCAAGACAGCACATTTTCTCTTTCGTGTCACCCGCCCGATGGGACCCACGAGCAGGGGAATTCTTTCAATGAGGTCGATAAGACGCATTCTGCAGAAGTTCCGGTGGACCAACTCCAATCCCACCCCGAGCCCGGATCTGTTCTACCCTACCACATGTCGATGGCTCTGGAACGAGCCTAGAAAGCTCGAGGAGCACACCCAGAAATTTGACCTGAAGGCCCTAGAACATGTCATCGCCAAGACAGCTGGATCAGGCGCCGCCTCTGCTGCTCTACGATTTGAGAATATTGCAGAAGGAGGTTCCAACAAAGCTTTCCTCGCTATTCTCGGTGATCAGCGACTAATAGTCAAGATTCCTGACCCGGTAGTCCCGCCACGTCTGGTCACAGCAAGTGAAGTGGCTACGCTTCATTTCCTACGGTCCGAGTTGGAACTACCAGTACCGAAGGTGTTTTCGTGGAGCGACACCAGTGACAATCCAGTTGGTTGCGAATACATCATTCTGGAAGAGGCTCAGGGTCAGGCTCTGAATACTGTATGGTCTGACCTTCCAATCCCGGAGAAACTCATGGTGGTGGATGAAATCCTATCCATCCACAAGCGACTCGCCGCCACCAGTCATATGTTCAATGGGTACGGCAGTCTGTACTTCGATGGTGATGCCTCAAGGTTCGGCTTTTCGCGGCATTTTCCAGTGCGCTCGACGCGAACCCAAACATACTGCATCGGCCCCTTAGCGGATGAACATTTCATTGGGTCTGCGTCTACATCTTCGGGAGTGGATTGTGGGCCTTGTAAGTCAGTACAGAACGTTCCCAATTGTCTAGCTGCTTACTAGCCAGGGCGTACCTCGGAAGATTACCTCGTCTCCATTGCACGCTCTTCAATGGCACAAGGTCATGGTGCACCAGAACGAAGATAGGGCCACTGATCGACCATTCTCCTTCCCGATAAACACAGTAAGCGATACGTCCGCTTTTGCACTGTGTGAGATGCTCCAAACACTTTGCGCGGCAATCCCATATGTCCTCCCACATTCTGCCAGCCATCGTCTACCACTGCTATGGCATACAGATCTTCACAACGGCAATTTGTTCGTGTCACCGAAGGGTAAGATTACGAGCATCGTTGACTGGCAGGGTACAAATGTATTACCGTCGTTTCTAACGGCGCGAGTCCCCCAGTTTATCGCTGTGCAACACGATGCACTTTTACTGGAGCTCCCAGAGAATTTCTCAGAGCTACGTAAAGCGAGAAGGCTTGAGGTCTGGGAGAGACACCGTCAGTCTATGCTCCAACAGTACTATCGAGCTGGACTGAAGGAGACTATCCCCGACCTTGCTACTTTGCTGGAGGATAAACAGCTAGCCCCAATTCGAAAACAGGTTGAACTGTTTGCCCGAGCCCCTCCCGGGCAAGATGTCGACGCCCTTTTCCTGAAAGAGACGTTACTCCGGATCCAGCGCAATTGGTCTAGCTTTTTTCGCGACCAAAGAATGGTTGCACAATGCCCCATCAAAATCGAGGGCGATGTCTTGATCAATCACCAGAGGGATGGCCGTCGTTACAACGACTTCCAAGATCTCCTCAAGACTCACAATATACCGGTCGCCAACGAGGGTTGGGTTCCGAGGGATGAGTTTAAAGAACGGAAAAGACACCTCCGAGCTGTGGTTAGAGAAGCTATCGAGACTTTGGAGAGTCAACAAGAGCGTCAGGAGTTTAAGAACAGACTTCAGCAATGGAACCTGACTGACTGGGATACATACTTGCTTGATCGACGGCGTTGGTGGCCGGTACTTGCGGATTAGATCCACTGGCTCAGATAAGGCCTCCGGATTGAGCAGCACTTCGCAGCTTTGCCTTGACCTCATCCTCGGTGTCATTCGGCTGAACTTGGACGGTGACGAGTGTCTTCTGTCTAGCGGATCCTTGGTTGTTGGCTTGGATGTTGATGTTACAGCTGTCACTAGGCTCATCTTCATCCTTCTTGTCGTTTTTGGGAAGCTTTTCTCCTTGGTCTAGCAGGCCCTTGGAATCTCCATCATTTTTTGGTGTTTGTGATGGCCAGAGTCGACGCCCGGCACCATCCTTGCTCTGCTTGTTGCGGATAGATCCCCAGTGAACAGCAATGTTGTCGATGAGCTTGAGCAAATCTTTCTTCGACAGAGACATGGTCGAGTCTAACCATCACCCAATTTTCGGGCATCGGACATGTTCGAGGTTAAGATGCTTACCTAGATCTCTTGTGCTGGCGGAACTGCTTCAGTTATCTCTAGAGGGTTGCATGCCTCGAGTACGCCAGAGGCGCAGATCGAATGCAAGATCTGCCAGACGACAAAGTTGTGGAACCAAACGAGGATGACTTGGGCGGCGGGAATGGATCTACCAGGGCCTTACTGTTGATGTGAGGGTCGAAGCAATGATCGCACGGAATACTCTGATGATTCGTTCTGATAGACAACTGGAAGACTCGACCACGCAAGATCATGGCGCTTGAATGCTGGAGAAGAGAAGATCTTTCCCTGTCACTATGGTATGCGCAGTTCGACTTCAACTCTATGCACCTGACCATATCAGGACCGGGTGAGTACTTGTGCTCTGTTTGTCAAGTGAAAGAGGAAATGTTCGCGAATTGCAGAGGGCGTCACTTCCATCCTATCTGCCACAGTTTGTTCCATGCCAAAGTCACTGTTCAAGGGTAGGTTACTCCTTATCGATGTCGGTGGTGGGAGCTGTGGGCCGCACCGGTACAGCCCTTGTCACTTGTTCTTGCTGAACTGAGTGTACCTTGAAAAACCCCCACATTATCTTCTTGTTCAGCCGCCCCTATATTCATACACTGTCCACGACCGTGAGGCATGGCGTGCTGTGGACTCCTCAATACCAATCGCCAGATCAGGGGGTTCGAAAAGGGCACTGAGCACCTGACGTCCTGATACAAAGGGAAGCTTCGGACAGGACCCAACAACTTGGGAATGATATTCAGCCAAATCTGCGATGATGGCCAAGGTGCAACGCCATTTTACTTCGTCTGATCATTGTGATCCGTACTACGTAAGACGTCTTTCCAGTCTTCCAGCAATTTCAGCGTCTCTTCGCACTTGGCCTGTACTTCATCGAAGCAGTCAATGCCGAGGGGAAGTCGGAATGGAACCTCTCGTCCCTGAGCAAGGCCTTCCCGGCGGACGAGGTCAACGACAATCTCAGCAAGTCTCACAGGATTTCCTGGCTGTCTTTGGTCCTCTTTCGCCAGACCGGTAAGAAGAGCGTGACTGAAGTCGTTGTAGTCGGCAACTTTGGTCTGGGCGGCTTTCATGTTTTGGCTGGAGAGGAGTAGGGTGCGGAAGCGTCCTGGCCCTATGAGAAGTGTCCTGATGCCCAGATGGGACGTCTCGTGGTGAAGGCTTTCGACAATCCCTTTCACGGTCAGCGTGCGCACATGTAAGCGGTTTAGGGGGATTCTGACCTTCAAGTGCATGTTTTGATCCAGCGTAGGCATCAACACCTGGATGTCCTATCCATCCGGAAAGCGAGCCGATGAATACCACTGTCCCTGCACGTCGCTGTCGAAAATGAGGCAAGGCGGCACGTGTTACCTTGATGGTACCGAAGACATTTGTGTCAAATTGAGCTTGAAAGTCATCGGCTCTAAATCCACGTCAGTGGTGAGAGCCAGCGGTGGTCGGCCCTGACATACTCTAAGTCTTCCGAGGTCCCAATGGCAACATACGCGGCGTTGTTCACCAAGACGTCGATCCGACCATAGACGCTGATAGCCTTGGAAATGGTGTTGTTGATGTTTTGCTGGGTGTCGGTGATATCCAGCTGAAGGACAGCTGCTCCAGCCTTCCCAAGGTGCTTAATCTTCTCCAGATTGCGAGCCGTAGCAATGACTTTATCCCCACGAGCGAGGATGCTGTGCACGAAGCACTCTCCGAAGCCGCCTGGAGAGCAACCGGTCACAAGCCAGACCAGGTATGACATTGTTGAGTGAGGGCAAAGGATATAATTGTTGTGACCACTTCGTTCCATTCTATTCAGATCTAAGGCGTTCTTATACATTATTTCTATTTCTCATCTCCTCGCCTTTGGTCGGAAGCCTCCGTGAAGACAAGGACCAGCGGCGCCGTCATGACTCGAACATTAATCTTGAGCCACAGCACCGCCCGTCTTTGGCTATCCGGGGGAGAACGTGTTCTCTGATTGCGCCATGATTGACTCAAATGAGCGTAACGGGCATAGCGTCTCTTGAAGTCGTACAGGAGCACAGGACATGGTAGAACTTGCATTCTATTGAGCGGAATAAGACGAGGAAGCTGCGGGCGTAGCGGGTTTATGGCGTTGCGTCCGCTCCACGCTGATTGGCGGGGACAAATGTCTTGGCTTGGCGGACCGCAAGGCTGCTGCTCGGCCTCGTCGTCTTCACTCTCCAGAACTCGATTCTCTTGTCTGCCAGAAGTTGCGTTGTCCTCTGTCACCATTGTTTTATCAACATGGGATCAACGATATGGAGAATCTATTCCAGCCCATCAAAACGACCCGCAAGGTCCAGACCAATATCGACAAGTTCGAGACCTTATCCCTGAAGGATCCGACATCCTCACAACGTCCGGCCAGTACAAAATCCAAGGTTTCAATTGTAGATCTCGGATCCGAAGGCAGTGATGCTGCAAGCCAAAACTCCCCATACCGGCCGTCACACGACTCATCTCTGACATTAGCCTCCGCCGACTCGCGTCAAAGCAGCCACAAACGCCATGCGTCAACGGCATTCATTCAAAAGTCCTATTTGGACACATCGCCACCTACTTCCCTACCTGACGACGCACGAGAAATTTTGAAGGGCCAGCCGGAGGTCGAAGATCTGGCTGCGGTCCTCCAGTACCTCCAATATGGCATCGCCGGCAAACATGACTTCAACGTTCACGTTCCAAGCCCCAAGGCTTCTCAAATCATCAACGTGCTGGTCACAGTCACTATACCCGATCTGTGGGCTCCTTTGCAGCAGAAGCGGTTATCGCGAAATCACACAAATCTCAAGGCCAACTTGCTCTCATCCTTGACCAGCGTGGCTGGACTTGGTGCGCTTCTCATGCAGGTCAAGCGGCTTTCCGCCTCCAGCACGGGTCAGCAAAATCCCCTGCTCGTTGATACGATCTCGGTGTTGTCATCGGTTCTTGCTGGCACTCAAATCTTGTCCAGGTTGCTGCACGACGCCATGACGCTACTTTCGGCCGAGGCACAGCGGCGAGCGTTCTGGCAAGAGGTGGTCACTTTGTTGGCCGGCAGCAAGATCCTTTCAACCATGTCCCAGATATTCGCAACGCAACAGGACCTTGAAGGAATGCTCCCGGCAGAGAAATGGCTGGGGGATGGGCTCAAGTATTCGAAATGGATTGCCAAGAACATCTCGGCTGTTGCAGTCACCACGCTGCCTACTACCGACCCCCAGCAGACAAAATTGCTTTCCCAAGTACTGAAGCGAGCTTTGAGCCTAGGGTACCACGGTAAGTTTGCCACACTTCTTAAATGCCAGCTAGGATCAGTTCTGACTTGGCTACAGACACCCTCATCACCGAGCTCTACACCTCCCTTCTTCTTGGAAAGCGGGCACTATGGACACCGATGCACAATCTGATAAAAACGCTCCCATCGTATGATCAAAAGGCTATCTTCGACACCATCCTGCGCGATCTGGCACGGAAATTCTTGCAGACTGGAGGTGAAGCTGTCGGAGACAAGGAATCCTTGATGAGAAATGCTTCTACAGTCTCGGGAGTCGCCGCTATGGTCAAGGGACTTACACAGAACAGTGCCTTGTTGGAAGAACATATTGTTCATTGGTTGACTAGTACGAGTGGAGAGTACGCTGGTCTCGGTCTTGACACGCGAAGAGCTGTCATTGCAACTCTTGGTACAAGTAAAGGTACGCTCTCGGATTCCCTTGACTCGCGGAACGCTAACTCTTGTCAAGATAAGCTTGAGCGGATTCTAGAGAAGACCATCGAGACCTTTGGGAACAAAGTCCAGATTCAGCATGACGCTATCCTTCAGCAGGAGTGTAAGTGAACTCTATGGGAAAACACAACCTTCCATGGCACTGTTTCTTGTTGTGGGAACCTGTGCTTACCTGTGGCTCGCATTATAGCAACCGCCCAGACTATTCTGCTTGCTTTCGGCTACCTCGAGCGCTTGGACAAGATTACTCTAAAAAAAATATCCAGCTCTGGCACCTTCATTCGTATGGTCTCGAACAGACTCTCCGCATCCGTTCCTCGTGCTCGATTGCTGGGCATGATAGTCGCTGTAGCAGTGTCCAGGCTGGTAGACAAACCAGACAAGGTCATGAATTTTGGCGTAGAAGAGCTGGAATCCGTGGAGGCGCATCGCTGGCTCGACCTGATCCATGTCCAAGACAAGGTCGGGACCATAGAAGATCTGCCAGCTACCGCGCTCGAATCAGTCAAGAAGCGCACCTTGCAACCGAGTTCGAAGCCCGTCAAGCGCGAACGGTTGTCGACGGCTCCCCTGGCGGCCACATCGAAGATTATCGCAATCGAAGAGCTATCTGACTCGGACAACGCAGGACGGGACACTGACAAAGAGGAGGAAGAGGAAGAGGACGCCGACCTACGCCCGTACGCGCCTCCGGACAGCGACCCTGAAGACTCAGACGACGATCCCACTCTCGTCAACCGCAACAAACCGACTGCGCCCGTCTATATAACATCTCTCGTCAAGCAGCTCAACGCCAACGACGATCTACCCGCGATGGAACTGGCACTCAAGACAGCCCCATCGTTGATCCGCCGGAAAGCCAACTTTGGCGACGAATTGTTCTCCCAAATCCTCCCACTTGCTTCATCTCTTCTGGGCCTCCAGGAGATCACGTCCATGGAGGACACGGCGCGGTTACGGCTCTCAGCTCTAGTGGCATGCCTCGTAGCAAAACCGGCCATCATGGGCCCCTGGATCGCGAGCACATACTTCGAAGGGGATTTGTCCCTGTCGACACGATCAGTCCTCTTGGCGGCCGTGGCTTTCGGGGCCAGAGAGCTCGCAGGTATCACTGATAGGGATGATCCTGAGGAGGCCTCAGCCGCTTCGGCCTCGGGACGTGGTAAGGAATCATTCCCATCCAAACGACTCCCACCACACCTTGAGCTCACGTATTCCTCCACGGTGCAACCCATCGACAACATATCAAAGACCCTATCCTACCGTACGCTGCAACCCATGGCGCTCGAAGCAGCCGACAAGCTCACGGGGCCCAACATCTTAAAAGTGAGGACATTCTCCTCGCGCATGCAAGTAGCCGCCCGCACGGCCGCGAAGCAGGAATCCCGCTCGAAACGCATCCCCAAGGACCTCCACCGCCTGCTAGCAGAGTCGATGTACCTCCCGCTGTGCTCGCGGCTGACTCTCCTCTTATCCGCACTATCCGCCTCGTCATCGGCATACCTCGCAAATTCACTCCTGCTACACCCCTCGCTGCTCAAACTGAGTCTCCAGACGCTCATCATCATCCTCGCGACGATCGGCCCCCACGCGCTTCAACTAGCCACATTGACGCGCGAGTCCCTCCTGCTCCTCACGGCGCTGCACACTCTCCCGACACTAGCGCATGACCCGATCGTATTGCCCCCTATCTTACACCTCCTCCTCACGCTGCTGGACTTGAATGTCGAAGCGGGCCCCACTGCCGAAGAACGCCTAGTCACGGACTTTGGGCCCATGGTTGCCGAACTCGTCGCCTGGGCTGCTGGGCTTGGCGAGCGCGTGTCGATACCCGAGGTGCACGACGACCCTGGGCTCGGGATGGCCATGCCCTGGCCCGTCCTGGTCGCGGGAATACAGGTGAAGTGGCAGGAGGTGGGGCGGAAGTTCCAGGGCAGGATGTTCGGGTTGATGGCCGGCACGGAGTTTGATTCGTTCTAGTGGAAGTAAGACTTTAAGAGGACGGGATGGTTATATCTTGGTGATGAATCCCAAGCGAGCCCTGGGGCAAACGAACTATAAAACTACAGATAGCCGCTCTAACCAACGGGCAATATTCCATGTGGAGAGTGTACAGAAGAGAAGGGCTCATACTGAGTTAGAAAGCGGGTGACTGACGATTGGTTTGCTTTTGGTCTCGGGGTAGAACGCCACCTCATCTCCGCCTAGACAGTCTTACGCCCCAGAGACGACCCTCTTCGCCCACACCCTCATGGCCCCATTCCCGCCTCGGTTCGCCCTCAGAAAATACGGCACAGCCACGACATCGCGCACCCGGTCCTCGAACCGCCACGGTTGCGATCCATAGAGGCGTTGGCCATGAACTTGATCGCTATCGCCGGACTCACGTCCCATCCCCCACTGCGCAAGCGCGAGCTGTCTACCCGTGGCGATGAGCGGAACCACGCCCTCGACACCACCGATCTCCATCTCCGCGCCTTCGCGGACAGGGCCACCCTCCTCCAACGCGAGCACATCCACGTCCGCGCCCGCGTTGTCCACGTCCTCGATACAATAGACCAGCGGGCCGCGGGCGAGGCAGAGCTCGTCCTTCCCCGTCAGGGGGTTCGCGTACATGATCCGTGGGGTGACGCGGAGGGAGAGTCGGATCGTGGTTTCTGAGTCTTGTGCGGCCGGATCTGCTGGGACTGCAATGTGGAGGTATCCGTCCTTTACTTCGCCGTTGGCGGAACAGGCGAACTGGCCCGGTTGGGAGGCCCAGCTGGGGATGCGCAGCGCGAGAGTAAGGCCCGCATCTGCGGCCTTGCCTGTGATGGTGACGGCCACGTCGCCGGACCAGGGCATGTTTGTGGTTTGGCGGATCGTGATGTCCGTGCCGGGGACGGTGAGTTCGCTGGCGACGTAGAGGTGGACAGCGACTGCGAGGTGCGTCTCTTTCGGGGTGGCCCCGGCGCCGTCGGTATTCACACTCGTGCTGTAGATCAACGACCCCAGCGATCCGAGTAGCTTGGCGACGTTGGGCGGACAACAAGCCACGCCAAACCATTTGCTCCGTTCCTTGGGCTGGTTGCGCACCGTGCGCAGCACGTTCTGGTAGTAGAATGCGTTGCCCTCGGTGTTGACGGCGCCGAGAAAGGCATTGTACAGACACGTCTCCATGACGTCGGCGTACTCGGACCGCAGCTCGCCCTCCAGATGCACGAGTCTGTGGCACCAGTGGATGAGGGCAAAGGTGGCGCACGTCTCGGCGTAGCAGCCTTGCGACTCGAGGTCGGGCAGCGCGTAAGGCTCGCCGAACCCTTCCCACTGCCTGACGGAGCCGAGGCCCCCCGTGATGTAGAGTTTCGAGTCGACGAGGTCGCGCCACAGGCGGGAAAGGGCAGGTTGGACCTTGCGGACGGCTGGGTCTTGGTCACCGAGCAGACGTACCAGGTCCGTCGCGCCGGTGAGGTAGTACATGGCACGCACTGCGTGGCCTTGCAGTCGGGTCTGTTCGGCGAGCGGGCGGTCGGCTTGCTGGTATGCGTAGTCCCGCGGCTCGTGGTACCAGGGCTTGTGCTCGCTGCCCATGTGCTCGTAGGGGTCTGCGCCGCGGGCGCGGGCCTCGTGGTCGAAGTAGATCTCGGCTCCGTCTTCGGAGGTGTGTTTATCTTCGTCGGCATGGTCGTAGTGCCTGCCGCGCTCGAGGATGAAATACCGCGCGAGTTTCAATGGCAGGGGATCCTGTGTCGTCTCGTGGAGGCGCAGCAATGCGAGCTCGACCTCCTGGTGGCCTGGATACCCTTGCTTTTTGGCTGGTTCGGGCCCGAAGATCGAGTCAATGTGCTGCATGGCTTTCGTCGCCACGGCCAGTAATCTTCCGCTGTGGGTAAGAGTCTCGTATGCAACCGTCGCCTCAATCAGGTGTCCGAGGCAGTACAGCTCGTGCATGTCCCGGAGGTTGGTCCACCGTTGGTCAACCCCGCGGACGGTGTAGTATGAATTGATGTAGCCATCGGGATGCTGAGCCGCGGAGATCATGTCGACCGCCGCCTCGACCTCAGCCCGAAGGGGCTGGTCCTCCGGGTGTTTCAGCAGGTAGTAGCATGCTGCTTCGGTGACTTTGTAGATGTCGCTGTCCCAGAAGGGATGCGGCTTGACGGGATGGCCTTGCTTCCACGTTAGACACTGCCAGTGGTCGGCCGACTTTTGGGCCTCGATGATCGCCGGGATGGTCACCTGGCCGGCACGGTCTTGTAGCTGACCCCAGAAGGGTGAGGTGATGGAGACGTTCTCAATAGAGACGGGGCGGTACGGCATGGTGAAGGCTGGTGATTTCCTATGTCTGATAATTGACGTGTTCAGCGACGTTATCTAATCTGTTTGCAATGAAGCAGAGAAGAGTCCGATGCTCTGTACTTACTTTACTCCCGGAGCCTCTCACGCCGCTCGACGACGCCATGGGGCCGGTGGTCAAAGACGCTCCATGCCCCGAGTTTGCTCTCGGAAAGCCCACCAACGACACCGGAGTGACCTTTCACCACCTTGCGTACCTGGTATTCTCGCTTCTGGGTCTCTCCGGCGTGCCTCGACCCTCCACGTGCTCTCATCGCGACGCATTCCCCGCAGCCACCAGCCGATATGGGGTAATTTCCGGGTCGCGATTGGTGGAAGGTCGTCCAAGTCTGCGATTCTGCGGCGGCCAATCGGCCAGGAAAAAGATCTACACCAACACCATGTGTGCCACTCTCGGTTGCCGAGTTTTTGTCCACCGGTGTTTGACTCGATGAGGCAAGGCTGCACATGCACATTCACGGGGATGAACGTTGCCACCGCGGTCTCACCTGGTTCTGGGTAGAGGCCAAGCTACCGTTAGCTTGATTCGCTTGCGCATCGTAGTATGTCGAACCCTGCGACTGGAACTCGTGAGTCGACCTCTCCAGGTCTGGCTGCGCTTTTCCCCGACGGGAGGCTAACGATTGAGTCGCAGTAGAAGTATATAAAGACTGCAGAGCTTGTGGATGAGAATCTTTGTCTCAAGCTCGTCCCTGTCCTCCTTTTTCCTAACCTACCAGTTTAAACCACAAAGTCAAGCAACCAAGTTGGTGAAGATGGCGAAGGGAGACTGGTATATCTATTGGATTTGTGCCGTTGCATCACTGGCAAATATCTTCCAAGGATTCGACAGCGGCATATACTCCATCATCATCTCCGACCACAAATTCACAGACTATTTCCATCTCTCAGATGCCAGAGTTGGTGTTGTGGCCAGTATGAGTAAGGAACATTCCCCAGGCTGTGTGCAAGGGATGGCAGCTAACTTGGTCCGACAGTCAGCCTGGGCAACGTCATTGGCAACCTCTTCGTGGCCTGGTGGCTCATCTGGTACATCGGCCGTCGCTATGCTTTCATCTACGGTACTATCATTCTCCTGGTTGGCGTTGCCCTCCAGGCTGGGGCCCGAGACTTCGCCATGGTCGTGGTCGGCAGGATCATCGCCGGTATTGGCACCTCAGTGTGAGCATGACCTGCCTCTATGCCATCGGACAAACACACTGACACACTCGCGCTCTAGGATCGGCACCAACCTTGCAGCATACCAAGCAGAAGTCTCACACCCTCGAATCCGCGGCAGAGTCGTCTCCTTTGTCCAGCTTTCTTACCAGGTCGGCGTCCTCATCGCTTACGTTGTTGGTCTGGGCACAGTCAAGATTTCGGGAAACAACTCATGGCGAGTCGCCACCGCCCTGCAGGTCGTGCCGGGTGTAGTCTTGATCATTGCTTCGTTCACCATCCCCGAATCACCTCGCTGGATCGTCGAACGCCACCCGGAACAAGCGGCTCGTGCTCTGAAAGAACTGTCAAGGGTCCGCAGACTGCCGCAAGATCATGACGAAGTGAAGCACGAGTATGCCGAACTGGTGGCCGCCCGGGACTACCGCCTCGAGAATGAAAACACACAGACCTGGTCGTACTTCCTCCGCTCGTTCCCCGTGTGGAAACGCATCGCGTATGGTATGAGCACCATGGCTCTGGGCCAGCTCTCAGGGGTCGGCGCCCTGATGATCTACGGCATCCTGATCTTCGAAGGGTTGGGCTTCTCCTCCGGTACCATGTCACTGCTGTTGAATGTGGTATCCGGGGTTCTGTGCCTGGCAGCCACCGGAATCACCACTGGAGGCGTGGACAAATGGGGCCGCAAACTGACACTGCTGGCCGGCTCGGCAACCATGATCGTCAGCTACATCATCATTGCCGCCTTGAATGATGCGTATCCGACGGCCACGAACTTCAACCGCGGCGCCGCCATCGCCTCGGTTGTATTCATCTATGTCATCCAAATGTCCTACAGTGGTGCAATGGGCCCTGTGGCGTAAGTACTTCCCCTACAAACATCTGCGGCAGTTGAGACTGACGGAAAACAGCTGGATCTATGCGTCGGAGATCTTCCCCACTCATTTGCGCGACAAAGGCATCAACGTTAGTCAAGCCGGCCAACAGATCACGACGCTCTGGATCAATCAGGCTTGGCCGGTGATGTTCTCATCGGTTGGTCATGACGCCTACTGGATTCTGGTGGGTATTAATGCCCTGGGATTTGTCGCCGTGTTCTTTTTGTGGCCCGAAACCAAGGGGATCAGTCTCGAGCATATGGACCGTATTTTCGGCGAAGTCGACAAGGTCGAGGCGCAGGTTGCTGCAAGGGGACTGTCCACCGTTGAGAACATCCTTGAGACCGACTCGGTGAAGGGTGCTATGCTGCACAGCGAGGATGTCGAGCGCAAGTGAACCATCCCTCTGCGGAGTCCTTGCCATAGATATAACTGTAGGGGACATTACCATCGGTTCATAGTCGATAAACGTTGATTTCTACTCGGGGTCCTGCAGATCATTCGGTTTCGTTGTTCCGCTTTGCATGGCTGCAAGCTGGTGGATACGACGAGGAGGAGGCCGGTGTTCCCGCAAGGCTCCGTACGTATTGCCCCCATTGTTTTGGGTGGCACCGGTGGTCGTCTCTTCCGTTTTTGGCCGAACCAGGGACGAACAGCTACATCCTCTGCAGCGTGTTGCGCACCAGGCCATCGCAATATACTGCAGCTGCTCTTTGCAGGCTCGGTGCTGTCGAGGGCGGACTGGGCATATTCTTAGTCAGGATGCAATGGTCGGTCATCTGCGGGGCTCGAAGCCTGGACACATCGAATTGGGCGGCGGATTGTGCTTTCCGAGTGGAGCTTGCTAGCAGACTTTTCCCTCCTCTCGCGTGCCAGCTTGTTGAGATAAGAGATCTTGCTAGTTCGAAGGTTGAAGCTCATGAAATCTTTGTCGAGCGTGTTGCTGAGAAGTCCTTGGGTGGTTGAGCGGAGATCTTCCTGGAAGCGCACCTCATCCGCGCAGTAATTCTTCCGGTTTGGGATACCGAGATATACGCAGCTGTTCGATTTGCCACTTGCACGACATCATATCGTCGTCGCTATGCCGAGTAAGTCCTGCATAATTTCAACAAAGTCTTCAATATGCTGATCGCGTCGCTATAGACGAAAAAGACATCGCAGCTTCGGTGGTGCCAGAGTACGCTCAACCATGGGACAAACAGGTTGAGCGACGGGTGGTACGCAAGATTGACTTTGCCTTGATCCCTTTGATGTGGATGGGATATGGACTTGTTTACTATGACAAGGTAAGGCCGACCGGGAACTTTGCTGCATAGAGGTTCGAGATCCGTGCTCGCGATCATAACAAAGCTCCTTGGCCATATCCTCTTGATATGGCCGTGCTAACCACGCACGGGGACAGGCCATTCTTGGTGGAGCATCTGTGTTTGGCATGACAACAGACTTGGAGCTTAAAGTCGTGACCGACCCGACCTCGACGCCTCCAAAAGTCTCCACGACCCGCCTCAGCTGGGCAACCTCCCTGTTCTATTTCGGCATGCTAGCTGGCGTGGGTCCGCTCACATATCTCTTCCAGCGCTTTCATCTCGGGCGTACCATTGGCCTGGCTGTCATCGTTTGGGGCGCGATCGCTATGTCAACTGCTGGTGTGACGACCTACAGAGGTCTCTGGGCCCAACGATTCTTCTTGGGATTTGCCGAAAGTATCATGCCGACGGCTTTCATGGTCATCATCTCGGGCTATTATACGCAAGCGGAGCAGACATGGCGTCAATGTCTGTGGTATTCTGCAACTGGTGGCTGGACAATAATAGGGGCATTGATCAATTTTGGATTTGCGCATGTTAGTAAGGGAGACCTGAAGAATTGGCAGTACCTTTATCTGATGGCAGGAGCCCTGACCGTTGTGTATGGAATTGTGTTTCTGTCCTTTCCAAATTCACCTGCCCAAGCATGGTGGTTTACTGAGGAAGAAAAGAGGGTGGCTATTGAGCGGCTGCGCATGGGTCAACTTGGCGTCCGATGCCAGAAGATCAAATGGTCTCAGTTCAAAGAGGCGTGTCTGGATGTCAAGGTCTGGCTCGTTGCGATTATGATGGGGAGTGCATACTCGGTGAATGGCGCGGTAAGTGGATTCGGACCGCTCATCGTGTCGACATTCGGCTGGTCCGCGTACGACTCTTTGCTGTGGCAAATGCCTCTTGGAGGAGTCTGCTTCGTCGGGATCTTGCTCTGCGGATACCTAAGTCTGAAGTTGCCTAACATCCGACTGATCATGCTGGTCGCTTGTTGCTTGCCAGTCATTGCGGGCTGCGCCATGATCTGGAAGAGTGACTGGTACCATCACGCTGCGACGCCAATTGCACACAATCATCGGCGCATTCGCTCCGGTAACGTCCTTGACTGTCAGCATGGGCATGGCAAACGTGGCAGGCAACACCAAGAAAAGTTTCCAGGCGGCTGCAATCTTCGTCTTCTATACCGTCGGCAATCTCTCTGGTCCATTTTGGGTCAAAACGGAGACAGTCAGGGAGCACTACCCCGAGCTGTGGGAGGGGATTATTGGCTGCTACGCGCTTGTCATCGTATTGGCAGTTGTGCTTTACGTGATGCTGAGAGCAGAGAACCGAAGGAGGGAGAGGCTGCCTCGCGACGAGAAGGAAGCGGAGCGTGTTGCCTTTGATGACCTGACGGACAAGGAGAATTTGTATTTCAGATACGTGTACTAATAGATAGGACGCGTACTCCGTACTCCGTACTCCCTACACAGTAGAACTCGCGATTACTGGGCTGGTCACGGGGTCTGGGCCAAGACCAAGTGGGTCTGCCATTTCAGGTTAGCGTTTGCTGGCTCAGTCTCGGGAGACTTTTTTCCAATGCTCGTTCTTGAGACTTGCAGCTCATCATCTCTCCTTGCCGTCGTGCCTGAGCAACTCTCCAAGATCTCTTCTTATAGGTTCTTGCTCATCCCACCCTTCGCCTGGACTGCGGCAACATGTCAGTGCCCCGGGCAAGATTGATAGATCTCACGGTTGCTGACGAATATCCAGGTATGCTCTACGCCGAAGCGCATCGCGCCTCCTCAATTCACGACCTACCTTTCTCATCGCTCCATCTCGAACATATACCTCATTCAGCGCTCCCTCTGCGCGGATAGCACCAAAGACTTCTGCATTTCCGCTTCAGCGGAGATGGGCAACCACAGGAGCAGGGGAGGGACCCCCAGTATCTGCGGTTGAGCCGACAAAAGCTGAGGAACGGGGGAATACCGCCCAAGCAGTTGCCTCCACCGAGCCGCCCCAGGCTGCAGAGCCCGCCAACACCACGGAAGCAACAGAGGAGGCCCTTCCAGCCGCTGAAACTGGCGAGAAGCTGGCGCCATCTTTCGGGTCAGCATCGGCACACCGAGATGCATCGCACCCCGGCCTGTTCGATAAGAAACCCACTCTCTATATTGGCAATTTGTTTTTCGACGTGACTGAAACGGACCTGATCAAGGAGTTTGCGCGATTCGGAACGGTCTCTAAGTGCAGGATTGTGCGAGACAGCCGTGGCCTGAGTAAAGGGTATGTCTACCAATGGGCCTGCTTGCAGGGATTACAGCTGATCATGATTCCAGTTTCGGATACGTTGACTTTTCGACCCAAGAAGCTGCAGACGAAGCCATGGAACGACTAAATATGTCCCTCTTCGAGGGTCGTCGTATCACAGTCCAATACGCTGCGCGCACTTCCGGTACTCTTGACACCCAGAATAATGAGCACAAGGCTCTGAACCCTCCTTCCAAGACCCTCTTCATTGGAAACATGTCCTTTGAGATGACGGATCGGGACCTCACGAATCTCTTCCGCGGGGTCAGAAATGTTATTGACGTCCGAGTCGCCATTGACCGCCGAACTGGCCAGCCAAGAGGGTTCGCCCACGCAGATTTCATTGACATCAAGAGTGCAATGGAAGCTATGAAGCTGTTGAAGGAGAAAGAGATCTATGGCCGGAAATTGAGGGTGGACTTCTCGTATTCCTCTGCGAGCAGAGCGCCCAAGAACGACCCTCCTGTTGAAAACTAGGTCTGCCATGATCATTGCCCACCACACGGCTAGCGCCATGAATTGGGGTCACGCCTACTGTCATACGCCAGTGTCAGCTGATACGAGGAGCTGGACCGCAGCCGTGGAAGCATCCGCGGCGGACAGGTGTTCCTGACCTCTTCGACATGAGCGGAGACCAGGCGGCGACTGAGGACCGGACCAGCGCAAGCGTACTGAGGCTGAGTCGCACGACATCGGCACTGTGCACCTCATTGACTTTCTGGCCGGTTGAATCAGGTCCGTGCTTTCAGTGGATGATCGACCAAGAAATGGAGAGCACCTACGCTTCGTGACGGCAGCCTCCCACCATTCTGTAACAACGTTGGCATGGATTCGCGGGAGCAGCGCTGGGTTGAATTGTCCATGTTTTACTAAGACTTGTTGTATAATTCTACCTTGGAACCCACGGGGCAGGTTGGCGCCGGATGTCATCCGAGTCAAAGGCCCGCTTTCCATCACAGGAGAGGAGAACAATTCATAGAGGAGAGCGATCGAGGCTAAGCGCATGGAATATGTCAAAGACAGGACGGCACGTCTGTTGACCAATGTATAAAAGAGCATAATCTCCCTTCTTGACGAGATGTCCCGATCATTTCCCTTCGTGTCTCTCACTCTGGCTTTGTTTGTCTACTGGCCGCCTCTACCTTGAAGCCTCTGCCTTCATTCGCCTGACCTTCGCGACCTTCATGCGCTGATGCGCATGTCCACCATGCTACGCGTCGGGCGGTAGCCGAATTTTCCAGAATCCAGAAAGTCATGTAGAGGATATCGTCGTCCTTGTCTTTCGCCATCGATGCAGCCGAAGACCGCCAAATGCGCAGATGGTGATGGACCATGGTGGTGGTGGCGCGTCTGTTAGACCCCAGCGGACCGTGTTAATATCCGCTTCTTTCTCAGTGCTGTGTAGGTTCTTCCTTGACTCGCTCTACTGTATTGGCTTTCCAATAAACCTTCCCGTCGTGACTGCGAGGTACCAAGTACTACGTAGATCAACTTAGTCCTTCCATCGCTGGTGCTATAGTCAAGTCGACCACGTCCTTGCCGCCTCCTCAACCGCGAGCACTGTGTGTGGTATCTCAGAGAGGCAGGCGGCGTAGAGTCATGCAAATCCTCGAACACTGTACCGGTGTGTACCATGAAGCCTTGGATCGACGTGGACAGGTGAAAGTCTTGGATGCTCGACTGTTACAGGCATGAGCTGGTCATAAAGGTTCCTCAACGACTGGATCGAAAGGCTATTGCTGGGTTGGGTCAAGTTGTTGGAGGTTGCCAGTTTCCGCCTACGTTTGGGAGGAAGCCCAGCATTCTGCGGCCATTCTAGAACGTACGGCCGCGCAAAGGTGCTTAGGTGCGTCTTCCGGGCACGACAGCTCCCGAAGTACGAGGTACGGAGTAGTTACTCCGCTGATCCTACTGGGTGGACCCTCTGGGTGCCCTCCCACGCTCCCCTGGTGCCTCTCCTCACTTTGCCTCGGTTGCCGCCCGCCATAACAGCAGTTGCTGACGGATAAACTTGCCTCTCGCCTCTCAAAAACAACGTGACTGTCGTGGTACCACGCGTTCTCATCCATTTGTTCTCCATCATTGTGTCACCTGCCGCCACCAAACATGTCGTTCCTGGGAGGCGCCGAGTGCTCGACGGCGGGCAATCCTCTGACTCAGTTCAAAAACCATGTACAGAGCGACAATACCCTGCAACGGGATCGCCTCGTGGGGCGGGGTCCTGGTGGGCTTGAAGAGAGCATGCGCTCTCGGATGGCCCCTAATGGCTCTGATCAGGTATGAACTCTTCAGAAAATGAATGCAGAAGTTGCTGACACGAGTATAGATGATGAACGACTTTATGCACCAATCTAACGCTATGCCCCAGCCCTTCGCCATGGAGCAGCTGCGACAGGACCTTCCTAGCCTCCAGGGCATAACGAGGCGGTCACCTTCGCCCGGTTGGGCTGCAGAGTTCGATCCCGGCGAACAGGCAAGAATGGAAGCGGCTTTCGCAAACTCAAAGATGGCAGCACAGAGACCCAACGGCTTCTCACCCCAAGACTTTGCACACTTTCAACAACCTGGCGCTCCACGAACCTCAAGCCCCATTACCCAAGCACCGTCCATGATGAATAGCTACCAGAGACCGATGGGCATGGGATTCATGGGCGGTATGAATATGGGCATGAATATTGGCTCCTTTCAACACATGCAGCAGCCTGAGCAGAGTATGGACAAGGGAAAGGGTCGAATGGTTGAACTCGACGATGCCAATTGGGAGGCTCACTTTAAGGAGCTGGAGTCACAACAAGACAATATATCAGAGCAGGCCAACCAGGCCATAGAGAGTCAACTCGATGAAATGGACAGGTTAGTATTATCGAGAGATCGACATCGTCGGGCAGGGAACCAATGCTGAATTTGTATCCAGGCAAATGACTGAAGACGCGGCCGATTTCGACACTGCCTTTTCTTCCGAAGATTTTGCCGCCTGGGAGAATTTTGATTCCAACATGGGACTCAACACTCATCATCCGTATGAACGAGAACCAATGCTAGGAGATTACATGTTCGAAGAACAGAACCCCTATCAAGAGAAACAGGCGTCGAGGTCCGCATTCGAAGAGGGCAAGCAAATACTCGAATCACATGGCAATTTGTCGCTCGCGGCATTGGCATTTGAAGCAGCAGTCCAACAAGATCCTAACCATGTCGAAGCGTGGGTTTTACTAGGGGCAGCCCAGGCACAAAACGAAAAGGAATCACCCGCGATCCGCGCGCTTGAAAAGGCTCTGCAGCTTGATCCTAACAATCTTGACGCACTCATGGGCCTGGCGGTATCTTACACCAACGAAGGATATGACAGCACAGCCTACAGAACACTAGAACGGTGGCTAAGTGTCAAATACCCGCAGATTCATCCTCCTCAGAATCTTTCGGATCCCGCAGATGTCGGCTTTACCGACCGGCAGATCCTGCATGAAAGGGTCGTGGAGCTGTTTATCAGGGCGGCCCAGTTGTCACCGTCTGGCGAACAGATGGATCCGGACGTGCAAGTCGGTCTCGGGGTTCTCTTTTATGGGAATGAGGACTTCGAGAAAGCCGTCGACTGCTTCAAAGCGGCCCTTGCGTCAACGGAAAGTGGGATCGTCAACCGCGAGAGTCAGCTGCACCTGCTATGGAACCGGCTAGGCGCAACACTGGCGAATTCTGGTCGATCGGAAGACGCCATCACGGCGTATTGCAAGGCGTTGGATGTGAATCCCAACTTTGTTCGAGCTCGATATAATCTGGGTGTTTCCTGTATAAACATTGGCTGCTACCCGGAGGCAGCTGGGCATCTACTGGGCGCGCTGAATCTACACCGCATCGTCAGCGAACAGGGGATGGACAAGGCTCGAGAGATTGTCGGAGATGGCAGTGGAGGGATTGGAGATGATGAACTGGAGCGGATGATACAGCAGAATGAGAGCTCGAATCTATACGACACATTACGAAGGGCATTTACTGGCATGGGAAGGAGGGATCTGACTGAAAAGGTTGGAACGGGCATGAACTTGGATCAGTTCAGAGCCGAATTCGACTTCTGAGGAATTCGAGATATCCACAACGATAGATAAGACATGAGGATATCTCGACAATGAACTGTTCTGATATCTCCAAGCACTGCTCTTCGCCACAGCCTCGTCTGCTCTTGACTGTTATGATCGGCCAGCCTTGTGCCAAGCCCGCGTCATGCTCGCTCGGATTGATCGACCCGCGCCTGGAGACTGAAAGGTTGGGGAACAGACAGCTGCGCCCAACCTCAAATAGATATTCCGAACGTCCTCTTCTATCGCTTAGAAACCTATGCTCTTGATCGTATGGACTAGTCGGGTCACATTCGTCGCGGATTCCAGAGCTGACACGAGCATTGCCAACCGCTGAAACATGGACGACCATGGCGAGTTCGACAGCGTCTCATGGCAGCGCGAGGAAGCACCGCAGGCAGAGTCTTCGACACCCTTTCATTCATCTCTGCCAGAGCGACCCGCCAGCGGACGCCGAAGTGATAGCTTGTCCAGCGAACCGCAAGCGGGAGACCAGGCAGACCAGGTCGACTTAGCAGGCATTGGCCGCGACGGGATTCTGGAGGTCACTGTTGATACTCCTCTAAAAGAGAATGATGGAACAAAGGACGCATATGTCTCCTACCTCGTCACAACTCATGTAAGACGTCCCGATCACAACAAGTGCGCTTCCAGCTAAAGAACCGCTCAGACAGACTTCAAGTCCTTTCAGAAAACCGACTTCAGTGTCCGCCGACGCTTCACAGACTTTGTGTTCCTGCGCCAGTCGTTGCACCGAGACTACCAAGCATGCGCAATCCCTCCCCTTCCCGAGAAAAACAATATGGCCTATGTAAGAGGAGATCGCTTCAGCTCAGAGTTTACCCAGCGGCGGGCATGGTCACTACATCGCTTCCTGAAACGGTGCACCCTCCACCCGGTTTTGCGGAGGGCACCCATACTGATCCTCTTCCTGGAGACCACCGACTGGAACGCCCAGATGCGCTTGAGGCCTACAAGAAGCAGTACCCTGAGCGAAAGTGGTGCGCCTAACACAGCCGCGGCCGCCGGCTTCTTCGATAATGTCGCAGACACCATGCTAAACGCCTTTTCCAAGGTCCACAAGCCTGATAAGCGCTTTATTGAAGTAACAGAACGAGCCAACAAGCTAGACGAGGATCTCTCCCATGTCGAAAAGATCATAGCTCGCGTCGCCCGCCGAGAAGGAGACCTGGAGACGGACTACGCCGAACTGGCTCACAACATGCGCAAACTCACCCCACTAGAACCAGCAATCGAAGCCCCCTTACAAACCTTCGCCGGCTGTGTCGAAGAATCCTCGCGAGGCTGGAAACAACTCAAAGACCATACAGATCAGAACTACCTAGGCTCGCTGAGGGATATGGAAGCTTATATCAACTCGGTCAAATCCCTGCTAAAAACTCGAGAGCAGAAGCAGCTCGACTTTGAAGGACTGACTGAATATCTGCAAAAGGCCACTTCGGAGCGAGACATTCTGGCTTCCAACAACCCGTACTCCCACGGCAGCAATCTCAACCCTGCAACGTTCATCCGCAACAAGGTGGAAGATATCCGCGGCGTAGATCATGAATCCGCTCGCCGAGAACGAGCTCGAAAACTAGAGCTCAAGATTGCGGAACTGAATCGGGAAGTTGATAGCGCCAAAGGCACGAGTGAAATGTTCGACGAGCAGGTGGTCCGGGAAGTGGCCGACTTTGAGAGGATCAAAGGATTGGAATTCAGAGACAGCCTAGGTGCGCTTGCCGGCCAGCACATTGAGTTTTACCAGAGTGTCATCTCGACGTGGGAGAGGTTTTTGGTCGACATGGACGCGGACAAGAACCTCCACAAGGACAAGGGGAGGGCTGCGGCGTGACGTTGGAATTCCGGGAGCGATTGATACTTCAAGGTCTGGACCAACTGCCAGGCCGCCGACCCTTGCAGCATGATGCTCAATGAAACAGCAAGGTCTAGTCACCATCATGCAAACCTTTGATGTCACGAACCGTGATCTGCCAATGATGGCGTAACAATTCGTGAGGATTCGTCCTTGCCATCATCGTCATACCTCTCGCTCGGATCGTGAGAGACAAGCAGCCGAGCTACGACGCAAGCTCTTCATATGTGTAGAGGTGGGAAAAGCGAATGGCTGCAGATACTGTAGTTGATGAGGCTCGGAAATTCGTAGGTCGCTCCGGTAAAACTCCGGCGTTTGTCGCGTGCGGCTCTCGTGTCTACACAATGTCGAACAGCCAAAGTCTCAAGATAGATTGATTCGCGATCTCCACTCGCATAAGGAGAAGAGCACGATGGCTGTGAGCAAGAAATACGCCGGTCTGCCTGACCTGGTATGCTTCTCTCCAGATTGCAAGTGCAGGCTAATCCTTCTACGCTCTGCAGGACGCTGCCCCCGAAGTCTACGAAACCCCCGACCTCGCAGACGATGTCTCGACAGTACCCACAGGAACAGTCCGGACCGGCTCCCCATACCCGTCGTCTGGAGATGAGGCGCGCCCCGGCCTGGACCGCCAACCACTAGACCGCGATGGCGCAAGACGACGCTTCGAACCATCTCTCGTCGACGCCAAAGACGTGGACTTTTCAGATTCCATTGGTGGCACAAGACGCGCGTATCGGACGCGTAGTGCGAGACGACGAAGAAGGAGGGGCCTGGAGAATGGAGGAGAAGGGGTCTTGGACCTGAGTGACAGTGACGAGGAGACGCTTCCCATCAAGTTGGCGCGGTTGAAGAGGGAGGCCGAGGAAGTGAGGTTGGAGTTGGAGAGAAGAGAGATGGAGAAGGAGAAGGAGAAGGAGAAGGACGAAGACGCGGAATTCCAGGACAGTGTCGAAGAGCAGCAGGCGTCACGAAAGCAGGGCAGCGAAGAAGATGTGGACGTCGACGGCGTGCACGAACTCAGTCGCGTTCTGGATGGCCTGAGCACGAAAGCGAGGCTGAAGGCGCCCGGCACGGTTGAGGACCAGTTCCTGTCAACGATGGCCTCGACGGCACGACAACGTGAGTCTCAAGCAATCAGCGCACCACCGCACTCCGACCCAGCTACAGCTACAGCAGCGCCATCAGCGCCCGCCACGCTGTCCGCCGTGGCCGACTTCTCAGACCGCCTCACGGCCCTCGAGTCCGCCCTGGGCATCTCCTCCATGAGCGCAGACTCCCAAACCTCTGCCATTCTCCCTACCTTGGCAAGCCTCACCGCACAAATCACGGCCGTGGCTGCAACGCTTGCACCCCAGTCCACCATGTCAGCTGGCTCGGAGTCATCCCAATCCCGACCCAACGTAGCCTACCTCGACACCATCTCTGGCAAACTGAAGACCCTCATCGCCGAATCCGACCGCCTCGCGCAATCCCGCAAGGCCGCTCTCGCCTCGCTCGCCGACTTGCATGAAAAGCGGATGCAACAACTCGTGTCAGGCGCGAGCGTGCATGCAAACTCCCGCTCGGCGCGCATGCGAGGTTTATCCGCCGCGAGCAGCACCGCCATCACTCAGGGCAACAATGAGGGTAACAAGCTGGACGGCACGACCAGTGGCCCGGGCGGGGAATCCCTCCAGATTCAATCCCAGCTGTTTCTGGACGAGCAGGCCAGCAAGATCACGGCCCTGTATCATTTACTGCCGAGCATTCAGGAACTACAGCCTCTATTGCCGGTCGTGCTGGAGAGACTAAGGACGTTGAACGTGCTGCATAATGGAGCGGCGCAGGCGAAAGGGTTGGTTGACGACCTCGAGAGTCGGCAGAGGGAGATGAAGGACGAGGTGGCCAAGTGGAGAGAGGCGGTCGAGCATGTAGAGCAAGGGATCAGGGAGGCCGAGGACGCCATGAAGAGTAACGTTGATGTGCTCGGCGGTCGGGTACGGGACGTAGAGGAGAGCGTGGGACGGCTACGGCAGGGGAGGTAGATGGACAATGGGAGATCCATTGAGCGAGCGAGAGAGAGAGAGGCCGTATGCCAGTATAGAACCGGAAAGAAATGGATCGGTTAGATGGGAGGAAACATCGGCCTTAATTGGCCCCTTTCCTCTCACTTGGCCCGAAGTAGATGGATGGGCAAATGGAGCAGGGAGAAAAAAATCGTCCTTGACTGTCCGTTCGCTCTACGGCACTATCGCCCCATCCGCTCTCTTCAAGACATACAGCTTGGTCTCCAACCCCCAATGCACCCACCATCCCATGGTGAGACTGATCTTCCGTCCTAGTAACCTGTCCACGCCGTACCCCTCCCTGACGACATCATGCACGACAGCATACGCCTGCTTCGCCCACTCCCCGTATAAGGCCCCGACAAGCCTGGCCAAGCCATCATCCTCGCGCCTCTGGGCCTTATCACCCAGCACCAACGACCCCCTCCCCACATCCGGTTTCAACACCCTCGGCCGGCCCAAACCGGGGATCTTGTCCACGACATCCCACCGGCCAACCACGCGGCCTGGATCCTCCACGACGACGTAGTCGAACTGGGCCCAGAAAGTCGGCGTGAGGAACTTGGTCTGATTGTCCGACTTGTCGTACCGCCACTGCGTGCGCCGCTTGGAGGAGAGCGCCGGGATCCGTCCGTCGGCCGAGCCGGGGAGGTAGAAGACCGGTCTGTCGTGGCCCCCCGCTTGGCCTGCTTGGCCTGCTTGTGCGGACATGGAGGACGATGTGGGCCCCGTGAACGACGGCGTCGACAGGAACCGCGTCACGCCCGTCTGGAGCGCCAGGTTGGTCATATGCACGCGGATGGTCGGCTGCGGCGGATAGGCGAGCGAGTACGAGTGTACCGCCGAGAGGGCGTGCGCGCCGGGGTAAGTCTGCGCGGACAGCGGGAGAAAGACGGCGTGGCTCAAGAGCGTCGTGAGCGCGGTGCTCACCACGAGTGGGATGCCCAGCGCGCGCGAAAGCCGATGTCGGCTGCGGTCGCGCTCGCTGCGCCCCCTACGCTGGTTGATGAAATCTGCCGTGCGGGCGATCGCGGTCGTCAAGGGCGGAATCACGGGGAACAAGAACCGCGTCTCCTTGTGCGCGAGCGCAGAGTAGACAGCCACATAGCCCGCGGAGGGGGCCAGGAGGTCGAGGTTCGACGTGGCCAAACCGGGCTGCGTGAAACTCCATGCCACAAGCGCGAGGAGCAATGGGTTCACCACGACCCGCGGCAGTGCCGACGTCAAGTACCAGTGCCAGGGGCTGGTTCCCCAGGCTGAGGCGCCGAGCCCGTTATCCCTGGGGAACACATTCGCCAGGAAGGCCGCCAGTTCCGGCCAGAGCAGCTTGCGGGACTGCCAGAAGTAGGTGTCGATGGAGACCGTCAGTAGTAAACCCGCCACCGTGGCCGTGAGGATTGCCGGGACGATGACTCTACGGAGGAGGGAGATCACGGAGCCGACATTCCCACCGGTTCGCACGAGCAACCACGCGCACTGTGATGCGAGGAGGAGGGCGAGCTCGGCGCGGAAAATGATCCCCGCCAGCGTGAGCAGGTAGAGGGCCAGCCTCGTCCGTCTGATGCGGGCCTCTGTAGTTGATGGCGTGACGGGGAGGAGGAGCGAGAGGGCGAACGTGCTGAGACCGAAGGCGAACATGTTGGGCAGGGTCCGCGACGCGTAGTACCACACGTGGAACTGACTGGCTTGCAGGACGACGTACCATGCTGCTGCGGAATTGCCGTACGCTCGACGCACCCCGGACGTGTAAGTGATCAGGGCGACGGCGTTGAAGAGGCCCAAGATACCGCGCACTGGGAATTGGTGAAAGTTTTCGTCAGTTTTGAGCTTTGCAAAGGACTGCCATGGTCTCACGGGTCGCTTGCTTACCTAGCATCTGTTGAGACATGCCGTCGACGACGCCGCAAAACCACACGATCGGTTTTGCAATGGCCGCCAGTGTCATTGCGCCGATGAACGTCCTGGGCACCGCGCCGGGGAATGTCACGTGGTCGTACAGTGCCTTGAGCTTGCGATGGGCGTTCTGGCCCAGAGGTACGCCATAGTGTAGGATGTCGTGGGCCGCTTGGATGTTGAATGATTCTTCGACTTTCGTGTATGGCGCGGTGTATAAATGGAGTGCAACCAGAAAGGGGAACAGGATCACTGCGAGGAATGATGCTCGCCAGCGAGCCATTGTGGTGTGTGGGTGGATAAGGAGGCTAGGATGAGAAAGAGATGGCGACTGGTGATGGTCTCGAAAGGGGTTACCTTCTCCACTACGCATTGTGGCGAGGCTGAGGTCCAGCCTTGTGACATTTATAGAGGCCTAACTAATCGAAGCAGCACCAAATATCAAGTCGGAGCAGACAAATCGACGAATCTCATATGAGGCAATCTCGGAAGCTACTACGGAGTAGGCATCTGAAAGTTTCAACTGCCACGACCGAATGCCCTCCTGTTACTGGCGGCCACTGGAACTAAACAAGCGCTAGACAGAGACAGGTCTCCGAACCAGGAGGAGCCGGATTGATTGCAAGTCAAATCGGTGGGGAGAGCTCGCGGGTGAGTCCTACTCGATCCAAAACTCCTCCTCGGGCTGGTCGGGTGAATTTGTGCAACCGCAAACTAGCACATGGGGCAACGCAAGCGACGACGGCTAGCGGCCAGTTTGGCAGAACAGCCAAGGAAATCGGCATGAACCACGATGAGCAGGTTGGCACCTCCTGGAGTGACGATATGTGGTGAAGTTCAACTGGTGGGACCTTCTTTGTCTAGGTAGGCTTTGAGATCCTCGTCTTTCTCCAACTTCGAAGGGACGGCGGCTACGGAGCAAGAGCGGCGAGTCCAGCAGCACCCAGAACTGGATAATATTGCTGTGGAGGGGACTCGAAATACACGCTCTTGCCGTGAGCATCGTGTGCTGCTATGTAACGCTTGACGGCCGGCAGGGTGGTGACTGACTCGACTGTTCCGGACATTTCGACTTGTTTCGGCGAAATATATGGGACTGGTCAGGTGGATTCACCGTCTTCTGTGCAAGCTACCTTCCCGTGTGGCGCGAGAAGAGCAGAACCAGGGAAGCCTGCATCTTTGATAGACTGCTCGGTCAGTATCGTGGCGGTGTGGCCCGAGTCACGGAGGTGACAACGGACTGATATCTGGTCTCTGATCTCGGAAAACCCGGCCGATATGGGATGGTCCAGGTAGTGAGAAGAGGTCTGTTTTCCAGAAGAGGACATCCCAGGTACTTACTGCTACGAATCTCTAACAAACATACATCGTTAGGATGCCAGGAGTGTGTTTGTGTCCGCCGGAGGAGAAGAACCGTCGTGGATTTGCGTCAGTCCGGGAATCGAGCCTAGGACAAGCCGGAATGCACATGATATGGTACTGGAAGTAGGTATCCCAAAGGAGGGTTTCCCACCAATTGGAGCGAGTGGCTGATATGCTGGTCAGGCTGGGTCATGCTTTGCAGCTGGGCGTCGACGAGCCGAACAAGGCATCGACTGAGTTCAGCCTGTCGGGGTTGCCAGATCACTTTCTCACTGGAGAGAGTCAGACACTGGTCAGCTAGAGTAGACAAGCGGATACGTTGCAAGTATCTTCAGAAGGACTATGTACTGTACAGGAAGTACAGTTGGCCTCAATTTTGGCCGTTTGAAAAAGGCCGCCAGAGAAGTTGCGGCGACATGTTTCTCCGCGCCGCGACGCTCGATGACCCGGCTGGCTTCAACTCCAACATCCCCAGTGTTCGAAATACCGTGGCACATGCCTTTGCTTGATTTTGGATTGACAGAAGACTGCGCCCAATTTCTACCGTGATTCGGCTTCAACCCCAGAGCAGACGCCTGCCGCTCTGATTTTGAAACGTCCGTAAGGGATCCAAACCAGCTACCAGAATGCTCAGTCTCTTCGGCTTCGGCCCTTTTCTCTACGGTGAGAACACTTTCCAGCGCATGCCGTCCGATCGCTACCACTGCCTACCATGTAAACTACATCCACAAGCAGGCTGACTCCTATTCTATGATCACAGCGAGCTGCCTCCTCCTCAACGCCATCGCCATCCTCTCAGAAGACCGCTTTCTCGCACGAAGTACGTAACCGCGGACTGCCCAGATGCGGGGTGACACACCATTCGCGCCGAGAACAGAGGTTGTAAAACGCAGTCGCTGACATTTCCTCGTGCACACGACTAGTCGGCTGGGGCAAAACCTCCTTGAACGAGCAAAACAGCGCCGCGTTCGGTACTCCCGGGCAGGATCCCGAGAGCTTTCGCAGCCGGGGAATCAACCTGATATCTAGTGTGAGGACGTTATGTCGAGGTTAGTGCACATACACCCACACCCACACCTTCCCTGGTGGCTTCAGACACCCCCTTGTGGACGAGAAGAACACCACGCATCCCTGCGCCTGGTAGACGAGCCTGGTCCACGTCTGATATATGCCCATGCTGACCGGAATGATGCCTAGTCCCTCTGATCCTCGTGAATACATGCCTCATTATCTATGAGCTTGTGCTAGGGTGACCGCTCCCAATGATTGCCACGGAGCCCACGACGAGAGAAGTGCCCCTCCATCTTCAAACAGGGGACACCAGCCCTGCCTCAGCTGCTCGCGACGGCTGGAATACCACTCCACCAAGCAAGCAGGTGGTGTGCGGTCACGAACTGCCTTTCGAATCCGAGCTCGATCCCGTGACCATACCATTCCCGACTCAAGAGTGAAAACGTAAGCTGTGGAACAACACTCTCTACGACATGGACGAGCACACAGGCAGGACAGCACTTCATGAAGCATAAGTCAAGTGCTGTTGATTTTCAGCTTCATCCCCACTCTAAACTCAAGCCAGCAATAGGTGGTTCAACCCCGTCGGGCGTACGGAACGAGGGCGCGGCTCAGATATCGGTCCGACGTTGAACCCGGACGTATTCCAACCTAGAAGGAAATACCAGCTTCATATATAAGCCAAGCCCACGAGAATGAAACGTCCAGAATAGTTGAGAACAAGGGGGGACGACCGAGTTTTCCGTGTACACTACGCATCATACTCGAGCTGCTGGCAGATCATGGGTTGTGGCTCGCAGCTACTGCACAGCAGCAGATTCGTCCTGGTGAGCTCGGGAGTGTGTCGTGGAGTAAGGAACAGAGAAGCAAAGGCAGTGACCAGACGGGGGGCCGGTCAGAGCCCGACACCGTACGAATAGTCCATCGGCCATGCGGAACGTTGAGCTTAATTGATCCTCACAAACTTGCGCCGTCCTTGATCTCCCTTTACCACGCTGGTCTCACTTGATGGGTGCTCAACCTCGAAATAAAACGCGTGTCGTATCTTACAAAGTGAGGTCAGTGGCAGGTATGAGCTTGTGTAGAGTGGTCCTCGTACTACTCGGTCAGAATCGCCTTCATTCGTTGCTCTTCTGGACTTATGCCTTCTACTTTTGGACTTAATCTGGCTCCTGAAGCTTCAGCCGCACCCGCTGGAACTTTCACGCCCAGCCAGACAGATTACATCTCACATCTCCCTTCCAGAGGACCCTTCTTTTTCGTACTGCCAACCTCATGTAAATGCATCACAGATTCCAGGTCCGCGGCTGAAATACTGTGGAGACGCAGGGCTGAATGAAGCCCTGCCTGAATCCCATCGCCTTAGCGACTATGTTCTCCACAATCTCGCTTATGTACTCCAACCAATAAATCCATTTTCATCAATGTGCGCCGTTCACATATTCGGCCACTTGAAGCGAAATGCTTGTATAATCGCTGGTATCCCTCTAGGGAGGTCCAGAAGATATGGTGCAGCTGAGGAGGATCCAGGCACGGTAATCGAAAGTTGATCCTGCCTAACTAATATCATGCTTCTTTTGAGGCTCCATGCTCACGAATCCAGTATGCTAGCTGCGTGATTCCCAGTGTTCCCCAAGGCGTACCCCGTGACAAATGAGCTCGGCGGTACCAGAACTCGAAAGTACGCGTCGAACAGCAATTCACCGCACGAGGGCTAGAAGTCGTAAGTCGTCCAGAGCCGTTTTGAGATTGTTGAAGGCCAGAATAGTATGCATCTTGTCAAGGCCACACCTGTCCTAAGAGCGGCGAGCATAAATTCGAATGTTCTTTGGAATTCCTCCGCGAAAAGGAACGTAGGCTAGATTAAGAAAACCCATCACTCCATTTTGGCGACCGCATCGAATCTCACCATTCACGAAAGCATACCAAAGGATTTCTTCCGGATGCTGAACCGATTCTTCTTCTCCTTGGGTATGTCCCTCTCCGGCGTGTCACTGCTGCCTGCTGGCATTGGAGGCACAATGTTTTCTTCCGACGGATTAGACGGAGGCTTGTCTTTCTTGGTCAGGGAGCCGAACCGCAGACTCTTCGAACGCTTGAATTTCTCAAAGCCAGAAGACCCGCCGCCGTTCGACTGATAAGTATGCGCTCGCTCGAGCGCGTTTCGTTGGTCTTCTTCTGCCTTCGTCTGCTTGCTTGCTTCCAAGGCTGCCTTGAGATCTGCTTCTTGCTTTTTATGAGCCTCTGTTATTTTGTTGGCCAGGTCTTTCCGACGTAACCGTTCAGCTTCTTGTCTATCCTTCTCGGCCTGCTTCTCCGCGGCTTTTCGTGCCTTCTCTTCTTTGGCTTTCTCCTTCTTACTTTGTACCACGGGGCTGGTGGGGCTGGCGGCGGGAATGGTGGGTGATCTGGGAGGTTCAACATGGCCATTGGCCTTGAAGTCCGGTGGCGCTGTCATTGCATGGTCGAGCGCAGCATAGTGCGCAGCATCTGCGGGCGAATTTGGAGAGCCTAGGGGGCTGACTGTCTCGACACGATGGAGTTCCGCTGAACGTTTGGCGTCGACACCGACGCCGGCGGTGAGATCCTGAGAAGCCCGCCTTTTGCCTTCTGTCCTTTGCTCCTTTTGAACCTCTTCTAGCGTGGTCTCCTGGTAAAACAAGACGTATGCGGTTGCGAGCCCTGCTTTGTCTCCGAAAAAGTTGCGGACAAAATTCTTGTCCACGGGCTCCACCATTTCGTCGTCAAAAAGGAGCCAGCCCCGATCCTGCGTCTTGATAATGGAAACATAATGACCGTGGTAAGGACCACCTCCGATGTGCACCACCACTGCATACAACTCGTACAGTCGATCAGGATCTTCAGCGTCATCCGTAGTGTTGAACAACCTCAAATGGTATGGGTACACGACCTTGTGAAACAGCTTCTGCAGCCGTCCAAAATCCTCGGTATACTTGAATCGTTTCAGGTGAAGAGCGAGTATCCGCGGAAGTCTCTTGATCTTCATGCGTTTTTCGGCTTCTTGGAGACCGCCGCAGTTATCGCAATGGAATTTATTTCGCTCACACAGCATCTCCTCCTCGGAGAATCTTCGTAGACATGCTGTCACAGACGAGTGTTGCTCCAAGTCGACTGATAAATCCAGAAAAGGTTCGTCACGTTGCGACACATTTTCGCAGGTTAAGCATCGAGTTTCAGAGGTTAGGGTGCCTTCGAAGAGCTGATGCAGCCATCTTGTCGGGGAACCTGCCGTCGGGACAGGCAATATCGGTGGGAATTGGACGGTTGCTGACTCTGACCTTACCACGTCGGTTGGTTCCTCTTTCGTCGGAGGAGTCTCCTCCGCCTTTTTCTGGGCGATCATTTGTCTGTCGTGAGCCTCCAGGTTTTCCAGAACAGTGTTGAGGAGGAGATTAAGGAATTCATGGGCATCCTGGTGCATTGCGGACCTGAACATTTCGTTCTCTTGTCGAAGCACTTCAAGTAACCTATATCCACTCACAACTCCAGTTCTGTACTGAGCCGTAACAATGGCTTCGAACATGTCTTTCAGCGAGGTAAAAAGCGTTTCGGGCATGTCATAATCCTTGGAATTATCGTAAGTCATGTTTAGTATCGGCCCTGCCTGAAGCGCCTGTTTCTTTTTGTACTCAGGTGAATCCTTATCTTCTGGTTTCTGTTGCTGCGGCGGCGTGCCAGCATTTCGGGAGGACGTAGGGCCGTTGGGTTTCTTCGCCGCCCCATTCTGTTGGTTCGGTGGCTGTCGAGGGGGTGCGTGCTTTTGAGAGAAGGCGATTGAATCGGGGGTCGACCGGCGAGGGTAAGAGAGGACGTTTTCTCGAAATGGTACGGAATAGTAGAGACACTGTAGTATTGAGTTGCAATAGCTATTGCAGTCAGCGCGACTCGGACTCGGTGATCCACAAATTCCAGCACTGACCAGCTGTTCCCAAACTAGATGATTGTTAGCCACAGACACGAGGTCAGGAGTAGAACGCTACCACATTTTCCATGCCCAGGAATTTATCGCTGCCATCATTGCGAATCGGGCCGGCATTCGCAAGCATGCGCTCGAGAGGGGTAGGGACAGGACCGCTGGCGTCCTTTCTGGCTGCGGCCGGGCCTGCTGCCGGTGCAGAGGCATTCTATGGACAATTAGCATGCCGCTAAAACTGTCGAAACAGGCTGAGAAGAGCGCGCAAGTCCCTTCCGATATTGAGAAAGCAGAAGACGCCGCTCATCTGGCGTTTCGACGTACCTGGCTCTTGAGTTTCCCAAAGAAGGAAGTCATGGCTAACGCGCCGCATCTGCGGTCACCCGAGAACGGATCAGGTCGAGTTGCAGTCACACTGTGGAAGAGCGCATGTGTAGTGTAGCCGACACGATGGGTCAGGAGGTCGTGCGCGGGAGGAATTGAGGGCACAACGGCTAAGTAGTCGAAAAGGCAGCGCTACGGTACGCTCAAGATCAGCTTTGAAATCGACCGGCACAAGGTGATGGATGGGAACAGTGGGAGTGGTGGTACTCCTGGTTCTTGGTGGTAGCAGTCAAGCAACGGCTTAAACCAGAACGGTAGTGGTGGAATTCTATGCGCCTTCTGCATGGGTAAAGATGGGGTCTCGTCTCGTGGCGGAGGGGCAGCCCGCACGCAAAAGCGAACTGTGGAAGACTGCCCGGGGTGGCCAGAGCGAACCGCGAACCTGCGAGGATGCGTGCCCGTGGTTGCATGTTGCATGCATGGCTTCCACGCTTGTTGGAGTTTCTGCGGGCGAACGAATGGACATGCCCCGTCCAAACCGTCGGCTAAGGGACCACCCTCCACCACATTTAACCCCTCGGAGCTATCATTAATGCCACTCTCTGTGCATTGCCAACCATTGAAGTGATCGGTGCTCATGGTACTTGATCAGCTGGTGTCGGACAACCAGTGCTCAAGATCTGTATAGCACGACCAAAGCCCAGAATGCGCATCCGCAATAATGGTTGCGCCGACATCTTCCGGCGTTTCTGGGCCGTCTCTATACCAAAAACGACGTGCGCCCTACTAGACCAGTTCTAGACGTTTTCTTGAAGTGCCGTTTGCGGCTGGCGCCTGCAGAACCAACGTTCTAGCGCCCATCAACGGCAGGGTGCCCGCCAGTACCATCAGGCGACGTCAAAAGGTCACTGATCGCTTGGGAACGGAGGACTCTTGCTGAGGAGCGATGCCGAAGGAGGAAGGGCGGAGCGATGACGCAGATGGCTAACTGCTGCAAAGAAGCGTGCATCCGCCACCAACCACCGCCCAGGTAAAGCCTCCCAGCACAGTTATTAGGCTACTAACACAGTAGGTTTGTTGAACGGCCTAAACACAAAAACAAGCCCGTCAAGCCCTGCGAGGACAATCCGTCGGTCAGGAACTCAGGGGGTACTACTCCGTACTTGTAACACATCATCACTACCAAGGACTTTTTACGGAGTAGGATTGGCTATGATCTGACTCTCCCGGCACGGATAATTACCACAGTAGGGGAAGACTTCGGCACTCGCGGCTCCAAGCAGCCTTTGAGTCTCCAAACTTCCCGTGTCTACCTGGGTAGGCAGTGGTAGGCTTATTCTCCGATATGGGAGGCTGCAACACGGCCGTCGGCGAATCTGCCTGATATCGGGTCGGTACTACCAGAAGCGGCGTTGCTCGTTCTCAGGTGACCTATATTCACGAGGTCTCCTCCAGCCCTGGTGCTCCGTGGTTTTGGTCAGACTGAGTGTCTAGACAGAACATTCGATGGCTTCTTCGCAGTCTGACACGTGGCAAGCGACCGTTTTTAGGCTCGATCCGAGTGGATTATCTTTGACCGGCGGGATCTCAGATTTGGTCAGGCACCTCAACAAGTTGGAGGACGCCTGGAAAGGCTCGACACCTGCTCGCAAATGATAATGGCGATCACCGGTTTCTCGTGTTCAACCTACCACACGAGCTCGCACAACAGGCTCGTGAGGAGAAGCCTGGGGCTGGGCCCCGCAGTCTAACCCAAAATACATAATCACCTTTATCAGGCTCTCGCATACTCCGTCCTCGTGCGTTGTTGGGTGCTCGCGTGAGTGTCCGTCAATTATCAAGGGGACTGATCCCTTCCGGCGCTAGTAATGGCGCAAAGCGTCGCGCCTAGTGTTTCCGAATCAAAGTAAACACCTACACCAGAACAACACTGATGGCCGTTTTGACTAATCCCGTAACCGCAAAATCTCGGTCAAAAATTCTTCGAAGCTCATGGTCACATACCCGTCCCTGTCGTCGTCGTATTTCTTAAAGACATCAGTCATCCTCTTCAGACTGATGCATGATTGTACGAAGAGATCGAAGCTCATACCCCGACCCTGGGCCACATTTCGATCATTGTATGCATTGTATAAAGTGTTGACGAAAGGCGGAGACAGTCGATATCCAAAGGCTGTCATGGCGTTTGAGTATTCGGCTAGCGATATGCTCCCACTCCCGTCCTCGTCAAATCTCTCAAACAGAGTGCGCCAGGCAGCAAGGAACCGCCACAGGTTTTCAAACTCGGGGAAAGTTATAGTAGGACCTTGTGGCTGCTTCGGAGGCGAGTTGCTGAACATGGTCATTAACGAAGTGATCGTCCGGGTGTCAAAAGGGGTGAAGTCGGCGTTCACCAAGGCCGAGCCAAGCTCAGTCGTGGTCAACGACCCGGTACCTGATATATTTGCAGCACGGAACAAAGACTGTAGGTCGTTCGCTACTGCGTCTGGAGGCGCGGGCGTCCGTCCCCCATATTGGCTGGCCTCGTTTGAAGGCCGTCGCATCCCAGCTGGGTCTCCCTGAGGATGATGCCCGTAGCCATAGCTCGTAGGAGGCGGTGATTGCAAGCGACTGTAGTGCGAGTCGAGGTATTGTTGGTTTGGGGCAGGCCGTTGATTGGGGATTGTCTGAATGCGACTCGGTCGGTAGGAGTTTTGCGGAATGGGCGCAGGTGATGGGCGCCAGCCAGCAGCAGCGTTCGGACCCGAGGGCGGTTGGTTAGGACTGGGACGACCGTGTTGGCGATTGGCTTCGAGCTGGCTGAGTGCTTGTGCAGCCTGCTCAGGCTCTGCGTGGCTGCCCGTGCGGTCAGTGTCACTTCTCAACTGCGGCGGAGGTGGAGGGGTAATTGTGCATACGCAGGCAAGGCATCAGGGTTGAAGGCTTTGTTATACGCCATGAGCAGATAGCAGTACTATAGAGAATCGACGTAACGGCTAGAGGAAGGGACCTGTATGCCGCAACAGAGGCGAGATGCAGTCCATGTTGTTTTGTGATGAGGCTGAGCGCAGAGCCAAATTCGCATCTCGACCGGTTTGCATGTCGACGAAGTCTTGGATCTCAGCTAGGCGTCCGCAAGCAAACAGTAGGCGTCCTCGGCGTCTTACTTACGGCGGTCTCCAATTCTAATTGACCTCCGCACTTTCCAAGAACCTCAGGCGATGCTCACTTACCACTCACCCAGCACTCAACCAACTGACTAGTTTGCTTGCTGCAGTACTTTGTATGATGAAGATTGCAGACAGTCTGCTCCTTGAGGACAAGGAGATATACATATGCAGTGGGCAGTCCCCGCTTGTGCCACCATCATAATGGTCATACTCCGTACACATCCCTGGAATGCGTACTCCCTACCACCCCTACCTAGGCAATGATGTCGACCGGGAGTCACCCAATGACACACCGAAGTTCTACCCGCCCATGACTAAATCATGTCAAACACCATACCACACACACAGTATTGCCTACCTCGCCTGGTACCCGGGGCAACCGTCCTCTGACGTCCTTCCAGCAATATCAGGCCGAGGCCCCCCCTTCTGTCAACTCAACCGGAGTGACCAGAACGCGTGTGACCTTTTGTGCGATCTGAGCAGCTTTTCACCCAAGCCGAGTGCTGATGCTTGCCATGCGCCGCCCAAGCTGGGAGTGGAGGACGGGCAATCGGCGTCATAGCATGCAGGAGATCTGCCAGCTCAGCAGGCGGCGGGCGATATCCGTGGGCCGCCCATGCACCTGAGCAGATGGCCTGAAGTTTAGCCCGGCAAGCCCGTTCTTTTGCAGGACTTGCGCAACTGCTTAACTAATTAGTGGCTCGCCGGTGGTTCGGATCGCACCCACAGGCGCGTCTCTGCCTGCGACTCGCCACTCAGAAGCGTCGTCAAGCTGCGGAATTCGCCATTGATCCTGCCGACGCACCATTGATGCACATGCAGTCGTCCCTTCTTCCCCATCCGCAGACGGCCTTCTCCTTACTGGAATTAGACCATATATCTCTGTGTATCTCTCCCATCCGCTGACATATACCCTGTTGAGCTGATCCGGGGTACCTGAGCCTTTGTCGGACACGAACGAATCTCGAGCTCGACCTTCTTCGACCGATGAATCAGCAGAACCAAGTTGCACGACACGTACGTCTCCAGGTCAGCTGAACTGCTCAGCCTTTCGATATGAGCCCTGTCAATATGCAAGACTTCTGGCTATTCGGCTACGGGTAAGTCCTCGGTTGCAACCCAAGCTTTGACACGGTTTTTGTTCCTACAAGCTCCCTCATTGACTCGAAACGCTCGAGTATCCTAGGAGTCTAATTTGGAAACCTCCACCACACTTTGGTAAGAGATAATGGTTCACTTTTCGTTCTGAGAGGACGACTGTGCTTATGCCATATAGATCAGCGCATTCCGGGCTACATCGAAGGCTATGTCCGGCGGTTCTGGCAGGTAGGTGGTTATTAACGCAACACGCGACTAGGTCTCGCCCCACTAAAATTCCGACATAGGCAAGGTGAGCAAAGTGCTGAAGGATTCGAGCTCATGTCGTTGAGCAAGTCTATTTCAGTGAGGACCATCGCGGTACACCGAACGCTCCAGGAAGAGTGGTCACGTTGATTGAAAGGTCATTCTGGGCAACACTTGACGATCCCGTACGACCTTGGCCTCAACCCTTACCTCATGGCTGCATTGCAGTACGACTGACATCCGGCAGCAACGCCGCACGGAACGAGATGTTGTTTGGGGTGTCGCCTATCATATCATACCATCCAAGGTCGAAGAAGTCAAAGAGTACCTGGACATTCGCGAGATGTATGCCATTTCAGCCAGCACGGCATCGTTTTATTGACTTCCGACAGAAATGGGTACAGCATCCAACATACGCCTTTCCACCCAGCAGACTCGTCGCTTGCAAGTATCCACTGTCTTGTCTATATTGGTATGCCTGATAATCCCCAGTTTTTGGGTGTCCAACCACCGCAGGACATCGCCAACACGATCAACGCCAGCGTCGGCCCGAGTGGGGAGAACAGAGAATACCTTCTCCATCTTGAACGAGCCCTGGAAGAACTGTGCCCGGACAGTCATGATGAACATATCACGGATCTTGCTCGAAGAGTACGAGCACTTACGCCGCCTCTGAGGGAAATCCGTCGACCACCTGTACACGACAATGCTCTGCGCAAGGTGAGGAGCACCGAAGAACAAGAGGAAATTGAGAAAGAAGGTTGACTGCCTTTACGGCAAGGACATTCTGGACTACCTCTGCTGGCTGGAATCAAGAGGGTCCGACCAACCAGCTTTCCACCGCTGCCGCTTTGCTTTTCCACAAGGCAAGGTCGCCCGGGCACCTTCGAGCACACATATCCTTGCCCTCTGGCTGCTACTCTATTGTCGATACGGTCCCTGCTGGCCGTATGGATTGCTGCCCCCTTGCGGCTGGCTTCCTCCGCCCTGTGGCCCACCCGGTTGTGGGTATTGCACATTGTACTGTCCGTACTGAGCGGCATACGCCGCGCCACGGCCAGTACCTGTCGCGCCAGGGTTGCGTGCTTGACTTCCAGGCTGCTGATAGCCGCCTGACGTGGTCATGGGCATTGTGTATCCACCTCTTCCACCAAAGCCACCGCCTCTACCAGCGCCACCTTGTCTGTTGTCCTGGGCATGGTCTACTCGAATCAGGCGGCCATCGAATCTGTATGATAGGTCAGCCCCATGGTGCAAATGAGATTCACCTGTTCGCCTCACTCGGTGTTGTTCATCCTCTGGAGCGCTTCATCCGCTTCCGCCTTGGTTGAAAAGCGAACAAACCCAAACCCGCGACTTCGGTTCGTATCGCGGTCCTTGACAACAACCTGAACGACGTTAGCCGCCGTGTATGAGAGCCATTGCCACGACCATTACAGCCTCTTCCACTTTCCCAAACCGTTGGAAGCCTTCATGTAATGTTTCGTCGGTAGTGTGCCAGGCAAGGCCTCTGTGGAGCGACCAAGTCAATTTTTGCCTAGAGTCGCATTCTTGAGGGCTTCGAGCACATACCCAATGAAGAGCTTTGCCATCGTGCGTTCAAAAGGCGCCGTCGAAAAATACTAACCGTTGCGAAGGACTTTCCGATCCGCCAAAGTAAGCCCCGGTAGCGGTCTGGGACTCCTAGAGCTCACCGCACAAAGCCACAGATATCGAAAGAGACAATAGGCAGATCGCGGTCGCTATAGGGATCTCATTGGTCGAAATCTGCAGCCGTTCATGCAATCTATCAGTTAGAGCTGGTTCAATTTAGCCCCCAATCACCGAGCAATATGGCATCAACCCACGCTTCTTGAGCCTTCGGTCGCCTGGCTAAACGGGGGAGTGAAAGCGAGTGGACTGAGCGAAGTGGTCAGGTTGACACAAGTTAAGTTCGGTGCTGTGTCGACTTCAACATGGAAATCCAATGGGTCCTCTGCATCCGCTCGATTACTCGGACTATGGCGGCAGGGGACTTTCTAGAGACGAGAAACTTGTTTCCGCATGAACGGGGCACTGAGAGGACAAATTCTTGGTGACCAATGCCGACTACATAACAGTATGTTCGACGCGAAGATGATCTCTTGCAGGTCGAAGCAGAAGGCATCCGAATGCAAACCCACGGGAGTGGAGCTCGATTCTCCCCTCTGATGGGCTAGAGCCTATGCTGTGATAGGACGGTGTTTGGGTGCTAGAGCGTGAAGATCGTTGGATACCACGGGGGTTCGTCTCGACACTACTTGATACGGTGGACTTGGACGCCTTCGCTGCACGGGTATGTGTGGGCCTACTCTGACCTACCCAACAGAAGATCTCCCATCGCAGCGGCAGCCGTTCGGCAGAAGTTATTACTCACACCCTGGTCCTTGAATCACGATATGGCATGTCTCTACCACTCGTTACAACGGCGTGTCAGCCTTACAGCAAGGAACACTATGCATTCGACACGTTCTTGAAACCTTCTCGAAGCCACCAAGAGGATTGAGCCTGTAGTGAGTGGAGTGCAAGAGCTGGGAATACAGATTCACGTGGCGCCCGTTAATACCTAGGTTTGGCATTCCAGTCTCCCATGAGGTGACCCGCTAGGTGACGTTTCGACACTGTCGGCAACAGTCAGCACTGATGGTGTAATAGGGCATAGTTCCGGGAAGGGCTAGGTGATGGTGAAGCCCATTGAGCTTTGACCGCTGCTTGCATCCGGCAAAATATGACTGCACTGGGACTGATTGGACGCGACCGTCGGTGAAGCAAACGAGACGAAGATTTCTCTGATGCTGGAGCGTCCCCACTTGAAATCGACCTCATGTCCTTATCGGAGCTTTTCACTGGCAAACTCGATCAACGAACACCCCGCCTCTGGCTTGGTGCTCACACACGAGTATGACGACCCGAGGTAAATGGTCCAAGGAGGCCTCTGGTCCCCATCGTGCCATGGCCGTTTTGCGGAAGTGGTGGATGGTCCAGCTCGAGGGTAAAGCGGAGGGCGTAGGAGTGGAAGGAGTGGATGCAGAGGATTGTACACTGGGTTGATTCGAGATCAGGATCGAAGGTTGATGCAGGCTCCCGAAGCTAACAACTCAACTCTAGAGGAGTCTTAGGGTCTGGTTGGAGGGGAGGAGGAGACAGGTGTGGTCCAAAGCTGAATGACTGGCTGCGTGGTGGGGGATCATGTCCTCATCGGTGTGGTGAGCCGGGCGGGGTGCCAGCTTTTGGTGGTGCAACGCTGGCAGACTTCAGTCGAAGAAGAACGCCGCATGCCGCTAAGCTGCAACGATCGCTTAGCGAGCTTCACAACGCCCGCGACCAAAAGTCAAAATGAGCTGGACGCCGACATTAATTGGGCAAGGGCGGACGAAAGCCTCAACGCAAACGTATCTTGGCTGCTCTCTACCGAATCTTCTACGTCCTGACCGGAACACTCAACAAGAGCCGCTATGAGCACCGCCACACTAAGATGCAGAGCGACCACTATTGCCCGCCAGCACCACGCCACAGGGCCCCTGCTCCGTCCACGGTGGGTGGTGCATTGGGCCGTAGGAGGATCGCGATGCGCCCAGTGCTGGAACACTCAGGGCCAAAGACTTCAGGTGACTTGGGAAAGCCTTGCGGATAGCTGGGGAAGCACCAAAGACGAGTAAAGACACGAGTAAAGACAAGAGTGCGGTTTCCTGCGGATTTTATTGCTACTTTTGGGCGTCTCTCATCCATACACGTGGATTACTAGAGCAGAATCTACTCTGGTGGACTATTTTCCCTCGTAACCGCCGATTCGTCACGCTTCAAAGCGGCCATCGAGCTGACATCTGGAGGCTCACAGTCGACAGGGTCTCGAGCGGGTCCCACGGCCGCACAGCTTTGACTGACCTGCCGACGTCGCGACGTCCGGAGTGCCAACTGTGTCATCCGAACTACGTATTCCACATCTCCGACCGCCTGTGCGTGTGCATGAACAAATGCAAGATCAGAGGTTATCGCATGTAAGCTTGATGGGGGGCCCTGCAGCGATGATCTGCAGTCAGCCCTACGGGCACCTGTGATCCACCCTGTGTCTCCTTTTCGCCCCAGCCTTCTTCCCCTGGAGGCCCCCACGGAGCCCGAGGGATACCCCCCTTGCAGCCTTGAGACGGGGCTCGGGTCACTACTCCAGGCTTGCGTCCAATATCAATTTACTACAACGTTCTTTCCTCCCAAGCGATAGCGCCTTCCTTCGACACTGCCCAGCATGGGTCCATCGCGCCTTCTTCACGACAACCACTGTCGGCCCCCCTCCCCCGTGATTGCCTTCCCGTCAGATTTCGGTCACTTGAACTTTTGGGTCTCTCGTGCTTGCGTCATCGATGTTTCACCCATGCTCAAGTAAATCATTGAGGTAGGATGTCCGCTCGTTTCAAAACTGCAAATGTCTACTTCGCAAGGCCGGGCTTTCGAAACGTCTGAGCTCGTGCATAAGTGGTTGTCAAATCTGGGACATGACTCAATGGGCCCAAGCCCACCCGGCCTGGACCATGGGGAAATGGGTGAAGGCACGGGAATGCAAAGAGGGAGGTGCTTTATTATCTCAATGTGCGCTACCCAGGCCTTGCTAATTTAGTGTGAACAGGGGAAAGTCATGCGGGACACACGCATTCAGGTCCTCTCAGCCCGAGGTACGCCAGACATACCTACCACCACAAGGAGCGCCGAGATACACAACAAGGATGCGGACATGGCCAAACAGGCGGGATCGCTCACCCGAATTTGGAACCATCTTATGGCGACAAGGCATTTCTGCATGATGCGGTGGCGGAAAGGGCGAATGGCATGTCTGAAGCGCAGAGATCGCAGAGACACGCCATGGAGGATCCGAGCGCGAAACACGCCAGACGCCCGAGGCACAAGACCAAAGAGAACAAATACGAATACAGGGACGTCTCGACGAAGAGTGCAAAGAAGCGACTGTCCAAGAACGTTATCAGGAAGACGCCCGGCGCCACCTTGACCGAAGACTTCCATGCGCCAAACGTGGCCGCTGAGAGATTGACCCTACGGTCTACTGGACCAGGCTTCTTACTCAAAGGGAAGTCTTCCGGCAGTCCGGAATGGAGGGGGTTGCCAGACCTCACATTCTCGGAAATGACATTTCTGAAGCGAAAGAGAAAGGACGAGAATGACAAAACAGGAGAGTCACATGTGAAGAAGAAACACCGTAGGCCACCCGGTTCAGAAATATCGGCCTTCTTCTCACGGCCAGAAGATCAGCATCATCAAGCGACGTCCCTTCCGAAGCGGTCCTCGATTGGATCGTACGTCTCCTGGTCTATGTCCCCGGCTCGGTGCTGTCCAATGCCCATGCGGCAGCGATCGAGTTTGGTTGCACAGCCTGTGGAAAAGGGGGCCCGGCATGAGGTCGTAGGCGATAACATGGGCGTTGGCTGGTCTGCTTGTTCTGATAGCGCTCTCACCGACCGCCTTTTCAAGGATATCACGACTGACGCGCTGCTGTGCGGCGTCAACACATTTGCACATAGGGAAAAAAGGTATTATTCGTTGGAAGATCTGAAAATGCTAGCTGAGCCTCCTACGGCTGAGTCTCGCCGCGGCCCGAAGGCTCTGTATGGGTTCGATATCATGCCAAAGGTCGACAGTACAGTCACCTCCCCTCGTTCAGCCGGAGGCGAAGAGGTCAACTCGGCCCGCAGATCCCCAGAGCTTTTAGCCCATGCCGACAACCACCATGTCAGACAGAATACCGAATGTTTGGAGCCCGAGCCTCTATTGGCAGAAGATCCGACTGTTGTCGGGCCTGCCAAGCAACGGAAAGCAGTTCTGGGAGCCATCTCACCATTACCCAGTGATATGGACGACTTCGATAGGAACCTCTGGCGGCACTGGATTGGCAGCTCTGTTCGATCGGAAACGAAATTGGGGCTCGACGACGATACATCTTCACACGGATATAGCTTCAGTAGACCATCGCCTCGGGTCGTGAGCAATTACTGGGCCCGGCCGATCCCGGGCATTGACGAAGATCAACAGGTGGGATCTGGCTCTTTTGGAACAGGTTACCTGCATGAGGTAGCGACTAAGAGTAATATCCCTCAACAACACCCACGATCTCTTAAAGTAACTCATCATGTGGTTGAAGATCCTTTAGTGGGATTCTCGGGGTTCTCTCGGAGACAGATTCTATATTGACCATGCCGTGTTGACGGCATCGTGGTGAGCAGATACGGGCCAGAGTTCTGGATAGGGCAGATGAGGCATATCATATATCTGGTACAATGCCAGTGCTCCATAGTCCATCCGCCCGTTCCGTGACTTGCATAAGCTCGCACCACAAAGGCCGAGCCTCAGGCAAGATGGTACTTTCCCCTCGACCGGGGCAGAGCTGCATCCCCGCAAACCAGCGGGAGAGCGTTTTTGAGCTCCGCAGTGCCGATAAGCTCACGGACAGTACTCCTTCGGCCGCGGAGATCGCGCTGTTGAGCAGACACCGTCCCTGGAGGGTGTTGAGGTAATGTGAGTAATCGCATCCCAATTGCCCGATCAGGAAGTTTTCTGGCAACCTGTCGGATGTGAGACGCCACATGTTGACCGGCCGATTCTCTACATCAACAGCTTCTGACGATGGCACCATAGTCGACACTTTCGAGTCCAAGTCAGCTCTCCAGGACGTGCCAGCAGCAGCCGCATTCCAGTACCGCCGCTATCAGACCACTGCCTTGTTGACACCAGCCTGCAAGGTGGTAAGCCATGAAGAAAGTTTTCAAGTACCTCCAGAACCAAGGTATGTCAGTGTGAATGGCTGCAATTTTGGGTGTCCTCCAAGTCGTTACTGAAACGCACTTCGCAGCACTGGAAGCTTCACAACAAAAATACTCCGGCGCGTCATACTTGTCCCCGACCAGCAAGGAGCCTCAACAGCAAACCCGCCACCACAACCCTTCTCACTACAAAGACCAACACAACTCGCATCATCAATCGCGATCTGCGCATCCTAGCTCGGCAGCACACAGCCTTCCAGCACACACCGCCACAGGCACTTCACTCCCGACGGCCAACGGGAAGCGGGAGATGTCTTCACAGCTCCCGGACAAGATCTTCCGTGGTATCACCCGGCATCAATATGCTCAAGACAACATCCTCCAATCGTACGAGCTGTACATTCCCGAACATGACCAGACACACCTAGCCGACGCGAAGGGAAACAAGTACTGGGTGATCTATATTCACGGAGGCTATTTTCGGGACCCGTACGTGTCCTCCTCGTCCTTTTATCCCGCCCTTGGTATCCTTGCATCGGAGAAGGATCATGGCCACGACCCCAAGGACAACGGACAGCAGTTTCAGGCAAGCGACATCACACCGTACATCGCAGGCTACGCAACGGTCAACTACAGGCTCTCCGCGCATATGCAGAAAGCACCTCAAGACCCGGACACGACACCGACATATGAGCTCCGGAACGCCAAATGGCCCGAACACATCTACGACGTGCTGGCGGCGATCGCGCACCTACAGAACAAGTACGCCTTCGGGGAGAGATATCTGCTGGTCGGCCATAGCGTCGGCGCGACGATGGGTTTGCTAAGCGTCCTCGCTGCGGAGAAGGCGCCATTCTCCACCATAAGCGGTCTTGAGATGCCCACAATAGAGCCGCCCATGGCGATCCTGGGCGTTTCGGGCATTTATGATTTCCCGCGGCTCCACGAGTCGGTCCCCGACTATGTGGGGTTGACGAGGAACGCGATACATAGTGAGGCGGACGTTGCGTTAGCAAGTCCAGCCAAGTACACCGAAAGGGATTATGTTCATACCTGGACCGGAGGAGGGAAGAAGAAGAGGGCGCTCGTGATTGCGCACTCGAGAGACGACGGCTGGGTCGACTGGAAGCAGCCCGAGGCTATGGAGAGTGTACTGAAAAGTCAGCCGGCCATTAATGTCAGGGTGTGCGAGATGAAGGGACAGCATAACGACATCTGGGAGAAGGGGACGGAGCTGGCGAGGGTTGTGGTGGAGGCTGTCGGCGTCATGAGAGGATTGGAAGCCTGAGTTTAGGCATCAGCCAGATTGCAAGCTTTTCTTGTTGAAGATACCCTTTGTGCGTCGGATATGAATGTATGATATGCGTGGCGCTTGCCAGTATGAGGCCTTCAAGGATAGCAGTGGGGATAATGCTCATGCGTTAATTACTCTGCGTGGGAATCATGGGCTGGCAGCCTCGTGGAACAAACGCACAGCCTCGTCACGCGGTGTCGGCCGGAAGATCTTCGGTCGAGAAAATCAATCAATGACATCGACGTGATGTGCAGCATTTCTGAAGCCTTAATGATGGTGGCCCTGGTCTCTCGTTCTCTGCCCGTCTCGCCTTCGACCATCGGTATCCTTCCCTGAGAGCTGTGGGACCTTCTGCTTGCGTATGAGCCATGCTGCCCGTGTGTCCAAACCGCTTATGCGGATCCCGTTTACGGGCCCTCTGCCACCCCCCTTAATCATCCCACCCTCCGCAGTCACGAAAGAGGGCGCAGTCAGTGCCCTGACACATTTCCTGAAAGCTCCAGCCGGGTCAGCTGCTCCTCTATCCGAGCACGCCCAGCAGGCCAAGACCAAGACGGTGCTGCTCACAGGCGCGGGCATAAGCGTTGCGTCGGGCCTCGCCGACTATCGCGGCGTCAACGGCACATATACCCAGAACAAATCATACCGGCCGATCTACTACCACGAGTTCATCGCAAGTCACGAATCCCGCAAGCGATACTGGGCACGCTCCTTCCTCGGATGGAGGGGCTTGAACCGCTCGAAGCCCAACCCCGCGCATTTCGCCATTGGTGATCTGGGGACACTGGGGTTAGTGGACAACGTGGTGACGCAGAACGTGGACTCCTTCCACGGCCTGGCTCACCCGAAACTAAAGACGGTGGAACTGCACGGCTTCTTGAGAGCGCTAGTCTGCCTGAGCTGCAGAAGGCTCATGGATCGCGATGTCTTTCAGCAGCGTTTGGCCGAGCTCAACCCTGCTTGGGCCGAGTTCCTGCAGCAGCTACTTGCCTCAGGCGCCCTGGATACGGAAAACCCGGTTGAAAGAAGGAGGCTAGGTTTCAGGACGAATCCGGACGGCGATGCCGATGTGCCTGGCGCGCCGTACTATACCTTCAGATACCCGGCTTGTCCGCACTGTCTCCGACGGCCACCCATCCTCAAGGATGGCAGTAAAGGACATGTGGACGTCGATGTGGATGGGGCTTGGACATCCTCGCCGTCAGGGTCAGCTCCGTCAGAGGGTGTCGGCATACTCAAGCCCAATGTCATCATGTTTGGTGAGTCGATACCGGCTGACGTGAAGACGGCGGCAGAGGAAGCAATTGACTCCGCGGCGAAGATTTTGGTCGTCGGGAGCTCTCTGGCAACTTACTCGGCTTGGAGACTTGTAAAACGGGCGCACGAACAGGGCATGGGCATAGGGATTTTGAACATGGGCGGTGTTCGGAAAGAGGAGGTATTCTTTGGAGAACTGCTCCCTGAGCGCCATCATGGTCGGGGCAGTGGGGATGGGCACAATCGCTGGGAAGCTTTGCGAAGGGAGCTCGTGCGTGCGAGTCTCCCTGCTGAGGAAATACTGCCTCTGGTTGTGGATGCCATTCGCAGCTCGAGCTCGGTATAATATGATGGCGAACACGACTATCTTGCTTGACAAGAAACATGAGCGAGCCTGTGTGTAGTCCAAGCCACGGCTTTTCTGATCCATACTCAATGTATACATAGATCTAGACATCTTAGTTCCGTGGCCCGTACTGTCTTATTCCTGTCCAGCAGCGTCTGCGCATGTTGGATGAACAAGCAACAGCCAAGCGCACCACCGTCAGCAAGTCCTGTCTCGATGTCAAGCATTGGAGCACAACCACCATCAAGCTTGAATGGACGCTCACCGAGCTTCTCAGTGATCGTCATCACCTGTCCATCGTTCGCCAGCAAGGCGGGCGCAGCCAAGACCATCGCATCAGCCACCGACATCATCGCGATCCTGGCGCCTTTTCATCCCTGCGTCGCCTGGGACGCCAACTCCAACTCGCGAAGCGTCCAACCCGCGTCTTGCTGGGTACTGGGTATCTTCCCGCTCATTCGGCCTCCTTAGGCCCCGGCGAACAATGATCCCTGGCATTGACCCGCCCCCAGCTTTTGGCTCGCTTGACTCGACCACTAGGCTTTGTTCCAAGCTTGCTTGAGTGGTACCCGCGTGCTCAGCACGAGGGCAGGTGAAGTCATACCCTGCGAGGGGGTAGCGACAAGAGAAATGGTATCGACCATATGTCTGAACGCGCCGTGCTTACCACAGGACATAATGCCACAATAAACCTACTTCACTACGTCCCGCAGGCTCAGGGCTGTGCGTAGGTCACTTCGTCCGCTCCTTTGGTGGCACTTGACCATCAGCAGCGCATTGTTCTTTCCATTACTCTTCTCATCCTCGTTGTTTCCCAGTGGCAGCCAATTCTCGAAATAGACCAGAATGTCCGTCTCCGATCAATCAACCATGGGGGGTGCGGAGCCTCCGCAAGAGAAAGGCTCGGGCCAGATCCACAGCGGAGGACAGACAGAGAAGCGCTTTGGCGTCTCTGGTCCGGAATTAGCAGCGCAAAACCTCGAATCGGGCCATCCCAAACGAGCGGACGGCAAGATCGAACTGACCGAAGAGGACTGTTACGACAAGCTGGGATACTCGTTCCCGAACTGGAGGAAATGGATGATTCTGGTCATCATCCTGTTCATCCAGACGTCGATGAACCTCAACGCGAGCATCTACGCCAATGGCGTCGATGGCCTATCCGAGAAGTACACAATCTCCAAGCAGAAGGCCCGAGTCGGCCAGATGATCTTCCTCGTCTGCTATGGCTTTGGCTGCGAACTCTGGGCTCCATGGTCCGAGGAACTGGGCCGATGGCCGACTCAGCAGCTCTCCTTGTTCCTCGTCAACATCTGGCAACTGCCCGCAGCGTTGGCTCCCAACTTTGGGACCATTCTCGTCGCGAGAGCCCTGGCCGGCCTTTCCACAGCCGGCGGTTCCATCACTTTGGGAGTTATCGCCGACCTCTACCAGCCAGAAGACTCGGGCTTCCAGTATGCCGTCGCCTTTGTGGTGCTGTCTTCTGTCGGCGGCGCCCCAGTCGGAGCCGTCATCGGCGGCTTCGTCGGCCAGTACCTCAGCTTACCGTGGATTTTCTGGATGCAACTCTGCATCGGGGGCGCCGTGCAAGCCATCCACTTCTTCCTCGTGCCCGAAACCCGAGCGACCATCCTGCTGGACCGCGAGGCCAAGAAACGGCGCAAGAACGGCGAGACCAACATCTACGGGCCTGACGAGCTCAAGAAGCCTCGATTCCCGATGAAGGAGTTCGTCCGCATCTGGCTGAGACCGTTCCAGATGTTTGTGACCGAGCCGATCGTGCTGTGCTTGTCCCTGCTCAGCGGTTTCAGCGACGCCTTGCTGTTTACCTTTTTGGAGGCATTCACGCCGGTGTTTGAGCAGTGGGGATTCAAGCCATATCAAATTGGGTTGGCGTTCATTTCGTGAGTCAGCTCCTGACCTCTCGAGTGCCCAATTCGAGGGAATGGACCTTGCAAATTCAGTGATTGACGACTGACTAACTGTGCGCCCGTGAAGGTCGCTTGTCGGATACGTCCTCGCATACCTCTCATACCTCCCAGTCATAAGACACCACAACAAGATCCGCGCCGAGGACCCGAACAAGCTATCCCCCGAGTCTCGTCTATGGTGGTTACTCTTTCGTGAGTGCCAATCCTTTGTGCCACGCTGCTGCTGTGTCCGCCTTGCTGACTTCTTCCCAGTGGCACCTCTCGAAACGATAGGCCTGTTTGGCTTTGCTTGGACGTCGCTCGGTCCCGATTACGGTATCCCCTGGATCGCGCCTATGATCTTCACGGTCCTCATCGCCATTGCTAACTACGGGATCTACAAGGTAGGTTGGGCCTGAGCCTCATTTTCATGTTTTGACTTTGAACCTCCACCATTGAAAAACTCCGGTTTGACGAATGTGAATGCTAACGTCCATGTCCCACCACCAGAGCTCAATCGACTACATGATCGCCGCGTACGGCCCATACGCCGCCTCGGCGACAGGCGGCAACGATCTAGCCAGAGATTTCCTCGCCGGTATCGCCGCCTTGTACAGCACGCCGTGTAAGTTATTCAGTCACTCACTCTAGAACATACTCTGCACGCGCCCTGCACTGCCCTCGCCCTACACTACACTCTATCCCACATTCCCTATCCCACAGGGGCCGTACCTACTCATGCACCGCAACTTCAACACCACTTGTTGCCAAATTTATCGCCCCATCACCGCTACAACGCTCCCGTGCTAGCCCTTCACTCTACTTGTTGCTAACCCGTCACTCTACTTGTTGCTAACCCATCACTCTACTTGTTGCTAACCCATCACT